GACAACCTGCATATCAAGAAGTATAGTTCCAGCTACTTACATTCGTACATGTGCACTTGTGTAATAAGTTAATTAAGCAAGCCTACATTTTATATAACTTGTTTCGTTTGTGATCCGATTTGCATATGACCACATTTAGCAGTTAATCTTCCAGTCTGATGGATTTATTTTGCAATTACTTTCACAGTACGAACTCTAGAAATGTTTTTGATGATGCTACTTAAGCATAAAGCCCATCAACTGGTATTATGATTGCCACTTAATAATCCTATTTTCTTATTTTCTTTGTCCTTTGTTCCTCGTCAACATTCTCTTGAAAACAAACTTTGCCCTAAAATAAGTTTGTGTATGTGCAAGGACTGCTATTAACAATTTTGGTAATAATATCGCCAGCTTTTTCCTTCCTTCCTTCCTTCCTCGTCACACATAACATAACAAAAGCATCGTCACACGTACATTGATAATATCCAAATTATGAGCCATTATTGTTACCCACTCAAATACAATATCCATCCCAGCCATCATTACATTACTGTGTAACTCATCTTGTTTGACATCATCAAATACTTATTACTTATACTTCCGCTTATTTTTCAAGCTTACATATTGTACAACAAACAACTCGAGGTACGCGACTAACAACACGAATATTTGAACATGACTAAAGTCTCGTCACGTGAGTGTTAAAAAATTGGTCAAAAGCAAAATACCGTCAACTTTTTAGATAAATCATAAAGGGTATTCACAAGTGTCTTCGTAGTAGAGTAAAATAGTTTACGAAGAAAAAAGAAGGCGTCAAGTTTCGTAAAAATCGTACATTTATAACGAGATTTTTAATGACAAAACCTTACGACGTTTACAAAATCCTACGTATTAACCTTTGTAACTTATTTGCGGTACAAAGAATGCGAAGGAATGTGAAGGATGCGAAGGAATCATGAATACCCTCATAAAAATTGAAATGTGAATATGCGATAACTGACTTAATATTTATTTTGCTCGCCTGTGTCAAACAGAGTTGAAGAGGGTGGGAGTTTGCACGAGCGGAAATATAATGAATATATTTAAGCATGGTATTTCATCCTATGTATTTCAGCGTATGTATTTATGATCATTAAATCCAAACCTTTCCTTCCATAATTAGTGGAATAACAGTTGGTGGTCTCTCTGGTTGATTGTATAGCATTTTGGCGAAAGTTGTTGTTTAGTTGTTGCTGAAGACTTGGCCGGATTGATGATAAGTGATAAGTCAACAACTTTTGAGACTATGTATGAGACACGAACCGTGCAAGCAAAACAATAACAAGGTATTTTTGTCAGTAAATCTATCTTACTTGACAAAATGAGCCGGTTTTGCTCTACTTCCATCCCTATAATACCAAACCAATCGTATTATATATCCACCTTCCAATTTAAGCAACACAGAAAACAAATCAACAGACTTTCACTTTCGCTACACAATATAATCCAAGCTTGCTTTCTGTCGTCGGTGCTAAATTTTGGTGATTTGGACGACTTTTTGAAAGCAGGTGCTATAAGAAGTTAGTTTCAGCCGAAAGCCAGGGATCAGAGCCCGATTAATCTCTTGTAATTTATTTATGGAGAAAACGTGGCTTTTCTTGCTCTACACCAATCAAAGGAACATCAAGTTTTTTACGCACATACGTCAAACGGATGGATAAAAGAAGAAAATGTGTTGATGGCGTATGCATATGCTGCTCCGTAAATATATTAGCAAAGTTCTATTACATTTTCCCTTGAATACTCAAAGGAAAGAAGTCGAATCGGATCAAAGGTTTGTCAAAAGTTGAGTGAGAGAAAACTGGCTGCAGAATCTTGGGCCTCTGACACAAAAACAATATCATTTTGGCAAATACTTAGCCGGATGACATAAACTCAATAACCTACGTTGTCGAGCGTACTCGTTACTCGCACAGCTCTCAACATGCATGAGAAGACAATTAATATCGATCGACTTTGATTTTATCAAGTTCGGTAAACACGCGAAATCAAAGGGTTTCGTTTCATCAAATTTTGTATGCTCAAAGTGACATTCCAAATGCTGAAAGTTTGTATACTTAAGATATTTACTATTACCGAATAAAGTAGTCCATGTACAATTTTGTATGCAAAGCAATTTCCCCGTCAAGCCGAGGTGGCCAGGTTTTTAAGAACTAAATGACGTCGTTATCTTCCTGTGGTGGCTTGAATGAATATGAATACCTACGTCAGAGACATCCACATTTTACTAAACTTCCTCGATAAATACCGCAATAAGTGGCTGGCAGTTTCATTGATATTCAGCATGGCTTGTGGTCATTCTTCTTGAGTGAGGGTACTTGTTTGATCAATATTTTTAGTATTATGCTCAATTTGTGTGTCTGTCAAAGAAAATAGAATTTTGGATGCAACAGGGAATCGTATTGATGACAGTGGATTGATATAATTGCGATGATAATGGTGCCGATATCACGATCCAGGTTAGGCCATTTTCTCCACCCCACAAACATTATGACCACCACAGATCGGATTATCGGATTATTATTCGAGATGGAACAACTCAGTTATGTACATATTTCAGACAATTCTTGAGATAATTGGTGTAACAACATACTGGTGACCAAGTTCCCTCTCTCTACCCACCTCAATTATACTCTAGTCCTGGAAGATCCTGTTAGTATAATGCTATCAATAACCCTTATCCTTGCCCATGTCACCGCAGTTTTTACTCAAACAGAAGAGGATGCTGATAAATAAATAAATAGTGTTGAACATCGGACAGTGCTCACCTCTCGTATCGTAGTCGATTCTTTCTTCGCAGTTCACTTCTTGCTGGTGATGATGACAATAGAAATTTGTTCACGAAACACTAAATTTCACTAATATATGTAATACAGAGTCTTACGACATATATAATCGTCATTCATAAAGGTCATAAATGTCACTAGCACAAAAAATGTATCTATAACTATGGTTGACTCGTTCAATTGAAGAAGTTCAAGGATTATCACTAGCAGCAATCTGCGACTCGAATGTATATTTTACTGATTTCCTTCCACAATGAAGAAATTTCGCCCAGTTTCGTCTCAATTCCGTGTTTGTGTATCCTGTAAAGGGAATGAAAAAATGTTTAATCAGCATTTTTGCGAGATTGGCACAATTGATAAATTCATTGAATCGATATGTATAGCTTGGTTATACGTACATCGTGCAACGTATTTCAATTAAGAAACTTTCCATAAATGGATAAATACGATGAATTTTTTATTTCAAAGTCAAGTGCGTATGTACGTATAACAAAAAATCGATTTGTCCCAAAAAAATCCGTACTGGTACAAAGATCTGTATCTGTAATCGCAGATTACTATTCTGAAAAAATTGGCTTCTAGTTTTGTAGGGGGTTGCTAATTCCGAACTAGCAACAATTTACGCCCATACGCTTAATAAACTTTTACCGTACTGATTGCGCTAGCGTTTAGAACCAAAATACTCCAATATTAAAAATCTAACTTTATTTTGCTCAGCTATAAATTTGTTCAATTTGACGATTATTTAGTTTCTCCAACTTACAATATTTTACACTCTGGATTGTTTCGATATTCCAAACCTTTAGTGTGCACCAAATTCTCAAGCTTTCTCCGAAACTTTCACACGCCGTGACGCCGTTTACAATAATTTTACTGATTTATATGTCCTTCTCAATAAAAACTGATACAAATGTTTTATTAGATTTAGATTTTCCGAATAACCGTACGACTAATCCTATTCCACGAATTGTCTTAAGAGAGATGGGAGACCAAATTGTTGCAAAAATATGGGGATTTTAAAAATTTTAAAAGGTTAGAATTTTGAAATACGAAAAATGGGTAAAAGACTTGAATTGAACTTGTGCTGATCTCTTCTTCCAAAAAGCAGCCAGCCCACAACACTTAAGAACTAATGGTCGTGGTGATGTTGTTAAACAATAGTTTGTAACAAAGTTGAGATATAGGAGAATGAATCGTAGTAAGGACACATTTCTATTAAGAGAAGTAGTGCTTTGTAGTATGTAATGTGTGCTGGTTCCTAACTCTGCTTGGCTTTACATTACGTGATGTATGGTGATGGTGTTATATTTTATAATAGCAGATAACCAGACAAGCATTCACTCTCTCTCTAACAAAAAACTTGACTATTATCTCTTTCGCCTCCTCACAACCACCAACCAACTTATTCGTCTAACCAAAAGCAGAATGCACATTCGCCTCCTTTTTACACTCGGCTCATTTCTGCACACAATTCCATGGGGCTGTTCATATCGAGAAAAAATCGTATCAAGGGAGAGCAGAGAAGTTTCTGGAAGGTTTGGTAAGAGGGAAAGCTAGCCGGAGAAAGTTCTCGGGGAAGAAAAACAAGCAATAATGACACTAACGATGACAGTAGCTCAAGAAAATTAACACCAATTTTCTGCAATTATTGGCCATGGACCAGGAAGGATTGCTAAAATTTGTCCATGTCATGATTTTGATGGGGCGCTGTAGCGTTGAGGGTAAATGAGTGAGCGGTGAAAGTCGCAGCTAATGCAACGTCTGAATCCAAGACAAAAGTGGAGAAAGCATGCTAAAGTGTAAAGTTGTACGCATTCTTAATTTGCGTACACAAAATTTGGTCTCCGTATTAAAAGTCATATTTAGAATTCGTCCTGCACAAAAGGACGCTATGTATCAGCTACTGGATTAAAGATTAAGCTTTAATTCCGCGGTGCGTAAGAAGTATGCTACTGGATTCGCATATTAACTTTGCACACCCCGTCCTAATTTTAAGTGAACATTTTTCATACGATGAATTCCCATGTATTTAGTTGCAACGAAGAAGATTCATGATGTGCGTTTGATGTGAATGTTGTGAATCGACCCACAGCCCCATATGAATGCACCCCTTATGAAAAGAGATGAATTGAAGAGAATATGAACACGAAAAGTTAGGGGTTCAACTCCTCAGCTCCATTGTGGTGCTAAACCCCCGTGGGAACTATGGAATGAACATGTAGGAATAGCAGGCCAAGTATAAAGGAGAAGAGAGAGAATACATTTCTGTGGCTTCAAAAACACACAACTAGGGAACTTCCCTGGATTTTGCACCTTTAATATTTTTGCAATGTATAAATATTCACCGCGTTTTATGCATTTTTATTGCTCATCACAACTGTCATGTCCAACATGCATTAAAACGTCACATTTCGGAACAACAAGGTAAGCCAAAACTCCGTCAGTTTCATGCAAAAAGCAATAAAGTAGCACCACAACTAATGAAGTGGGTTGGGTATGGCATTTGAAATAGATGGGTCTACTCGTAAGGTAAATATTTGTGCTAAATTACGGCTTATACATTTTAGTGGGATGGAGGAGTCAATCGATTTTGTATGGATTATGGATTCAGATTAACGCGTTGTTACATGATGAAGGCTTCATTGACGGAACCATTAACTTTGGAGTGGCGTTTGCATCATTAAGTGCAAATATATTCGGGAGGAAGGTAAAGCATTTCGCAAGGTGTGTAAGTAAACTGTTGAGACTAATCGTACTAAATTTCTGTATTTTGCATATCTTTTAGGAATGAAGTACACGTGCAGGAACGATCTGCTGGTGCACTAGTTGTGCACTGTACTCACTTAGTAAATTCGCATTCTAGTCAAATCAGGATGAAAATACTCAGTAGGATCACCTCATTACTAAAATTAGGAAGTATGGGGTGCGGAGTGAAGACTACGGGGAAAGAATGATCTCATTTAAAGAAATATCTGTGATGGATTTCGCAAATCACTGGCTGCCAAGAAGACTGGGAATTATAAGCATTTTTCAGTATTACGAGTGTAACTTTAAGAAATAGAACAATTAATAGTTGTTACTGGTATATGGACCATCTTTGAATACAATGCAGCTCTGGTGGAATGGATGAAATAACTCTTAATTCACCCTCGCAATCTGGTCCCAGCGGGGGTCAATCATTATCATCCTTTGCTATGGACGCCTCTCCCACAGCTCAATCCACTACAATTGTTAATAACCACTACTCATCCCCCGATTCGAACCCATTTCTTCAGAAAAACATGAACCAACCTTCCTCCGTATCGTTTCCCGAGCACAAGACAAAATTTCAAGTAGCAAATCATGACTTACTCTTAAATCACCACGGTGGTCAACAGTCCGACGTTCAAGTAAAAGCGAATAATACAGCATCATCTCTTATATATTTCGGAGAAAGACATCAGCAACCTGCATCTGTCCTTGATCAGTACCAATCATCCAGCAATAATAGCCCATTCCAATCTGCAACTGAGGATCCTGACTATGATGGGATTCAAGAAGATCACCATCACGACGACCTTGACGGTGGTGACGACCGGGATCCCCTCCTCTTTAAAGCGCCCCCTCGGCAAAGCGTTTTTCACCAGTTTCTCTCCTCCGCCAAAGGGGTAGCTGTTGGTAAGGACAAGATCCTAAAAAAGGTTCGAATGGCTGGTGGTGCAGAGGGACGATTGAGACCACGAAATCACGACCTTGCCATTTCTCGCCCCGTCCAAGACGACGAATATGAAGAAGATCTTCACGAAGACCACGAGGACTCGTTATCCGACGAAGAAAGTCCGCACCACGATCAGCACGCTCCCAAGGGTGACGATTTGTCCCCTTCCTCTCGTGGAAAATGTTCCATTGGCATTCTTCTTGCGGCAATTTCTTGCGTATTTTTCGCAACTAGTGCCCTCATTGTAAAAGTGAGTCGACTCCATCCCATGCAACTCCTCTGCGTTCGTGGTGCCCTTCAGGCCCTCTTCATCTCACCAATCGTTCTCTCGACCGGAAACTGTTTCTTTGGGCCAGCCGGGTCACGGGCGCTTCTTCTCGCGAGGGCCGTCCTCGGCTCGGTCTCACTCATCATGAGTTTCGCCTCTATCCACTTGATCCCACTGGCGGATGCGGCCACTTGCATCTTCACGTCACCCGTCTTCGTCTCACTCTTTGCCTGCATTTGTCTGAAAGAGCTCTGTTCCTGGTTCGATGTGAGCATGATTCTTCTTACACTGCTCGGAGTCGTTCTCGTGTCACAGCCATCCTTCAACTTTATTAGCACGGGATCATGGACCAGCATTTTGGGCACAATTTGTGGTCTCGCCGCAGCAATGTTGACCGCCCTAGCGTTCATTGTCCTTCGCCAGTTGAAACATGTCCACTATTCTGTGACCGTGCTTTGGTTCAGTGTAGTTCTGGCCGGATTTGGAGCTGTGCTCATGATCGCTCTGGACGGATTCAGGATGCCTTCGGACTGGTCCGATGTCGTGGACTGTGTGGGAATTGGGATTTGTGGATTTCTGGGACAAATTCTGCTGACGAAAGCGCTTCAAATAGAGAATGCAGGACCATGTGCGGTGGCGAGAACGTTGGATATTGTCCTCGCTTTCTTTTATCAAATTACGCTTCTGCACGACACGCCAGACTGGTATAGCTATTTGGGCAGCTTTCTTGTCGTATCTTGTGTACTTTTGACCGCGTTTCGACGATGGTACAGGGAAAAGTTTGGGTTGGATGTGGTCATTGGGGGACGTCATCCTGGGGGTGGTCCTGCTGGGGGTGGTAGGCATGAAAAATTGGGGAGTGGTGGTGGAGGAGTGGGAACAAGTAGTAGAAGTAACTGCAGTTACACCAGAGCAAGCATAGATATATCCTAATAACTGAACGCCAATAAGTAATATAGGTCTGCATACATAATTAGTTGACTAAATTAGTTGACATAATTAGCTAATTATTTATAATAATCATCATGTTGCAATGTTAATTGTTACAAGTTTGATAATATCGATTCCAAAACCCATCCACTCATCTTGCAGTAATTTTGCGATGCTATTCATGGTGCACAAAATTGAATAATAAAGTTGTGAAATGTTGTGATTCTAAATTTTGCGATTGATGTACAAGATTAATTATTTTAGTTTTATATTTAATTTGCATAATAATACGATACATCATCGTTTACATTTAATTACATTTTTACGGTTATATTCCAAAATTTACTCATTTATTTTTCTGAGACTTACTTTTTGAACCCATGTTTCCAGCCACAATAAGACAATTGACCCAGCGAAAAATAAATTCCTGGACTTATTTATTTCAGTGGAATAAAATTTTACCACCAAATTACGACTGTACAGCTTATCGTAGTCCTACAAAATAATGATTTTGTATGACTTTTGAACAGTGATGGTATCTACAATGAAGTTTAAGTTATGACCATTTGGGTAGAAAATTCGGATTTTTATAAAAAAGTTAGTGAAGGATTCAACTTTTGCAAGTTAATTGACTTAACAGCATATTGTATATATTCCCAGAAATATCAGTTTTTTATGCTTCGTTAGTAATGAGTTTACCCTCGTTGGAGCAATTTGGATAAAAAATTTAAATTTTGATTCACTCTTGGATTGGATTTTGATGCTCATGCATGACAAGTAGAATGTCAATTCGGTTAAGACGAATAAACGGAGTAAGAACACACAATCAATTACCGGTCACATTCATACTCCATATAATTTACAATCATAAAAATATTTTTTAACATATAGATGAAGACATTTTGCTTCTTTACTCACAAAAAATTTGAAGGGCAGCTCGATATATTTTTTAAATTGTTGTACGTATTGTATGAAATAAATTTGTAAAGTCATGCATTTTTAGGTCAAATAACTACGGATGTCCTAATGTGCTCTTTATGATATGAAAATTTCCCAGTTTGCAGTTTTCTTTTTCAAGATATGCATTATTTATTTCCTGGCATGCAATCTCAGACAAGTTGAGCGTGGGTTTGAATGGTCTTCAGGACCTACATATATATACATATATCTCAACCCAGTAAAAAAATAGTTGTTTGTTATGCCTGGTCCTCTGTGTTCGAACCACTTGAGAATTAGTGTCATCATCACCCAAACTATTATGTAATCGGGCAATGCTTCTTGTATGCATTATAATCTTGTACCAAAGAAAAATGTTCATAAAAAGTAGTCGATCGGTCCAAATATTTATTGAATAATGGACAAAACGCCACACCCGACGCCGACCGATCCGGATTTGTCACTACTGGATAAGCTGGACTTGACTTATTTCTCGTGGGTGTCGGAATAGCTGCAAGCTTAATAATAATACGTACACGTATCTTTGTCTTTGGCAGTGACTGTCATCACCACAATCTCTTCGCCTTCTTGCTCATCACTTGTTCAGATTCAATTCTAATTTTGTTTCAAGGCAAATTGTCCTTGAAAAGAGATACACCACGGTTCGACAAAAAATTGGCTCAAATTTACTCAGACCACACAGCCACACACAGGTCTGGAAACAGTTGGAAAAAATAAATTGTAAAACAATGAGAGAAACCATTGTCATGTCGATAATATAAATAATTGGAGATCTTTGTAACATACATAGCGTCATCATAAGTCAAAGAGCAAATACTTAATCAATAATCAATAGCTGGCAGAGATGAGGATTTCATTCATGGGCGTGTTTGCTGATGTCCACTGACATACGTATTGTGCAAAAAACAACTAATTTCATGGTGTCTTCTTAGGATTAGCTGAGAAAATTATAGTCCATCAGTCACAAATAACCCGTTATTAGCACGAGTCCCTGTATAATCAGTGCTTACTTATTTAGCAAAATACAATGTATGTTGTGCAGCCTGGAGAAAGAAACGCGTGCATATACTTATAATTATTTTTTCACATGTGTACAACATCCTCCAGTAAAAATATAATCATAAATCCATTCTTGGTGTCATAAAGTTCATGAAAAATGTAAAATCCAACGCATGTGCTTTTTATTTTTAATCAACAAATGGTCTCATCCCAGCTCCAAATAAGAATACTGTTCAAGGACGATGATGATTCTTCACTGATAACAAGCACATATTTGCGGGCAATATTTTGCGTAGGTTTTTAAGAAAATCGTCCTCCTCGTCAATTATATGTATCATCATCGTATTTAATTCTTAATATTTTTAATATGCAACACAACGCCATAAAATAATGTTTGTTGATCACTACGAAACTATTACGTACGTATATTTATTACCACCCTCGATCCCAGATCTTAGTCCCAAATTGGCCGAATTATGAATTCTAATCTACTACATAAGCGTCTACACGAGGAATTTTCTCATGCTGAGCATGTACATACTTGTAACATTGCGGAAAGGAGTTATTGTTCTTAATTTTTTGCAACCAATTTGTAATCCATGTTCGACTCAGAATTTTCTTAGTATTTTACATAAATAGTTGACATTCCTGCATGAATTTCTGGAATCGTCACCTCCCCTCATTACACCATTCAAAAGGTGTAATGAGGAGTGTGATGATCTAATAACGAGCGTATCGAACTGACAGGAAAATTATTGCTCCTGTAAATTATCGCAAAATCAATTTTTATGGCTTGGAAATGAGTCACTTGAGAACTTTCCAGTTAAAAATCCCACTTTGACATTGTTATGTATTTACAAGTCTTCTGGCTAATAAATACTCGCTAATAGGTTGCGTTGATTTAATAAATTATTAGTTTCCCGGATACATTCCTCATCTATTCTCCGAACTCTCCATTCACAGCAGTTGGTTATTAAGTAAATCCCCTCTGAAGTTATTTCTGAAAACTAGATGCATGCAATTAGACGTGTACAAGCTCACAGATTAATCTGCATAGGGAAATATGCACAACACATCCTTGCAGGTGTACCTAGTGTGAAGAAGCTACATACTTTTATAGTTGTAACGAAGGAGGTGTGTGGTCAAAAGTTAATAGACGAGATTATGTATGTATCTATAATATGTATTATACGATGATACACTTTTTGTTAGTCATGTCAATTACTGAATTTATGTACAAGTCTACTTCTTGTGCATATAAAAGATAATTTCACTTACTGCTTGTACTTAACTTGTGATATGACCACAAGTTATGCGCTCATATCTTTACATCACCAACTATTCGTCTCGTCTGCGAACCAACAACCATGATATCCTTCCAACCCTTACTTTTGCTGTACATGTTATTGCAAAGCAACTAACTTGATAGCAATTAGTGGAGGAGATGTTACCTGCGAAGGTATTTCATGTGTGGATTTTGACGCTTGTATAAATAAACCGAGATTCCACAACGACTTCATAGTTGTTCCACGATTGTTGCAAGCAGTGCTTGGAACATTGCGAAAATAAGTACATATAATTACTCAAATCTTCATTGCGATCTTTCGACGCAGAATAAAACAATAGTGCCGAGGGTGTGATTTTCCTGTTTACCGTGTGAACCCAAAGGTCCCAACTTAACGGAGGGAGTGAGTCACTGAATTTCGGATTTTGTAATCAATTCAGGCAAGTTGAAATTTTAGGTGGATTATTTCTTGGGCATTATAATACGGCTGAAAATTCTAGAGTAGTAATAAATTCATAAATGGGAAATGGCAGACATAGATCAATGTGTCTTTTACATATATTTTCATGGAATGAGAATGGTGAGCGGTGTGTATAGTCATTTCCGGTGACGGAGAAGTCCCCAGACAAAATTGAACTAATTAAATTAGCATATAAGCTTTTGTCTTTATTAAATTTGCTGATTGAATTGTTTCAACAATTGAATTGGTATTGATTTGATTTTCGATTTCACCTACAACGCCCATGCATTTGTGCCTGAGCGACCATTTAATCAACCTTTATTATACACCCACGCCAACTTTTTGGCATAGTTTTTAACATTTTAGGATATACGATTGACCCTTTCTCAACAAATTTCCAATTGGTGTTGGCAGATTTCTAACACCTTATGAATCATATCGTATGGGTTCCTCCTATTCCATGGGCAATAATTCAGGATGCATAAAATTACGTCACGTCTTTGTCCACCACAATTATTAATGCTTTGCGATTTGAAATGAAACTTTTATGTAAAGACATTTACCTGAACGAGAACGGTATGTCATGCATAGTTGATTGTTCAACAACATAATAAATTAAGATGACCATGTTACACACCTCCTTGGGAATAATTTGAATAGAATCCATTTCCAATTAAGCTACGCACTTGTCTCATCCAATTATAAATTAGTATTCTGTTCAAATCTCAGACAAATCTAAATCTAATTGCTCACTAATCAGCAATAATAATCTTCCTGAATAATTAGAGAAAATTGAGAAGATCACGTACCATTATTTAAATGTTACATCTCTCGCTCGCTCCTTGTTGTAATCTTCCAGTCAGTCAGTCACTCATAAAATTCATTTAATTCTGACACCTGCCTTCAAGGCATGTGAAGATTTTGCAAACAGTAAATATTTAGACGTACATATGCAGAGGTATGTATGTACTTACATATGTATGCAAATCGATAATTAATGTGTAGTAAAAAAGGAAGATTATTTAGATTTATTGAATTATGCGTACACACTTGAATGCCAAAATGGTTCCATAAATTGACAATGACATTAAATAATCAAATTGGAGATGACCATTATCGGCGTGTAGGCGTTCGTCTGGGCGTTTCCATCATTTATTATCCACGATACATGGCGCAGAGAGAGAGAGAAGACGCTTCTCTGTTTTTTGTCATTTCCATAAATGACATGGACATCATCTCGTTGTTGTATAATAATTTTGGTGGTCCTCATCGCCCATAGTTGTTCAACAAGGCCAGGGTCAGACCAGCCAATGGCTAAATAAAATATTATTTCTATTCGTGGTCATTTTGTGAATATTAATGAAGATCGAGGGATCAATATCTAAACGTATGCACAGCTCTTTTAGGGTGCCTGTCGATTTTATCACTTTTACGTATTGTCAAAACAAAGACAAAACACAGACCAAACAGCAATTCTCATCTCATCATCGTTTATTTTAATGATCAGTTCATGAATTTTGTTTTGTCCGGTACTTGGAAAATGGGACTTGAACGAAACAAACACTACTGCTCAAGGCAACTCTTCTGATTTGAGGGTTATGTAAGCATGACTTAAATTGAAACAATTCTCAGTCTAATATAAAAATTGTGATAACAAGCATAATGTCACTTTACCTGAGGGCGTAGTACAATGCCAACCATGTTGTTACAGTGGTTCCTACTTGATAACAATAAATAGAGTTGATTAATTTTTATGTCGCAGGAACCCAAGATGTATTCGTCATCAATTATGATTCCAGTCGCTCTTCTTTTCGTCGTAAATGTGGCTTTAGTCCAATCTAAGGCTCAGCATGGTAAAGATTTTTTGTATCATCCATAACATGTAATGCACATATTTGCTATATTAATTAACAACGGGGTAACAGGAGCAAGTCATGTAGATTAATTAATTAGCCAATAAATTACTAATCATTAGGCATTGACAATGTTTATATTAACTGCATACTTAATATTTATGTTAAAAACTAACCGACTGATTACTTGAGAATACTCGAGATTAACATCATCATAACGGATTTTAGTCTCAAATTTTGAGATTCGTCCTGCACCACGCTTTCACTAACAATCAGGTACATCTAACATTTTCAACAATAAAGTATTCGCTTTTAAACCTCCTTGATTGTAAAGACTTTTTTAATGTGTGATCGTTTTTTCGTGACTTTAGGAGTTGACCCGTGCATTCCTAGCCCATGTGGTCCAAGTAAGTGGATACATTTCGATTGTTTATTGTTCAGTCTAAATTTGAGAATTTTTTGTATGCTGATTCGTTTTTTGTGATCCAGACACACAATGTTCCGTGAACGGTGCGGGGGCTGCAATTTGCAGATGTATCTCAGGAACGTATCCAAAACCAGATACCATCACGGGCTGTGGTCCACAATGCGTGTACGACCACGAGTGTCCATCTCATCAAAAATGTCACCAGGGAAAGTGTGTCCCATCTTGTAATCCAAGTCCTTGTGGTGTAAGAAAATAATTAATGGCTTCATACAGAAAAAAGAAAATAGAGTTAGTCACTGAGTAACTTTATTAATGTTACAGATCAATGCTGGTAATTGCGGAATTTTGCTCATAATAAAATTCGAACCTATTTCAAATTAATGATAAATTATTTAAATTTTTAGAGTGCGAAGCCGTAGGAAACAAGGCAGGTATGTATTTACAATGTGCTACATAAGAATACTACTTGTCAAGAATTATGTTACAAAAATGACCGAATTTAATATTCGTTATGCAATTACAGTTTGCAAATGTCCTCGTGGATTTGCTGGAGATCCGTTGTTCCAATGCCAACAGCAAGCTCCCATCTCGAGGGCCATCATTTCTCAACCACCTCCACAGTAAGCAAAATTGTATACTTGTAAAGTCAAGTTAATGTCATCATAATTCCGATTCTAAAATAATGTTTGAAATTTTTCAGGGCTATCCGAGCACATGACCCTTGCAACCCGTCTCCTTGTAAGTTCAGACGTGTTAGACTATCAAAATTGGTACTCTACAATATTTCTTATACTTATTTTTCTTTCAGGTGGAACAAGTAAGTGAATGCTAGCAGAAATTTCGCATCCTTGTATCCCATCGACGGATACAAATGCTTGCAATATCAGATATACATAAATACATATGTAGAATGCAGTTCATAAGTATTACGCGCATGTGTGCAGACGCTGAATGTCGCTCTTCCGGTGGGGATATTGGCAGAGCCATTTGCACTTGCCCCAGAGGTCACTTTGGAAATCCGCAAACGTTCTGCCGTCGTGGAGAGTGCTCATGTAAAATGATTTACATATAATGACATAGCAGAATACATAATATTTGACATGCACTTTTTGACACTTTCAGCAAATGACGAGTGTCCGTCTTTCCAAGTTTGTGAGGATTACAATTGCGTCAGTAAGAACAAAATTTGATATACATTGCTAGAGTAAAAACCAACAATCATCATAAACCATCGTCATCTAACGCAAAATTTTCCATTTTCTCAACAGACCCGTGTTCCAAGGCTTGTGGAACGGTAATAAAACGAAAGTGCAAGTTATAGTTGTTTCATGAACTTGACCAACCTTGTTTTATTTAAAACTTTTGTAGAATGCTCAATGCGACGTACGAAATCACATTGCTACTTGTTCCTGCCCTGCTGGATGGACCGGAGAGCCAACGACCCACTGTCGAAGATACAACCCAAGTCAGTTCCATTCAATGATGTCTTTCTATTAATAAACTCACCCAGCTAAATGACATTTATTTTCAGAGATATAACAAAATTAACACACCAAATGAAAATTGTATCTTATCTGTAAACACACCATGCGAGTGGCAAGAGTCCGTAGGATTTGTGCCGTTTTCTGATATTCTGATATGATCCAGATTGTGTTACAAATAATGTAAACAAGTTGTTCCCAAAATTTTATGTTTATGAAATTGATCTACATGGCTTGATTCTAACCTTGACTGTATTATTTAATTAATTACTAAATAATTTCCCATGAATTCAATGCTCCAATTAATTTTTTTAGATGAGTTGTGCGAACCAAGCCCATGCGGAAGGAACACAAACTGTCGGGTATGATTTTTTAAAGCTACATAATTATCAGCATATTAAATGTATCGACCAATAACGTTTCTTAAATGTTCTCCATATACATTTAGGTCGAGAACAATCGAGCTATTTGCAGCTGCAAAGCAACCTTTATTGGGGATCCAATTTCTGGATGTCGCCACGAATGTGATAGCGGTGAGAATTGGAGAAGAAATTTCACATTTTAAAGAAATAAGAGCAAATTGACAAATTTTGTTTTCTGACTGTTGTTTATAGATTACGATTGCGGTAGTGGCCAAGCTTGCAAGGACTTCAAGTGCAAAAATCGTAAGGGCACAGATTTACGATATTACGAATTTACGACATTTCGTGAGAATTAATTAATTTCTTGAACGTAGCATGCGTCAACGCTTGTGGAACTTATGCCAGTTGTGAGGTTCGTAAATTTCAAAAGGGGCATGTTTCTCTAAAACATTAAATAAACTTGTGTTTTCTATCAGGTTAACAACCATCGAGCTGTTTGCACATGCCCGAAAGGTACTTGTACATAAAAATATTTTTCATAATGGGCAAAAAATTAACAATAATATTTATAAAATTGTAGACTATCTCGGAGACCCGTACACTCGATGCTTCCCAGAATGTACATCTCATGCGGATTGTCCTGCGAACCGGTGCGTTATACGACAAGAAATACATAAATAACATTATTCTTAATTTTGAGTACTAATAAGCGTTCACGTTTCAATGTTTCAGAGCTTGTATTGGATTAAGGTTTGACGATAATTTTGAAAATTATGAACTTATGCAGATTTTTGTTGTTTGTGCATACTAAATATATTACTGTAATTTTAGATGTGGTGACCCCTGCGAAAATGCTTGTGGAGTGAACGCGGAGTGCAGAGTGGACAAAAATAATCATAAAGGTAGTTCAACTTTTGAAACAAATTACGAACCTTTCTTGCAGAATTTTAAATTAATCATTAAATTAATATTTTTCAGCTATTTGCAGGTAAGGTTCATATTTTGATTCCTGGAGCAGCAGCATCACAATTAAAAATCGAAATTAATATAAATATTTATAAAATTAATCACATTTTTAGTTGCCCCAAGGGATGGACTGGTCACCCATTCCAACAATGTCGTCGACAGACTCCAGGTGGGAAATAATCGCGTTCGATTGGGTTCAAATTACTAATTTCAAACATAAATTGATTATACATATTGCTTACTAATTTTGAGATATGCCACAATAATAATGCTTACTAACTTGATGCAAATAAATTCCCTAACTTAACTAATTTCTAATCATGAAAGTTGGTTGTGTATGCATACTCATCACATATTAATAGCATTGATTTATACTAATCTATACATCACACTACATACCACCGCCCTGGATATTAACGAGCTTTTCTGTTTTTTACTCGTGATTTGCAAAACTTATGAAATTGCGCAATTGCTCTTTAGAGGATCTCTGTCATCCAAATCCTTGTGGAACAAGTAAGTTTTTTTAAAATAATTTATTTCAATTTGTCATTTATTTTCATGGCATGATTTTACATAACAGACGCTATCTGCACTCCTGGTCATGACAATACTGGAAGCGATCGTCCCGTGTGTACCTGCCCATCAGGTATGTACATATGCCATTCTATTCACTAATCACTGCATTCTAAACTTTTACTAATTGTAAGCTACATAATTGAATTTTAGGATATTTCGGAAACGCTTTGATGAACTGTCGACGTGGAGAGTGTGCTTCTGACTCCGAATGCTCAAGCAACAGGATCTGTAGCAACTTCAATTGTAAATAAGTTTCATAATTTTTGACCAGCAATGAAAGGTTTCAACTCTAATGTCTTGTCGTCAATAGGTGTCGATCCATGTATTGGAGCATGTGGAACAAACGCGAAGTAAGTAGTAACATGAAATTGTGGTACGCATCTTATCCAATATCTGTAATTAGTGTAAGCTAAATGGTGTATTTTATTCACTAGGTGTGAGGCAAGAAATCACGGAGGTATGTAAATCCTGCTAAAACGTATAGTATTCTCAGGTTTGAACTAAACTAATTAATTGTTTGATCCGAATTCGCTTATTCGTTGTGCAGCTGTGTGTAGGTAAGATTTCATTGACATTTCGAATAAAAAGCACCTTTCGTCATGTATCACGGAATGATTTATAATGTTTTGTTTTGCAGTTGTCTAACTGGCTGGCGAGGGGACCCCTTCTTCCAGTGCTCCTTTGATCCTGTGAGGGCAAAGAGGAAAGTTTCCGACAATGACGAAGCTGAAGAAATCGCCAAGCTGGACAAAGAAGTAGAGCTGCCAACCGCGGAAGAATAACAAATTAACTAATTTTTATAACTTCTTCCAATTTCTGTTCCCTTTCTCTGAGAGCTTTCTTCCGCTTCTCTTTCCAAAAGGTGTAGGTCTATTTTTTATACTTTGTTTCCTATTCTGGACTCTTTTTATCTAAGAATTTTAGTTTTTAGAAGGAAATCATAATGTTAAATTCTTCAAATGATGCTCATATTCTTGCCGTATATTCTCTCTTTGCTGTACAACTTTCTCCTCTTCTTTCATTTTGTCCATTCTCCACCGAACCCATACTCAATTCCTAAACTTTCAAAATCCATAGAATTTTGAATAAAACATTTTTTACATGTGTAATTAAATGTATCTTGACGTATTTATTTGCAATTTGTGTCATCTTATTTATGAATTTCGTCATTTTTTAAATATAAATTTTATGGCTCTCTTATGGCAAACCTAAATTGGCCAAAATGAGTTGCATCCATGAATTGAAAAAAATCTACTACAGATTTTTGTGCTAATGATATAGATTTATTATAGCTTTTGACTCGTCTAAAACTATATGGATTGGATAATTTGGATTTCTAAGACATTTAGGACAAAGGACAAATTTGATATTTAATATTTGTGATCTTTGACAAAAAGATCTTTTGCAGCAGCAGCACCGACAACGGTTCCAGCAACATATTTTCCAAGAGACGCTTCACTATCAGCCTACAAAGTGATTAAAAATACGACAGTTAGTTTTGCATATGTAAAAATATCTGCGCATAAATTGTGCAATTCCAAAATTGCAATTTGCAGTTAAACATTGACCAGTATTGAAGCAATTATTTGTAAACATTTCATTGTAAATTATGCGAAGTTATAGTCGACATAAATGGTAGTTAACGTTAGTAAGCAAAATAAGCAACAAAAAGGCGTCAAGTCAACATTAGTCGGAAAATTGGTTAGATTGTTGTGATAAATAAAACTAGTTTTAAATAACAAACCAAAAAATTAGGTCAGGTTGTGATCGGGTAAATCTAGTAGGCATGAGCTTTGACAAAGTTGCTCTTGCTAGCAGCTAAACTGGGGATACTTCCGGCAACATATTTTCCAGTGGCAGCCAAACTGTTTGCCTGGTTATTATTTTACAAAATTAATAAACATGTTGAAAATTAAAAACCAAGTAAAAACTAAAATCTATATTATAATGATAGTCAGCGTATTAGTCATGAACTGAACATCGCTACTAAAGTCTGCATAATTGCTACTTATTATTTCCCGTTAATGTCTTCCGCATTCAATTGCAATAATATCCTTATATGTACATACATGGCCCATATTATGTCAAAAGTTACCTTAGCTCGCTTCAATAATTCATCCTGACCGGCCTTAATATTTTCTGGTTTTCCTGCCCAAGCTTTCAAGACTGAAGCCTATCATAAAGACCATAAAATTAATATCAAATTAGCTATCGAGAATAATTGTAGATCTGGTTCAACTAAAATGCACCTGCAAAGCTCGTCCAAAACTGAATGTAAGGGCCCACGGTTTCTTTCCAGGGAAGCTGTTGATGGCACACAAATTGACAGATGCTTCTTCCTCAGACTGACCTCCGGACAAGAATGTAACTCCTGAGCCACACATTAAAACCACACGTTATTAACAGAACTTTAACTACTCATCACATAAATATTGCAAAACCGTAGCTTACCAGGGACCGCGGCAGGCATGGTTCTTTGCAGGGCTGTCACCGTAGCACGAGCATTATCTTCTGGGGTGAATTTGGTGGCGCAGGACTGTCCAGCTGTGACCATGTTGGGCTTCAACAAGGTCCCTTCAAGGAAAACGTGGTGATCATTGAGTGCCTTGTAGACAAATGCTAACACTGTTTCTGTAACTTTCTGTGCCCTGTCCAAGTCATGATCTCCGTCGGGAAGCACCTGGTTATACATGCAGAATAATAATATTTCTCATCTGCATCATCTTAAATGTCAAAATTATTAGCATAAATATTCGTCCTCTCACTCACCTCTGGCTCTACAATTGGGACCAAACCGTTCATCTGGCAAATGGAAGCATATCTCGCCAGAACATTGGCGTTCTCCAACATGGCAAGATAACTCGGCGTGTTCTTTCCAATCTTAAGGACACATCTCCACTTGGCAAATTGGCATCCGTCCTTCTTATACTGTGCGCACCGTTCGCTCAGCCCGTCCAACCCTTGGGTGGTAGACTCGCCTTCTGCCCCCATCAAATTGACACAACCGGTGTCAACCTTGATTCCCGGGATGATTCCGAGGTCCTGGATCAGTTTGACGAAGGGAGTTCCATCATCCGCCTTCTGGTACAGCGTCTCGTGGAAGAGAATCACTCCAGAAACGTAGTTTCCAATCTCCTTATCCGTTGTGAAGAGGAGTTGACGGTACCGGCGCCGGTTGTCGTCCGTGTTTTCGACCCCGATGTCGGAAAATCGCTTCCCGATCGTCCCCGTGGACTCATCTGCGGCTAGGATTCCCTTTCCTGGGGCAACAATCGCATTTGCAATTTGCCTTAACTCATCCTGAAGGGCGGGGGAAGGGTAGCTGAAGTAGGTCGTCATTTTTAGGGCCTAAAAACAAGTCGGCGAAATTAAATATTAGCGATGAACAATTTCACGTGTAACATTAGCTCCTGCTACAAAACTTTACCAAGAACACGATCTCTTCTTAATCTAAAAGAATTACCTTTTTAATTCTGCTTCGTCTTCTTATCTGTTCGTCCTTGCTGATGTGCTAGAGCTCAGAATTGCACCAAGTTTCAGGGTCGACTGAATGAACTTATTGTGGCTTGAGAATGATCTGTTCTCCTTTATGCAACCAGACCAGAAGGGAGAAAGAGCGTGTGGCCAATAATATTACTCCTAGTCTGTACCACGTACATCTACACGTATATATTTGCGTCCTCTCCTCCGTGACTCGGGTGTTCGGGGATTAGCATCGTGCATTTCCAGTGCAAACCACGTGTTGAGAGAGAAGTTCACAAACCTCGTCCCTCACAAGGCCACCCGAGCTGAGAATGCAGGACGCAGTTTTCGAAAGCAGCATAGATTCGCATATACTACATTCTTCTTCATGACTTTCGTGTGTATGAAATGCAAATGGGAGTGGTTTGACGATACGAAGTTAATGCACCCCAAGTGACGCAGGATCACGTAGACGCATCATGTCCTCTGCAAAACTTCCAGGAGACGCGATGCTGCGTTTTAGGAAACAAGAAACAAACGAAAAACAGCGATAAGGAGGATCATCATCTTATCTGGATGGATGTGACGATAATATGCATGATGTTGTCGTGTCGTGATGTAGTACATATAGTAAACAGCAAGTAGTAGTTAGTTAGTGACTGGTATCAAGTCATGGGAGGAGTGGACTTGTTGTTCATGCATTTGTTAAGAAGATGACTATTCTCTCCAGTTTAGCATATTAACCATCCACTTTGATTTACATGTATGTATGTAGACAGACCAGAATAATGGAGTAATATTTACTAAATGGTGGTATGGTATGTATGTAGTTATTAACAGTCAACTGGCACGTAGGCCAATAATTTTATGACCGGTGGTGATTTAGTCGTAAAGGAAATATTTTGGCAACTCTGAAGAAGAATGATTTCTCAAATGTCAGGCTTCGATATGCTGATATGAACTGGAAATGGAGCAGAATTTATATAAAAAAACTACATAAATAACATCCTGTTGACATAAAAGAATAACACCCATTTTCAGTGGTATTTTGGGTGTTATAAATAACAATTATTCTTGCAAACAATGGTACGTTACATTTGAAATGAACAATTGAAATAAACAAATGTAAATAATAGCATGAAATTTTATTTCTAGCGATGATCTCATTGCTGGTAAAATTGGCATGGCTAAACTAGCCACGATGTTAATGGCGTACAAATTTCCAATCTTATATTCCAGAATGAAATCAAAGTGAGATGATTATTATTTTCATGAAAATTTTACTTCACAATTTTCATGTTTTTATTTATATGTATTCTCATATCAGGCGTTCAAAAACGAAACATGATCGAGTCCTGCATGACATGCACGCATTCTTAAATTTATGTATTCTTCCATTCCATCAAGTCGGATCAAATTTCGTTCCCATCGAATTTCATTTTTTCTATTTGTCTGGCCTCGACAATAATTGCGGCAATAAAAATTAAGACCATGTACATAACTTTATATTGGGTTTCTTAAAATAATATCCCCGTACTTTTTATATATATATCAATGCTTATCTAGTATGAAAAACCGCCTTCTTCTAATCTAAATACTGTCTGCGTATACCGTGTGAAGGAATGTGTTATGAATTTGAGTCCAGTTACATCTTATCGAAAATATGCCACTTATAATATAAACATGCACTTAGCACTCACATTTGTTTTGGCAAAGCCTTTTCTACTACGGGACCCAAGCATACGTAGGAAAGGGTACACGACCACGATGACATTTGAGGATACTGCCGTGGTGGTGCTCAGCGTTAGTGTAAACTTATTGGTGATCAGAATAATCTGAGTGCCAGTGAGACCGTGAGACGGATAAAAAGAAATTAGTTGGCTTTTCTCCTTTGTCCAGAGCTGAATCTATTTAAACCGCAGTTGTTGCTGCTGAATAAAAGCATAAATATTGTCGTGTGAGAAAAGAATAGATTTCGTAGAAGTTAATAGTCTTCCTTGGCACACTGTGCGCGTGCATAGCTCTCTCTCTCTCACTCTCGCTATTGATGAAATTGGCTGAAAATAAGGACTCGCAGAATGCAAGGAGTACTTATTTATAACATTCCAAACCTGTACTGGAGTGTGGACGATATTCGTCACACTTTGAGGAGAAAGTGTGGAGGGGCAAGAGATAATAATGGTAATTACTTAATTGGACATATTGTAGACGATTCTCATATTTCATTGTTGCTGTATCATACCAAAAAAATCTAATATTTTCAACTTATGATATTTAACTTTCTCTTCATAGGAAATTGCTCCGCCTCTCCTGATGATAACACAGGCTCGAAAGTGCAGAGGATTTTGCAAAGGGTGAGAAATTGAGAAAAAATTTAGGAATCAGAGTTGACGAAAGGAACTCGTGTGTCACAGATCATCTTCACAAAGCAACATACATAAAGATTTTTAAATATATTCCAGGTCAGGAAGACTGATTTTCGTCGGATGACGAAGACCATGCATGAAGGAGTACGCTCAACTTTTGCAACTCTGTCGCAAATTTACCAGGGATTTTGTCATCGTGATGACGAGAAGGAAAACTGTGAAGGCGCTTGCGACGCTGATTTTCCAGCAGATGACAAAGAAAACCAGAAATCATCCCCTGAAAAATTCAGGAAGACCATGAAAATCAAGCATTCGAGTTAAATATTTATTGAATTCTGTCCGTATGGTGGAGGTATTTTTATTGAATTATCAGATATCCAAATTTTGAAATCATATAAGGTTACTGAACATTTTCTAACTGGAAGACATAGTGTAAAAAAATTACACGATTCGTATAAACTTACAAATGATGATTTTCTTGGCGATTCTCATGCATACCTATTATATCCTATCCTATTCTATCCTAACAATAATACATTAAGTTACATGATTGTGGACGAATGAGAATTACCTCTTGAGAATTCATATTTTCACATTAAAATGTGTATGGCTTGTTAAAATCAGACAAAGTTTATCTGACTATTCCTTCAACACAAATAATATTTGTCCTGTTACACATACATTAAGGAAAAATACTTGCAAAGGATGATATGTATAATAGGACCATACAAATACATAGGATAAATAATAAATATTAGTATCAAACAATTCCAACCGTTATATACTGAAAAATATCTTTGCGAATTAAACTAAATTTGTGAAATACATTTTTTGCATATCATTAAACTGATTTTTTTTCTGATTACATTTGGAATTGAAAATTGCTCAAAATTAATTTATTGAAACTGCATGCGCTCCCTCATTCTAATTTCACTTCTTCGAGAAGAGTCAAGACTTTTTCGGACAAAGCTTCCAAATCCCAGGCGGAACTCGCTAGGTCCGGTGCATAATTATTCCAGTAGTCCCAATACCTTGATACAGAGCTTCTCCCATTGTGATAAAATCCGGCCACCCCCGCTTGTCGAAAGTATGTTGTGCGGAACAGGACCCAAACCATAATGAGGGCCATGCCAAATAAAATTGCTAGTGACTTTTTGGTAAACTTCTTTTTTATCGTAGACTTTGTTGGGGCAGGGGCTCCATAACTTTGTGAATGGGGTGGTGGTGGTGGTGCCGCACCGTAATTTTGCATGGGAGGAGCTGCATAACTTTGCATGGGAGGAGCTGCGTAATTTTGCATGGGGGGAGCTGCATAATTTTGCATTGGGGGAGCTGCATAATTTTCCATGGGAGGAGCTGCATAGTTTTGCATGGGGGGAGCTGCATAATTTTCCATTGGGGGAGCTGCATAATTTTGCATAGGAGGAGCAGGAGCTGCATAGTTTTCCATCGGAGGAACTTCATAGCTTTCCATCGGAGGAGCTGGATTGTTATCAATTGTCGGAGGGGGTGCTGTTTTCATAAGCTCGGGAAGCGAATTATCAACATGCATTGATAAATCTGAATCCGAATAATGCGTAATTGACACTGAGTCCCCTGGCGATGACGATGCACCATCTTGCGCGTAAACACTATCAGGAAACTTGAGATTTGCTAAATCCATCCCCCCGTCCCGTCTATTAGGACTGGGTTGATACGTACTAACATAACTCACCCTCTTATCACCTTGATTTCGAAAGTTTTGATCCGTGCGTTTCTGAGCAAGAATGCACTGATTGAAGTATAAAAATATTACAAACGTGCATGTTATCAAACCACAATTCAGTCCCTTCGTCATTTTTTTTAAAACCTCCTTATCACAGAACAATTATTATTTTTATTCAAAATATTGCACCATTCACTACACAACGGATTCCTGTACAAGTCTGAATGAGAAGAAAACGTAATTTTACTTTCGATAAATCAACTAAACCGAAACCAGACGTCAACATTTGCAGATTCGACATGCTACTACTGCATGGTGATGGATGGATGAGAATGAGAGCTAAAAATGACATCGTAATTTTTTATGAGAAACATCGGAATATTAAATCAAAGCATTTTTAGGGTGGTGTTACAATAAGGAAAATAAAACTAACGGTTATATTCTACAGTTTGAATATATCAAAATTAGTGAAAAAGAGTTTTCCTTTTGACGGGCTCTTTCTACTTTGCTGTCTCAGGAAGAGACCTACTTAATCAGGTAATGTTTAATTATATCTCAACGTAGCTTTTACCACACAATAATGAATTCATTTAGTGCAACAATAACAACAACTTTTAGAAAAGCTCACTCAAATGAAGTACATTTTCAGTACATAAGCTTTACAATAATGTGCAGGCTCGTAGAACTCGTGTCCACATCATTTCAGTGTCAAGAATTTCATTTACATTTTGAAGACCATATTTACATACGTGTACAGCAAGACGCGATGATATATATTTTAAATGTGCATACGTTATATGTAGCTAGCCAAACTCTATCATGTACCGTCTCACCCCGCATTTAGCTGTATAACTCTTGATAAGCCCACCCCTTCTCGTCGAAACTTTTTCTAATGGCCCACCGTCGAAGTTCGTCGTATAGGAATAGTAGAATGGCAAATGGGATGGAGGGAAGCCACTCTAATGGGCTGCACAAATAAAGCATGACATGAGTTTTACATTTTTGCCACAGTTTAAATTAAACAATTTTAATTTCTTTTTGAGTTCTTACTTAAGATATGCAAACTTGAGCCCATGACTAAGAACGGGGGTGTAGATGAAGAAGCAGGCGAGCATGATTTCGAACACTACTCCCAAGTTCATATTCATGTTGCTGAGAAAATAGAGAATCAAGGAAAATATAGAACAATGGTTATGTTCTTTAAAAAGCGTATTGTTGGAAGTCTCACTCTAATCCTTTTTGGAAAATGCTCATCCGTCTGGTTTTGCAGCAGACAACATTCGCCACTTGCATCAGAACTATCGCAACGAACGATGCAGTTTGCGCCGTTATTTTTAAATCTTGTCGAGCCGCATAACTCTAAAATATTCATCCATTGTTAGGATTACGGTACGAAATTTTGTGATATTTATGCACTGTGCAAATACTGACCCATTCTTGACCATATGAATCTGGCAAATCATTGATCGCTACAGAGTCCCATTTCTGCTCAATGCCCACCATTTCCAGGGGAAGCCATCCGTTTGTTGCAAATATGTAAAAGTATGAAAACATTCCTGCAACGAATTCCATGACTGAGGTTTGACCATAAGTGTAGGATAGGAGTCTAGTAATTAGAATTATGTGCAATTGACAAATGCAAATAACTAGTATCATGTGACAATTAATATGGAACGTAGTGTTGTTTACTGTGGAGTGACCAAAGTTTGAGTTTTTGGATCTCTGGGTTTCAACTTCATAATATCAGCTTCGGCTGTTTCATGTGCGATGGATATAGCTGGCATCACCTAGATTTCATTATCACATTACATATTTTATAGGATTGTATAATGCTGTATAAATAGTAGCAATGGTGCCGTACATCCGTTCCTAACATGATGAGTAACATAGCAATTGTCCCAAGTGGGAGTGGAACTCGCAAAATGATAAACACCCACACGCAGTATAATTCCGCACAATTGTCGCCCAGCGTGTATTGGATAAGCTTTTTTAAATTGTCGAAGATAAGTCGTCCCTCCTCTACCCCAGTAACAATCGTGGCGAAATTGTCATCCATCAGAATTAAATCTGAGGTCTCTTTGCTGACCTCGGTCCCACAGATGCCCATTGCTACACCAATATCTGCCTTCTTCAATGCAGGAGAGTCATTCACACCTGGAGAATAAAATAAATTAGAAAAACTACTTATAACAATAGATTTAAAGTGAAAAAAAGTATTTATTCTCAAAACCACACCATCTCCAGTCGCTGCAACAATGTATCCAAGATCTTGAAATGCTGATACTATCGTAAATTTCTGTTCTGGCGAAGTTCTTGCAAACACAATTTCCTCATGAGATCTCAGCACTTCTTTTAATTCTTCTGGTGTCATTGATTTCAAAGATGTGCCACTTATAATGGCAACATTCACTTCAGATGGGTCCACATCTTCGACTGGAATGTTTTTTAGCGCAGCCAAACTTTCTCGTGTATGATTTCCTAAATTACATGGAAAATATGCAAGTCTTCATCGACGTTGATAGACAATCAATGATTTTCTATCAGTGTTGGTTACGATACGTACCTTCTGAAATTATGTTTACTGAACGTGCCACTGCTGCTGCCGTCAGGGGGTGGTCTCCTATGATTTATTTTTCCTTTGTACATACATAAACCGTGGAAAAATACGTAGGACGAGGAATTACCTGTGACCATTACGACTTTTATCTTTGCAGATCTACATCTTCGAACAGCATCAGGAACATTGTATTTTGGAGGATCTACTAAGGAAATTAGTCCAACAAAACGGAACCCCAATGACAAGAATCCTTCAGGATGCTCGGTGTCAATATTTGGGTTATCTGGGGGAAAATCTTCGGTGGGGAGGAGTCGGTCACAAAATCCTAAAGTTTATTTCAATATTAGTACTAATTAAGAATGAATATGAAAAATTCTTTTGGAATTTGTGTACCTAACACACGTTCTCCGTAATTTCCCAATTGAGCATATACCTCTTCAAATTTGGCCTTCCATGCATCATCCAGTTCAACCTCTTCATGATTCACTTGGATTGTGGTGCATAGACTAATTATTTTCTCTGGAGCACCCTAATAATTAAAAAAACATTAAAATATTCTTGTCATAATTTGAAATCTTAATTTATATTTATATCAATGCATAAACCTTCATGACAAGAAGCAGTCTTGGATCTTGAGCATTTTTCATGTCATGAACAGAAACTTGAAACTTATTTGTCGAGTTGAACGGTATTTCCGATACTTTAGGATACTGTGCTCTGTACTCGAGAACATCACCGTATTGAGATTCCATGAATTTTAGAATAGCTGCTTCTGAAGCGTCACCCTCAACAGCTCTTCATGAAAATATTTTCATAGGTATGTATGATTCACGAAAATAAGTCTAGCACTTGCAGTTCCATATGAATACTCACCTGTCATGAGTAGGCACAAATTCTTGATTTGGTCTGAAAGTTGCTCTTGAACAGAGGGCAGCGACATTCGACAATGCTGCAAATCCTGGATTTTCATTATCAAATAGAGCCCCGATTCGTCTTTCGCTCGTTTCAGAAACGTGTACTTCGTTATTGAACCATAAATGACTAACGGTCATCTATGTTTGAACGAATCAAATAATAAAATTGCCATAATCAATATCCTACAGAAAAATATAGCAAATACCTTGTTTTGCGTGAGTGTACCAGTCTTGTCACTGCAAATGACTGAGGTAGATCCTAACGCTTCCACGGCTTGCAGATGTTTCACCAAACAATTCTTCCCAGCCATTCTTTTCGCCGTAAGGGATAATATCATGGTAAAAGTAACGGAAAGTCCTTCCGGAATATTCGCGACCATGATTCCGATAATGAAAAAGATGGCGTCCAACCAACGATACCCCATGAGAATTGCAATACAGAAGAAAACCACTCCAATCACAAAAGATCGTATTGTCATAATTAATATGAACCTGTCCATCTCTATTCCTATCGGACTTTGTCCTATCGAAACAAATGGTCAAAAATTGATAAATGAATAGATTTAATGGGTAGTGAAAGTTATTGACCCTCGTTAACTCACCACTGTCAACACTCGAACAAAGTGTTGACAATCGGCCCATGAGTGTTTTGGACCCGGTACGAACCACTAAACCAACTGCAACACCTTCGATAGCGTTCGTGGAGAAAAATGCGAGATTCTTTGTTTCCATTGGATCAGAATTGGTACACTCTGGCGTTCTTTTTTGGGCTTCCGACTCTCCCGTGAGACTCGAGTTATCCACTTTGAAATTTTGAGCTTCTATTATGCGAACATCAGCAGGGATAAGATCTCCAGATTTTAGATCGACGATATCTCCAACTACCAAATCCTCTGCTGAAATTTCCTCCCTAATTCCCCCATTACGAAAAACGTGGGCTCTGCAAGGAACCATTCTCTTGAAGGATTCCATAATTTTGTTTGACTTGAATTCTTGATAGAAAGCGAACAGGCCAGAGACGTGGACAACTATTATCAAAGCTATTCCAAGATATAGCTAAATACCAAGATACATCAAATTGACTTAAAACATGATTCATAATTTCTGACGCATTTATGGCTGTTTACTTATGTATTTATCTTACATCATCATTACTTGGTGATCCATCATATGCTAATTGAATTCCATAAATTGCAAAGCTGAGGCCAGAACTGGCCAGTAAAAGAGCATTTAGTCCTCCGAGTAAACAAGTCATGAATTTCGCAAGGTTTGATTTCTTTGGGGGTGACACCAGGACATTTGACCCAAATCGGATTCGATTTTCCAATACCTGTTCTTCATTTAAGCCCTTCAGAGTGCAAATGCAAAACATTTTAATAAACTGAAATGAAACATGTTAGTAATGACTATTTGGAAACGAGTCTACATTTTTAAGATCGGTGCAATAGCGACTCGCAATCTGGTGCAAAGGTAAAATATGGTCAAACTCTTCATCCTTGTCCCATTCCTTGGCTTGCTCTTTGGCTGGTTCAACAATTTTAACTTTTGAAATGTCTTCATATTTCTAAAATGAAACAAAGAATTAGGTACTTTGATATTTCACGGTTTAGTTACAAATTTAGGATTACTTACTTGCTTATCCAAATCAAGTCCTAAAAATGGTGATGACGAGAGGTCCAGTGATCCGTACCGCTTCACTCGGGATGTTGGACTCCCACTGGCAGGCGATGTTTTATCCTGCAGTAAAAGATCTGACTTCTCATCATACTCGGTTATCTAAAAAAAATGCACTGTTATAGTCTGATTTTCATTAAACATGGAATATATGTATGACTAAATATACCCATTTTTCAGATTTTTCAGATCCATAAATTGGATATAAGCTTTTCCTCCGTGGATGTTTCGACATGCTTACGAGTCCAGGATGATTCTAAAATATTTCTCCTTTTGAGAACTCCTGTGAACAATTTCAGTTTTAACTCGTTCAGCAAATGTCTATATGCTTTGCAAAATTAGCAAATGGGAAAGACGTTCCTTATTTCACAGCGTGACCACAGGATCAAGTATTGTGAACCACTTGGCCATTCCTTCATCTTTATCCATGAATAAGCTATATATAACTGCGTAGTGATATGCAACTATAATGATTGCTGATTTAGACATATGCATATGTCGATGCCTGACGTAATGGGCGTGTATCACAAAACGTAATGACATTATCATTTTGCGTCTGCTAGGTAATAATCCGTTTTACTAATCCGCATTAAAACAAATGTCTCGTGAATCTCGTATTAACCGAACTTTGGAATATTATCCATCTGATGTTTGTCATGATATGAATACGTGTAAAGTTCAACGTGTCATAAAATATACAAAAATGAAATACTGTTTTGCTTGTCCATGATTATGCTTTGCGCCACTGTAACCGGATTTTATTACCTTTTATAATCTACACAAGAAAAAGAGTTGGAAATAACGTGAAATCATTGTATAAGATCATTGTTCGACGTATCGGGTGCAGATTGACCATCAGAGAATTTAGTCAATCTTCCAATGTTCTTGTACAATTTGAGTGAGGGTAAACTGTAAGCTAATTCATAATGGCCACAAAAGCAATCTGACAAATTTCTCTAAATTTTATTAGATATCGCAAAATGGAACAAGTGATGACATGATTTTAATAGCTCACTTTGTCGTGCGTGGGACCGACAATGTCCACAAATTGTCCATAATTTGTATGAATTTCAGTCATTCATGAACTTATGCAACTCGAGAACTCGTCAACTCTCAACCCGCGTAAGCGAGTTGCTTGAACCGAACGGCTGCTTCTCACACGTGGAAAATATTTAATAAATATTCGATTTTGGTTTTCAGATCATTTCTCAAAAGTATCACATTTGTTTTTGAAAAAAATTACCATGTCGTTCGGAAAGAGACCCGAGTTGACTGCACCTCCTGAATTTGTAAGTGAAAACTTGAAATTGACCACTAACTAAAGTTTAGTTACTAAACATTAGAAGAATATTTATAGTTTATCAATTTAATATCTACTGATGCCTAACCATTCATGTTTTAAATTATTTGTTACAGTTTTATAATGAGGATGAAGCGAAGAAATATTCACAAAAGTAAGTGGCATATTCCTGACTGAATTTTTAAATTTAGGATTTAAATTGTATTCTTATTTACTAATTGTCAATTTGTTCTTTGACATAATCTAGTTCCAGAATGATGGAGATTCAGGGTGAAATGTCTGAGAGGGCGATTGAACTTCTCGAATTGCCCGAAGACGAATCCTGCATGATTCTGGACCTCGGGTGTGGCTCAGGCCTGTCTGGAACTGCACTGGATGAGGCAGGTCATATGTGGGTCGGACTGGACATTTCGGAAGCCATGCTACGTATGTTATTAGAATTAACAACTCTTTACTCTTTTGATTTAACTATTAATAAATTCATGTCAATTTATTTTACTACTACATAATTCACAGACGTTGCTCGAGACCGTGAAGTTGAAGGTGACGTGATTCTTGGAGATATGGGCGAAGGACTACCGTTTCGAGCTGGTGCATTTGATGGTGCAATAAGTATCAGTGCATTGCAATGGCTGTGTAATGCTGATAAGACCTGCCACAAACCGGCAAAAAGGCTTTACACGTTCTTCACATCTTTATATGCAGCATTGGTTAGTTTGGAAATAAAACCAATTTTTAAATTGATTTGTTAGGGTTTCTATTTCCAATTTGTTTATATTGATATTTGTGCCCTTTAGAATACCGGATCTCGTGCTGTGTTCCAATTTTATCCGTCCGACCAAGGTCAAACCGATCTTATAATGGGACAAGCTAAAAAGGCTGGATTTAATGGAGGACTTGTCATTGATTTTCCTGAATCCTCCAAAGCTAAAAAGTACTACCTCGTCCTCATGGTGGGTGGGATGTGCAACCCCATTTTACCAAAATCTCTATCCACCACGAGCAACAACACGATTTCATATTCGGACAGAAATAGTGGACATGGAAGAGAGAGAAAAGATCACCGTCGGGATGTCAAAGGCTTGAAGGAATGGGTCCATGAAAAAAAGGAACGAAGACGGCGACAAGGCAAAGAAACCCGAGCAGATACAAAATACACTGGAAGAAAACGATCGGGAAGATTTTAAATAATGTTCACTTATTATTTGTACGCCTGTTGTTATCTAATTGTTTCTTTTATAGCTATTATTTATATAGTTTTAAACTATAACCATATAAATACTATGTTCGGTATATGGAATAAATATTGAAATAACTATCAAAAGTCCAACTAAACTTATGCTGACTTTAATTTTACTGACTCTATACATTGAGATTGACTACATGCAGTGTTTTAAAACTACAAAAAAGTAATTAAATTCCATTTTATAATGCTTTCCTTATTGAGCGATTCTCATTTGTTCATTTTGTTGGGAAGGAGTGCGGGACAGGCTAAAAGTGAAAAGTGTAGAAGTTGCAAGTGGCAGAATTTCTGCCGCAGAAAATAAAATTGTGAGTAAATGTAAATAATTGCTTTGCTAATTTCTGTTTTTGACATTCAATATGATAAATATTTTCTGTTTTGTCTTAGGCACTCGTAAAATTGCTGCTCTAAGGAAGCCAATCTATCTATCAACCCCATCGGTTCTGCTATTTTGTAGTTAGTCTTCTGAATCAGAAGTTCTGCCGATTCTGATTTTTGAATCTGCTTTGCACTTTGGTAAACAACAACACCTAAAATCATATAATAAGACATCGACAATGATGATATTATGCATTAATTATTTCAAAAGGTTATGATTTATGATGATATTAACTATGGTTGTAGTCTAGACCGGATTTTATGGTTTACAAAAATGGATCATCATCGTGACCGTAAGAGGCACAGCAGTACACACTCCTCCACAACCGGGTACATTTGCAAACCTAAGGTTTTGAAAAATAAAAGTCATAAGACGAAGAAGTCAAAATCTTCTCGATCAAGAGATGTGCGTCGCAGTAGGAATCAGAAACGAGCCAAGGATAACAAAACGAGGAAGCGACATCGTCGCAGACACTCGTCGTCATCATCTTCATCAAGTTCCTCCAGTAGTTCATCATCATCCAGTAGTTCCAGCAGCACTTCAAGTAGTTCCTCGTCATCTACATCATCTTCCAACGAGAAAGATGTCTTACGGTTAAAATCTAAACTAAAGAAAATTAAAGAAAGATCAAGATTAAAGAAGAGATTAAGTACAAGTTCCGCAGATTTGAGCAGTAATCCTGCAAAGAAAGCCAAAAGTCAACCCGTGCAAATACCTACCAATAATACAACAAGCGTTAATAATAATAGTGTTGGAAAGTCGCCAACATTTCCTTCGACTACTAAAAGTACAAACGACAATGTTGGTCCTCAGCCCTCTTCTCTAAAGAACAAAGCAATGGCTCCAATGACCAAGGAAGAGTGGGAAAAGCGACAGAGCGTCATTCGACGTGAAGTTTCACCCACGACTGGAAGAATAAGGTCCATATACATTAAATACATCTTTTGGACTTGAGTCTTAGAAAATTAATGCTAAATATATTCTGTTTTTCCATTCTCTAGACTGATTCGTGGTGAAGGAGAGGTTATCGAGGAGATTGTGAGCAAGGATCGTCATAAGCAAATTAACAAGGCTGCAACAAAAGGAGATGGAGACAGCTTTCAGAAACATCTTGCCAGCAAATTTAGGAAGTCGTAAAGTATCCGAGTAATGCACAATTCAAGATCTTACCAAATTCATGTTAACAGAAAATAATTAATACATATATATGGTAAGTTGTTAGGTTAATCTTTTCCTGATAAAATTATGCCAAGATTAATACATATTTGCATACGGTACTCATACGAGATTTACATAAGTGAAAGTCGAGGACAATTAATAATTTCTTATGTAATTGTCTACACATAAAAAGAACGCTTGTAGTAACAGCTCAAAATGTTTTACGTGTTTACATTTTATTTTAATCCATTTGTCATATTCTTTGTGAATCTGTTACATTATCTGTTGTTATTAAAAGTAAAAAATTAAAATTGAGTTACGATTACAAGAGTACAAAGTTTTAAAACGAGAAAAAGTCTTCATTTTAAAAAAGCATCCACTATAAATTATAGATTAGCTTAGACTTATTTCTCCTCTGAATTCATTTCGTAGCTTTCCCTGGTATTTACTGTCTCGGATCGATGACACATTTTCATAAAGATAGCTTTCAATCCTCCCATGAACGCTTTATCTTTTGGTGACGGCTTTATGAAAATGCAAGCCACCAGCCCCACCACTACAACTGCCAATATCCACCAAACGTTCACATTATATGGATAAGGATCCCAGTCATACTCATCTTTATAGGCATCAAACAATGCCGAAAAAATCAGTCCCCCACAAATACCAGCCAAAGACCACGAAGTAAAGATGACCCCTTGACACGTCCCAACATTCTTCGGGCCGAAGGTGTCTGACAAAAAGGCTGCCAGAATTCCAAATCCTGTTCCGTAGCATCCTGTTAAAATCCACACTGCAGCCAGGAACGCCCAATACGTCTGCGTAGTTGTAATAAGTGTAAAAAGGCTCAAGATTACCAGTTGCACCGACAATAAAACGATGAAACAGTTTTTTCTTCCCACCCAATCCGATAACGTCGAAAAGATTAAACGACCCACGAGATCAAACATTCCATTGATTGAGACAATTATGGTTCCTTCATATTCACTCTTTCTGAACACGTCTCGGGTTATGTTAGCTAGTCGAGAAATGAGAACCAAGCCAAAAATCGAGTTAGCAAAGAACATGACATAGATAAGCTTGAAGTTTCGGCTGGTCAAAGCATCCACGGCGCTGAGGTTTTCATTTTTGCTGCATTTGATTTCATTAGTACGGGTTCTTGTATCATCATCATCAGAAGAATGCTTGCCGGGATCGATTACAACTTGTTTTTCCACTACCATCATGAAATTTGGGGGAGGAGTCCTCAACACGAAACCAGCAACGCTCATGGGAACCAACATGGCGGAAGGCAATATCACAAATGCCACAGTTAGTCCAACCTCGCTGGTCAAGGGAAGCAGTAGCTGTGCAGCCACCATTGCACCCGCACCACACCCACTCACCGCCAACCCTGACGCCATTCCTCTTCGGTCTGGAAACCATTTTAGGAGCACGGATACCGCCGTGATGTAGCACACGGCAGATCCAAACGAGCCCACAACGCCATACGCCAAGTAGAGAAGCCACATTTGTCGCAAGTGGAAGGCAAGTGCGGAAAAGTAGTGGCCAGCCAAGTAGAAAGTTGATCCTAAGAGGATGGAGGACTTGGGTCCCTTCCTCTCAACCCAGGGTCCCATCACGGCAGCAGAAATTCCAAAACTTGCAATTGCGATGGAGAACGTGATGACAGACTTATCCGCACCTGGAGAACCATACATCCAAATGTCGATGGGTCGATTTAGCACGCTCCAAGCGTAAAAAAATCCGCAGCAGAATTGAATCACCATTGCGGCAGGGATGACAAACAACCGGTTGAAGGGTACGCCTGGGAAAAGGTGTGACTCGGCGGTGATCTGGTCATCAGTTTTGGCGAAGGTTGTCTTCCTGAAATAATTTTAATACCCCGATTAATTAGTATTGGTGATTAGTGAGATAAATTTATAGGAAAACTTGGAGTATCTTGGAGTGTTATCTTAGTAATAAGTAATTAAGTACCGATAATGATTCTCAATCATTCGAAGAAGAATGTTCCCGGAAGTTCCTTGTTTTGGAACATTAGGTTCCGTACCTTGTTGACCAGATTCTCTTCCCCTTTCCATATTTAGTATTTGGGGTTGTGGGCCGTGAATAGTAAATCGTGACCTTATTGGACTTTTGTGGATGGAGACTGTGGACGATACAGGAAATGGAATCAGTCACTATTATTACAAGGTAGATCTTGAAGTGACTCGATAGTACAAATTTTGACTGACCGACGAATCAGGACATGAATAATATGCTAATTTGTTGAGATTTGCAGAATAAGTTTAAAGAAAATAACTCATCTTACTACATGAATTTACATATATCATCGCTGAAAATGCTGTTATACAATGTATCATGTATGTAGAACATATTATGCTTATGAAGTACCATGTCTCCCCGAAAAGAATCCGACAACTTTTGTATAACATAACAACGATGATATGCTGGGTCATTAAAGTGTACATATTAATACATTGACATCCTGAATCAGGATTCCTGAACGATCCTGATGCATCTAACCTATGCCACTTGCTAGAATTTTTGTAGTTCTCATAAAATAAAATCGAGCACAAAATTTCTCGGCATATTGAATTTGTTTGTCATTCATGTTTTCTAGTCTCATTCAAATCGCCATTCATATCGTCAAATACATGATGCAATTTTATTATATGCCGCATAGTTAAAAAGTATTGTCATATGTTATCATAAATTACCAATCTCGATAAGTATTTAGTTAACTCTTGCTAGCTGGGGTATAATTTATCCTGCGGGTTTTAGCTTTTCTTTCTCTAATAAATAATAATACTAATATCAGTTGAATTGTGAATCATATAATTAAGGTCTCTCCTCAGTAGACACAGTTTAACGTTGTTTTAAATTTCCTTAAGACGCTCTAATGGATTTCAGACAAGTGCAGTTCAAATAGCAGAATAAAACATCCTCAATAAATAAATGCATATTATGTCTAGTTTGGCACTATTGGTTGGTACATACATACATGATGAGTGAGAATTTGGGAGGAGACAGGTTCCCAGCAGCCGGACAATGGCATATTTTATTTAATAGTGAAATATGAGCTGCGGACAATTAAATAATCCTTCTCCGTCGGTTTGAATGAGGCGTGAGACAAGGCTTTTTCCACTTTTTATTTACAAGTTATTAATGCCAACAGTTATTTACGTGGAAAAGTTTATTATATAAACAAATTTCATGTTTTTAATTCCGCATTCCATATTACAAATGCCGTATTGGACGAATCAATATCGTGGGAAAGTATTTTTATGATTTTGCAATGCATAATTTATGAAGTAGCAATGGGGCTAATTAATTTTGAAGTACGAATTATTACAAAGTCTCAATTTTGTCACTATTTGCAGAACAAGTTGACATATTTATACTATTTATATCAAAAAATGAGACTCTAGACTCGCTCTCATCCTGGCTTTCATCACTTAATCTTGTTTAAATTATATTAATGATTAATTTTTTTGGTCTAGTAAAGTCTGTGCTGCTGTTGCTGCTCACACCAAATTTTCTTATCACCCATTCGTCATTCGTGAGAAAACCTATAAATCAAAATGTGTGATTGTTCAATCGTCATTAAGTTTGTATCATTCAATCCAAAGTTCCACTGCCTAGACGAAGGAAAATATGATTATTATCGGTCTCGGGAAGTATCATATTTGTTTGCCCAGACATTTCAAATTTATTACGGAATTGACATTATACGTACAGTCTCGACCATGTAAAATGAGGACCAAAGTTCAACGGCACAAACTTACTGTTGAAACCAGAACTGATTTCTAACACAAACTTTTCCATGCCCATTACCGATTCACGTGTAAAAAAGCAAAGAATGAACTAGATTGATAATTGATTCTTGAGTAAATATTTTTTTACTGTTCTTCGTACTCCGCCACCACCATCGTCATAACATGCGAAAAACAATGCCACCTGAACAATAACAGGAATTTGAAAATTCAACAAGACAACGGCTAAATAGGCGTCGTACCTTATGCAAGCTAAATACAAAAAATTTACATAAAACCTGAGTGGTGGAGTCTTGAGAAAATATTATTTACCACATTGTACGCTAAATATGCTTCTATTTCATCATCCATGTCGTCAGATCTCACGGATGTGAGATTTTAAAATTTAATATGCATCGACTGGATTTTCTTCGCAAATGTAATGGAGAAATTGTTGCAAATATTATCGCAAATATGTACATCTGAGGTTGTCAGACAGATGCGCAGGTAGATATCCATCTAGGTTGCATAATGAATCGAGCATTATTTTATTGTCCATATTTATAAGGCTACTACCCTTGCTTGACCTCACTGACATTTACTCACTTCCAGCCTGGCGAAAATCTCATACAGGTATTTATTCAATGATTGGGTAATAATTAATTTAAAGAGGGATTGGTGCTCAACATGGCGAGAATGAAACTCTGACCTATCCAGCAAAGCCAACCTCCCGTCTCATAAGGGTGGTCAGGATAAGAGGGCTACGTGGCTCTGGGTATGGGGAGATATATGTGTGTATGTTGCTGCATAAAGCAAAATTGCAAACTGCATAAGAGCGGACTTCTCTAGACAAGTAAGGATCCAGCATCAGCTCTTTCTTATTAATCAGCATCAGCATCGTTACATATTCGCCATCATACGAGTCCCTATTCTTACTTGTACTTTTCTACTCGTCCACTAACGTAGCCAGCCAAACTTGTCGTAATTGTCATTACAATTCCACCATCTTCCAGGATAAGACGATCGACCAAGCCTCCAATTCAATCATTTTCATCGCTCGAGAAGAGACCGCAAGCAGCTATTGACTGACTCACACATCTCAAATCTCAACTTCTTCATCAATTCGTCAAGTGTCAAGTTCACTCGTCAAGTGTCAAGATTGTCTCGCTCTTTCTCTCATCCACAACTTTGTTGGTACGCACCATGGCGTTTAATATGTCACGTAGATAAAGTTAAACTAGAGCCTCACTCAACTTTTTAACATTTTTTTGTCTGTTTCCTAGCTGAAAAATACGTCACAATGAGCACTTTTCTCAAGAATAATTACATCGGCTCCATCCTTCTGGACTTTCCAGTCCAACCAAGGTTCTGCGATGAAGCTTCCGCGGACGACTTGTCGGAGACTATTGCAAAGATTTTGGAAACTAAATTCGGTGAGCTGTAATTTTTGCATGTATTTATTAGTTAAGAAAGCCGTGAGACGGTGAGATTCGTCTGCTGGGGCAAGTGAGACATTCTTTAGTTGACGGGGATAAGTGAGAATTTGCATTCTTAGACACTTTTTTTTTTACATAAAAACATAAGATTTAGAAGAAAGTTGAAAGTCATTTTCTCAAATTTCGAATATCTTCTCTCTTCAGGACCTTTTTTGAAACTTTTCTCCGGCTCGGTCCAACCAGCCAAGCCAACTCTGGGTTGGATTACTCTACTTTCCGGTGAGAAGGGTGTAACTGCGGTCATCCGAACCTTTCCGACCCGTTCCGTCGTCACCGTGACGGTCGACTATGACCTCAAAATCTACGAAGGTACTCCACCCGTGACCTTCAATGACATTTCCGACCTGGAAGCCGAATTGGCCAAAGCTTTCCAAAGCTTCAAGAAAACTTCTCCCATTCCACAAATCAAGCGAGCTCTCGATTTTGACACCTACTTTACCACTTCGGACTCTCGCCTGCTTGAGTATGACGTCCAGGAGATGGTCTTTGATGCTCGGAGTGAATTCCAGCACGTCCAAATTGCTCGATCTATCAATTACGGAAATGTCCTTATTCTGGACGGACTGGTCAATCTGGCCGAGGCTGACCTCGCCTACACTGAGGCCATCATGAAACGGGGTGAGGTGGACTACACTGGGAAAGACGTGCTCATTCTGGGTGGCGGAGACGGGGCTTTGCTGTACGAGCTACGAAAAGAGAACGCCAAGTCGATCACAATGATCGAGATTGACGAAATGGTCATGAGCGCGTGCAAGGTACACTTGCGACTCGCTTGTGGAGACACGCTGGACAATTACAAGGTGAGCAATTAATTCCTACTAAATAGGTTTTTTTAAAAATATGTATGTACTCGTGTTATGAATATCTCACTTCTGCTAATATTAACACCGTTTCGAAAAAATCTTTAATTTTATGAACAGCACGAGAACTACGAGATCATCGTGGGAGACTGTATCCCATTCATGGTCAAGTGTAAAGAGGAGGGCAAACTGTTTGACCACGTTTTTGGGGACTTGACCGACATTCCGATTTCGACCAATCCAATTGGAGAAATTTGGAACTTTTTTAGGACGACTTTGCAACTCTCGTTCTCGATCTTGAAGGAGGGTGGGACTTACTTCACCCATGCCAATGGGGTCACTGCTGAGGAGAACTTGAAAATGTTTGAGAGCACGATTAAGGACACCTTAATGGGGTTTCCGGTGGAGTTGACGCAATCGACTGCTTTTGTCCCCTCGTTCAAGGAAAAGTGGGTCTTTTACGAGGTGAAGAGAGCAATTGCTGGAAACAATGGTCCCCAAGAATGATGAAAATTTTGATTTTGATGATTATGTCCATGAAATGAAAAATCTACATGCTTGACTAACTGTATTAATCACTTGCACTTTACCACTTTCTTACATCTATTTTTTAACCTAAACTCAAAGCAATAGATTTTTGAATAATGAGCTTTGCTTTAATACCAAATCTAAGACATGTGAACTTATTGACTGAAACGTATTCTTTAACAGTAATTTTTCAACGCTTTGTTGCGACTATTAATGATTTTATACCTTGTGACATTTGTACCATTTACACTCGTACATATTTATTATCCAACTTTAGCTTCATATTAAAACCTAACCTACGATTGCTCTTGCTGAATCTTTTTCATTTTTCTCTGTCTCAAATAAAATATCACCCCCATCAATAATAATTGAAATCTTATTTATGTAGTTGCTTCAAAAAATTGAAAAAAATTCATAATGTTATCAATTGATGCCAATTCGTAATAAATAAAGCTTTTAGCCCTTTATCCAAAAATAAAGTAAGAGTAATGCATTAGTTCATTAATATCTGCGTTTATTAAACGATTTCATTTAATTGAATCTGACTTATATGAGAAGACAGGTTATAATTAATAATGGTAGCCGCGCTTTATCGTGAGTACAAATACTTTCATACGAAAAAATATTGAAATTTTTCTTAATTAAAATAAATTAAAAAGAAAAATAAAACGAACGACAAATGAGGCCCTTCTTATGGCAGATACATCAGAGTAAAAATAAGATAAGAAGAGATATAACATCATTTACTTAATTGCTATGTAATATTCAGTTCAAAAATCAGTTTGAGAAGATTCAATATCGGCAATCGATTTAATTATTTATCACTTGGCTGAATGCACACACTCACGTCATCCATCTGAAATCCTTATAGAATAATTATGTAGTATTAAAAGCTGAATGTAAATATATCTGTATATAGAATTAAATATCAAAGAAAGGTAATTTCTAGGACGTATAACTGTCCATAAGTTTTTTTAAATATGGAGATGGGTAACTCTGAATGAATAGTACGGAGGGATGCATTTGCATTTCCACCATGCTTAAGCATGTTATGGTAGCATATATATTGGTGCATCTTAGTTTTTTGCATTATAACAGCTTGATTTTGATGATTAAAGTCTAATGTTCGATATTGGTAATGACATTCTAATCCAGGTAAATAAATGACCAAAATAATAGAAAAGTAAGAATGATTTTGAAGATTAAAGATCCATGTATGATGGTTGACGATTTGCATATAATTGGTTGATTGGTTTGGTTGGTTGGTTGATTTGGGTTGATTTTAACAGAAGATGATGGAGTGGAAATTTTTAGAAAAATTGAATGTACTGAGCTGTTGTTCCTATAAAAATTCAATAAATAAATTTGTCACTGCTTGTCCTTATAAATAATTAGATGCATTTTGTTCCATAAAATAAATGAATGGATAAATGAAGTAAGCTCACCATCACGGAATGAAGGGTCGTCAACAACCTTGGCGCGGCACATGGGACAAGTCATTCCGCGATCAAACCAAGTAGAAACACATTCCTCACAAAAGACATGTGAGCATGAGAGTCGTGTGGGAGAGGTGAAACTGTCATGACATATGGGGCAAATGACAGAGTCCATACTGTCCAATTCCTTGGCCGTCACGCTGGTACCGTAGTGCTAAGAATACACAAGAACCAGTCATGAAAACAAGTTTAGAATAATTTCCACCTTGAAATATTCTAGTGGACATTGATGTACACTTACCACATTTTGAAACAACTTTCGGAATGCCGTATTCCAATCCTTTACCCGTTGAACACTGTCAACCAATTTGAACAACGCATACAATCCCCCAAGAATCAATCCAAACATTTTCATGCTCCCTTCGTACGAGTTGACCAAATAGAGGAGCCAATGGTGGGCTAAAATTAAAAACTTTTGATATACAAAGTGATGTGAACGCAGAGTTTGTAAAAAGGTAAAAAATGAATGTGGTATAGTACAGCCTGTTGGTCCACAAGATAGTACTCTCTTACCTGGTAATGCGCTTCGGTACAATTGTGACGTTTGTTCAATAAAGAGATAGTAGATGCCCTGCAAAACATATATACAAAAATATTTTCATTAAAAAATAAGCCTACATAATTTGTAGTATGCATTAATTTATTTTGTATTAACCCTCTTTTGAAACGGAATCAGAGCAGTGGGCATTGCAACTATGAATGACTTGGCCACGATAGCACCTAGAGAAAAATATAATTTTGAAGATTTCCTGATGTGACTGACATATATGCATGCGGCATGCTGTATGTACATATGTATACACATCTATCGTGAGTAGCGTAGGTATAGAGAAAATTATTAGTAATCATACTCACCAAACTTTGCAATGTAATCCGTGACTCCTACTACCCACATCAACATCCAGAAACTAGTCAGGTCCACTTTTGTACTCATAAATCCAAGTCTGCAATAAGAAACAAATTATAGAAACAATGCCACAATTATTTCAAATAATATAATGGGAAATTAAATATGTACTTACGCGTAGTAGAGTTCTTCATCACTAAAGACATAGTAGATGAAGGCTGCACATCCAATCAGATTGACTACAATCATAATCAGGAACAAGAGATTTCTCTTGCGCTGCTTTGAAATTTCTTTTTTCAACAGTGAATTGGCGTGGCTGAAGGTGACGATCAGAGCAAAGAAGCAAACGATCCCACTTCCATGGTCTACCAAACTCTGCACAAAAAATACAGATACCTAATAAAGCATAAAATCAAAAGCATTTCTTAGGGAAAATAATAAATGCATGTACAAAATTATTCGCCTTAAATCACAAAATAGATACTCCATAAACAATTTAAAAAGCAAGGGGTTACACACATTTATACTTACATGCACATATGTACAAGTACAACAAAAAGAGGGATGGGAAGAGTTGTTTTGGTCATTTTTTCATCTTTTTTTACTCGCATACCTTAAGCAACATTAGAATCAAGAACGGGCGCAGTGTTGTGTAGTGGTTAATTTCTTCAATGAAAGCTCGTGTCTCCGGACTATCTCTGAGAATATCTCCTGGAGCAGTCGGTGTGCCTTCTGCAGAACCTCCTCCTGTTCCTCCTCCACGGGTGGGCGTTGTTGATCCTGATGGAGAAACACGTCGACCACCTGACTGACCATCAGCGCTTGCACGTCGAGACTCATCATCATCAGGTACGTTGTTGTGCCCTCCAGCACCACTCTGATTGTTATCCCCCCAAGAAGTCGATGAGTTAGCAGCACCCACACCTCCATTGCTTTCAATGTCCAGTGTCAAACCTTCTCGATCACGACTTGAGGAGGTATTTCCCACCATAGCTGTAGACGTGGCTTGGTTGTAGCTCACCACTGTGGAAACAAAGTTTAATATGATTCTTTGAAATGTACTTAGGATTTAGAAAAAGAGTATCTGATAACAGCAAGGTGTCTTTATACCTGGTGGCTCTGGAATTTCATCAGATCTCCGTCTGAAATTTGATTGAAGCAACCCTCTGGCAAGTCGAGATGACAAACTGAGAGCTGGATTTGACATTGGAGCTGGCAACGGCGGCTGTTGCATCGTTTCTCCTCCGCCCGGAATTGAAATCTGAGTATCACTCGGTTGTCGCTGTACTTGCGATTGCCTCGCGCGATCATTTATGTTAAAATTATCTCCTCCGGTGTTGGCTGCACTGCTACTGGAACCCAAAATTGGAATGCTTGCTCCCATGCTGTTTCTTGCCCATTCTTGAAACATTGTCAGAGCTTGAATGTGTCGAGGTCCAGCCCCAGAGTCGAAATCCAGAAATGGGAATCGCCCGCGCTCTCTTTCCCCACCAGCCCCACCGTCGCTACGAGTACTGCTGGTACTGTTTTGACGCTCAACGGTGGATGCTTGTTGTTGCGTTGCAGCACGGGACGTTGTTGAAACGGTTGGAGCTTGCTGATTGCTGCTTGAGCTTGGTCCTGCTACCTGATCGTCCCCGCTAATGGCAACAGAACTACTGTTTTTCCTGCCTGTGGTTTCTACTACTCTCTCACTACTCGTCGATGGAATGCTACCCGCTCCTTGACTAACGTCACCGTCACCAGTTCTGCTGATTCCTGCAGAATCCGTCATAACTTTCAGAAACTCGCTCCAATATTTCTACCCACACGTCTGGAAATATATTAGACAAAACTAATTAGCACGTTATTAAATCACTTATAACACGGACAAATTAATACAACCATAGGTGTGACGGTGTAAGTATGGAAAAGATTCTAATTACGAAGCAGGAAATGAGTCCGACTTACCAGAATTAGAATGCTGACGAAAACAGAAGATGTGTAGCTGCTATCGCCAGTAAAAATAATTTCCAAGCGTGTTGTGTACAATGATTCTTAACTGAATGATACGAATGGGAGATATGAAGAATAAATGTGAAAAGTTGCCGAGATCCTTCTTAAAAACTAGTAAAATCCAAAAATTTCTCTGAGTGGTTTATGTTCGTCACGACTGACTAGATTCGTCTTTTTCCGTCACTCTGAAATTACAATAAATAAACAAATCAGTAAATTTGTTTTTATTATTTACTATTCAGTTTTATTTAGAAATAAAAGTTGGCGGATGTTGACTCATTTGTAAGAAAGAGGACAATCAAGTATTATGTTGTTAGAACAATGAACCTTGTTTACATTTTTTTAACTATTGTATGACTTCATTATAACGAAACTATTCCAATACCCATAACAAGCTCAAGTATTATTTTCCTGCCCGCATTTCAAGTGCACAAAAATTTTAAAATGATTTACAATTACCACATTTAAAATGTACAATTGAAACGGGGATCGATATTATCGCCCTGCCTGTACTCAAATAGCAGCCCACAAAACATACGATCAATACAAATACTAACAACAAACTATGGCGATTAAATTAAATCAGATAAGGATAATATTTTCACTCATATCTTCTTTACGATAAACACCAAGCTTAATAAACACGAGTGAGTCAACAATCCACTCAATATTTTCGCAGAGCTACTATTAGAATATACTTATCTTCTTCTGCAATGTGCACTTGCAAATTAAAAAAAACATTGACCACTACTACTCTAAATATCTAGTATATATTCCAACCGCTACCGACCGTTGCCCATAATCTAATCAATAATTATTGCTTAACGTTGACTCACTCATTTGTCAATGTCGTCGTCAGTCAACGTTCGTTAAGCTAAATTGCCCGACCCAAAAAATAGAGGCATATTTCATAATCGAATATCCGACCAACCAACCAAACCAAGAAAGAAACCCAAAAAACTGAAAAACCGTCCAAGATTCATTTTTTCTTACCTTTTTTCCCAGCCACCACTTTGTCGTCCGCAGTCAGCTAACTAACTATGCTATTCGTCTTCGTGGTGCTAGCAACCACACCTGCAGCCCCGTACCAGAAATTTTGTCTGTTTTAAAAAAAATCTGGCTAAAAAACTAGTAAAATTTTAATGTTCTTGCTCTGCTGATGAATTGAATTGAAAGCAAGTCAGGAGGTGCCCACCACCATATGAGGCAGAGGACGATGGAGAATTGCAGTGCGATGTTAGCGAGTGAGCTCTCTCTCTCTCCACTGCATTCAGGCAGTCGATGCTGGTTTTTGCCTACTTCTCGGATTTCTTCAGCTCCTAATACTCCTTTTATTTACAACGACTTATTACCAACATCTATACATATGTAGCACCACCACGTCGTCGTAAATATAATCCCGTCGTCCTCTCTATTCTTGCAGGATCAAAGCAAAAAAAGCAATTTAATGAAAGACGATGACGAACATGGAGGACAAGCCGTGTCAATTTACAAAGGAAATTATAAAGCAGTGAGATTATCAGCCAGATTTCTAGGGGGTCAAATTTTGCTAAATGGGACGGAGGGGGGTGAGTGGAGACTGCCCGATGAGATGATCTCTTATCGCTTTAGCTGCCAGTCGGTGACATTTTTTAGATGGCAAAATACGTCAGAACTGAAATTTGAGACGTAAGGACAGAGTTTGAGTTACCTTCGAATTCGAGTCTTTATTGACTAACGAAGAAGAGATTTCACAATTTCACCCGATTTCATTTCACTCTGCAAATATGCAACTGGAGATAAATAGGAGAGATGCTGAGCTATTGCATACAATTACAGCAAACAACCCGTCATCTAGTTTTGATTGAATAGAGAACAAGATACGAAATCTTGTCATGTAATTTATATGTTCATTCATGTCATTTGATTATATGTGTCTCTGTGATTGCTTGCTTTATTTGCTTAATTTGAGTTTTGGCATTGAGAGTAAAATAACAAAGTATGGTCAAAATTGCCTGGAGAGTGGGACCTGTGGCGCATTATTTTAATTACATATGTACAAATTTATTAATAAATACGCAGAGAGTAAGTTAAGTAACAACTTGAGTGGCGTCATGTGTATGAGAGCATTTTTTATTAAAGTTGTTGCATTTTTGGTAGTAGTACTAGACAATAGAAATCATATAGAAATAGGCTTTTTTTGTCGCTTAAATATGAATCGTGAAGACTGTGAGCATATAAGAGGACGACATCAATTTAGTAGTATTGTGGGGTTGGTTAGACTGTGGTAATATAAATACATGGAATTATTTAATTAAATGTTGGAATTTGATGTCAACTTGTGTATTTGTCCCGCATTAAGGATCCATTTATGAACAAGTTACTGGCCAGGGGCAGAAAGTGACTTATCCATAAACTTCTTTTTGGAAAAGCATAGCCACCATTTAGATGGCTTCCCATCATCCGCACTAAAAACCTTGTCGCAAACTCGAGTTCCTGTCTCTTGCCGTAGTTGTGTTAAGTATTGTCTTAAAAGTTCTGTAACAGTAATTATTATTATTATATTATGCTATATAGTTGTCATGCATAGACATTATTCGTCATTTCACTACTTTACCATACCTGCATCTTGTGCAGAGGCCGGTTTGGCATAAACGGAATTAAGTACGAAACCAGGGTCTCCTGGAATGTCAAATTTACTAATGGCCAAGGTATACATTTCCTGTATCCCTTGATTCTTATTGGTACACTTGGCCAGCTTTTTAAGACACTCGCTAATATACAAAGTTATATATATCAAGAGACGGTCCACTTCGTTCTGTAATCAAAATATACACAATTGTGTTCAACAACGTTCACTTAACTGTTAGGACGCATTTTAAAATAATTTCTCTACCTTGATTTCATACGTACGAAAGAAGACGTTGGCCTTGAAGAAGTAGATGGCTTCGTCCACAATGTCCTGTTCACCGGTTTCCGGTGCGGCTGGACCCCGAACTTTGGTCCGGAGGGGGAGTAACGCCATATTTCCCACCATCTGGTTCACACTCGTTATCTGGGAGTGGTATGCCTTCACAAAAAGAAAATATTTACATTCACCTTAATTATAAACCTAAAATTAATTAATTAAGCATTACCATTCTATTCTATGAACAGGAAACAACTTGTCTTAATTTGCTTTAGGTCGGCGAAAGCCTTCCTTCGTTTCGTTGAGTTATTTGAGTTTATGGGCAGACCTCGACTGCGCCTATAACTGACCAGCGCCGAGCACTGGACACTTTCGCCTTCGGGTTTTACTGGACTAGTGTGACAAGCAAATTAGGTGTGGATTGTTATTAAGATGACAAATAAATCGGGTGGTGGTCTTCTATCATCATCACCATCATCACCACAAAAAGTTCAACTTTTCCGCTCTTGGTGTTAATATATATGCTGCAAATGTTTTACATATACACACTTTACAGAAAGGAAATTCATGCATGAAAAAGTGATTTTCAGCTAAACTAAAATTTTCGCGAAAATGTCGGACCGAAAATTCGCAAAGGAATAATAAGTCGTAGCCAAATTTAGTAATTTGAAAAGTACTCTTTGGAACTGAGAGAGCAACTTACATGGTATTTTTCATGGAACTTTTCGGTAAAAGGTGTCCAAAGTCGCTTTCTATGTATAACTTGCAGTACAAGCTTATTTTTAATTTTCGATGCTTTTTTGAGATTGGTACAAGAAAAATTAAGAAAAGGCAAAGTGTGTGATTTTTCTACCTATATCTCATAACATGAATCCTGCTATAATCTAAAGTGTCTCATTTTGGTCAAATGGTTCAACAGTTGTATGGACCGTAAGTTAGTCTCATAGTCTCAATCTTCACGGTATACAAGAAGAGTCTCAAAATATTCTAAAATTACCTTAAAATATATGATCTACGAAAATTACGGAATCATAAAATTAGTCTCATAGAATTCCTACCCAAACTACTTGTTCCCAATCTGAAGGTGAATCATTCTCATGATAAAAAAGATTATTACATATGTCACATCAAACATCAAAATTTCACGTAACTCATTTTATGGCATATTATTAACTCAGCAAGTTAGTGCTTTTGAGTTAAATCTGAGAGAAGGCTTAATAAATATCATGGATCTAAAGGATAAATATGGAGGAGAAAACATGCTTGACGCTAATCGCGTGTTACCCGAAGATTACTTTCTCTCCTGGAATTGGCTTGATTTCTCCTCTTGTTTCATCGCCCAGTCAGCCTTCGCAACTACCACTATCCATCCAATCCACTATTATCATCATCATCGTAAAAAGTAGACAGCAACACGAAAGCCATAAAGAAGAAGAAGGCAAGATGATGATGTGTGGTGACGAACGGTGACTTGAATTGACGACGATCTGCACGTCTGTGAAGCTGTACCTGGGTTTGAGTGCACTGCTGCCGCCCACCGTCCAGCTTCCTACCGCCAACCGCCGCCTCTCTTCCTACCGCCAACCGCCGCCTCTCTTCCTACCGCCAACCGCCGCCTCTCTTCCTACCGCCAACCGCCGCCTCCCTTCCTACCGCCTACCCGCAGATGCCACTTCCAAAAAACCTTGTACATCGACTTCTCTAACCCTTCGCCGTACCATAATACCCCAAAATGTTAATTTTACTCTAAAATACTCAAGAAATCCCGAAAACTAACTAACAAACTAACAAAATAATCCGCATAGATTCCTACAGCGGGATTTCAAACTACCGCCTCCATGCTCACATATGTTATTGGCCGCACCCCCGGTCATCATTTACTGCGGACCCGCACCCGCCAGATCCCTCTGGTCAAAATTACCAAACCGGTAAAAGTCATGACTTGGACTTTTTGCTAATTTTGACTTTGTCGCCGTTTCCTACAGCGGGATTTCAAACTACCGCCTCCATGCTCACATATGTTATTGACCGCACCCCCGGTCATCATTTCATGCGGACCCGCACCCGCCAGATCCCTCTGGTCAAAATTACCAAGCCGGTAAAAGTCATAACTTGGACTTTTTGCTAGTTTCGACTTTGTCTCCGTTTCCTACAGCGGGATTCCAAACTACCGCCTCCATGCTTGCATATGTTATCGACCGCACCCCGGGTCATCATTTAATGCGGACCCGCACCCGACAGATCCCTCTGGTCAAAATTACCAAGCCGGTAAAAGTCATAACTTGGACTTTTTGCTAGTTTCGACTTTGTCTCCGTTTCCTACAGCGGGATTCCAAACTACCGCCTCCATGCTTGCATATGTTATCGACCGCACCCCGGGTCATCATTTAATGCGGACCCGCACCCGACAGATCCCTCTGGTCAAAATTACCAAGCCGGTAAAAGTCATAACTTGGACTTTTTGCTAATTTTGACTTTGTTGCCGTTTCCTACAGCGGGATTTCAGACTACCGCCTCCATGCTTGCATGTATTACCGACCACACCCCTGGTCATCTTTTGGTATGGACCCGCACCCTCCAGATGCATCGGATCCATATAAATAAACTCAGAGTTACTTTTGCCTTCTTCCTTAGTTTTACTTTGATTCTCAATAATGCACATGTAGTATAGATTCGTATAACTTAAATTTATAAGCTTATCAAGTTAGTCAAATGGCGAGATGTTGGAAAGCTCTTTTCTTGCTTGGTGAAGTGGTGTTTTCAAGACATCAGAGTAAATTAGCTCCAGTGTTTCGGGAAGCAGAACGGTTGTTACTTGTAAAATGTCCTGAAATAAGAATATATAGTAAGAATACATAATACATAATTTCTTTAAATGTAAATTGTGAAATAATCATTGTCAAGATACTTCAAATCCTAGAGCAGAGATGTTTTTAAGCTTTTGGATATCGGAGGAAACTGTGGAACATATCTTAGAGCAAGATTTTGTGGTAAATGGATATGATACCACCATTTGCTGCAAATTTCCAGAAAAGTTTGGCTTTCGTTCCACCCACATCTGCGTAAATAATGTATTAGAATATTACTATATCAGGTTCTAGTTAAATAGCTGGGAAAATTTAGCGACCTTTTGTCGAGCACATTTGAAGCCGCCGACAAATTCATCCCGATTGGCCACGTAAACTTCCATTATGTCTTCTTTAATGTTGGAGTAAGCCATCATGAGTGAATCCTCAGTAAGATTCTCAACGATTCTGTACAATAATTACAATTAAATTCATCGTCCATATTATTATGTATTTGCAAGTTACTTATATCGCTGATATTGTTTCTCCTGGGTGACAAATTCTTCACCCAAAACTTGCTTCCGCAGCGATTGCTTGGCTAAGAATATAAGAGATTTTTATTGTTATAACTGTTATAAGAAATTTGGTAATAAATGTTTGCAAAAATTCAATTAGGCTAATCAGACCAGAATTCCCTTGCTGATCCGTCAGAAGGTCCGAGACTATTTTCCTGAACTTTGACTCCAGGTTAGCTGTGGTAGTCTCCTCTTCTTCCGCGGATGTTTTATTACGCCTTTGCCTATTTTTCCTGAATTTGTATAGGAATAAATTAGTATTTAGACTAGAATAAAACATCTTTCAGTCGGGCATTTTTGTAGAATACGCTATCAAACGGTTATTAAAGTTCGTTTAAATATTAAATACTACATTACCGAGTCTCCAAACATCCATCCATAGTTCGTGCTACATTATTTTGATTGTTCAGAGTAAGAACTTGTTGAAGGGGTTGAGAAGACCTGTCTCTCCCAATCTTTTGAACCCTGGCATTCTCTCTTGCCTTCTCCTCGTCAAGCTTGGTAAGCTCAGTCCTATTATGTAAATATCTATTTTTTCGTTCGCCTTTTTTTCTTTTGCTCCATGTCTCCTTGCATTCTTGAACTTCTTCTTGAATTAGTCCCTTTGGAATATCTCCACGTTCGATTTCGTCGTCATTTTGAGCGTTTTTGTAACTAGCTTAGCTTCTTTGCTTGCTGGTTTCTTTGGTAGATTGTCGAATACAAATTTTTTGTTTTTACCATTTGTAATTTCAAAGCGATGCCGAACAAAGTCGGCGACATTTTCCGGTTCCACGATAAGATTTTGCTTTAATAGACGAAACTCTAATTCACAGTTGGCGTTCTTGGTTTGCTGCACAACTCCACGTGCGAAAATTCCAACGTATGGGGCGTATGTGTTTTCAAACACGTTCAGCACAGCAGGATTGTAAAATGGGTTCAACTCTGCATCCTCATTCACGTGTTTTTCTTCAATTCTTCTTATTTTCTGAAAAGTGTGGTAGAATGGCGACTTCTCACGTAATAACCTACTTGCGTTTACTTCTTCCTCGTCTGGTCCTGCATAGTCATCCACTATAACGTCCCCATCCACCCATTCTTCAAGAGAAATTGACTTGATTCGCGCGAGATTGTGTTGGACATCTTCGGGGGACATCTTCTCCTTCCCAAATAGGGTACATATATCCTTCATGGCGATTTCCACGTCGTTTAGCGTTGACGCCTCTTGTAATTTGGCTAACCCTCGCACGCTCGCGTCCACGATCTCATTTCGAAATTTATGTCCAACGGTTTTCTTGCGAACATTGTCAAGAAATGACTTTGTCAAATGAGATGCACACAATTGTATGCACGCCGTATCTCCAGCAAACGTGTCCTCGTTTTTGAGGATGGCGTAACTTTTCTTCAAATATTATTAGTTTCATTGTGTTATATCCCTCAGACACAGCATGAAGCATGGCGAAATTAAAGTCGGTACATATTACATCAGGGGCACTCTTCGTCTGATATGGGCGTAATTTTTTCACACCTCGCTTGATGCTAGTAAGAGGACCCGCAATATCATTGGATTGACCTCGCATTAAAACACTGTCAGCCACAATGAAGCTTCCCTGCTTCGTTTGCGCCACAATAGTGTACAATAACAATGTGTTCCTTTTGTTCCTGTGAGTTTTTTCAGCAGGATCATTGCTAGGATATAGGGCATCTCGTGGGAGGGGCTTTAAAATACCTCCTGTCGCATCAATTCCCACAATAACATATTCTCGTGAAATTGTGTCCGTAAATAATTTTATTGATTGCTGGTCGAAAAGATCCAGCCTAAAAAGTTTTGCATCCAAGTTAAAATCTTGGATGTAACCACAAATTGTGGCGTTGGCGTTGTGGCTTGTCTGGTAGTGATTTTTCAACAACCTCAAGTCGTCGAATATATTAGAAGCCAATCTGACTTTTCCTTTGGACTCTGATTTCACAGTTCGTAGAGCGTCTGCACTGGGAGGAACGCTTTTATGTAAAAGCTCGAGCCCTTTCACATCTTTTCAAGTCTGTGAGAAATATCTTTGCTGCCGATGTAGTTGATAATTGGTTTGATAGTTTTTCTCGTTCGATCCCCGTGATTGGCCTTGACGTCCTTTTTCCTTGGACGAGGGTGAAAACTCCGAAAGATTCCAAGGTAGTTTCTAAGGCCTCTCCCTGGATTGGTTTGCATGGGAAAGTTACTTGAAATTTGATTCCACATGAGCAGTATCCTTGCTGTCGAGCGAATGGCTGATCTTTTTTCCTCTCCGAATAATAATAGGGCTCCCGCCTATTCTTAAAAGGGCAAAGGATGCCAGCTTCCCGAAGTTTCTGCGAAATAACGTCCCCAGGAATCTTGTTTTCTACAAATTTTGAGGTTTTGTAGTCAAAAAATTTGGAAACTTCGTTTGGGGAAAATATAACTGTCATTTTTTTAGGCGGAATATAATTCAGTTCTTCCTGAGAAATGCCAAGGACAGTACAAACTGTGTCCACATCGAGTTGTACATCAGCTAAAGGTGCGTGAACTCGTACGGTTTCATTTTCGTTGGCTGACCCTGTCTGGTGATCGAACTGGTATGAGGTTTCTTGTGCGTCTTCCTCGTTATTTTGCATATCCGCCTCGGAACCTCCATTTGCATCATTCTCAGGTCCGTCGTGTTTTTCGGTATATGTGTCATCATCAAACTTCTGTACGTCGTCGTTGCCGTCATTTTGATCTCCGTTTTCAGAATCCAGGTCGTCGTTCCCATCTTTTTCAATACTGTCATTTTTATCAGTTTCTGCTGCATCCCGACATTCCAGACAATACCACTCATTGGACTCTTTGTAGTCGCAATGATTTTTTCCGACTCCGTCCTTTTGGTAATGATACCACTTACCACATCCATCACATTCTACCGCTGGCAAGTGGTCGTTCCCACGAACTCCGCAGTTGCACCAGCTTTCTTTTACGCTTCTTGTCTTTCGTGGCACGTAGTATTCTGCTGTTGGATAGCGCTTCGAAGGCTTTGGGCTTCTTCTGGTTAATCTCCTTGCCGTGCCATGTTCTGGATGAAAGGGTCTATGAACCACGGGGCTCTTATTTAATACTAAACGGGCGTGCTCTGCTTGGACGTCCTAAAGACCCTCAGCTTGTGCGCCAAAGCTTTCTTCAGGTAGGTCTTTGTGGGCGTGTTCTGTTTGAACAGGTTCGGTTTGGGTTACGAGGATTTGCTCATCTTGGGCGACGCCGACATGCTCCAGTAGCGCGGTTGTGATAAGTTGTACTAGATCAACTTGTATGTTCTCTGTGTGAGCGTGGGGGGCGTCATCAGCTTGGCGTTGCTCAATTCCAAGTTCGCTAATGAGGTCGGCTTGGTTTACGAAGATTTGTCCATCGTGAGCGATGGGTTCGTCTTCAAGAACGACGACGTGGACAAATTCTACTTGGTCAGCTTGTGTGTCCTCGGTTTGGGCGTGGGGGACGTCTTCAGCTTGTGTCTCTTCAGTTTGGGCGTGGGGGGCGTTTTCAGCTTGTGTGTCCTGGGTTTGGGCGCGAGGGACGTCTTCAGCTTGTGCCTCCTCAGTTTGGGCGTGGGGGACGTCTTCAGCTTGTGTGTCCTCAGTATGGGCGTGGGGGTCATAGGTGGTTGCATATAATGGGACATGCTCGGACACAATTTCTTGTGCCGCTCGACGTCTTTTCGGAGGGTTCTTCTCTTCACGAAACTCTGCCATTTTGAGGAAAAATCCTCGACAGAGTTCGTGTGGCACCCTTTCTTCTCGCAGAAACGCCGTCCAAAACTCTTTTTCGCAGAAGGATACCGTATTATTATGAGCTTTGTTCATGTCTGCTTTGGAAAATTTCATCTTGGACGACTTGTAGGAAACGGCAACAAAGTCGAAACTAGCAAAAAGTCCAAGTTATGACTTTTACCGGCTTGGTAATTTTGACCAGAGGGATCTGTCGGGTGCGGGTCCGCATTAAATGATGACCCGGGGTGCGGTCGATAACATATGCAAGCATGGAGGCGGTAGTTTGGAATCCCGCTGTAGGAAACGGAGACAAAGTCGAAACTAGCAAAAAGTCCAAGTTATGACTTTTACCGGCTTGGTAATTTTGACCAGAGGGATCTGTCGGGTGCGGGTCCGCATTAAATGATGACCCGGGGTGCGGTCGATAACATATGCAAGCATGGAGGCGGTAGTTTGGAATCCCGCTGTAGGAAACGGAGACAAAGTCGAAACTAGCAAAAAGTCCAAGTTATGACTTTTACCGGCTTGGTAATTTTGACCAGAGGGATCTGTCGGGTGCGGGTCCGCATTAAATGATGACCCGGGGTGCGGTCGATAACATATGCAAGCATGGAGGCGGTAGTTTGGAATCCCGCTGTAGGAAACGGAGACAAAGTCGAAACTAGCAAAAAGTCCAAGTTATGACTTTTACCGGCTTGGTAATTTTGACCAGAGGGATCTGGCGGGTGCGGGTCCGCATTAAGTGATGACCGGGGGTGTGGTCGGTAATATATGTCAGCATGGAGGCGGTAGTTTGAAATCCCGCTCTAGGAACCTATGCGGACTATTTTATTAGTTTGTTAGTTAGTTTTCTGGATTTCTTGAGTATTTTAGAGTAAAATTAACATTTTGGGGTATTATGGTACGGCGAAGGGTTAGAGAAGTCGATGTACAAGGTTTTTTGGAAGTGGCATCTGCGGGTAGGAAGAGAGGCGGCGGTTGGCGGTAGGAAGCTGGACGGTGGGCGGCAGCAGTGCACTCAAACCCAGGTACAGCTTCACAGACGTACGATCTGCTGTTATTTTTCTCCAATTTCAACGAATAACTTTCCTCGCCCTTCCTTCCCCACCAATTCTTGTTCTTCTAATCAACCAGTGAGCAACGTCTTATCATCTTCACTAATCAATAATTACTTGAAAAAATGAGGATTATTCTTATGCTAAAGAGTTTTTAGGTCAGTTTTATACGAGTATTAAATTGTGTCATTTATTGATTCCTTTGATTCTTATGTACATATGCATGCACAAATATTGAAATGCAGTTATTTCTTGTTAATTGTGTACATTTCTTGATTCATTTTTACTGTGTAACTAATTAATTGACAGTTTGATACATTTTAATTGATTTCGCTTATTGTAATTTTGATTTTTAGGAAAGACAATGAGATGTGTCTTTGACTTGATGGATGGATAGATGAAATTTCGAAACTCTTTACTTCAATAGTTCAGTCATTCCTTAGTAGAACGGACGATATGACTATGTCATATTCGAAGTGAATGAACACAAGGTATTTTTTTAATTCGTTGTTTAAAATATCACTTTAATTCCTGCACGTGGATATTTTATTAATGTAATTTTATTGTGATTATTTGCAGGAACCAAAGAATCTGGCCCCTTTAGTCGATAAAGATAGTTTTGAAGACAAAACTATCTTTTTTGGCGTGATAGTGCGAAGACGAGTCATGTACAGTACAATAAAGAGGCTATAGTTTGATTAGTATGATAGTAATTGGGAATTGCGACCAGTTAGGAATTGTTGGTGGTCAAGCAATATCAGAGTTAATTAGTTACCGTTCGTTCCCGACTGCAGTAGTGTTTTGTACAAATATAGGAATAGGATTTCAGTCTTAGATGCATTGAAAGTTGAAACGATATGCTATTATTAAACATGAATGAAGTAACGTTAAAGTATTATGGTTTGCTTGTCACTTAACTCAGAGATTGGGGGTAGTGTTACATTGTATGACCTACGAACCAGGAGGAAACTACTATACTGTATGATACAAGTTTCCATAAGCTGGTAACCTCCTCCAATTAGTAATTGTTTAGGGATAGGAAAAGTACAAGCTTTAAATTATAATAGTTATACCAAAGACTTGTTTGTAGTTAAGTTATTATAATTTAAACACTAGCAATTTGCTGTTTTAATAGAAGTTTGATAAGTGGCAAATCGTTGAGAGAAAATTCAGAGTGTTGAAAATAAGATTCGCATAAGGTAGATATTAAAGTCAGGATTATTGAAAGACCAGATTTATACAATGCGATATGCTCAAATAGTCATGGGGTTGAAAGATTGCGGAAAGGTACGTTAAACGTATTCTTACTACGTTTACTTATTAATAATTTATTCAAATTCCTAGTAGGAATTTCCAATTAGCTGCTAAATCTGTGTTACTTACAGAGCACTTACTGCCTACTTATATCAAAATACGCTGAAAGCAAGGGGAGAAAGATGCGAATTGTGAATTTGGACGCGAGGACCCCCTCTGTCGTATACGACCAACCAATTGCTGATGTCAGGGATGTGATAACAATTTCCGAAGTGGAAGAGGCTGAACGATTGTCGCCTGGAACAGGTGCTGGGTTCGAACTGACTTTGACGTAAGCAAATAGGAAACATTAAAAGGAAACGAAATAGAAAATGGTCCTCTCTAAATTGCATTAATGTGTAGATATGTTTTGGATCATCCGGAATGGCTTTTCGACGCCATTGGTGAGGTAAAGGATGGCGACTATATCATTTTTGACTGTCCAGGAGAATCCGAATATCATGTACATCTGAAGACCATGAAAGTATTTGCTGCAATGGTATGTACTATGTTATTATTTGTATTACAATGTTGGGCGCATGGTTGGTTTTAAGAGACATTTTGCGTATTTCAGCTCGTCGTTAAAAACTTTCGCACATGTGGCGTATTTGTGCGAGACTCTCGATCCGCTATAAACGGATACAATTTCATAGCGAGTTGTCTAACCCCGTTAACTTCATATGTCAACTTATCCATTCCGCACGTCAACTTGATGATGAAGGTGGACCTCTTAACTGACGAAGAAAAGTCAAGATTACAACTTTTTATAAACTCTGACGTCAAAGATGTTCTGCGATACGAAAATTCTAAACATAGGTCAGCCACTGACAACAGTTTATTAGAAGGCTATCAAGAGCTTGCCAAAATTTGCTCCACTGCAGGTAGGTGTATACCAGACATATATGACTTCAATCTTCAAAACAAATTAACGATTATAGCGCAGGAGAAAGTGTGAATGATAATAATGATTGTGTTCTTTTGTTGCAGCCTCAATTTTAGAAGGACATAACTTTGTTCGCAAGAAATATTTCCCAATCGACACAAGGGACGATAATTCTCTGAAGGGATTCCTTGGTATATTAGACGATGTAATGGGCATTACTGAAGACTGATTTTGTCTATAATTTTTTCTTCACGTCTCAATGTTTTCTTACCAGCGTACTACTACTACTACTACTACTATTACTACACTAATACGATGTGACTTTATATATATACGTCTTTTTCAAGAACTGATGTTGAGCATTAATCTATTTTATTATTCAACATGCAAATAATACATACTGGCAATTATTTCAAGTTTCTCATTTTACAAAAATAATATTACCGTATTTTCAATATTAATGATGTTAAATACCAGGTGCTCAAAGGCTAAGGTTCTGACTTTTTCTGCACTAACTATTATATGAGTGAATGCTTTACTATGGCACTATATAGGCAATGAAATGTTCAAATTTTCTGCACAAGAATTGTGGTTCAGTTAAATTTTATACTTTTGTAATATATTCGTATACATCGTTGAACGTTCCTTTCCAATTTTTATGCTTGAGTTATCGATTAATAATTTTCCAGTCCAATAAATATGTCTGGCCATACCAAATACGGAATAATGGATAACAAAGTCATCATCAGTCAGATCTTGTATTTCCGTAGGACTTTTTAGTATTTTTATTGTACTTGTGGTAACAACAATTACTTTTAATGGTTATTTGACTGTCATGATCAGCTTATTATGTATTACGCACTACTAAAAAGTAGTTTTTAGTATGGATATTTCTTTTGATTCCACTTCCGAAAGGACTGACTGGTAATTTTATTTAGTGTAGAAGCGATTTGTAACTTAAACCTAAGAAATAATTGAACAAGGTGCTATCATAGTTAATTATGATAAACGATTGCTTAAAAAGAACTTTATACAACGTATTGGTACTATTCGCACTAAATATTGCAATCCAAAGAATGTAATTACATGTAACATGCAACAAGGTAAACAGTTTTAGTTTTTAGTAATTTTATACATACGAATCTAGACTACTTGAATATATAATATAGATACCCAATAACATGTTCGTAGACTTATGTTGGACAGGATCTTTATTATTGTCATTAATGTCATCATTGCATTTATTAAGTTACCTTGTGTAATTAGTTCATAGTATTGTGGCGAAGTGTGTTAGTACAATATCATCCAGCTGGGATAAAACATTTACGATGACTGAAACCTGGAAATATACCAAATCTATCTATTCGTTATCGCTAATTATAACAAATAAATGAATGTTTCCACTTGAAATTTTGAAATCATACTCCAGTTTAGCTTCATTCATTGCATCTAATTTTCAGACGAGTGGCTGTTATCTAAAAATCTGTTTATTAATAAGCAGTTTTTAGCTGTGGAAGCATTTTCATACTTTTTTCAGAACCTGCTAGCACATGAAAATTATGAGTGAGTGACGTGTCTCTTAGGTTTTCACCCTCTGCTCTCTAACCCCAAGTAGCAAATACTTAGATTACTTATCATGATTACAAATGTTTCGGAAGTGTGTTCCCCTCCACAAACTGGGTTTTGTTGACCAATGGGGAATCGCCCCATGGACAGCCACCCTTCGTCTTCTTTACCTTGTGTGCAGAAGAGAGAGAACCGGAACCGGGTAGTAGAGAAAGGTGGTAGCAAGAGGAGGATGGTTATGTACTTAGGGTGCCGGTAACAACCGGGTCCGGGTATTATTTGAAGCACCCTTTTCACTCCCCGTTCCACTCTCTTTTGATGAGTTGGCTGATTTTTAGCTCATCAATTCTGCCGGAAAACTGGACAAGAAATGGGTTTAAATTGTTAGTCTTTAATGATGAACCTTAAACCTCTTTAATCATCGGGCACGAGGTAGTTACAAGTGTGTGCGACGGGACCGACGGTGGGCCTTCATCAGCGACAATTAAGGTACTTAATATATTTCGGATAAGTTATCGTGAGGTTTTACATGAAATTTCGTACAAGTACAAGTTTGCACGATATCTTGGAAGTATTTTTTTACCCCTTTAAACCTTTAGTCAGTGAATAATTTTTTATATATTTTTTTTAATTGTCATATGTTATATTGCATACTTCTCAACGTACATGGGTGCATTATGTAAGCAATAGAATTTCAACGTTTTGGAGAAAACCAACTTTCACTAATTCATGCTCATCCAAAAGATTAAACAACTCCCCACAGCAATGCAAAAGATTTTATGAATAGAATGCTTCAAAACCACATAATATAAGAAACGTAATAGAAATATGTATAAGCATTGTCTCACCAATTGTCATACACACGCAATAAAAACCCACTTGAGATTGACACTTTGGACAGAGTTTGTTCTACGTGTTTATTATAACAAAACAAGTAAAGCATTGCATACATGGTTTTGTTAATTATGCATTCTGCTAGCTAAGCATGTAACATATTGTAATAACTGTCTCCAAATCTATTAAAAGTATTTATTAATATGAATAAGCAACATTTATATTGCTACCAACAGTTGGTAACCAACTGTACAAGTAATGTTGCCACTTGTTCATATATATGTGATGTATACTCACATTTGCGTCTTCATATGTACATAACAGTAGCAAAGAAGCCGGTGGAATTTTCTGCCAACCAGTCAACTTAGCTTTTTAACAAAAAAATCATATGTAACAAAGTTAAAACACATCTGATCCCTGTCAAGCATAGCAAGGCTTTAATAATCGCTGGTCAGTTGCATAAATATTTTGATAAAACTGTATCAAAATCTAGAAAATTAAAGAACGCCTCAATCCAATTTTGTAATAAGTTTGACATTGTGTTTATTAGATTAAAAATTGTAGTGTGCAAAACTCAAAGTCTATACAATTCTTTGAAACAAAGGTGAATTTTCAAGTTAAACACTCGATTTGAAAATATCATAATTTTGCATCTTTTTATTTTAATAATAATGCATCATCCAACTTCATTTTCTGATTTGTGTGATATTTTGTTTTCCAGGAAAGTAGTCGTCAGACTGAATTAAGACGATGAAACTCTTCGTTTTAATTCCTACCGTGATAGTTTTACACATTCTGCTTGCCAATGTGGATTTAGTCGACGCCACAAATTGTAAGGGATGCACCCCCCTGGACACCTACTCTTTCGAAAAGGTTCGCATACTTATTTCTAATACGTGTTCGATTTTAACTGTATGTACATGCATGATAAATATCGGAGTATGTATGTAGGTACATGATTTCTCGTTATGTTCGTCATGTCTTACTCTTTTCATAACTTTGTATATGCATATCTCAAGTACAAATCATTAGGAACACCAAGTTTTATTGTGTACCTCGCAAAACTTCGTTTTGTTGTGCTGCCTGGTACATTTTGTGTTTATAGACCGTGGCAATTGAAGTATTGGTTCAGTTCATCCATGTAAAAAGCTTTCGTCATCATCAGAGTATTGGCTCACCTCATAAAAAATTCATTACTTATCGGATTTTACTTCACTTTCACGGCTTTCTTTCCGTGCATGTTCATCCCTTTCGTGTTGATTGATTCATGCTCGAAATATTGGGCGAAACAAGATCGTACATTTTTGAGGAGGACATTTATTATTCTCAAACAATGGCGTTCCACTTTCATTATTATCTTCAAACTTGGCTATGAAATGCTTTCATTCATTCTACCCTAATTGCTGCCTATCTACATACGTCTAGAACTTTATCCAATGCTTTTCTGTATTATACTTTTATTCAACAAGACTTCGGAATGGAGTGAATGTTTATAGTCAAGTATAAAATGTTGGAACATTCATTCAACCATAAAATGCTTTTGAACCTTGACACCTGAAAGTTACCATTAATAAATATGTTCCATTGTACTGCTTACAGTAATTTTATTGGTCAATGTTGTTCTGCATGCTCTGTTCTGAAGAACAGAGGTCCGTCCCAACTCATAAAGCGTAATATAGACCATTCATTTATGCAGTCACATATTCTCGCAAGCAAATACCGATAGAGAAAAGTGAGATCGTTCTGAAATGGATAGCATTTTACCGAGTAAAATTTACTCGCATTGTTTTCATTGACACAATCGTCAATAATGTTTACCAACACATAAACTGTACTTTCTTTCTTTATTTATTTTTGAAATTTAATGAAATTATATATAACCTGAATCTAAAATAGAAATTTTTATTATCCATATTCCTCTCATTCTTCGTTCCATGCGTGACAATAAATTTCTGGAGTGTCAGGGTATTCATTCCCGAATGTTTGCTCACCTAGAACTTGGTGTCTGTTTGAATACTCATGAATACTAATTGGTGGATGAGTTGGCACATGAATTGGCATGCTGAATAACACGTTGTTATACACAATGTCGTCATTGATTGTCTCAAAAAACCTAATTGCTGTTAAAATAATATTACTCTTCCTTCCATTTTCACTGATCTATCAAACAAATATGCATCAATCTACATAATCGATTCGTGTTGCTATAAAAATACATGAATGAATATTTGTTCAAAATTCTAGCTGGTATCCAAGTTCAAAGCCACCCTTGTAAAATTTGACGTCGCTTACCCCTACGGTGAGAAACATGACGAATTTGGCAAAGTTGCCGACGCCACCCGAGGTGTTTCTGACCTCCTTGTCGCCGAAGTGAACGTAAAAGACTACGGTGATAAGGATAACCAAGATTTAGCCGAAAAATATGAGGTGAAAGCGAAGGATTTTCCCGTTCTGAAACTATTTCGGAGGGAAGGAGGGGAGCCACCGGAAACTTACAAGGGTGACTTCAAGTTGGACGATATCATCACCTGGGTCAAGTCCTTCACCGGCGTGTACATCGGCCTTCCCGGTTGCATCGAACAGTTTGACAGACTCGCTGGAGAATTCATGAAGAGTAAAAGCGATGTTAAAAAACGAGCCGAGCTGCTCAAACAAGCCAAGGAACTTGCAGACAAGGGGATGGAAACACCCAAGGATACAGAATATGCTCAAATCTACGTCAAATTAATGGAGAAAATTGTAGAGAAAGGGGACGAATTTGTCAAGGGTGAAATTGCACGAGTAGAAAATTTAAGGAAAACCAAAGTCTCTGTAGATAAGAAGGAGGGATTGCAAAAACGACTGAATATTCTGCAAGCGTTTTCTCACGATGAACTTTAAAATTTGCACGGTTTATGCACGAGTAATTGAAAACATGTGAATTCCTAAAGTTTCTTAATACTAGATTGATTAGATATATTTATTAAACCGGGTATTACATTGTCAAGGTACATATGCATCCTTTTTTATATTTTGGCACTTAATTAAAGTACACTTTTCTACTGTCTTCTCACCAACATTCTGTATACATAGGTATAACTTTCTGCATAATTATATTTATTATAAGTATGCTGTTAGTCATTAAATTGGCACTTGCATGGCAAGATACAAAACAATAATAACCGTCTTGTGACTTAAATAACAATGCAACCTCAAGTAGAAATGCAATCGTAGGTTCTCTCTAGCGCACTGAAGAAATCGAAGGTGTCATTTTATAACATTTCATTGGACTTTCTCTGATTTTATTGTTATAATCTCCACTGTAAAAGTACGCACTATATTGTTAACAGTGCACCACCAGTCTGTGCGCGGATATAAGATCAAAGATCGTCAAATTATTTGTGATTTGTCATTAAAAATGTTTTTAGAAAACAAGAAATATATGGCATCTGGCAAACAAAACATGCAAGCACCGGCAAAAATTATGTAGGTTCGCTTAGGTACATATGTACGTACATGTGTATATATAGCGTGTATCACCTTTATTCTAATTAAAATTTACCTTGCTGACGATTACTACATTCGTAAATGTATGTAGCTACCGTAAAATTATTCTGGAAGGCGGAAATTGCACCGGAAACTAAGAAATTAAAATCGTAGATGGATTGTATTACAGAGAGAATTTATTTTAGGATAAATAGTATTCATAGATATTCAAGTAAGTAATTCGAGTGTGTGTAACAAATTGGAATTATATATGTTACATTTCTAAAACCAGTGAATTTAGTTGATGTCGATACTTTGCGATATTTTATAATTGTAATGCTACAAAGCCAAAGCAACATTCGCCCAAAAAGGGGATTCGTTCTGAACCACCGCTACAAATGTATCATTCCGGCAATTTGCCGTTATTGAATTTGTTATAAATACTTACATGGTATGACCCTGTGCTATAAGTTTATAGTCGGTAAGAAAGTGAACCAATTTTATGATAAGTAAGCTATATAAAATTTAACCTAGAAGACTTAATATGGAGTCATAGTCTAAGTCAATATTCCTCTTGATGTGCAACCCTATATACACACACACAGTTAATTGGGTCACTTCAATTGAGAATTGGAATTGCAAAAGAATAATCGATGTACATACTAAATAATAATTGGTTGATAAAACAAAGTATTTATTGCGCAATAATTTGTAAGAAAGATCTAATATGCATTAATTAACAATAGATAAATAGCAGCATATTCAGTACTACATGAGAAATGAACAGTTGAAATAGCTTTGTCAAAAAAAATATACTTTTCAAAATTACAATTTATTGAAAAATTTGGCACATAAGTGACAACTCGAATGATTTGTTTGAAAGAAAACCCAATTGGATGAACAATTGACTTTAATAAAACAATTTGTTTTGCTCATTTAATTAAAAATGTCTCTGAATGCTTGATCCACCACGGGCACGAAATTTCCATTCATTGCTGACCCCCTTCTTTCTGGAACGTAATAATTGTCGTCATCATAGTCATCATTGGTCTGGAAACGGACCTTTTTCTTTTCCTTGACCACAACAACTTCGTCCACAAGTGCAGCAGCACCGCCAACAAAATCATCAATCTCCACCATGGCCGACCGTGCACTTGTTTCTGGCTTGCGGTCACTTTCAGATCCTTTCAAGGGGTCCTTATCGTCCTTTTCACCACTTCCGGCAGCTTCATCCTCATCATCGTCCCCATAGTTGCTATCATCCCGTTCGAAAACGCCCAATCTGCGCATAGCTTCCACTATCAAGGCCAGATTTTTCATAAGTTCGTTGTATTTTTCAGGATTGCTTGGGAAATCGGGTGCATTCTCTTCTTCATCTGAAGAATAATCAACACCGTTGTTGAGATAGAAGGCATAGTCGTCGTAGTCCACGTAACGATCGGCATTATGGCGAGAAGGATTTCTAGGTTGAAATGTAACCCGTTGAGATCTTGAGTTGTAGCCAACGCCGAGAAGGTCTTGACCCCCCTCTTCCATTGCCGACGTGATTGAGGACATGGATGCCATGATTCTCTGGTTTTCTAAGGGGACATCAGCGTTATCTTATGTCAAGGTGAGTTTGAAACAGCAAGGATAAAATAAAATGGCATAAAACCAACTTACAAATTATTCTCGCTATCAGTTTGAATTGGATAGGGCACCGTGGTTGGTCGAATACGAATACATAACAACTTTCTGCCATACATAGTGCCTACTCAATAAGAGGAAATAATGTAGGCAATGCATAAACAATAAACAATTCCGAATTATTTATATTATTGTTCCTAATTATAATGTAATAATTGAATAAAATAAATGTTGTGCATATTCAAATACAATTCACTATGTGAAATTTTCATTATTGAAAATTTATTCCGCCCACTTTCAATTAGGGAATAATTTTCATTCATCTGAATTCCTAATGTCATTCTGTTAAGTGCTTATTGATAGAATATTTTAATGCATTGATAAATCAATCGATTACATTTGTTATCAAATCTTATAATGTACAATGCATCAAATTGTCCAAGAGGACAAAATTTGATACCTTCACATACTAATCTACCTACTTGTTAATAACTGAATAAATGAATGCAAATATGTTCAACAGATTTAATTTCTTTCTGGGTACGTAAAAATTCGCTAAGGTTAATTATTCCAACTTATGCTGACAACAAGGAGTATTATTCCTACATACCTAGTCGTATACACTCAAGTGTCAATGACATATAGCTTTATTACTTTTGTAGCTCTCAACTTAGCAATTTTTGACTAATTTTTTCGAAAAGCCAGATAAATTTCAATTCAAAAATAATGACATTTTGTGGCATTCCGGGGTCAGAAATTTTTTCCAAGCCTCCGCACTTCTACGGGGCTTAGAACACACCTTTGTCCCTAACTTTGACCATTTTTCATATTCCGGTGATTCAAATCCAGAAAGGATGATGACCATTTCTGATTGGGGATAAAGACCGGAATTTGTTTTTTTAGCTACGCTTGGGTCATTTTTTGCACTATAAATTCGTGCTGAGTCCTGCTGAGAGGTCCCATCAATTCCATTGAATTGGATCTCACTTAGGGGATGTACCACGGACTCAAAAACATATTTTCAGAAATTTGATTCCCCCACCTCCCCCCAATTTTCAGCAAAATGTAGAGAAATTACCCCAATTATCTCCCATCTGCAAAAATCATCAAAAAACCTGGATAATGTGACTTTCTGACCTTTTGTCTATATCGAGGGATGTCTCTGACCGATTTTGCGTAGATTAGGACAACTCGCTTGTTAAAAGATTTTTTCGATGTGAAAATCTCCTCATTTGTAAAAATAATCCTGCTCACTTATTTGGAGCGTACCGCTTGAAGTGACTGCTGCATTTCTTTAATCTAGCTTTCCTTTGGGGTTCGATCAGGCTGTGGCAAGTACCACATTTAAAAGTCCTAAGTCTAAGGTTCAATTTGAGCACTCATTGAATAATTTGCATCGACACTGTCAGCAGTGAGCCCGGTTTCCGTTGGAATTTCTTCGGATTCCAGGCTTGAGAGGCTTAACGATGGGTGTGGTCCTTGTTGGTTTTCAAAAAATTCTTCTTCGACTGTTCTTTGTCGATACGGTCCCCATGAACCTTTTTATAGTCCGTTGGGCTAAATTAAAGTATACCTTTGACTTTTTCAGCACATGTCAAATTCACTATTTTTCTTGGATTTTTTTTTGTGAAAAACTATTGCCGCCTGCTTCTCTTCAATTTCCTATATATTTATCCAGATGTTCAAAAATTACAAAGTCCATAGTGAATCATAATGTAAATCGCATGGCGAATCTAATGCACTTATCAGATTTTAATTCTGTGGCGTAGTTTTTTAGCAATCAGCTATTGACACTTGAGTGTATACGACTAGGTAATTACACAAAATAAATAAGCATTTCCTGCATAATAAGCCTTTTTATTCACATCTCTTTTTGTCGTCCTCAAACATACTAAACCAGAAATTTTCTTGGAAACAGTCAATGTCAATGTTTTCGGCGATATTTAAGTTATAGAAAATAAATATGAAGAGAAAATTCAGTGTACAGGTAGCCGAGAGAAGTTTTGAATAGAAACTTTCGATTGCTATTTTAGATTTAGCAGAATCGTTGCTAAACAAGAGTTATTCTATTTTTAATGCGGATGACAATCTGATAAGAATATAGAGTTATTTTTACTATAGGGAAAATTACTTCACATGCCAAAGTACTTATTTAATACTCAACTTTTTATTCATAAAGTGTAAAGCAGTAAAGCCCATTATAATCATATTTACGTACATACTGACTTACATGGGGGCAATTAAATCATTTTAAAAAACAGTTCAAACTCTTCCTTCAGGTGAAACACCGTCGACTAGAATCTAAATGCAACAATCGGAAATTTTGCAAGTCCATAAAAAAATCATAAACATGTATATAAATTTATCTTCGGGTTTTCATGATGACACGACAAGTATCAATGTCAATATTAAAAAAAAATACTACCAGCTTCTCAGAAAGGATGTCAAACAAGATATCCATCTCTTTTCTATAAATCTATAAAATATGCATACGTATAAAACAAAATGCAATGCCCTTTCGCCACCTGCAGGGCTTTGTACCATTTTAAATTTCAAACTTCGTCCATAATTTCTGCATAATCTACGTCACCATGAAATGATGCACAGGCATAAATTAAATTCCTTCGCTGAATTAAAAAAAGGAATCGTTCATCAGAAATCCATTCCTCTCATTGATCTTCATACGCACTCCTCTAATATCGGCAATTTCATAGTAATTAATATTATCGACACATTAAAAACCATATTCTGCAGACCACCACCAACCTCGTTTACTTCCTCCCATAGGCTAGTTTATTATTCGCGAGTGAAAGTTCCCCGTGTTGTTCTGACCAATCTCTCAAAGGAAATATTTACGTCTCCTCAACTAATTTTGTCTGTTTTCATGTCCATCCAATCATGGCGAATGGTAAGAGCAGCAGAGCTTTGACACGAACACTGTCGACTGGCCAAACAATTTTATGACAGTTTAGTTATTTAGGAAGGACTATACTTGGATGGAGAAACTAGTCCGATTTTTAATTAATTTCTTGTAAACAAGTCATCATTTAATTCGAAGTATTTCCTGGTAATCATAGTGTTTCTAATCTTATACGAATAAAACCATACAAAATGACATGCTATCTATTTCCATGAATGAGGAGGCAAGTTGAGGAGAGCTCGTTACCAAATCCTCGAGAAATTGGGCAGAGGCAAAGTGCAAACCATTATACAAAAAAGGCTGAGAAACCCACATATTTCGTATTATTCGTATTACGACGACGTTTAGAAAAGAAATGTTGTTGTTATCATTATCATCACCCATTGGAGTGTCAATGTATTATTAGCGTAAATTAATTGTGGTAAAAAAATTAAAGAGTGTCGATTTTTATAAACAAGTATATCAGCATATTCAATAAGGAACATCGTTTCAAGTCAAGTAATCTTTTATTCAAAAGTGTCAATAGATATATTTTACCCTGTCAACTTGTCCTCCGCATTCCGAGGACCAATTTATGACAGCACGACACAAAAATGTGAACAATTGGTGGTAAATGCGGAGTTAATTAGTGTTGAATGTTGTTAAGTAATAGCACGTCATAAACAAGTGGAAGCAAGTTACAAGTGAGTGGAAACAATCTTCTGTAACAATTAAACTTTAGTGAGCTTATTGTTTAATTTTATGACGATTTGTGTGATTTAATGATGAATGATTGTTACTTAATTAATAGTGTGGTTGTTGGTATTGTGTATGGCAGAAAAATACAGGCAAGAATTTCAAGATTGTGTTTGTAAATTCTTTGTTTGAAATATTCTTAGAGGTTGTACAGAGTACGTAAATCGACGAGTAATTTTTAATTATTTGATTGCATTAATAAGCAATGTATAGCTTGTGGAGTTGATTGTGTGTCATTTTTTGTTGACATCTTTTGAAGATAAGATAGACTCGTAATCTTTTCTTGGTGGTTGTCGTTTTCTTATTTGAGTCAACAAAGACTAGACTAAACACGAAGGGCTAGATGAGCAAAATAATTCATCTTCAAATCTTCATGTCAGCACTTCATGAATCATTTACTAAATGCACTTTTTACTAAGCAGTTTCATTCAGTAATACTTCAGGGATTTGTATTTATTTTCAAAATAAGGGAGTGGTTTGATGAATAAGTAAGTCGACTGGGTGTGGAACACAAAAAGTCTTGAAATGCCTGTCTCATGGCTGGCCAGCTTATCATACATCTTATCAGTCATTGTTCGGTTTTATTGTTGAGTAACGTATGTGTGTAGTGTATATTTAAATGGGAAATAACTATAAAGAGTTGTTTTATCCGATATGTATAATATGTTATGACATGACACGCAGTGCAGGTAGACTGGAGGAGCATACACCACATCACACATTTAGCAGCAAAGATAATTTGCTACATGTAACTTTACAACTCGTTGTATTGAATTGATAGATATGCGTGTTTTAAATGTTGTAATCTCAGAAAATTCTGTTCTGATTCATTCTGTTCACACTGTGACTTTGATTTGTAATTTTATTAATGTAATGCACGTAACTTAAATCCATCATCCGTCCGTTTTCCTCTGTTAATTTGACTAATGAAATGTTTGTTTTGTAGATTGACAGAGAGATAGAGAGACAACACGAGAAATTTTAACTGGTTTGTATATAGTGGATCTCTGAACTTTAATTTTGTCCAGGGTAATAAAAATAATAATAAAAATGATATTTCAATATAACTTTAGGCAATTTTACATTTTGGTTCATTTTTTTGCAGTTGTGACTTTGAAAAGTTCAATCACTTGGGTTAGCCAAATATTACAACAACACCAAAGAAAAATCAATTGTGACAAGCTTGGAGGAAGCACTGAAAAATTTATAACGAGTCTTCCTGCTAAAGCGGATATAATCTAGAACTTACATATTGCTTGTTGACACTTATGCCACTACTATCAACTATCCATAATTGCCAAAAGAGAAAGAATAACTGAAAATGCTTGAGCTGAAATTTGGTCTGTACGAAAAATTTGAACATGTTTAAGACCCTGTTTAACTCGATTTCAAATGCTATCGGACTGAAAGAGTCCAAAGCAATTTCACTCACCTTTGAAGAGGCAAGAGCAAGAAGTAAGTGCTGTAAATTTAACTACAACTTAATGTAGTTGAAATTGCTACTTGTTACATACAGCTTATTTGAGCTTGTTACATAATGTGTTTATTTATTGCAGTCACCGATGCAGAATATCGACGCCTCCATGATGCGTTTAAACGCGTTGTTACTCAAAATAGTCATATGTCCAAACAGGCATTCTTCCGAGAAGTTCTCGGAGACCTGTTCCCTGTGGATATTGCAGAGGTAATAAAGACAAATTATACGTGAGCATTAATTTTTCGCTTATAATTTTGAAATGTTGCTCTAAATTGTATGGGTTGGTGACGAGTGGTTGACAAACGTCTGGTCGACATCTGATTGGTAGATAATGTACGAATATTTTATTGCTACGAATTATCCAGAAAACATAACATTACATAGATAAGTATTAATTTACAGTGGCATAAAAGTATTACAATTTTAACCCAAACGAACTTATTTTGCGGTAAATTTGGTAGCCATGTGTTGTCGCTTTCCTCGATCGACGAGAGGTCTGTAGGGGTGCCAAGAACGATAGATCAATTGATGACGAAGGCTTAAGAGTTACTGGCGTTGACTCCGTTTCAACTTCCTGAATTTCAGGCTAGTCACCTTTTTCCGCGTCGCGTACAGCTATTCCTCGGAATTTTCAACAGATGCCAATCATGTTGGCTACTGTAGTTAAGAATTAAAAAGTTACATCCTTGAAAGGACTACGGAAACGAGCATCCAGTTAGTTCTTCATCAGGTGTCGATGAGACGTTTGTCGACCACTCGCCGAAAACCAAACTTATGTATTTGATTTTGTTATTAGTTTCTTTACTTGACATGCGGAGGAAATTCGAAAGGAATTCTATTCAAAGATCTGGTCAGTGCTCTAGTTGTGCTCACGAAAGGAACCTATGAAGAAAAAGTTAGATGTGAGTTGAATGAGTTAATATGTGTATTCAGGAATTTAAAGAATGATTTAATTATAAATGTAACATTTTTTAGTTATTTTCTCCTTTTACGCTGGTGATCAAAATTCCATTAATCGAGATGACTTTTTGCGAATCCTGTCGGACGTTGAGGGATATCCCGCACGTGACAATATTCATCGACTTTTTTGCTATGTCAGTAGTAGTACTTTAATAATTAAATAATTTATTGGCTAGACCTCACTACGATTTATTAACTAATTCTAATGATATTTGTAGGGAAATTCCGTGGAGTTTGAAGCTTTTACGAGATGGATTACAGAGAATCGAAATTCGACTTCAATTTCTAGTTGGTTGATTGGATCCGACAATTATGCACCATCAGTCGTGCCTCTGACAAATGGTTTTGGCAGTAATGGATTTCAATTGTCAGACGATCACGAAACTCCGACTTTCTATCAAACGCTTGCTGGTGTAACTCATTGTATGTTTCTGCTCACAACAAATATTACAAGATTATTTGTTATATTTACATTGCAGTATTAATAATCGCAATATTTGTTGAAATAATTTCAGTGGAAGAAGAAGATATTATAGAACTAGAAAAGCGATACTGGCAACTCCAATCATGTTCTCGATCTGGAAAGATGGATGTAAATACCATGATCCCTCTAGTTTGTCCTCCAGTTCCCGAATCAATTATCCAAGGTTTGTTTGATGCGTTCGATGAAAACCGCGATGGTCACATTGACTTTAAAGAAATGGCGTGTGGAATTTCCGCTGCTGCACGTGGTCCATTAATTGAAAGACAAAAATGTGTGTATTAATTCCTTTATATAATTGTACATATAGTAAGAAATGATGCAACTGAATTAATTTATCTAGAACTTTGTACTTTTTATAGTTTGTTTCAAAATATTTGATCAAGACAAGGACGCTTTGTTATCTCATGCAGAGCTAGCAAAGATGGTAACTGTGATGAAATCCGTGCTAATTGAAAATTTATCAGACAACCCAAAGGATGAAGTAGTCGCAGTATTGACAAAAGAAAATGGTCTAATTATCAGTGAAATATTGGAAACGGCAACGTCTTCAGTTGGAATTGCACTGGAAGAGTATTTAGTCTGGTCATTATCAAACCCACTTCCAGAAGTGTTTCTAACATTAATTTATCAGGTTTGGTGCATTTGAGTATATCTATCGTATATGTTTGTGATATGGATGGAACTAAAATTAAACAATTGTTTTGTGGGTGTATAGGTGTGCCAAGTGGTTCTAGGATTAAAACCTCTGGATCCTCTGGAAGAGTATGAAATTGTTACGTCGTGGTTGCTGCGTGAGGAGAAGCGAGGTCTTCAAGAAGGTCAAACATGGTATCTAATTTCTATGGATTGGTGGAACAGCTGGCTGAATTACACTAGTCCGAACCCCCCAGCGATGAGTAACAGTGATTCCGGGGTTGGATCTATGTGAGTACACGCACTACACGTTATAATCTCAAGATTTCTTAAATAGATAATTCTCATTTCTTCTTCTTTCTAACCAGTACTGGAAGTGGTGCAAGTGCTAATGAAATATCAGCGTCAACAGAAAGTCGCAACAGTTCTGGGAGGAGTAGTGGAAGTTCTAGAAACTGTTGGTCATTCAAAAAGTCAACTGTGGATAATGCGGTAGTGGCAATGGACGTGAGTCAGAATGTAGTTGTAACTGCAATCAGTTCTATCGCAAAAGGAGACCCAAAATGTAATCGTTATTGGATACATTCATTTCATTGAGGCCTCGCGTACTAATTTATGTATATTTAATATTTTTTTATATTTAATATTAATATTTAGACGTAGAAGGCCAAGGTGATCCTCCTATGGGTGCGATGGTTTCTCATGCTAAATCAAGTGCAAGTTCCTTATCCCTTGCTACCCTAGATAGCTCACGGTATGAATATATCCTTCATTGGTTTCATTGAGTTCACGTATTTTAGAGAGAAGCAATTAATTTTATTTACGAACTTCCGTGCGTAGGTCCACCTGCAGTAGTTCCCCAAGTCCAATAAACTCTCCAGAAAGTGTCCGTCGACAGTTGAATGTATCTCACCGTCCTGGAAATGGTGTTCGAAGAAGAAAACCTGGGGCCATTGACAATTCTCATTTACTGTCACCCGTTCAACCAAACCTAGCTCGAATTCCGTCCATTACCAATGAAGGCGGCAGACTGCGAAGGGATGTGATAGAAGGTCGAGACTTCAAAACACTTCCAAAAAGTTTATGGAATGCTTTGCAACAATGGTATGGGGTTGGGGTTTCGCTTCCACGTCAGGTGACTACACTTTTAAATTTTAACATTATCTGACACCATGAATCAAAAATAATTACTAAAACTGTTACACATGTATATTAGGTGATCGCAACTGAAAAACATTTAGAGCTGGAACTGTATCCGATCATGGTTTTATTGTTCCGACATCAAGTTATGAACGTACCTAATACAAAGCCCACAGTTTCATCGAATGCTCCTTGGGCAGGGATGGCTGGTGCATATGGTGCAGCCGCAATTAGTTCCACCATGTCATATGTCCAAAATCATAATTTTATGCCACCAAAACGGTAACAAGCAGTCATTTTTATGCAATTCCCAAACTAATGTGCCTTATATCTTATATTGTATGTTTTCTTTTCACAGAGTTTTATCCTTCACTGCCGCCTTCAGTAGAACCGCTCGTCTTGCCATTGTTTGTGAAATTACTTTCAAAGCATTGAATCTAAATCCAGAAAACACTCGCCTTGATCTTCTAACTCCTGACGATCTTTCATTCTGCCTCGTGCTGGAAGATGATAAGCAGACGATGGAGGAGGCTGGAATTGGGGACAAGGCAAACATTTTGATAGAGACAAGAAATAAAGATCAAACATGGCCGGAGGAAATTGGGTCATTGGCCATGAGCAACAGTTCTGACGCGTTTCGCACAAGAACTAGGGCATTGTCTGTCATGAATATTGAAAAAGGACTCACGGGGCTAAATAACTTGGGGAATACCTGCTTTATGAACTCGGCACTTCAATGTGTGTCAAACACAAGACCGCTGACACTTTACTTTCTGAGTAAAATGCATATGTACGAATTAAACCGGACTAATCCTATTGGCATGAAAGGTCACATCGCAAAGAGGTACGGAGATCTGATTCAGGAACTCTGGAGTGGTACTGTCAAGTCAATTGCTCCATTGAAACTAAGGGTAAGTACTTGTGTCTAATTAATTAATAAGGATTATTGTGATGAATTTTTATTAATTACGTGTCTTTATACTTACTGCAATGTTTAGTGGACGATTGGAAAGTATGCCCCACGATTTAGTGGATTCAATCAAAATGATGCACAAGAACTTTTAGCATTTCTCCTCGATGGACTTCACGAAGACTTGAATCGTGTGACTGAGAAACCCTACGTGGAACTAAAAGACAGCAACAATCGTCCTGACGTTATCTGTGCTCAGGAGGCCTGGGAAAATCACCTTCTACGTAATAAGAGTATCGTAGTTGATACGTTCCACGGGCAGTTAAAGTCTAGCGTTCGATGTCGGCAATGTGACACAGAAAGTACTCGGTTTGATCCTTTCAACTATTTAACTCTGCCTCTTCCTATGGAAAGCTATATTTTGTGTGACATTGTTGGTAAGTTAAGTTTTTAACAAAATATGGTAATGAATTTAAAAATCGACCATTATAAATTGACAATTATTTATAAATGTAATGTGAATAGTGGTTCGAGACAATGGATCTGTTCCTGTTCGATACGGTATTTTAGCTGGGATTGATGACCGCATTAGTCACGTCAAAGCTAAGTTATCCGAACTCACTTGCTCCGATTCCTCTGTATCCACTTCATCCCAACAACAACTGCCAATCATCCCCGCCGAGAACTTAGTCCTCACTGAAATTCGTCAATCCCGTTTCCTTCACATTTTTTCTGACAATCAAAGGGTGAAAGGGGCCTTCAGCAGTCGCCCCATTTATGCTTTTGAAGTAAACATTCCTGGAGTTGGGGATAATGTCATCCCCTCCAGCAAATCTGAAACTGATCAACAAATCAAGCGAATTCTCACTTCAGTCAAAAATGCAACCTCTTTGAAACCTTCTATTGAACAAAATAATCCTACCTCAGGAGCAGGAACAGGGCCCTCCCATTCTAGACAAAGTAGTTTATCAAGTTGTGGAAGTATGCAAAACTCCTACAGTGAATCATACAACAACAGTGGTTCATTCGATGAAAACTTTATTGTGGTTGTACACCGAAAATGGGTAAGACAGTTTTTGATTGGATTAATTATTTAGTATCACAAACTGATTAAAACTCACGTAAACTGATCAGCTCCGTCAAGAAACGTATTTCCTGGCGTCTCAAAAGTCTTCTCCAATACTTTTTGGGATGCCATTGGTCGTACCCTATACGGAAGGAATGACGAATTTGGAATTGTATAAACGGGTATGGAGCCTAGTGGCGAGATTAGTCAGTCCTCTTCCTCCTACAGAAGGCCCCAACATCTCTAATCACGCATACGACTGGTACGAATTACGTGCATAAATAAATGCTTATTTTAACTACTACAGTTACATAAGTGCGCATTGCATTAATATATGTTTTACTTTCAGCGATGACAGTCTTGGTTATGAGTATCCATTTGCTCTTCGAATCGCCACACGTAACGTTGAAACAGTTTGTGGAAGATGTGAATGGTACAAATTCTGTCGCGGGTGCACCATCGCATGCTTGGAGGATGAAAAATTAGAGAAACTCAATTCGCAAAAAGTATGTCTCGTCATCGACTGGGATCCCACAGCTCTGCATCTTCGTTATCAAACGACACAAGAATTCGAACATATTGAACATTGGAGTTTGCCGGACACAGTGGAAAGACTTTCTGAAAGTGTTGCTCTCAACTCTTGCTTGGAATCTTACACTAAAGAAGAGGAATTGAGCGAAGAAGAAAAATACATGTGTGCCAAATGTGGAACTTTGCAATTAGCGACAAAGAAACTCCAAATTTGGCGCCTGCCACCGGTGTTGGTACGAATTTATTACAAGCAATTATATTTTATATATTTTATAGGCAATTTCATACGCTTAATCCTATTGTGCTACCAACTTTCACTTGTAAACTATTTATTTACAGATTGTTCACTTTAAGCGATTTCAACATGTGCAAGGACGATGGGTCAAGTCTCACAAGGCTGTCGACTTTCCCTTCAACAATTTAAATATGACCAAGTATCTGGCCGACGTTCCCAGAAAAACTGCAGAATGTGGACAAAATTTGAAGGATGCTCTCAGCACACAAGACAAAGAGTTGCATCCTCTTCAAGATTTTCATCAACATCGATTGACAGACGATGTCAATCCATTCAAATTGGATTATAGATTATATGCCATAGTTGTAAGTAAACAATTATCATTAATTGGATTACACGGACGTTTTAGTAGAAAACAAGGAAAAGTTTTACTTCATTTGTCAATATTTTGAATGATATCTGCAATTCAATATCAGGACATCGTAGAAAAAGATAAAAATTATCGCAAAGATTTTTTGAAAAAATAGTGGTTATTAGTGGAAAATCACAAAAACTATTGCCACACTTGTGGCGTTAGACACTGGGGTCAAGTCATGATATGAGGCGTTTGATTGTCATTGGATTGATGTTCCCTTAATTCTTTTTTCATTTATTTAGTGTCACAACGGAATTATGGGAGGTGGTCATTACCTAGCATATGCCAAGAACACGAATGGAAAGTGGTACTGCTTTAATGACAGCAGTTGCAGGGTAACTATATGTTTCTACTCGTATTCCTATTGTCTTTTTACTTTTCTACTTATAAATGGCTTAAATTGTATTATCATTTGTATATACTTGTAGGAAGTAACTGAAGATCAAATTGAAACAAGCTCTGCCTACATGCTCTTTTATGAAAGGATTGGCGTCAGCTCGGAAGCATATTTACCTCGCATTGACCCCAAAGCCGTTCAAATCGTCACTGACGATGAACTTGAAGCTGAAGAAAATGACATGAAAAAAATATGCGTTGCATTCTAAATTAACAACCATTTCATCGTGAATCTTCATCATCATCACTACAACATAACCATTCCATGGAATTGAGTGCTATCACCATCATGGTAAACAAGTCCCGAGTGATCATCATAATATATTATGCGTATATGCGTATAGGACCCGACTCTATATTATTATAATTACAAAATTATTAAGTATATATAACCCTTGGAACCTTAAAAAGCGGTGTATCCGATACGTGATCAAATTTATTATTATTTAGAATTACTTATTATCGTGGCTCAACGTGTACAAACAGTAGAGAGAATAGTGAATTATGTATGTAAGCTATTTTGCAAGCATGAAGAGATGGGACACGCCACTCTCATGATTTCTTCTTTTTCATTTATAATTTTCTAGTTTATGTAGTGCCAATAACTACTACATAGTGCGTACTTTTATTAACGTGTTTTTAATTTGACTTGGAATGAATTAAGTGATATGCTTAAACTGGAGCTTATTTTTAACTTGTTTGGCTTAGGTTGGATTATTGTGTTATTGACAGTATTTGAGAGAAAGATACAGAAAATACTACAAGAGTTCTATAATTGCTACACCAAATACCAGAGCTTTATCCAGTAAAGTATTTAATGAAATGGATTATTATTATTATCGTCACTATTATTTTGTAGCCGTATAAAAGTAAGGTTCGTCACTTCTCGAGAAATATACAATCATTATAGCTTCAAGAGTATGTTTTCAAACGTGAACATTTAAAGTTCTGTGAGTGTGTCAACTGTAGGTTTTTTATAAAGTTTCCTATCTGTGATTCGTTATTTATAAATATATCGACTATTATATAATATATACGTTGGTCTACAATATTTATTCAAGAGAAACAAAAAACACTGGTGGTTTATGAAATTACCTCAATTTTACGTACACATATATTTAGTTCAATATTACTTGTAATTTGTAATTATAACAAAATGGTAGTTTAGTTAGACCAGAAATATTTTCTATCAGTTCAACAAGAAAATTATTGTATGCACATATAGGAAATCTCAGCCGGTATTCGAATTACGAAAAAGAATCAACCCAGATACTCTTGAATGATTGATGCATAATTAAGTATTGACTAATTTTAAGTACCGAAGCATAATAATCCGAGTAATAGTACTAGATAGTCAACTTTCCCAAACAATTATTGATTAAATAGTCAATAACTGAATCATACGTAACAGTAAATTATAGAATGCAAAAGTTTATCGTGAATGATTTGAATGACGAATGGCTTTGCTAGTCCTAGAATAGTTAACATAATAGGCATTAGGCATAATGTTAGATTTGTCTTATAAATGTACGGTACCACATATTCTATTTTGTGACCTGTTTCTAAAGTTTTGTTACTTATCATAGTCCAAAGTTTCCAAATATAATGAATTACATTGTACTAATACGTTTAGCTTCAAGTGTGGCTAAGCGTTTGAAAATAAGTTTACGAAGAATATCTTGAGTTATAATTTTTTTGTTCGACATTGAGATTTAGCATCATCCCGAGAAAGAGAAATCACACACTGTGAATGGAAAAACTAACTGAATTTTATATTACTCGAGCTCAATGGAAAAGGAAAATTACAAATGTTGTGCCATGATTTGGTAGTTTGTTTGTCTTCTTCAAATTTAATTGTTTCAAACGTGTACCTCATAGATACATGTGTAACTGTGCTATTCATGTTCTTTGCATGCAAATTACTCAGAAATGTGTATCCTCAATGCGAATGTATACAAAACGTGTATGCAAACATATTACAATCCAAATTGTACAAAGCAGAAGAAATCCAATCGATAATACAACCACAGGCTTATACATAATTTAGAATCTAAATTTTAGATTATTGTTACAGTAGAAAATAGTCGGCAGTGGATGCTATAATCTCGACATGGTGTAAATCTCTAAAAAAAACTGGGTTATGAAAAACCCAACCTTCCAACAACATTATCATGTTGATAGAAATTTATACGTATTTAGAAATTTTAGTCGTACATGTAATCAAATGATATGTAATTCGTAATTTATTGGTTTCGCTGCTGCTTATTTTTGCCATTAACGGATTGAATCATCCTTGTGTTATCTAGTTGAGTTAAAGTTTTATAAAGAATGAAATATTTATAAAATATTACAAAAATGAAAACTTTATTATTATATAATTATGTACCAAAGCTAAAAGTGAAATATATATGAGTGAGGATGGATAAAAAAAGGTACGGGTCGTTTGTGCCAGCAAAATTTTCCGATCTCTGTATTCGAAAAGCATATTACTAAATTGTACTGCTTTTGATGTGGACGAGAGGCGAATGATTATTTATTATTCCATGTAATATCACTACTAAACCGTGTATGATTCGGTTAAAGGATCAATTATTATCTGTACCGTATTCGTACTATTGAAAGTTAAACTGGAAAAAATAAAAGTTTAAATGGGAATGAAAACAGCATTATAATAATTTGTTGACCGCGTTTCTGTAGCCCGTTGTAAATCGTAGTAGGCATAATTTATGTAATTCATAGTGATGCTTTGGATATTCAATTTTTGTTCCATGTTTTTTATTCTTTGTTTGGTTCAACCCTTTATTTTTAGGATAAATCCTCGCCAAGAAATGGTGAAAAGCGAGACAGGACGATGTCTCTCCTCACATTACAGGATCCGGTTGAGAAGCCCGCAAAATCCCACAACAAATGAGTGATAGACTGCTCCGAGGAAAGGAGCAGTGAGTGGCAGTGACTGATTTCGGGCCACAGACAGACGTGGCTTTAGGGGAGCAAATGTAACAATCCTGCATCCTGCATATTGAAAAGTGAGGCCGATACAGAAGGCCATGATTTTTTAGGAATCTCATTATTTATGGTTTCTTTCTATTACTACGTAGAAAATTTACTGGTACAGGAATGCTGTGTCCCTCAAATGCCGTAACTATATTGCTCATGTTATTAATACTAAAGATTTCTAACTTTTGCAACACGAGGGGTCTCTTGTAGGGTGTTAAATACACGTATTTTTCAATTATCTAGTAAAAGTATGAAATATCTAGGAATTGGTAAGATTTTGATTTTCAACGCCTTTGGCTGGAAATTAAAGCCGTCATTGCATTCGAATGTATAACACCTTAGGAATTGAACACATTATTTTTATCATTCGAATAGGATAGTAAAAGTTGGAAAATACAAAAATCGTTACATCACCTCACCACAAAAAAAATCATGCATTTCGTTCTGTAAATGAGCAAGTTGAGACGGAAGCTTTGGTGAATGTACGGCATCCAGTTGGCAAAAGACGCAAGAAGTATGAACAGGTGGACAGAAATCGCGTTTCTAACCCTTTCGTCCCAGCCCCAAAACTCGCTGCGCTAAAAACCCAACCCATCTCGCACAATCACACAGTGGTACAAACCATGATACTCGGCTGCTGCTTCTTCATCAAAAGTTTGTACAAAAGTGGTCGACTTTTATGGTATTTCTTACCATGTTAAACAATGTATGTTTACTTATCTCAAACACAGTGCATATTTACTACCAATGCTAGCTTCCGTTACAAATTCTAAGCCATGCACTTTCTTAATAAGTTCTGCCTCCTCCTACCATGCTTGACATGACAAATAGAATAAACAAGGAACTCCGAACTGGGTCATTATCATTATTTCTAAATTTTGTCTCCTAATGACTTGAAGTATGGAGTAGTGCACTGCACACACGACTCATTTTCGCGTCCGTTATATTTTAAAGCATAATTCAATTATTTTAGTCTATAGAGTTTGTTTATTCGAGTAAACTAGGGTTTTTTGCAAGTAGTTTACTTACAACAATTTTAGCCATTTGGAGACAAAGTGCAGTGCAAGTTTAATGCATACACAAATTTCATGAGAAGAGAGACTAAGCTCTGCCCAAAATTGAAACGTGGGTTGCGGGAGAGCGTTGTTGAGAAATTCTGCAGACTCACAGAGAATAAATTTAATACAACTTCTGCTCGATCGTGCTCAAAAGTACTGGAAACGTTTTTGAAAATTGGTTTAAATCTTTCGTTTCAAAATTTAGTGTGCGTGAAATTAAAGGTCAACAGTTTCTTTAACAGTCTTAAACATAATTCATTTGGGAAATAATTGATTCTCCATCGTTTGGTGAATATTTAAAAAACGTTGTTGTTTGTTTGGGAAAATCGAGTGGAATATTATTTTTCATTGGATAAGCTCTTGTCGACGGTTTCACTATGGTGAGTGAATTGAATACTTATCAATGAGAGGAGAAGATTTTGGTTTAGAGATGTGCAATCTAATCTTTATTACTTCGAGTTGAAGGAGAGCTGAACTATGTTTTCTTTCTTATTTACAGTTTGGATTTGGAATGTTTCATGAGCCGTTGAGGCCGTTCAGTCGGACGTATCGCTGCTTCTCGGTGTCTATGCTTCCAGGACAGGAACGGCAGGACGTGGACAATGGAGGAAAAAGTAGGGAAAATAATAATATTCGATTACAAAGTGTAGGAGTAATTCAAATGTGTTACGAATGGCTGATTACTTGATTATTTAAAAGTTAGTTTAGTTTGAAGAGATGATTTAGATCAAATGGATAAAAACGGCTTCTCTTTTGTATTGTTTACAGTCATCTTGCCTCCGTCAGCTTTGGAGTACTTAACCAGACTGAACGTCGTGTATCCAATGTTGTTCAAATTGACACACGGTCGACTGGAGCGACAAACTCATTGCGGAGTTTTGGAATTTGTGGCAGACGAAGGTCGTTGTTACTTGCCGTATTGGGTAAGCTGAACGATGGGTAATTTAATATTCTGACAAAATTTCAAGCTAAAACTAATTTATTTCTCGTGTCTTAGATGATGCGCAATTTAATGATTGACGAAGGAGACGTTCTTACTGTAGAAAGTGCTACGCTGCCAGTCGCCAGTTACTCAAAGTTTGAACCTCAGTCGCCTGACTTTCTGGATATTACGAATCCAAAAGCAATGTTAGAAAATGCATTGAGAAGTTTTGCTTGCCTAACAAGTGGAGATGTGATTGCTATTCGATATAACAACAAATTGTACGAGTTGAGGGTCCTGGAAACTCGCCCTGGTCCCGCTGTTTCAATTATAGAATGTGATATGGACGTACGTTGAATATTTTGTTCTTGAATCATGCATGTTTTTTAGTGCACAATGCATATTCAATTATTTGTTCCATTGTTCGTTTTTGTAGGTTGAATTTGCCCCTCCTGTCGGTTATCAGGAACCGGAGCGACCACAACAAACGAAAAAGGCTGAGCAGGACGATGTTGAGGAAATGTTGTTTGAAACTACAGATTTTGTGGCTTTCAGAGGAGGCGGAAACAGGTAAAAATTTGCTCAAGTCACGAGTAACGAGACTAATCAACGTTTATTGGTAAAAATTACAACTTAGCGATTAATAATGCATATAAAATGATGATCTAGGTTGGATGGAAAATCATCTGGGTCTCCTACATCATCAGGTGTATTTGTGCCTCATAAACGTGGCGTCCCTGACTTTGAATTTAAGATGGGCAGGATTCAATTCTTGCGAAATGTCCGATTCAACAACAACTCGGCAGAAGCAGACAGGAACAATAAGACATTCAAACCCTTCGAAGGCTCAGGAACAACTCTTCGAAGTAAAGACTCGACTTGAGTACAATTAAATTTAAGTGTGTAGGTAACTAAAGTCAACATGTATAAGTGTACTACCTCACAGTCAATTATTATTGATTTGTATAAACAGCTGCTGTCGAAACCGAAACTGATAATTACCTGATGCTCTAATTAATATCCATAACATACTTGATTTCAGTCCAAACAATTGCGTACAACATGTTTCTTATTCGGAAATGCATGAAGATTCTTATTCTTAATGTGTGTATGGTTACTCAATGTAGTTATTACAAAGCGTAATTTTTTGTACCACAGTAGTAAACGATTTTTATCTGCGAATTATTCTAAATGAAATTTTATTACTTCGTCATCACAGCATCCTTCCATCCATTCATAACCAATAACAATCCCAATAATAATGCCAATAATGACACTCAAAATTTTTACAGTCTCCAGTAGAAGAACATTCTAAAATCTAGTCAATCACTCGTGCATGTTCTGCCAAATAGTCATATAGATGTTTTTCTTTCATTTAAAGGTACAAGTTCAAGTTCAGTACTGGTCGTCCACTTCCAGCTCCACAGGCAATTACAGGGTTTCTATGATCAAAACTCATAATTAATAAAGGCTCTCCCCATCGTTGTGCATCGTAATTTAGTTGTTGCATTCTTACCCAGTACCCTCAACGAGGAAAACGTTGGCTGGAGAATTGGGTTGTTGACTGTTCTCGCAAATAATGTCACTAAGTCGTCTTCTGGTCAATTCGGTCAACTGGGCCCCAGTAAAACCAGTGGGCAAGTTGTGGGTGAAGAAATATCTGTCTCCGTGCTTCGTTCGTGTGAATTGAGTGCCCTGTATAATTAAATTATTAAATATATAGAGTTATTAAATTAACTTTAACTAGATCGTCACTATGTATTTTCATACCATCAAACAGGTGAAAGTTTGACCAGTCAACGCTCCGTTGTACGGAGTCTCAATAAGACCTCCAACGAAAAGATCAATGTCGATTGGACGCTGGTAGACGCGAGAACATTGTGTCCATCCATCGGGGTTGATTCCAGCAGGGACGACGCTCCACGTCGCAGTGGACAAGTCTGACCCTCCACATCCCATACGATAATCATTGTAAGAGCGGACTCCGTGATCTCGACCACGCTGAATGTTTCGTGCAACCAAGTCAGACCCAAAGTTTTGGTTTTGGGGCTTGAACAAAAATTGTGTCACTCCAGTCGTGACGAATCGGTCCATTTCCGGGGAGTTTTGTCTCATCAGTCCTCTCAAAATCATGTCGTATCCTTGACCATTGTCTCGGGTGATCTAGAAATAATAGTCATTATGTAATTCAGGTTTATTCTTCAAATCGTGAATTAACCAACCTGTCGAGACTGAAAGTACTCGTTGGCCACTTGGTAAGAGTCGACAAGCTGATCTTGTGAGTTGAGCATTTGAACAAGTCCGATGACCATAGAGTGTCCGTAACGGTACGCAGCCGTGGCGAACTCATTGATGATGGTGGGGTCGATATTTGCTCCGTACGTGGACCAAGTGCTTACTCCCAAGTTGTACTCATTGGTGGCAGCCCCAAGAACGATGGGGAGGTACTCACTGTAGACGACTTGTTGAAATTCAGCAATGACGATCCTCCTACGATTTCAAAGAAATGCATAAGGTTGACATTGATGCATAACATTCGTATCCATTCTGGTTTTTACAAAGATAATGATTTGTGGGTAATGTGCGAAAATGCAACAAATCTAGTTTTCACCCCTTCCGACCAAGTGGTCGGAATAAGCTCACATTTTTTATTCACTCGAGGACAAAAGAACAGACCTTGTTTCCTGATAAATCCTTTCATCATTCCATGTGCTAATTCGTTGGAACTGCGTTGCAATTCTGTTGTGCTCCATAAGCCAAACTAACAATGACACCATGATGATTATTCGATTATGTCGAAATATATTTTCATCACATGAGTTTAAAGCATTATAGATTCAAAGTACCATTGTGCATGACTGCCAACGCAGGCATTTCATTAATTCTGTCATCCCCAGCCACAAAGTCACCTTGAACTTGGATCCCGAGGCTGTTACTTGTGGGCAAAAATCCTCGAAGATTGGTGTTTGCTCTCAACATTCCTATTAAATTAATATGACAATATTTATTAATATGCAAATTTCTGCACATTTTTTGGTACGATAAGAATTTGGGACAAATTATGTATTTCTGCTCACCACCGGAGAAAGTTCGGAGTTGGTTTGATCTGGTTGGATTAGACCCGTAAATTTGTCCTGCATCAATGAACGCCGTATTACCACTCATCTGTTGTCGTTGTCCATTAGCTATAATAATAAATAATAATTTTAATAAACATATCACGAAATGATACTTATAAATTTGTCCTCACATTGGCAAGGCGTCGACCTAGTGAAGTCCAAACACTGTGTAAATCTTGAAAAGAAAGCGTCATTTCCTACAAAAATCGGCCAGCAATTGGCAGGGTTGGAATTTGGATTGGCACAACACTGGCTTCCTAAAAATGTATGAAAATGATGTACAAACAAAACGGTAAAAAGTTATGTCGAATTTCATACCCGCTTCCATCGTGAGGGTGAGGTCATGGTCCAGGAATTGACCTTAAAATTAAAACGCACAAGACTATGTATTAGTTCTTCTAATCATGACACAAAACTACAACTTTCGCCAAGATTTCTCTAGTCAGGTAGAAACACCTTACTAATTGGTGTTATGAGATAAGTAGAATTGTGTCAGGATGGAGATATTAAGGATGGAAAGAGAGACCATACCAAACTGTGGCACCATGTTGGTGATACGTCTATTGACAATGCTCGGATTGTCTGGGTGGACCGTGGTTGAAATGACTCTTGGGTTCTGGAGTCTGGAGTTGAATCCACCTCGTGGAGCATCGAAGCCATCTTCGTATGCAGGTTGGAGAAGTCGGTTAAACTGCCTTTTATTATTATTTATAATTGGTTTTCATTATTTTTAGTTGCTTAAAATTTACGTGTAAAATATTAATTTTAGAAATACTGACCTGTTGCTTGCCCCCCAGGCGGGATTGTTCACATTGTTACAGGTTCCATCCACGGTTCGGAATCGTGAATTGACGAAATTTGGACAGTGAGAGGTCGAGGGGTTGGTGCACATTCCGGGTGTGTTTCCACCAACGGCTTGTCGCTTCGTAATGTTGTGCTTGTCCTTGACGATGGTGGCATAGATTTCAAAAATGTTCGAGTTTTTGTCATACTCGTTGGAAAACTCGTTACACTTGGCTGCGCGACATGGTCGAGAAGTGCTCCCATTTTGGAATTGCTGAACCACATGTTCTTCGTAGATATCGGCGGCACGCTGTTATGACCAGAAAAATAATGCTGCATGGAAATGGAAATTTTAGAGGAATTTACAAGTACAAATTTCTAAATACCTTCCATAAAGACTGGTAGTTCAGAGAGATCTGACCAAAAGGATCGGCAGTCTCATTCTTTTTGGCAAGGTTGTTAAAGTCGATAAATGGGGTTCCCACATCAGGCTCAGGTTGAGGTTCGACTTGGATGCTAAAATCGGCCCTTACCAAACACAAAGTGCCTAGTACCAAGCAGACGACTGTAACGACGGACGAGCTAGTGGGGACACAAGAGGATATTAAAATATGCATGCAGTTGCTGCTCCCCCACGCCTCCCAAAGTTAAGGAGTAGTGCAACGCTGGTTTTCAGAAATAAAAAATGAAAATCTCACCTCATTTTGAAGCAGACGAGACAAGTGTCCAGAAATGCATTGAACATCGGCAATCACATATCGCAAGATTTTATAGTGCAATTCCATTGTTATCCGAATGAAAAATATGCATGAACATGGCACAATATAATTCATGTGAATTTTTCAAATTTAGTTAGCGAATCGGATGAATGTCATCACATAATCATCATCGTGTCATGAAGAATACGATACACAGACTTTTTCCACATTTGTTTTCTCCAGCTTTTTATTGGAACAATGGTCTCAATCAGGGTGGCAAGTGGTGAACTAAGCCACGATGGCTGATGACAGTGACTGTTGTTACGCCCATTTGTTAATTTGTTGCACCAAAAATTATATATTATATGATGTGATATGTATGATTCTTTACCGAATTATGCAACAATTTTCCGCTGAAATATAATATATTCCATCTTCTTCAAACGTCATCTTCTCATTTGTGTATCAATCAACCAATTCATCACGCCAGAAGGAAAATGAAAAGAGGAGCTATGATTTCAAATTAATTCATCGAAACGTATCAATGAATTTTAGGGTACAAATTCAAGTTTAAGGTTATATTTTCGTGTCAACACTTTTGTTGATTGCATGGCCTAGGTTGCATTAAATTGCTTTTGGTTTCATCTAGATTTCAATCCGTTGAGGAATGATTTTTAGACTGATGGTACCAAATGACTCCTGAAACTGGTTGAAGATTTTATAATATTTATTGACGAGAAAAGATTTTAGAAACTATTTGATACAAATAAATATGATAATTAATGATGTAGCTACTCAATATCGTGATTCATGGTTAAGTTCGGATGGTTTGGTGTATACTTGTAATATCCAGATTTACGCTCAAAGTCATGCAAATTATTTAGGCATGCATTATTAACTTTCAACTTTTGTGGAGGTAAAATACTACGCTCTAAATTTTATAAGTTTGCAGATAACGTTTGATCTAAGAGGTCTTTACAATAAGTGATACTTTGATACTTGACACCTTGCATTTGCACAACACATCTACGAATAACATACATACATATCTACATACTACATACAGATATTTAGAAAAATTTACAGCTATTTATTTTTACAAGGATTAATTTATGATTAAAATATCTTAAAACTACTGGCAGTGTGTTTGGTTTGGTTAACTATAGCTGTTAGCAAAATATGTATAAAAGTTGGATAACCTATCTCTAAATAAATTCATGATAAATTTACACACACAATTTGGTTTTCACATGCACTCAGAGTGTTGCCGATGAGTTCTAAATGAGTTGTCCTTAAAGTCACTATAATTAGTCACAAACTCGAGCAAAATTGAGATTTTAAGCATTTTTGGACTCCCAGATAAGTTCTGGATGCAATCGTCTAAATTCTAACGAAATAAAAAAATTGAAAATTTTTGAGCTTGTTCAAAACTCATTTATAACTCATTTACGTACAACTCATTTACACTTTGGTCTCAAATTAAAAAAAGTTAAAAATTTTGTATTTATTTTAAACTTGCACCATTTCAACTAAAATTTATGTGGGAGTCCAAAAATGCGTAGTAATTCAATTTTGCATAAGTTGGTAACTAGTTATATCGAATTGAAGGCCAACTCATCTTCAGCTCATTTAGAACTCATCGGCAACACTACACTCCTCAACGTATTATGCATGCAATCCAAGATCAACATTTTATGTACTTTCTACTTACTTTTCATGAATTTTCACTCGTACTATTGATTTCTCATGCAGAATCGTGTTAAGTTCAATATGCGCATTATGTAATCTAGAGATATTTAAGTTGTATGTACTTACGAAGACGAATAAATACAAGCACTTTAAGATTTCACTTCCCTATTCCTGCGTAGAAATTGCATGAATTCAATGAGTTCAACCAATCCTATTCCGGCCATTGCGATTCCTCCAAGGTGTTGCTGCCGATGAGCGTGTGTCGTCAATCTCATTTTCAGCGTCGTCAGCACTCAGCCCGTTGTCCAGCACTTGGATGATGGTAGGTTCAACGGGTGGCAAGCTGGTCGTGGTCGTCGGGCTTGGCGTTGTGGGGCCATATGAGTTGTAAGGGTACTGTTTAATCCCAGCCATTTTCATGACCTTTGATTATAAATATGTTTTCGTATTTAAACTCGCAAAGGGAAAAATAAATCCTGAAAAATAAGCACAAAATTTTCATGACCTGATGGTACAGGGGCCAGTCTCGAATTTCCTGACATTCTGCCATCACTTGCCTATTTCGCGTCCGAGGACAACTGAGGCGGATATAGCAGCTAAATATTTTATTGAGTTCCTCTTCAAAGAATCCCAAGATCCTCTATCAAATAGACAGTTTTTTGGTAATCAGTGAATTATAGAGAAATTTTCTGGGTGTCTTATATCATTATGCAGATGGACTTATGGACACATTGAAACATATTCATAATACATAACACTTACCAAATCGTTCTCAGTCTGAGTGTCCAGATCTCCAGCTCTCAACCGATTCCGTCGTAATAAACTCTGAAAAATAAATACAATTAGCACTAATTTTCAAACAAAGATATATACGTTTATACGAAATATATAAGTTTCTTGCCTCAAAGGAGAACTGATTGTTTGAGTTTCTGGCACCCTCATTATTGCTGACGGCTGGTACCCCCTGGACACTCGATACCACCACACCTACCAGTCCAACAAACACCAAAAATCTCATTTTTCCCTACGTAACCAACAGAGTTGACTGATCCGCAACTTGGCGAAAAATGGACAAAGTTTCGATGGGTCATCAATTTTTATATTAGGCCAGACCATGCCATTCCATTTATTCAGTCAAAGTAATGACATTTGGCCCCCATTTGGATTAATAATTCGTTTTTAACCCTATCATGTACACATTATTAAGAATTGACATAGATCCGCATTCCATTTGCACTTAAAGAAAAACTTGTAAAATGATGATCAATAGGAATTAAGCATATTCTCGTCGCTTAATCATATCTTCACCCAAAGCCGTATTAAAATTCCTCGCTCTAGTTGCTGGAAACTGCAAATAAGATTATGCTATTTGCATGAGACATAACTATTCCAGACTTAGGAAGCATAAGTTATAAGTATTTGCAATTTAGGAAGTCATTACTTCATAAGATTAAGATTCGTACGATGCTTGATTTAGTTCATTCGGTCACTTCGACCAATGCATTAATTATTCGCCTTCCTATTTACAACCCAACAAGGAACACGTTAATTGATTCAAGATAATGATTTATGCCCATAATTTGATTTCAAATTATGACAAATTTCATGAACTTTGTCCCAAACACCTTATTCAGTCATAATTAATTAATTATTCTTAACCCTTCGGACGCTAATGGTAAAGTTAGTGACTTTTTTATGAGGCTTAGAAATTCCAAAAAAGTGAGGCCGTCTCAATTTTTCCACTTTCTGGAATTAGAGATCAGGACACCCACTGAATGTCACTTTGCCCCAAGTCGACTGAGGTAGACACAAAGTTCTCCAGAGCTCAAGCACGAATAATCGGTGTAAAGTTCTCGCCAGAAAACGTAACCCGCGTTGGGCTCATAGTTGTTAGTTCTCTCCGGAGAGTAGCTTGTACAATTAATTTCTTGACTTTGATTCCTACTTAATTAGCTACTTGACTGCAATTGTGACTAATTAATGTTTATTTTTGACTGTTATCATCATCATCATTTGACATTGCAGCGAAATTCAGTACTAACGTTTTTTTTTGTATATTGATGATCGAGTGACTTGACTCTCGAGTGCGAATTGCACTTGCGATAAATTTGTAAAAAGTAAAACATCTCATCGCGAAAATGGAGACTTATCTTAATATTGTTAAAATAATTGCCGACGCGGCCGGCACGACCGTGGAAGTGAGGAGTAAGGCGGTCGAAGATTTACTCAATTGTATTGATGTAAGATAAATGTTTGTCTTTTTTTAAACCCTAGTCAGAAAACGAGAATGAATTATGACTAACTAACTATTACTATTTCTACTTTAGACGGTAATATTGGAAAGTTCATACCAGTTGTGGTTAGATAATTGCATCCCAATGTTACTGAAATGTTTGGAAGGGGAGCCCCAGTTTATTACAGAATTGCCGGGACAGGTACTAAAATTGTTCATTTGAATTAGTATATATACATGATTAACAATTACGACTAATGAATTTAATTTTTAATTGCAGCAATTGAGAAAAGGGATTTTAGAGACCATACATCGTCTCCCATGCAATGATATGTTGCGGCCTCATTGCAAAAATATTTTGAACGTGGTTTTTAAAATTGTAGAAACAGACAACGAGGAAAATGTTTTGATCTGTTTGCGAATCGTGATCGAGTTGCATAAACAATTTCGTCCACCCTACGCGACGGAAGTGCAGCAGTTTTTGAACTATGTGAAGCAAGTGTACACCGAGTTACCGGCGTACATGGACAAGATTTTTGACCCTGCGCTTCGCGGAACCATTTTGATTCCTGACATTTCTCAGTTGAATATTGCAGAAGTGCTGGGGGAGAGGTTTGCGGCCACACAAGTTCAGACGGAAAAAATGAATCCCGATGGCTCTCCAGTCACGGTAATTATTTATTGTAAACTACTTTGTACTTGAAAGATTGTTTAGTTTTTAAATATAGTTTTTAATCAAATTCTTGTTATGTTTTCACAAATTATTATTTAGTTTACGTTGCAACCAAGAGCCAAAACTTCTCTTAAAGTGTTACAAGAACTGCCAATCATCGTTGTTCTCATGTATCAAATTTACAAAACAAGTGTCCAAACCGAGGTGGGTGAATTCATTCCGGTTGTAATGTCAACAATTTCGCTACAGGCGAATCAAGAAGCTAGGTAATTATCTTTAACAATGGGACGTATAGACGATGATTTTTTAACTTAAATTAATGTTTATATATAATTTAGGGATAATCCTCATTTCAACAAAGAGGTCCTCGTAGAGTTTATGGGAGCACAGGTTAAAACGCTGTCGTTCCTAGCGTACATTATCAAACTCTATCAAGATCTAGTGATACAGCACAGCCATTTATTGGTCGCTGGGATGATTAGTCTTCTCAAATCATGTCCCATGGAAGTGGCAGGCTTGAGAAGAGAGCTGTTTATTGCGACAAGGCACATTATGGGAACGGAACTGCGATTCAGTAAGATAGCAAAACTTTATACATAAATTGATAAAAAGGTTTTTCCTATCTTTTTTGTTAAAACAATTTCACGGATCCTTGTATTTCGTATTTATAGAATTTGTTCCGTATATGGAACAGCTTCTGGATGAAGATGTCCTGCTAGGAAAGGGATGGACAGTCAACGAAACGATGCGACCCTTGGCATATAGCACCATGGCTGACTTGGTCCATCATGTCAGGCAACACTTATCTTTGGTCGATTTAAATAGAGCCGTTCTATTTTTCTCTTGTCATGTTCATGATGAAAGTATTCCGCTCAGGTATTGAAAATGCCAACAATGACTAATTAATTAAAACGATAAAAGGTACCTTACTCACGTTATTATTTTTTATCAACAGTATTCAGACCATGTCGTGCAAGCTTATGTTCAACCTGGTTGAAAGCATTCGTCATAAATCAGAGGCTGAAGGTGGAAACGGCCGTGAAATTCTTATGAGAATGCTGGATGTTTTGGTGTACAAATTCAAAATAGTAGCTGAAGTTCATATTCCTTACTTTCAAGAAAAGTAGTAAGTACTCAAATATCTACTGTATTTCTAGCTGACTATTTATATAACTTGAACATTGTTATTTAATTTCCCATTTTTTCCACAGTATCAGCTTAAAAGAAGATCAAGCTTTAGTAGTACCCGTCCTGGTTCCAAACAAGAAGCTCTGGAACTATGAACCAGATGAAATTCTTCCTAAACACAGCGTTCCGGACGATGTGAAACGTTTCGGCTTTCCAGTTTCTCCCATGCAAACTTATTCTTTCTCAGATTGCAAGAATTTGGTGAAAACAATTGTTTGTGCTGTAAAAACAATCTCGTGGGGAATTGCATCCTGCAAAGTTGGAACCAACGAACCTGCAGCCAGTACTCCAAACACATATAAGCAATTTAGTGCAAAGGAAACTGAAGTCTATCTTCGGCTAATCAAGTGGGGTTTGCGAGCGATCGATATTTACGCCATCACCGGACCCGTCGTTCCTCAAAATGGTTCGGCGTTCACGGCTGCTCAGCGACCTTTGTACTCTCAAGGGGTTCGTTCCAAGGACGAGAAGGAAGTTTTGGAACATTTTGCTGGTGCTGTAAGTACCATGATAATTCCAACTAATCTCAATGTTATTTAACCCATTAAAATTTGTGTAAATTGACACGTGAGTTCAATTAAATTAATTAATTTCAGTTCACCCTCTTGAACACGTATACCTTCAGAGAGATATTTTCTGTCAGTATTGATCTCCTCGTTCAAAGGATTCACGAAAACAATGCGCTTCAAGTTGTAACCAACAACCTTCTTGCTAATCAAGCAACTTCTGCCATTTTTGCTACCATCCTGGTAGAATACCTGCTTAACAAAATGCCAGAAATGGGAGACGACGTCGAGAAGAGCAATTTGTACCTGAGACTATTTAAGCTTGTGTTTGGATCCGTTAGCCTCTTTCCAAATGAGAATGAACAAATGCTCCGCCCACATTTACGCGAAATTGTCAACAAGTCGATGGAGCTGGCAATGAATGCAAAGGATCCGTTCAATTACTTTCTTCTGTTAAGAGCTCTCTTCAGATCCATTGGGGGTGGAAGTCACGATTTACTCTATCAAGAGTTTCTTCCTTTATTGCCAAGTCTGCTTCAAGGTAGGTATTTTATGATTACTTTTAAACAAGCGTGTACTGATAAATAATAATAATGTTTCTCAGGTCTCAACAGTTTGCAGTCTGGTCTGCACAAACATCATATGAAAGACTTGTTTGTAGAACTATGCCTCACCGTCCCTGTTCGTTTAAGCAGTTTGCTTCCATACCTGCCAATGCTAATGGATCCCTTAGTATCCGCACTGAATGGTTCGCCAACGTTAATAAGTCAAGGCCTGCGTACTTTGGAACTCTGCGTGGACAATTTGCAACCAGAATTTTTGTATGAACATATCCAACCAGTTCGAGCTGATTTGATGCAAGCTTTGTGGCGAACTTTGAGAAATGTACACGACCCTACAGCCGTCGTTTCATTTAGGTTTGTCATTATTGTTTTTCGGATAATAGAATTGTTGAATAATAGAATTTATTAAGTGGTTACACTTGTAGGCAAACATTTAATCATAATTGTATATTTTGTGCAGGATTTTGGGGAAATTTGGTGGCAGTAATCGAAAGATGCTGGTTGAACCTCAAAAGTTGGAATATAGCGACGGAACAAATATTGGGCAGTGCATAACCCTCACCTTTGCAGACCATAAAACTCCAGTTCTACTCCCACTGGAAAAAGTGATCGAAGTCGCCGTTCAAACTCTACGTTCAACAAACACACCAACCACGTCCGAGCTCTATTATCAACAACAAGCCTGGAGTTTTGTTAAAATATTCGTTTTTCAATCCTTTGAACTGGAAAGCGATAGAACATTGGGCAACAAGATTTTACTTCATCACAGAATGAGTGACAGTGATATGATCACTCTCCTTCCAATCCATCGTGGCGATGATAAGTACAGATCAATTCTGATTACAGCTCTATCCGGGTGGTTTATTGCGACGGGTGTGAAAGAATTGAGAAAGTCGGTCTACTCTTTTCTCGTCCCACTTTTACGGCACATGGCGATGGTGATGACTGTGCAACAGACAGGAAGTTTTGCGGGGAGAGGAGTCAACATGGACCCCTACATAATTTTCGACGCAATGGCAGCCGTTCTTGCAAATGAAGAGAAAGATTTAAAGAGACCCGTTCTTTTTGGACTGTCCGTGATAATGAACTGCGTCATTAATCTTGTACGATCAAAGGATGTGGTAAGTTGAAACTTATTTTCAATTTAGATCTTTTATTATATTCTCATAATTTAAATTAGTACCTTTATTGAACTAATTTTTTATTGTAGGCATGTTCACTTCCAATGATTGGCTACATCACAGACAAGTTTTCCGATCTCTGTTATAAGAGAGCATGGTACACCAAGATGGGAGGATGTCAAGCCATTAGCTTTTTCTTGGACAACATGTCCCTCCGTTGGACCCTCTCCCAACAAGGAACCATTCTTCGAGCAATGTTCTTTGTCTTGACAGACTTAACCAATGAAGTTTCTGCCGGAACAGTTGACCTCGCAAAAGAAAATTTAACAAAAATGATTCGAATTTGCTGCGCCTGTTCTGATGACAACCTTTCATCACTTAAGAATAGTTGCATAAGTGACATGACGAAGGAGTTTACTCGACAACTCACCTCCCCAATTACAAATATTCGTACTCAGTCCATGAAAGCATTAGAGTTATTGGCAGAAATTCAAGGAAAAACTATTTCTGCAGTTATGGAACAACACAAGGACGTTCTGAATGAAATGGTCTTACCAAAGAAACATGTAATTCGACATCAATCGCTCCAATGTCAGCTCGGAATTTTGGACGGAATTACATTTTGCCTCAGCCTGCAACCCACTCTGTACCCGTTGGATGCTACTGCACAGGAGACCAAGGTTTTCATCAACGAAGTGATGGCCCTTAGTGATGCGGATGACAATGCATTGTCGAAACTCCCATGCTACAAAATCGTATCCAGTCTCATCCCCATCCGGATATCTTTGTTGAATGTACTCGCCTGTGTTGGGCACCTCGCCCCCATCAAGGATAAAGTGGCCGGAATCTTCCTCAAAGCTATTGGATCACCATTCGCAGACCTTCAAAAATGCGGATACGAATGCCTAAAGAAATTTTCTCATGGTTTTCCTGTAGATTTGGAGACTCAAACGACCGCAGTTAGAATGGCCTTGTCAGCCCTCACCAATATTCGAACTGTGACCCAGCCCGTGCTGTCTCAACTCTCATATTTGTACCAACTTTTCCCACACGCCATCACTGACAAAGTTTGGGAACAATTACTCCAATTGTACAAAAAGTGCTTAGAGTTTGCCCTCGTGTCACATCAGAAGGCTCCTGCCCGCACTGGTGTGCACGAACTGAAAATCGCTGTAGCCATCCTGGACATGTTCCATCTCATCAATGCGGGTTCCACTGCAGCAAAGCTTATGGAAATTGTGACAAAATTTTGCCTCCAAGCGGAGAAGGCACTCATGCTCGGGAAAGGATCTCCTCTTCGTCTTCCACTTATGAAGTTTTTAATAAAACAACCCAAAGAATTTATCGACATTGCATTCTCCGCTCCATACATCCAGTCTCAAGAGTGGAATCGCTTCTTTATTTGCTTCCTGGAACAAAGCGAATCGGAAAAGCTTCGAGCGTGTTTAATCTCAAATCCTTCGAAACTCATTCATTTTCTTAACATTAAGAAGAATCCAACCATGCCAGGCCCTACTCCAATTCAAACTGCCCCAACTGCATCTCAACTCTGTCAACAAGGGCAAGCACCTCAACCTCCTCCTCCAGCCCCCAACATGGTCACCCTCACTCCTGCAGAGCAGATAGAAATTCAATACTTTGCTGTGAAGGTCATGTCAATTCTGAGTGACTATGATGAGGATTGGATCTTGGGAAACACATCAAACCGTGGCGAAGTTGTCCAAGCACTCCGAAAAGTTTGGGAGAGTGCAGAATATCAAAATGTGTGCAACAGCACGTCCTCCATGTTTATGACCCAGCCGGCCCCACCTCCAAGTGCTGATCCCACCGTCGCCGTGGCATCTCCCTCCACACCTCCTATCCCAATATCGTCATCTCCCAATTTACACCTGTCTCTCAGTAAGCTTCAAGTACAGACGTGGAAAGAGCCTCAAATGATTGCCAAGCTGCTGCTCAGTTACTACCGAAAAAACAATGGAGACTTTGACATGCTCTTCAAACTCTTGTTAGCGTTCTGTGGTAAATCAATATCTCAATATCACTTTCTGAAGGAATTTCTCGACAAGACTGTCACAAAGTATAGTGTCACCTGGAAGCGGCAAGCGTTCTACGCCTTCTCCAAATTTTTCCACGATCCAAAATGCGCCGAGGAGCTGAAGGCTAAGATAATTCAGTACATTTTGATCCCATGTTTTTCCTACTGTTTCGATAAAGGTCAAGCAGACGAACTTATCGGCTCCAGTCCTGAACCAGACATTGCTAACCCTAACAATCTTGTTAACATCTTTATCCTTAATATTATCGATCCTGAAACTCAGACCACGATTTCCGACTCGGTTAGAATTTTACTGTATCAATTCGCCTGCCTTTTAGTGGACCAAGTCCCCAACCACATTCATGACGCTTCCAATAAGAAGCAGGGAGTAAAATTGAAGCGCCTGATGACCTTCACATGGCCATGTCTCCTTTCCAAGAGCTGCGTCGATTCGAGCACCAAATACTACGGCCATCTCCTTCTTTGTCACATCATCACCAAATTTGCCCTCAACAAAAGAATTGTTCTGCAAACGTTTCACAGTCTGCTTAAGGCATCACTGATGGAAGCAAAGTCAGTGGTGAAGCAAGCTTTGGACATTATCACACCTGCGCTTCCCTCCAGAATGGATGATGGCTACACCATGCTCATTCACTGGACCAAGAAGATCCTCGTTGAAGAAGGTACGTGGATTAACACATGCATTTTACAAGACGATTTGTTCAAATGTGTACTCATTTGTAACATATGAAAATGGCGTATATGTTTACTTAATGTACATATTTCTTAGAGGAACTTTGGTTCAGACTAAGCATAAATTATAGTGCAATTTATTTTCAAAATGTATACAATTAGTACAAACAGATGTAGCAATTTTTGTTCACCTGGCTGATAAATATTTGAACCTTTGATTTATTTATATTATTAGGTCATTCCTTGGGTCAGTTGATGCATCTTCTCCAACTCATTGTTCGTCACTGGAAGGTCTACTACCCAGTTCGTCATGGGGTCGTTCAGCACATGGTGTCCGGGATAACAAGACTAGGTTTCACTCCTACAAGTACATTTGATCAGAGGAAGCTGGCTGTCGAAATGGCCGAAGTGATAATCAAGTGGGAACTAGAACGAATTAAAAATGAGATTCCGGAAGGGGAACCACCGGATGAAAAGAGGATCAAGTTGTTATCCACTTCCCCCTCCCCATATGCAAAATTAACTGACCCTGCTACAGATGCGAGCAAACCTTTGGATGCAACCCATATCGAAGCCGTGCTCAGTTTCTTGTTGAGAATAGCATGTCAGGTACGTGTGTCTATTTATTAATATAGAATACTAACAATGCTGATGATATGGTGAAATGGAATTTATGAGTTTGCTTGATGTATAGGTGAACGAACCTAATCCATCAGCAGGATCTCAAGGCGAACTTCTGGCAAAACGATGCATTACTCTCGTGAAGCTTATGCTCCGGCCAGAAGTTTGGAAACAAGGGGAACTGAAAATCCAATGGTTCGAAAAACTCTTCGCCACTCTAGACTCCCCACAAGTCAATTATCCCAACATTTGCACCGCTCTCGAGTTGTTGGCATACATTATTGGGATACTGGATAAGCCGGCAGTGCTAGAACACATGAAGTTTCTACAGAAAGGCATCACTGCTTGTATGACTTGTCAAAATAGCAAAGTCATCCGTCAAGTCCACCAACTGCTGACCAAGTTGACAAGTATTTTTCCCACCGAATTCCCCGGTGGCTCGGGAACCTCTACAGTTGTGAAATATGACGAACTTGAGCCATTGTACACCTGCGTGAGCAAAGTGATTTACGAAGGACTCTCAACGTATGACAAGCTGACTAACGCTAATCCACAAACACTCTTGGGTCCAATAATGATGTGCAAAGCTACCTGTTCCAATAGCCCAGGCTACATTGACAGAATAATTACTGCATTTATGAAATGTCTCCAGAAATTAGCTCGTGAACATTTAACGCCTGCTGTGAATGATGCATACGTAGCCACTGAACTGCTCATCATTAGCTTGGAGTTGGTTAAAAACCGCGTTGGAGTCATGGGCGGAGAAATGAGGAAAGCATTCATCGGTCAAGTTTTGGTTAGCCTCATAGAAAAGTCTACAGATACCAAAGTAATCGGAGCTATTGTCAAGATGCTTGAAGATTGGGTCAAGAATCGGGCTCCACATGCTGTAAACCAAGGCCCCACCATCAGAGAAAAGTCCATCCTCCTCGTAAAATTGATGCAAAATGTTGAAAAGAGATTTCCTACAGATCTCGAACTCACTGGAATGTTTTTGGAGCTTATCAACTTCATTTATCGAGACGAATCTTTAAAATCTACCGAACTCAATGGCAAATTAGAGCCGGCTTTCCTCTCTGGACTCCGTTGCGTTCAACCATCCATCCGAGACAAATTCTTCCAGGTGTTCGACACTTCGATCCGACGAAAACTGCACGAACGACTCATGTACATTGTTTGCAGTCAGAACTGGGAAGCGATGGGGCCTCACTACTGGGTCAAACAATGTGAAGAACTATTATTTGCCACAGCTTCAGACGTGGCTTTAGACATTGCTCCTAAAGAATCCATAATTCCGTCAGAATCGTATGGATTCTCCCTCCTTGATCAACCCCTGAAGGATGCCTTTTGTCCAATCAACATGGAAACGACCGTGGTAGATGTTCGTGAACATGAAATTGCATTTGTACAGCAGTTGGAGAAGGATGTGGAAGCGTTGCAAAAGCTATCAGACAGCGAGGATGAAGCCGTAATTGCTGAATCTATAACAAAACTAGAGGACGCCTTCTTAAACGAGGGATGGATTGAGCCCGCACATCCTGACAGAAATATGAAGTATATATTGAAACGGGAGAACGATTTCATTCAATATGCAGCCAAAGGGTTTACGACTCACTCTCTCCTTCAACCCATGGTCCAGCTCTGCCATTTGGACACTACACTATCAGAGAAGATTTGGATCTCGTTTTTCCCAAGGGCGTGGAAAATCTTTACGGAAAAGCAACAACTCGCTTTGGCTAATGAGATGGTCCCCTTTCTGTGCAGTGGGGTACATGCTATTCAGCAACATTGTCATCCTAGTGCATTAAGCACCTTTGTTGAAGCTCTTTGCCAATGTACTCCTTCAATACCAATGAAACCGTAAGTCAGACAAAATTGTTTTTATAACCAGAACTGATTCATTAAGCAGTCGTATGTCTTATCAATTGTAAGTTTGTTTTCCATTTTGTGTTCTAGAGCTGTCCTCTTCTACCTGGGAAAATCTCACAATTTGTGGCACAGGATGAGCCTTCTACTTGAACAACTCGCGTTGGACTGCAGTTTAGCGCCTCCTCTGAAAGCCAAGAAGGACACTCCCATAGATTGTTATGAATTTGAGCCAACCACCAGCACACCGTCCCCTGCTACGACCACTGTCCAACAACAGGAAATCTTGGACTCTTTAGCTGAACTGTACTCATCACTGAAAGAGGACGATTTATGGGCCGGTCTTTGGCAAAAGCGAGCAAAGTATCCAGAGACCAATTCAGGCATTGCCTATGAACTACAAGGCTACTATGAAAAAGCACAAGGGTGCTATGAGGTGGCAATGACGAAAGCGAAATCAGAATCTGTGAATTCCCTGAACTGTTTTAGTGAGCTAAAATTGTGGGAGGATCACTGGACAAAGTGAGTTGTTTGATATTGCTCACTACGTATATTAAATTAATTTAATGTATTTAAAAATTGCATTAATTATTAAGCTAATTGCTAAAAATAAATAATTATTTAGATGTGCAAAGGAACTCAATCAATGGGACTTTGTGCTGGACTACAGCTCGTCAAAGAGTGGTGCAGATCCTTTCGGTGTTTTGGAAGCTTCATGGCGTAACTCTAATTGGGCAACTGCTAAGGAAGCGTTGGCCCAGGTGGAATTAGGTTGCCCAAAAGAAAAGGCATGGAAGGTTCACTTGTACCGTGGCTATTTGGCAGTCTGTTTTAGCGAAGATCAAAATTTATCCATTGTCGAGCGATTTGTAGAAAGTGCTCAGACTTTGTGTATCAAGGAGTGGAAACGACTTCCTAATCTCGTGGCCCCAGTTCACGTCCCATTGCTTCAGGCTGCTCAGCAGGTACACCGACCTTAATTACGCAACGAGCAACTATTAACTAACTTTAAATACAACGTCATTCATTTACTTAAATGCATAAATTCCAGGTTGTGGAACTGCACGAGGCCACTTTGATCCACCAAGCCCTATTGCATGCCCGACAAAACACGATGAATGATACAAAATCGGTAGTCAAGACTTGGAGAAATCGACTCCCTTGTATTTCCGATGACCTTAGTCACTGGTCTGATATATTCACGTGGAGGCAATTGCACTACCAATTTGTCTCTCAACACTATGTTGAGGGAAGTAGTGATCAAGGGAATCAGACCATGTTGGGAGTACATGCGTCCGCACAGGTTCAGATACACAATTTTTCAGTGCATCAGCTATGCCAGGTCTGTCTTTCACAACTTTTCAAATTGTGTCCCATATTCTTGAGTGGTTAATAATAACAGCGTGTCAATTTTTTGTGTATTAACTAAAATTCGACCAGTTTTTAAATTAACAATAGATACATATATGATTGGATTCAGATTCAGGTGGTCATCGGTTTGAATTGTTTACGTTAAAAAATATAAAACTATTGCTCCAACAATCTCAATTCATTCACTCTCATAATGAAATTGGGATTTGTTGTAAGCATAAATTTGAAAAAGGGGTTAATTACCTTATTAGCAACCAAAATATGGTAACTTAATGATGTGTGAAAGACAGATTCACAGGAAGCAAATTATTTTATCATGTCTCTATTATCAGTATTATTATTGTCTTTCTCGCAACACATGCGCTTGACAGTCTCGCTTGACTTAAATCATTAAAATTTCGCTTAACAAGCAGTTATACGTGGTACATGCATCTAAATACAATGCGTTAACATGACTGATTTTTAGCTCTGATTTGCTGTAAATGACCAATTTAATTTTATGTGTGATATATATATCATAATATACACATTTTCAATCAAAATGCGGTGTGTGAATGGCTTATATACATATAACTTTAAAAAATAAAGTCCTACCTTATCCGTAACTAATATAAAGTGGCTAACTGCATGCTATTTTTCGTTTTCACTTAGTTTTTATTATTTTAATACTAGATGATAATAGACAGATGTTAATATGTTTTACAAATGTCATAGGCCATCTGTCATTTTGGGAAAATTGCAAGAAAACATAACCAAAGCGCTGTGTGTTTGGATTCATTATCAAAAATTTATACGATTCCCAGCGTACCAATTGTCGACTGTTTCCAAAAGATTAAGCAACAAGTCAAGTATTACATCCAACAGTCTCAAATTCTCGGAAGGAATGAGCTCTCAGAGGCTCTGGAGATCGTGGAATCTACAAACCTGAAGTATTTCTCAAAGGAAATGACATCGGAATTCTTTGCGTTAAAAGGCTCCTTGTTGGCACAAATTGGTATGCATAATAAGTTCTTAAGTTCTATATTGAGAACATTTTACATGTTTATTCTTTTTATTTGTACAGGCCGTTCCGATGATGCAAACAAGGCATTCTCTGCCGCCTGTCAAATGCATGATGCAAATTCAAAATCTTGGGGATTATGGGGTGACTACTTGGAAAGTTTATTTACTCGCGACCCTCGCAACATGACCCTTGGAATCTCTGCCATCACTGCGTTCATGCATGCTTGTCGACACAACCAAGAAACTAAAGCTAGGAAATACATTGCTAAAATCATTTGGCTGCTCATGTATGACGATGAAAAGGGCGTTTTGGCTGACACAGTTGACAAGTACTGTATGGGAGTGCCTCCAATCCAATGGCTCCCCTGGGTCCCACAACTTCTCAATTCGTTAGTCCGTCAAGATGGAAAAATGGTAATCAATCTGCTCAATCAAGTAGGAAGGATGTACCCACAGGCAGTATACTTCCCAATTCGAACACTGTACCTTACACTCAAAGTGGAACAACGGGACAAGGTTCGAAATGCCGAGATTATGGCGGCTGCTGCAAAGGCAAGTTTGATGCAGGAAGGGTCGCCCAGTCCAAGTGATGGTCAACCAGGTGTTGCTGCTTCTCCAGCGGCTGAACAAGCAATCCGTGCTACACCTAGCATGTGGCGGTGCTCAAAGTTAATGCACATGCAGAGAGACCTTCATCCTACGATTTTAGCCAGTTTGGAAGGCATTGTAGATCAGGTAATTTATTCAATAAATATTCCGACTTTTTATAACTGAACACCTCCATTATCTATTTTTGATAAATAGATTATTTGGTTCCGTGAGAATTGGTATGAAGAAGTTTTGCGTCAATTGAAGAATGGTCTGGCCAAGTGTTACGCCATAGCTTTTGAGAATCGAACAAATCTTTTAGAAACGACAATAAGCGCACAACTTCAAAACTTTGTCAAGAAATTGGTTTCCATGTTTGGTCATGGTAAGTTTAAACATTAAGACTTTTAAAAGATGCAAAATACACAGCAGCGTAATAAAAATACTGTTGTGTTTGTTAAATTTTAGGAAGTCCACTAGGAAATCCCCCCGTTATGACTAGTGGAACGGGAACAACACCAACTATCGAGGCCCTGCTGCTGAGACGTTCAAGTACCCATGACCCTTCATTTCAACAAATGAAGATTCAGTTTTCTCTAGATTTTGATAGTGCAGCTCCTGGTGCAATAAAGCTACATAACCTGATTCAAAGATTGCGAAAGTGGATCAAGATCCTTGAAGGGAAATGCAAACTGTTTCCAAAGTATTAAATACTTTCAACTTAAATACTTGATCTTGGTTCAAATTTTAATGTTTTTATGATGATGTAAGGTCTTTCCTAATGGAGGACAAGTACCGCTTCTTGCTCAACTTTAACAGCCAAATTGCTGATATCGAACTCCCTGGAGAATTTTTGATTCCGAAAGTAAGTAGTTCAAGTTTCCAATAAAATTTGAAAGTCATTGACTGCCGAAGCTGACAAGTAATATCTTTGGGATGAAGTCATTTCCGCTGGATATGACTGAAAATGTATTAATGCTCAGTTGACGATTATTAATCGCCCTTTATATTTTTGTAGCATGCCCACTACTACGTTAAGATTGCAAGGTTTCAGCCAAGAATTGAAATCGTACAAAAGCACAACTTTTGCGCTAGAAGAATTTATATTCGAGGTCACAACGGGAAAATCTATCCATACCTCATTGCTCACGATTCCTGTCTAAGTGATGCACGAAGAGAAGAACGAGTCGTGCAAATGATTAGAATGTTGAATCATTACTTGGGACGACAGAAGGTGAGATTATTTAATAATGAGTTTTATGTCGGATTTCTAAACATATATGTAAATACACACTAAGAATAGAATATTGAGAAAAATATTATCTTATGCTTAGGTTACTGCGAAAAGAAATCTACGATACACTGTCCCCAAAGTTGTTCCAGTATCTCCACAAATGAGACTAGTCGAAGACAATCCAGCATCTCTTTCTCTCCTGGATGTCTTTAAAATCAGTTGTGCAAAGAAACAGATTGAGTTCGATGCTGCAATTGGAAGATATTATGAAAAAATTGCTAACACTCAGCTGTCCGGAACTATTGTAAGTCGTTTTTTTAATTAAAAAATTGAAGAATACGCATGCTGAAAAGTATTGCCTACATATTGTGTTTTATTTTTGAATTTCAGGTCAGAGGAGGTCAAATGAGTTCACAAGTACTGAGAGATATATTACATGATATTCAAATAAACCTTGTTCCCAGAACAATGTTTCGCGAATGGGCGCTAAGTACATTTTCTTCACCATCCGACTACTGGATGTTCCGAAAAATTGTTAGTTCAATCACGTCAAAATTCAAATTATAATATTTAACATTATTATTGAGATATTTAACTTATTGTTTGCTTGTGTCATGTCTCAGTTTACGCTTCAACTTTGCCTATCTGGATTTGCCGAATATGTTTTCCACCTTACAAGACTGAACCCTGATATCCTATTCCTTCACAAAGATTCTGGAATGGTTAACATTTCGTACTTCAAATTCGATCTCGACGAATCCACAGGTATGCAATTAACTAATCCACATTAGCAATTAGGGGTTCTTTATACTATTCTTCAATGTGAGTTATGGTTTGTAGGTGAACTGGAAACTATTAAACCAGTACCGTTCCGTCTTACACCCAATATTGCCGAGTTTATGACAACATTTGGAGTTCATGGACCCCTAGTTCAGGGAATGACCTCTTTGGCAAGATGTTTAATCTATCCTAACTACAAACTATCTGCTATTCTTCGAGCTATACTTCGAGATGAGATGGCTTCCTGGATAAAGAAGAAGCAGGATGATCGCGACATGATGAACATCCGTGGTCCCTCAGATTCTCAAGGCGAATCTGACAGTGAAGCTGTAATTAATATGGTCACTAAAGCTGTTAATGCAATTATGGCAAGAATCCAACTGCTATGCAACTTTGACGGAGTTGATAATAATGTAAATTCTTAAAACTTTTGAGCACTCGCGATTAAATGCATACATACGTATCCCTCTTCATGTTACAGTACTAATATAAAATTTGGTTATTTCCAGGTGAGTTCATTGGTCACGGCTGCTAACTCCCACGAGAATTTGTGCAGAATGGACCCTACATGGCACCCGTGGTTATAATTTATGAAGCATTTCTCTAAACTTTTTTGTTATGTGTTTGTACATGTAATAAGTTTACATCTAATAAATGTCATTTTTATATTACGACTTGAATCAAGTATTTATTATGCATAATAACATGCTTTGTAAAGTATTTAATGGAAATGTTTCATATTTGAGTTATCATTTAAATTTGTTGTTCCGGTTGTTGTAATTATTGTAACGCATTTGCTGATCCCCACGATAGCCACCCCCTCGGGAGTTGTTGTTGCGTCCTCGATTGTTGTAATTATTGTATCGTGGTCCATTGTTACGTTGATTCGGGTTCCAAGTAAGGCCAAAGGTTTCTGCATTCATTTTTCGCTCAGCTCGCCAGTCTTGTCGGTGTGGTTTTCTAGAACAGCAACAAAACAAACATTAAGTAAATAAGACGTGTTCCAATATTTAATTGTTAATTCTTGATAATGAAATAGATAACACAATTAAGTGCCAACCCCTAGATAATTGTTGATAATAATAACTATCTTACCCCTTGGTCCTTTCCAGTGCTTCGCAGCTAATGTTATCAAAGAACTTGTCCTTATCGTAGTAAGTCACAGGATCCTCCTGCTTCTTGTCCTCAACAATTCCCGTAATCTCGGTCCCTTCCTTCTTTTCCTCGTCACCGGCTTAAAATAAACAGTAGAACAGCACAAATTAAGTCAATGAGAAACACCAAAAGATAAACTGATGAGACTACAAAAGAATACTTACTTATCTTAAGTTTCTCCATAGCCGTTTTCAACTCCTCGTTTGATTTTTCAAAGTCAAACGGATCCTCAAACGTGACCTTGGGAGGCATTTGGGCCGGAATAACACCCCTTTGACTGCGGTTTCCACTCGTCGCCCTGCGGTCGCGGTCTCGGTCCCGGTCACCACTTCCATTCCTTCCGCCGCCTCCACCCCGATTCGAATTTCGGTTCGGAGTGTTGCCTCGTCCAGCTCGGGATCCACCGCCGCCACCGCCACCATTTCCGCCATTCCGGTAATTGTTGTCCTGCCTTGAGCGACGACTTTTAAAAAATAAGCAAAACGACGACAATGTTATAACTTGAGTTATTCCACCAACAAATGAATACAATAAGCTTTCAGTTTGTTGATCTTACTCAGTATTGTTATTCCGATTATTGTAATTATTGTTGCGTCCACTGTTGCTTCTCCTACGATCAGCATGGATTCCAGTCTCTTGGGAAGAATTGCGTCCCCCTCCTCCACGTCCACCACGAAGCAATCCTTCAAACACGCCTTCTCCTGAAATATTGGGTAAGAAATACAATACACTGGAAGCAGAATATTTGACTAATAATGACTACTACTAGGAAATTGGACGGTCACATGCAAATTTGAGAATATGCATACAACTTTTTGGAAGGTGATGACCTTTCTGGCTTCCGCTCTGAATTGGTTTCATTTTGCTAAGTTTAACTAGCAAATTATAAAATGTACAGAAATGCAAAACATGACAAATACTAGTTTGACAATAAAACTTGTAATAATCATTTTGCTATGCAAAGCAGTTCAAAATATTAAATAATGATGTAAGAGAACAAATGGAAAATGTAAATTGTTCTGCACATGCACTCCCTACATACCAAATGATCTGTTGACTCACAATTAGCATGATGGACGAGGCATCCAGATATGCAAAATAGGTAGCAAATAGTAGAGAAGAAGATTGACAAATATGCGGCTGGAGACTTGAGGTCATCACTGCCAAACATGCAAAACTATCGAGCCTTCCGCGGACAGAAAGTTATCGAAAAAGAGACAAAGAGAGTAACATGAAATGACGGAGGAACAATGATGCAAGAAAGTTGAAATGGTTACAAGTGGAAAAATGGAAACGGAAAAATCATATAAATTTTTTACTCACCTCGATTATTCGAGTATCTAATGGGATGATCATTCGCGTACGAGTGATGTCCACCACTGCCAGACCGGAAATGCGAGACTTCGATGATGGCCGGATCTTGAGGAAGACCACAGGCCATCGTTGAGCTGGACTTTGGTGGTTCCAGCACATCAATACTCTTAATATCCGACCCTCTGAAGATTATAAACTCATAAATTTCGTCCTTCATAGGAATGGGGCGTTCCGTTGGACGATCCTCCGTTCCAAAAGAGCGAACCTTTGCCAGAGAAATGGTCGCTTCCCGGAGGTCCAGGGAGTAAAGAATTCCTTCATATCGGATGTCAGCCTTGGACACGAGGCTGATCCGACTCCCAATAAATTGATTAGCAGAATTCACCGACATTGGTTGCGACATGGCAAACAAAAATGTCTGCAAAACAAATCAAGGAAGCTTTCAGACAAATCGTACGATTTTTTAAAGAAAAATGTACTCAACTTTCGTCACAATTTTCTAGTAGTGACTTAAGTCAAAAGTAAATGATAAACCCTTAAAATAATTTCAAATCTTACTTACCTTACTGGCAATTTAAAACTGATAATAGTTGGGACACTGCTTACTTCTGCTACTCTCTGAGCGAGGAGACTTTGAATGCTCATCCGTCGAAGGTCGACATTTAACTAGTTTGTGGGAATGACCACAGCTCTGTTGAAACCTCGGATGACCATTACAAAATGCACTGGACAAATCACCCATTCCAGGTTCGTTGCTTACATATGTACTTATCTCCAACCATAACGTCATGCAGCATAGGACAGGAACGATCGGCAACCAACTTTTCATAATGGAATCTTCATAATTCCTAATTCTTCTGATTTACATTGTCTGCCCTGATATGCAATTTACTAAAAGGTGCACGCGGAGCGTATTTATCCTGCTCAAGTTCAAATGTAAATTCACCCGAACAATCTTCTGGCACTGCCCACCAACTAACGAATCAATAATTACAACTATTTTACTACTTCTTGTGGATGCATGGAAAATTAAATGCCCTGAATTGGTACATGTTATACAAAATGATACTAATTTCGACACTGATTAGTGCAATTGTTAAGTGCATGTACATAAAACAAAATAAAGACATTATGATGAATACTTGTTGCGTTTATTCCATCAGTAAAGGAACACACAAAATACAGTACTACAAATTATACTACCTCATACATAGTTTGAATCAAGCACAGCTTGAGCATAATAAAACTAACACTGTTTCAGTGATGAACACATGCAGGGTTATTCACGATAAATTTAGACTTTGAATGTAAATGTAGATTATCACGGGGAAAAATTGTAATAAATTAATAAAGACTGTATTAAAAGTTGAGCTTTCGACGCGGTGACACGCGTCGATCAAACGTTCCCGTACTGGCTCGCCGGTTCAGGGCTTCGAACTCCTAATTCAAATAAAAAGAAATGCAGTAAATAAACAAATACACACAGGAACACAGAGATGATACAAATGGCTTAGGTATCTAGAATGGTACCTGGATGCGATTTTTGACGCTGTTGGCCCGTTTTAGCGGCATGAGTTGATCATCCGTGTCAACTGGATCTTGATCTTGTAAGTTCTCATTTTCGGATGACTTTGGAGGAGTAGAATCCTCATTGGCGACTAGTTTCTTCTTTTCTGGCTTTCTTGCGCAAACCGTAGAGTTGACCTCGACCTCGTTCAATGCCGACATTTGACGGCTAGCATTGGGACGAGAGATTGGAGTTTTTGGTATTTTGAATACATTTTCAACCTGCTCGACTGGACGGTTGTTAGCCTTAGACGAAGTGCTTGGAACCGCGGCAGGGGGTGTAGGCACTGATGGTGATGGTGTAGGCACTGATGGTGATGGTGGGGGCACTTCTGCATTCGATTGCCGCACTTGCCTCTGTGGAGATCCTCCATTACTAGCCGCCGCTTCTCCAGAATTAGGCTGCGGTTGCTCTGGAAACGACCTTATTCGATCCACTGTATCAGCCATCAAGATTGCCTGTTCCATCGTAATTAATTTTATTAGCTTACCATCCCTATTTGTATGCAAGAAAATAACATCATGACATTTCCTTCCACTTACCGACATTAGCTTCTTACTCAGAAGCCGTAGCTTGGCATTTATTGCCTCATTTTCATCCAAGAGCCGGCTAACTTCTCGATTTCGCTTCTGACGGTCCTGCACAACCAGTAAAATTCAAATGAATAAATCCTCCCTAGAACAAATCTAACATTTCCAGATAATTACCTTAGTAGACTTGATTGCTTTACACGCATCTTTCAGAGTATTCAACCTACTCCCTTGATTGAACAAGTCACCGGGATTCATCAATATCCGCAAAGCTCTTGGATCCGCCGTCCCATAAAACTCGACTGTGAGACATTTTCAACTCAATTCAAAACTTTACTCAAAATTAAAATCTTACTAATCCATGTAATTAATTACTTACAAGAAATCTGCCGAAACTCCTCTTCCACTTGGGCCACATTCTCCGGCATGGGGAGTTTCACAATGGTACACATCGCACACATTTTCTCCTTGTCCTTGCTCGACCGAAAATTCTTGTGACATCGTTCACAGTTTGACAGACCCATTTTGACTTTCGAAGCTTGAAAATTGAAAAATTTATCAAAATTTTGGAAAATTTTGGTCTTTGGCTGAGAGCAAGAATCGCACCTCCTCCTCGTACGCAGAAATGACTCGAATAAGCTGAGATCACCTGCTGGCGGAGAATAATCCACCGCTGCTGCCTGGTTGCGATGGCAATAAAGCACTTGTTTTATTCAATATTTCCAGCAATTCCACCACTATCCTGGGACGTGAAAGGGTTCCAAATTTACGAAAAGCACCCCAATTTGAATAGTGTAAAAATCCATATGCAGTGTGGTAGCAAGGTGAGCGTTGTTGTTTGAGCGTGAAGGAAAATGTGATGTTATCCACCGACCGCACGAGTAGCAAGTACGGTTCAATCTCTCATCATCTCGACTAAAACTACATAAAACAGAACGAACAAGCCTTTCATGAACAGAGTGTTATTAGAGCAGTACGTCCGTATGCAAGTGGTGAGCATCATAATGCAGACATAACAGGTAAAAAGGCAACAGGTTGATGAGTTGGTTAATTGTACGACATCCATCGTACCATGCTGATTGGGTATGGTTCGAGTAGTCGCCCTGCATTCGTGTGCATCCTACCTTGTCTTATCCAAATCATAAAAAACTGTGTAGTTACAAGTATTATTATTTATTATTATTATTATGCGCGTAGATATACAACAGGAGCCACAAAAAATAGGGAGATCTCGTATATAGCACTATATAAATATATGTACTTAATTGAATGAATGAACTGCTGGGAAAATGTAACAAAATTCTGATCTCAATGTTGTAGATTGGCCGAATGAAATGCATGAAGTGTGTGTTTTTTCATGGGATTGATACATAAGTAGCAATAATACTCACTCACTCACAAAAGAATGTTTCAAATATTTAAGTGGGGAGAGAATTTTTGCGATAATAAATGAAACCATGCACTACATGCATCATAAAGAGTTATTTATACAAATGAGGTATTGACATTGGCTGAAAACTAGAATGCCTCAAAATGCTTTAATACATATGCAAACTGAGAGTTTATAAGTAAGTAAATGGATGGAAATTTGTAGTTTGCCACGTTAAATGAAATACATTTCCACAACTATTTAAAAGGTTGGTACAGCTCTCGTTGATTATTTATTACCTACTGCGCTCACCTGCCTATTAACATGCATGAGTAAACCAAATATGAAAATATGAGGAATAAACTGTCCTCTCTCCTGCCCACTATTGGTCTCTCTTATCATCATCATAGTGGGTTCATTCCCTGTGAATGCAAATATATCCAATTTGAAGTAATGATTCAAACGAGAGGATTATGAAGATCACGACCGACGAACGGACCAAGAGAGCCGCCTTATAAATATATTGCCTGTATCATACACATAATAGAAATACATACATTGTGAACAAAGCCAACTAACTCATACCAAAATAACAAGAGGGATTCCATCCATGCAAAACTTGTATTATTGTTCGCAATGGAGATAAAGGAGATAAAGATGTCACTAAATAAATATTTTACATTTTTGCACGTTTTTAAGCAAAATGAGAAAAGTCAGTGACTGAGTCTGGCTCGCATGACTATTTTTTTCTTCATTAAACAGCATAACCGTCGTCGTCGTCGTCGTCGTTTTGAAGGATTTTCGTTAAATTCATTCAATGTTTTTGTACAAGTCATCACCACGATTACATCCAATTGCTGATGATGAGGTTGTGATTTGTTGAAACTAATTCGCATTCTTCTGTTGTTCTCCTTCTTTTACTCGTTCATCATCATCACGGTATTATTGTTCCCATCCCATTATTGCCACTGTCTTTCATCACAAGAATGCCACGATTATTGCTGCCACCCCAGTAGTAATAGTGCAGATCTAAATGTGTTCACTCTGTCCGTAGAAAAAAAAATACTCTGTAATTCGATGTCCTTTAAATGAATAAGCAACAAACAAAGTATGTACATGCTTCATGTGCTTGTTGAGAGATGATGAGAATTTGCTTCTGTTTCTGAAGTCTGGCCGTATCTCCCCTTTTTAAAGAGCAAGTTTAAGTGAGGACGGGTGTACAGGATCATCAAAAGTAAGGAGAGTTAACTGGAGGCATGAAATTAAATGAATGGCACAAAAAAATCATGTTTTGTTGATTTGATTTGGTGTCGTGTTCCATCATCAAAAATGCCTCAGCCCAACTCACAACAATGGAACGAATAGAATTCAATTACAATTGGATCTACCACATCAACTTGTACTTACTAAAATTTTACTTTAGTTTGCTGCCCTGCCTGTGCAGTAAGCATGTATGTGCACATTAGGTATGGCTGAAAATTTTTAATACGGAATCACTCCCGTCACCCGTGATGAATAGTTCTATATGTGTATACATATACATGTTCATATACGAATGTACATTAACTTCTCACTTTGCTAAGCCCTGTTGAGTTCGGAATTGTAGTTGTACATAAGCGAACGCTATAAAATAAAGTTAATGCGAGTTTAAAATGTGCTGGTAATGATTAAATAGGAGAGGTGGAAAAGCTATTATGTATCACAATGCTGCTTTTGCTGCTTTTTCTGACGCTTGAGCAGTGTATGGATGTGTCAAATTCTATTGTTGTTTTGTTGTAAGCTGTTTGTCGAGTGGATACCCAGTGAACTTTACATTATTGTAGTAATGACATTTAGCCAGAGAAAGGAATGTCACAGGAACAACGGGTGGTGGATCCATATTGTTTTTTTGCCAAACTGCAGAATGACGTTGGCAAATAACCGTCAGTCAGACGAGATAATTTAGCATCTTCAAATTTTGGCGAGACTTTCGTAGTAAGGAGAAGACTTTAAATATATTACTATGCAGTTTCTCCCTAAACTACGGTACAATTAATACCTTATTGTGTATCCCAAAGTTGTGCCTGGATCAGATTTGTCCTCAAAATCTCATGATGGTGAGTGTTGTGGAAATACCCTCCGCATAACTAACATTTCAGCTTTGTATGTCTCAAATCAATCTTGAAACCTTCCTTTCCTTAACTGTGCATAAATGTTTCCCTTGAAGCCATCGCCGGCAACAATGTTCAATAAGGAAACGAGATGCATGAGCTTTCTCTGAACAAATTTGCAATCACTCTCAAACATGCATGCACATTCAGGTGGTGGTGAAAATGGTTTGCTTTACACTCTGTCTTCATAAATGTCTATAAACTGTGCCACGACTGCACTTTATGGGGAACAAGGATTTAAATTCACTTCATTACTCGTGTGAAACCCATTCTCCGGTTTTTGCCTGTGATCTTAATATTGATCAATTGATGGATAACCTTCCAGCTAATAAAAAGTACCCGAATTATAAAGTCTTCATTAGGAAACAGGGTGTTTAGATCCAACCTAGTAATATGATTGGAGACCATGCCGATACTCTCACCTCGTCGAATACCCTGCAATTAAAGCTAATTTAAAATTAATTAACTAATAGTTCTATTGACTAATTGAAGGCAAACAATGAACATCTTACTATGACAAAATTTGAAGTTAATTGAATTTAACAGTTATCTTAGTATTCTTACATTTTGATGATAGGACAGATCAAACACATGTGCGTAAAAAAACAGTCTCTAAAAATTATGCAACGACATCCCAAGCACTATAATTTGTAGTCCACAAAAACGGAAATATTTCGTTACACACACTCTGGCCCAGATCCCTCAAATTTTATATTCCACAACATAGTCAATAAACCATAAGTACAACAACGTGGAACAATATGTTCCACGCAAATGAAAAACAGTGTGGCCATTTTGTTTAATAATTATATCCAACTCGTTGGTTACTCACACGGTCACAAATTGTCATTGAGAGCACAACTGAACGATTTTTTGAGACGGCTAGTGAGTGTCAATTTACCGGTTGCCTTTACCTGGAGAAGATTTACTTTGATGATCAATCCAATATGTTAGATCTTCTCTTATTCCACATATTGCCTGAGTAGGCAGCAGTATTGTGTACCACATGAGAGGAGATGAGGGTGGTGAAAGGCGTCATCAGTAGAGTTTGAAAGATATGAGACGTCTGTACAGGAAATGAAGATTGAAATGGATATTTGTCCTTTGTCTCAATTTGAAAGTAGACGTGTCCCTAAAAATGTCACACACATATTGAAAGTTAGTGTGAGGATGAGGTGAGTTATGGACATCCATCCATTTGCATGTCTATACCAACACACCGAATAAGAATACACTATTTTCATCAATATTAAGTAAATACCACACACTGCACTCTTTAAAGTTTGTGGAAGCCAAATTTTAAAGGTTACTTGTTCCAAACAAAAGTTTGGAACAATTTTTGTGTGAAATGAGATTCTAGAAATTTTCAGCAAAGAATTTCACCTGAGAGTTTCCTTTGCCAGCCACCACCTAATTTTAGAGTCGTAGTAGTAGTAGAGGGAGTATGTATTTATATAGTAAATAGCTGTGAAAGTCATGCCAGTAGATGTCTAAGGACAAATGCCAATAATAAGTGCTCTGCCAAACAGAACCAGCACATTATCCTCCCTGCAAGCAACGCCCGTCATTCAAATCAAATCTGTCAAGTCGAGTCTGTGTTGATTGTCCTCGTCATACACATTTTCCACAATCAACTCCAGATCAACTTTTCATCCTTGAAATAAAGAATCTTATTTCTTGCTTTCTTTCTTTTCTCCTCGTCGTGCATATTTCGACTTTACATGTGGGCGGGTTGATCCTCTCCAGGAAAATGTGCCTATTTACATTGTCTGCTTATTTCCAGACTGAAAAATGCATATTCAATGGAGGCAAAATTTTTGTAAAGTTTTCCTTTAAGGAAGCCCCAAAAGGGGAAAGCCAGTCCTCGAGCTGGGAGAAGTGAGCATGTTGAGACAAAGAAAGTAAAAGTGAGACGGTGGTTTGGAACAGAAGCGCATGAATGCCATCCATCCGTACCATGCCAGCCAGCCAGACCAGGCAGAATATCAGCTTTCGATGTGAAACCAGAACCTGAACACCGAGTTGATGTCTTTAGTTGACTTGGTTGAGTTTCGGGAATTTGGGGATGGAATAGAATGAAAATCCTGAACCAGCTTCATTCAGTTGTCAGCTCAGCGTCTTATGTACCCACTCACATAATAATTTACTCGATCCTCTCCTTCCAACTCTTCTTCCTTTCTCTCTCTCTCTTGATTTCTCTCTCTTTGTGAAACCACGATAGTCTCACAAAAATTCATTAATCCATGTGTAACAAGAATCAACAACATCATTTTCAACAGTCCGGGCTGCCAGGGATGGTTGTGTCCACAGGTTTTCGTAATTCCTCGTCATCATCATTCCAGAGAAAGTCCTTCACCTTAAAAACTTTGTGACCCATTCAATCATGAGAAATCCAGAACAAGCGAATTATACTTGACCACAAGACAGAAACGGGTGTTGGTGACACCGCACGAATCGAGAACAAGTAACCTTGCGTCCTTCAAGTCAATCTTGAGAATCTCAAATTGAACTTTGGCAAAGTGTGTAGTAGTGATTGTAACATTGTTTTAGAAGAACTTGAGACTTTTGCCATCCGGAAGTAGCAAGTGACGACGCGTGTAGCTGGTCACGCAGCACTTTAATCATTGGCAAGAGTTCTGGACCCAGATAAAGTTCCAAATGAGGATGAGTTCCTTCTAGAGAATAACAATATCAAACCCGGCAATGGGTTGAGAATTCTCCTGTCTGGTAAGTAAATCGATTCAATATTGCATACCTGATACCTTTTTAAGTTGCAAATATAAATACCTAAATCTACTCGTGTTCAATAACTAATTGAATCCAAATGTTTATTTCTGTGTGGTTACTATATTGTTCTTTTCCCGGAAAGGGTCAGATAATGACTTGGTCATTAAATTAGGAATGAACTCCAATGTGTCGTCCAGATGCACGAAACTTTCTCAAGGCATACACACACACACAACATAAATGGCCTAATTGACTCATAATGAACGTAGCCATGAGCTACTGAGGAATTCTCAATGGGGTACTAAACCCAACAATAAAAGAATCGTAAACAAATGTGCAAAGAAATAAGGGGACCGCACTGTAGTCCATCTTTCTCCAGCTAACGAGAATTATTGCCTGAATGCCATGCCAGAATTATTAAACAGGTTTCTTTCTGTCACCGTTTTTTCAGTGCCACGAGGCAATATTATTGCTCTTCGTAATTATTAATTATGTTACGTATTGGTATTTTTAGACTTTTTCCTTATGTGGTTTTATATACATGCCTCCTTTCCGGAAGTAATAATCAGGAAATCTATACTCAGAATTGATAAGCAAAAACAAAATTTTGTTGATATTTTGAAATTCATGACATGATTTTCAGTTAGATTACACATGACACTCGTCATCATCTCTCGAACTAAACTTCACGAATAACAATAAGGACTACGGAAAAATCATGGATAGATATTTACTGTTTATCAGATTACATACATAGAGCAGTACAATACAGGTTTACTTTGCGGAACGTTTCTCTTTGTATTCCTGTAACGAAATTCGTAATAAGAAAGCTCGTCTCGTCCCATATAATAAGGTCGGTTGACATACATCATACAACTCTGTGCATCACAGCAGGAAGGAACAAAGTTGATAAAGTAAAAGCGAATGCGGTTTCAATTTGAAACTCATTTAATCCAAGAAATTCACATATTCCTTGCACACAACTCTTCCATTTCTGCACGTATGCTCATCTCAAAATGACACATTACACCGCCAATCACTTTTAGTATCATTAAAAAATTCAACCAGTTTTCATTTTTGCAAGCAGGAAACGAGGTAAACGTAACCGGGTTTAGATAAATTGTCCTTGTCTGTGCACATTCCGTGTATGTGTGGATCTAAATAAGTGTGTAATACTTCACAGAGGACAGAAATGAGCTTGTTGATAAATTTGCTCAGAGAGTTGAAAGAAAAATTGCACGGGTCCTGGGCATATTAACTTTTTTAGGGAGAAAATTGCATCCTGCAGACACATGAGGCAAGGCTTACTCTCGTACTTTCACCGTCGTTTTACAACAGATTGCGACCAAACAAATGGTTGGATTCAGGTTTAAACGGCTTCCAGCGAGCGAAACAATTTCTGTTTTTTTGTATTCGCCCTTTCGTTTTGCATGCTCCTATTTTCCCCTTCCGTCAACTAATTTGAGCCTGGCACTTGGTACCTTGGCTGGTTCGGATTGCTCGTGTACAATCAAAACATGTTTGTCCTGGATCTCTCTAATAACTGGACAAAAAGGAGAGGTGAATAGAACTCAGATTTTAATTACGCCCTTCATCCACTCATTATACACTTGGTTTGGCGATGTGTTTCTCCTAATGATGGTGAATCTTGTCATTTTTCTCAACATGACATGGAAAGTTGTACATTCATGCACGGAGTAAGTACCACTGGATAATAGGTTTAAAGTAAGTACGTCGGTCTAATTACAATTTACAAGAGGGTAATGGAGCAAGGATCTGGCAGAGTTGCTCATAATTAATGGTCACAATATTCTCCTTTTTTCGCAAAAAAAAACGCAGTAATTCCCACGACACAAGCTGACATTTAACTCGGTGAGGTCGCTCATGCATCGGGGAGGAAAGTGGGGCAGGAAACGTGTCCATCAACGACGCAACCAACGTGTCCAGCCGTGTCCTTTCCCATCGTGTAAAGAGGAACCCACTCTCGGTCCACTCTCATTTTGATAACAATAGGTCATTAATGGTCCATTATGAGGAGAAAGGCCCAGTGTCCAGTTTAATAACAAAGCAATCCAGACACAAACAATGGGTTAGATTGAGTTGGTTGTCTCCAAATGAACCACATCTCTTCTCTCCAATAATTTCATCCTTGTGGTGCTGGTGATGGCACACGTCATTCTTTCGTCTCCAGTATAATGAGAGTGGTGTGAGCAGGTAAAACATTCCATAAATATGTCAAGAAATCGTACATGAATACTTTCCGTGACGCTTCTAGGTCTGGAAACCCACAAATTTTTCCAGAAACAAAGGCAACATTTTCTCCCGGGGAGGGTGGAGATACGCACACACACGCAATAAATACAGCAACATTGACGTGGAGTTGAATCCTAATTTTATTGACTGTTTTGTGCTTGCTTCGTGAAGATGCAATTCAGCCAGACAAATGGGATCAACCTTTCGTTCATGTTTTAGGTTTAAAGTAAATCCCTCAGCAGGGATGGAATAAGAGTGATTTATGCGTGCATGCATGGTAAATCTCTTGAAATGATTGAATTTTACGACACTAAAGGAAAAAATAATTAAAGTAATGAGTTTGTAAAAGGTTGTAAAACTTTATCGACATTCGATACGTAAAAATGGTTTCGCAATCACAATCTCTTATTTCCAATTAGGGCGAAAATTTTCACCACGGCTTACACAGGCACAACTACCGTTGAAACCACCAACAGAATGCAGTAGATAAATGTTTAGCTGGAAACCATTGACTGAGGAGTCAAAGAATTCAGGTGGTTGAAAAGAGGCGAAAATGTGCTGACTGCAGTCCTCATCAAGGAGAACCAATAATTTGTTCAGCGACAACTGCAACTCTTTACTTTTACCATACCGAAGAAATAATGCCAACTCAAGAATGCACCACCCACTCACGATCTCCCTTTCTGTTCATTCGACAAGGACATCACGACATTCACTAACAATAAGCGAGGCAATGCACAACACCACCAGCAGAAGTCGCTTACTTGGTCAAATATTTCTTACAAACGAATGCAGTTTTCTTGTCTGAATGGCGATGGAACAAGTGACAACGACCTGTCATCACATTTACATTTGCAATATGCGTTTGTTTGCCCAAATTCATAATTCATTACCTGGTTGTGATGCCGGCCAGCGTTCCAACCGATGCACCTTATTTTAATCTCATCATTATCATCATGCAAAACTCGACTTGCTTCCCATCGTTCACGCTTATCTTTACAGGCAGGGAAAAATCATTTTTTTAGAAAACGCCAACCACGCAGATTTCTACATATTCACGTCAGTGGCAGATCCCTCCATGTTACTAAGTGGTTGGAAAGGTGAAGTGTGGAAGGAAACCGTAACCAAACATGCAGTGGATGGAGGTTTAATGCTGATGTGTTTATCTCGAAATCAATCTCTTTCGTTTCATTTCACTTCATCGACTGTACAAAGTCCTGCCATGATTATCGTGATGTGGTCAGCAGCGTGGTCATAATATGTGCACATTTGTTTATGACAGGTTTTGTTGGTGGGTGTGTCAGGTTTCAGGTCGGGATTTGTTGCACAAGTGTAATGAAATTAACGATTAAACGAATGCATGTTGAGCCAAACTTCTGAACAAAATCCGCAATGTTTTTTGAGAAACTGGACACGCTTTTCAATTTAAAATGTACTGTGTTCTGTTGACATTATCTTGACATCAAGGGTGGTGCTGGTACAATGGAATGTAATGAGGTTTAAAGTTACCATTGTCAAGCTTTGACTTTGCTAATATCAACTTTACTTTCTATGTCTATTGCAGTTGCTGTCCGTAAAATCACGGGTACAAAAATCCTCAAAAACCAACTACCACACGAATCGGAATGGCCAAAAATTATTTCTGCCGGAAAATTAGAATGAGTCAATAAATCCTAATTATATTGAATTGTCGACTTGGATTGTCCTTGGACCATTGGAATGAACGGGATCGGCATAATTTTATGGTGGATCTCGCTTCTCTTCTATTCACTATCATTTGTTGTATGCACAAGGTAAGTTGGGAGATCACTTTTTGTAACTAATTATACATCCGCCGGTAGTTTTACACATCTTGGCGAATATTTAATTCAACTTTTTTTCACCCGTTCACTTTTCTCCTTGTTTCTCTTGTCTGATTTCTCGTCTGGGAGTAGAACGTCTGGAGAATCGTACTCCTTGGTTTGGCCGTAGTTGAGTTAGTCGCATTCATCATGTTGAATGAAAGAGAGGAGAAAATGAGGAAGGAATTGACAAAGTTGGGCATGCGATCGCCTAACGCGACAACCTACCAAAGGAAGTCTCGGAATTGACGTAGAGTTGACATACATGGAAAGATGAGATGAAGGAAAGTTTTCTCCTCCACATACACACATACTTTTCAAACTACTTGACTTTGACTTTAAGAGGTAGTTGTCGTCAGAGTGAGAGAAAGTGGACCCTGCTCCTCGGATAGTGCTTGCTTTCACTCTCTCCACCTTCTTACATTCCCTTCTCTGGTGTCATTTGATTTCCCAAAGAGTTGATGAGATTTGTGGTGGTTCACCAAAGCCAATCTGAATATTAACAAGGTGCTAATGCGAATCCGGTGTTAATCTGGATGGATCAGCAGATTTACTGGATTTGGGGACAATACATAAGTGGGCAATGCAAATCATCCCAACCCAAGCAATCAAACCCATGCACTTTGAGCATATGTACTTTGAAGATGTACAAGTTGAGTTTCCAAGATGTGCTAGAGGCGATCTGAATCTTGTCCTTTGGCCCGTAGTTAATTAGTGATGGAGAAAGCAGACACAATTACTTTAGCTTTGGTGTGACGGAAATACCGTGTCCTCAACTTGGTAGAATTATTCTAAGCGTATTTACATACGTACGTAACTCACCTTACCTAACATGACAGGAGCCTAGGGCCTAGGGCAATACCATGCAAATTACGAGACAACAATTTATCCGTAATAAGTGATTGTCAAACAATGCTAACTTTCTCAAAGACAAGTTATTCAACTTAATCCTTCATCACAAACTGTACTCTTTTTCAGAAGTGACCCCGGCTACAAGAACAATAATCACAAAAACGTATCCGAACTATTGGACAATTTACTGAGGGGGTACGACAACAGTATCCGACCTGATTTTGGAGGTAAGTCGGTTGATCTAGATTCTCAAATAATGACAACTTTAATTTCCCATCGTTATTTAGCCACCCACCACGAGATTGAAATGAAATGTATTATGCAACTAGAGAAAAATAATCATTGTTTTACTCAGTGCGTGTGGATTATTTGCACGATTTGAATCGAACCGTTATCGAATCGTTTGTTTGTTGGTAGGTGACCTTCAGCACTGGATATTAACGTGCATTGCATGGCAGTAGTCGAGTGGGGGATACCTTATGTACTTCCACTTGATGTGGCAGGTTGAGTAAATATTCGGCTTCGACTTTCACTCAGCCGAAATCACATCTCGCTTCCTATGAGGCTCTCTCTCTCTCTGTCAACAAACTTTCATCTCCTTCTGCCCCAACAACCCTTCTCCTTCGTCTTCTTAATATCTCCACTCGGTGCGAATATGAATTTGAAAATTCGAAACTTGCACTATTTCAAAATTGGAATCTTAAAAGTTGCCTTGAGACCCTGAACAGTTGCATGACGACGACGACGTATGCTCGCGAGATCATTATTTCAGACAGAGCTAGGCTCCCGTCTCCTTCATAAAGTCTCTCAGGACGGGAAGAAGAGACCATATTAAAAATTTTTAGATTGAGCTGAGGATACGCTTACGAGATTAATTTCCTCAAAGTCATCATTCTACGTAGGCTGGCGAATTGGGAAGGATTGACATACTTGGAAAATATGTTTAGAGGAAATGCAATGGCGTTCTCACATTTATTTTTGTTTGACCTTGTGCCAACTGGCTAAGCAATTTTTCAAAATTAATGAATTTTAGGGAAGGTTTTAGTTTTGTAATATTGCAATTCCTGGAGGAGATGATGACGAATTTATGTATGTAAATGTTTGCATTAACAGATGCAGTATAGTTTACTACCTAATTATGCATGTATATATGCCCCTCTGATCCACAAACGTTTAAGAAAGTTTCTCGATGAATCTTCGTCTTAATACTTGTTGTAAGTATTTGGATTTAAATCTACTAATTTAAATTGATTCTAGAATGAATGAACGAGCAGACAAATTGTTAAAACTTTGCGAATAAGGAATCGATGTTTTATTAATTTGCTACATTAACACAACACATCCAACAAAGTTGGAATGAGTTAAAATTGGATCAATACAAATTAAAACTTTCCCTTGAACTTTAACGTTTAATTCGTGCAGGTTCAAGCGTTATATAAAAAAACTCGTAAAATCCCAATAATTTGCTTCTCACATATCTGAGAATGCACTTTCATCCGTTTTCATTATTAATCCAGATCGACCGGAGAATGAATGTGATGCGGTCTGATGGAAATCGTTGCGTATTTCACGGAGCCAAACACTCCGGCTTTTTATATCCATCACTCACTTACTCGTCGTGTTTATGGTTGACAGGAGTGAGTATAGTTTAAACTAAACTTCCACAAAACCAGTGAGCACTCCTCCAACGTTTTAGATATTCGAACCAGGAATGGATGCATGTAACATATGGCTGTTTGGTTTCGGAGTACATATCGAAATTTTATTCACACTCGGATGAAATTCAATGTGGGTGTATTATTACGCGTATGTACCTTCATGCCGTATCATCAGACATACAAACGTATTGACTGGCAAGGTGGGTTCAGACAACTGACAGATATTGATATTGGACAAAAGTTGCATTGCATAACTTTCTCCAGTTTCGAGGGAGCGAGAGAGGAAACTTATTGGTTCATTGGTACACTTGGCTGGAGAATCTTGCATGATCTATTTACAGAGCATTTGATTCATACGAGTGTTACATATATTTATCGGCAGGGTGGTGGTTGAACTCGGGCTTGATTTTATATGTATTAACTAAATTGTATGAAAGTTTTCCAAAGCTGGCTTAATTATCGTCGTGCCTCGAGAGATTAAATGTACACATTTGTGCAGCCAGACGAAATGGACCAACAATTTAAATGGTCTAAAATAGATCAAAATCCTTTCAACAGAGCAGCCAATGCCGACCGAACACCATGAAATGCATATGCGACGTAACTTACATCGTGTACATAAGTATGTGGTACATCATGGAAGAGTGAGATTGGCGAAAGGAGGCCAGGAAAAAATTCACCCAAAAGAAGAATTGGTCCAATTGAGCAATTCTTCATCTGCAACTTTTAAGTCGTCATCCGAAATCAGATGAATATTTCATTTATTATGAGAAGAACCTGTCGCGATTCTAACTGCAGTTGCCAAAAATAAGAATTTCATTCATTTATACTTCAGCAGGATTTAGCTGAGTCAAATCGACGAGAGCAATGAGAAGGATGACGACAAAACTAGATTACTATTCTCAAATACCTTACAACAGAAGGACTGTTATCCAAGAGGGCTAAATCGTATTATTATCCTTGCCAGAAATCTGATTGCAGCACCAACGAAATGAAAATGCCAAGAAGGAAATGTTAGATTTGATTTGTAGTGAAATTAAGTAGGCACATCAAGTTGATTAGAACATCTACTTTTAATAACTTGATGTCGTACCAGAAGTTTTGCAAATCCGGTAAAAATTTGTATATCTTTGCATAGTTTTTATTATCTGCAGCCAGATTGTCATCTAGATGCCTAGCTCAGCTCACTTGATTTGGCTTTGGTTCAATAGGGCTGGAGCTTTCTGTACTTCTTTCCCTCCCGAGTACGGATTCTCGCAAAATCAATGCGTTTCGTGCTCGCTAACCTGTTATTAATGTGACAAAATAAAATATGTGAATATTTTTGGTGATGTACTTGAAAGATGGCCCTGTGTTGAATGGAGTTGAAATTGAAAAATACGGAAGCAAGCACGACTACACTTGTAAATTGAAAAATCTCAAGTGCACTCGTCCCCGTTTTGATTAAAAATGAATGTTATACACAAAATGTATAAAAAATATGAACACTAGCAACACCATAAAATAAAATAACGTGTAAATGAAATGTCAAGCCCGATGGTCATCAGACCTTTTAAATACTAAATTAGGTTTTTTTCGAAATACACCTTTTCTTAATTTGCTTACTCGTAGCTAAGTGCACCAAACGTTAGTAAACAAATTAACGTTAAATGAGCGTAAATGTAAACACGCAATAAATTATGTATGGGTCAAATCCTATTAAAATCCGTCATTAAAAGTTGTGCGTTCTTGTGACACGCACACAATTGTACCAATTTACCTAGAAATCCACTCAATCTCAAGATTTGAAAGTGCGGTTTCTTGTCAGTAATAGAAAGTTGATAAATAGAAGAAGAAGAAGGGCAAAACCCAGGCTAAACTTTTACACTGCATGGCGTAAAGCTCCTTCAAACTATAAAGTGCGAGGGCTCCGCTGCTCCCTAAGTATGTAAGACGCAAGTTTCCGACTACATGGTGGGTAACTCAAAATCATTCACTTCTTCATCCATCATCAAGTTTTCAGAAGGACAAGCTGGAACAACTTTAGGCGAGATTTGTGTATGTACTTCTTGTCCGACAGGATGATCTGGTAGAGAAAATCATGGACCGACTAACCGTTCCACAAGTTGTTGATTCCACACCGCCTTCAGAAATATTCCACACATTCGGATACAAAAATTATGCCATAAATCAGCTAATTGTGTATTTGCATTTAAGGCATCAACTTGCCGTCCTCATCAGCCCGAAATTGGTGCTGATGAGACGAGACGACCGTTTCGGAATACATTACACTTGGAAGTAGTCGATCAAGAGTTTCGAACCAAATAAGCCGCATGGTGATGTTCCCACACTTGAACTTTCCCCACTTTCTCCAACACACTCGATCCCTTTCTCCACCCTTTCTCGTCTTCTTCTTCTTCACCTCCACGCGATGGTCGAGACCGACTTGGTAAAGAAGAAGTTGGCATTGGTGGGTTCGTTGACTAGTTGGGCGAATTGTCCTCAATGAGAAAAATTCCCATGAACGTCAAACGTAGATTTAATAAAATTTGTTCTCACTCTTCCCAACCCTGATCATTTAATAGACTCATTCACCCCTCATTTTCACCCATTCAACTTCTCACTCAACTCGACAAACTTATTGGTCTAATCTTTTCACATCTTTCGAACCACTACTACACTCGCGTTCCCGCACCAATGATATATTCTACATCATCACCACGACCAACCCATTCAGACACATGCAGTCCACATCTCCTCCTCCTTAACTTGTGGAGGAAATGAATATTCTAAATTGGGCAATAAAAATTTCTTCTCTCCTCCGCGAAACCAAGAGTGAATGAGAATGAAAGAAGAAACTACTCAAACAAGTTATTCACGAGTGCAAGGCAAAGAAAAGAAAGCACTTTTGACGGAGAAGAGCTCGTGATGGGTTTCAGGCAACTTCTTTTTCGGCGTCAGTGCTGGAAATCAAGGTTTTCGAACGCAAGTAGCACGGAGATATTAAAAGGTGTTGTTCCCAAGTATCTGGAATTTTAAAGAGCTCAGCACCCACTCATTTCTCTCCTCGGCCGGTTATTTAGTAGAGAACGTTATGCCGCTCGCTGAAAGTTTTTTGTTGTAATGTAATTCTGAAATGACCAGCAAGTGAATTTGTAATCCTGGTGGAAAACTCTCAACCACGTTAATCTTGACCTTATCATATTTTCCTCCATTATGAAGCTCAAGGCAGCAAAGTCATTGATAAAATCGTGACTTAACTCCATAACGTGGAGTGGAACGGTGGAAGGAAACGTATATCTAAGGAGCCCACTTTACGTCATTGTTGATGGTCAGTTTCTATTTCCGTACCACCCATTTCGGATGGTACTTATACACTAGTGCAGTCTGGAGGTGCTGGTAGTTTGTGGGTGAGATTACGCTATCGTTTTCTATCACACCTTATCAAATCATCGCAACTCATTGCTTTCACCTTGAAGCAATATTCCAATAAAGCAGATTTTTCTACCATTTTCTTAACTCGGAATGGGTTTCATCTTGACTGATAGATTTCGTGTTATCGCCTTTGTGACGATAATTAAATGCAAATTGCAAATTAAAAGCAATAAATGATAATTGGACCACTGAATGGAGTTCCTACGTACATACGTCTATTAGTACATGTATAAAGATGGAACCATCAGTGAATCAGGGTGCACAAGCTTCCTCCAGAGCAAAAATCACGGCTCTTTACAGCAGTACTTACTTACATACATACCTCACACATGTATAACGATCTATATACGAGTATGTAACATGCATCAATCAATCAATTATTGATCCGTCCAAAGAATTGGATAACTGACAAGTCTTGCTCTCAACTACATCAAAAGTCGGTTGACATCGCACGCATCCATCATCTTCGACGTTTGCATGGCGAGCTGTCCAAAAGGGAAGATGCAAACCTGTCGAGGGAGAAACAATTTCATTTCATTGTAATGTGATCTATTTTGCATAAACTGAACTGCTGATGATCATGATGATGCGATATGCATAATATATTCCTCGTTACGTTCTGGTCGTCGTCGCACTGCATGCACAATAATGGGATTGATAGGAAGCAGTGAACCTCTTCTCTGGCTCATCAATTTCAGTTCTTTTATCCCAAATTTTTTCCTGTCCGCCAATACAAATAATACTGTGCACACATATTCACGGAGATGCTCAATCTTGATAGTTTTACGGAAACATAGACAAGGAAACAGCTCTCCAAGTCCCTGTATTTGTATTCATGTGGGACTTGTGGGTGAGAAAGTTGGTTTTATTATGCGACTCACTACACAATTTCTGAGAAAGATATGTTGACGATGGTTTACATATGTATGTATTTGTATAACACATGGAATTTGTCCCAATACAAATTTAATTAAAATATTTAACAATATGAATTGACTATTTATTCCTTTCTGTGTTTGTTTTCAGGACCACCCACAATAGTTGAGATTGACATTATGGTTCGATCGATGGGGCCAATATCGGAAGTAGATATGGTAAGTGACAACCAGTATACCTCGTAAATAGCTGTACACCAATCACGAATCAAGTGTTCTTTAATGAAAGGTTTTTGATACTGTGTGACCAAAATAAATTATAGTTATAAGAGAATCAGTTTGGTTGTGAAAACAAGAGAAATCCAGGACAAAAGGCTAAAAAAGCCAGATACTTGCCGAATGTTTTCGTGACGTGACAAAGATCATTCCTGTTTTTCCTTCCAGATTTATCTGGCTGGTCCAATTCACTGCATTTTTGTGTTGTCGTTATCACTCACCCCATTGTTTATTGGAGATACTTGAGTCTCTTTTGCGCTGTGTTGCTGACAAAGCCAAGTCGTTTATTTAAAGACTCAATTATTTACAGTACTTTCGCCCTTTCCTTACTCAAGGAAAATCTTTGTGGCTAATTTTACTGGGTAACTCCCCGTTTTTCCATTGTCATTTTTGAATTTTTCTTTTAATAATTTTTGTTGAATGAGCATATCTACAGTTCTGACGGCAATTGTTCTTTTTGCAAAACTCTCACACATATTAAACTATCAATTGCAACATAAGTAAACTGAATGATCTTCTTAATTTCGAAAATTTAAACTCGTACAATAAATCGGAATAAAAAGCCCTACAAAAATCTTTCCAATTTGTATCCACCATTTTATTGAATTGCCTAGGTATACGGATTACACAAGTATTTGTATTACGCTGCAGAAATTTGCATATAAAAGAATTTGGTAATAGTTAAAGTGTTAAAGAGATATTTTCCCAAGAATTAATTGAATAAGATGGCAAAGAGCTTTAAAAAGTTTATGAAACGTGAATAAATACCAGTCCTGAGGATTTTGTTGCTTAAAAATTTGATTAAACAAACAAAGTCTGACTCTAATGGAGGAAAACTTTTATATTAATCAAACCCATGTCATTGAACAAGAAGGGTGCGTGAGGTGTTACGAAGGACATGTTATGATTTCATTGACGATTCTCTTGCTTACAAATTGCGTCTGAGATTTTTGGCACTGCCGTCAACCGTCCAAGTCCTTCTTGATATGCAGGTTGGAATCAATACAAGAAATATCTACTTTGTTTCGTGTTATTGGATGGCATATTCTGAAAACAAGTGTAGAAGAATATGTACACTAAAAAATTCTCAGCCTGTCCCGAGACAACTTGGAGCAGTCTGTACTGAAATGATCTGTCTCCTCATGGTCCTTGGGACCCATGTGAACGCAGTAGTGGAATGACCCCTGATCAAATCGCTCACTTACTTTCACTCGATCCAACCAATACGGCAGCACATCGTCTTGCTCATTCAAATTCATAAAGCAACATGCGTAGGTTGAATTGTGCTTATGTAATTTCTGAAAGTGTGTTTTCTTTCTGTCGTACGAGTCGAGTGACGACAAGATGTTTCAGTAGTCAGCAATCTCTTACTTTTTCCTTTGCGGAACATGAAAAGAGCTCATTTCGTTCTGTTCAAGGAATGTATTTATTGAGCAAACAATAAATAATGGGAATATAACTACTTCAAACTGCACTCACTGCACATTCTGTTAATGCTAAACGTATTTATGGTCCTCATTGTGTAACCGTTTTTTGGCAGGGAGAGCAAGAGGAGGAATAACACAATTGGAAATAGTACCTCTCTCTCTTTCTCTTGCTGGAATATATTCCTTGTGAAATTGCTTTCTCCAAGAGCAAGTTTACAAGCGACACTTGTTCACATGCAAATTTTTCTCAAGAGCTCAGCTTTCCACAACGTTTTTCTGCGAAGAGTTTCCATCCTTCTATTTTTATTTTTTATTGTTTCATTGATATTGAATTGATCTAAGAAATTGGCATGCGGAAACCTTGTTATCGTTTATTTCAATTTTTGCTTGAACTGAATTTTGATCACATACTTATCTTGCATCTTTATCGCATGGTGATGTAATCATCATATTCTTCCCCCGCTGACAACCGTAATGCGGATTCACTGGAATTTCTTCAACTCTGACGCATGGAATAAAAGGGCATTTAAATAGGAACCACCTTATTAAATTCTGCACTGAGCATGTACTTAGTCACTCAGTCTGCTATAACCACTCGCAAATTAAGTTTTGCGATGGGGAAAATTGATATCTAAAAATTCTCTTATGCAATCTGTAGTTATCGCAATTGTCCTCGTTCGTACTTGCACATATTGCGAACAAATACGTCTGTTGCTTCTTTCTTGAACTGTACTCTTAAATGGATAGAGTCTTGACGTTCAACTTTCAGTGTTGTCGTGGCTGTGATCGAAATTCCCCAGTTGGAATTAGGAACGATGAACCTTTGTTGTATTTCTCATTGTGTTGCAATCCACTCTGCTCCATCCAGCTTAGTATTTACGAGCCCACTACTGCTTGCTAAGCCATGTCATTAAAATTGGTTATTGGATTAGAAAATAGCATTTTCTCCATCCCCAGAACGGCACCAACGGCATGAGGCTAGTGTGGAAGAGTGGATTAAATGGATAATGTGTGAGGAAGGAGGGCGAGTAAAATGCCAACAGACAGTGGAACTCTGAGGACGATGACAAGGCGTGTAATGAACTTAAGAAAGTTGGGCAGTTGCCTCCAGCACTCCTCCAGCAGCACCCTTTGCATTAATTGACTTCCATTCTTAGGATGTGTGACATTTAATTTCCTAAACACTTTCCCTCAAACTTTGTTGCCCGTTTTGCAAACTCAAGGGAGCTCACAGGCATGGCACGGCTATTACCTGCAACACGAGTCCCGACACAGCGATTGTCCCGGCACCAAGGAGCTGAAATTTGGGCCATGGGATTTATAGGAAGAAGGAATACGGATGAGACGAGAACGAGGAATTATTTGGAATTGGAAATATTGAGGAAATCCGACCAAAAAGTGTTGCCATTTCTTTGCTGCTTTCTCGAACCAGATTTCAATGGGTAGAGGAGGAGGAGGATGAACTAGTAGCATCAGGTCACCACGGCAGTCTTCCTTTTCCCTCAATCTATTTGATGATAAAACCAAAGAATTGTAGCTTATTTTCTGATTTGTCATTTGGTTGCTTCCTCAAGCAATGCGTAACGTGTGAAAGTCAGTCACACGGGCAGGAAAAAAAAGACAACAAATAATGTTTGATACTAATAATGATAAATCTTCTATGATTAATTAGCAATTAATAAACAATGAGTAATATAATCGTTGTGAACTCGGTATCCGTACGAACGAAAGGGTAAAATTGAAATTGAATTGTATCATAACTTTCAGACGTACTCAATGGACTGCTACTTCCGACAAACATGGGTCGACAAACGGTATCCAAATTCAATAAATTATTAACGATAAAAATATATGTTCATGGTATTTTATTCGCCCATACAGGCTAGAGTACCATTCTACTAAAGGGGACACTTTGGCCTTGAGCATTTCCATGCTGGAGAAAATTTGGAAGCCCGACACTTACTTTTACAACGGAAAGCAGTCTTACCTCCACACAATTACGACGCCCAACAAGTTTGTCCGATTGAAAATGGATGGAAGGGTGCTCTATTCTTCGAGGTGAGATACGGATTTCTCAATTTAACTCCTATTTACATACATCCGGTTTAAATGGAGAATGTTCTGTGCGGATTCTCATGTTCAGACTCACCGTCAAAGCCAGTTGTCCCATGAACCTTGAAGACTTTCCCATGGACACGCAACGCTGTCCCCTGAAACTTGGGAGCTGTAAGAACTCTAAAAATCTCAACTCCTCATCTTTCGGATTTATGTCACACAGTCATTGTGCTCAAAAGCTAAATTCTTTTTATTGTCGGATCCCTTTACTCAATTCCCTCCTCCATGCTTCAAAAGTATCCTGTTGCGTTTTTACTTTCAACTAAATTCGCCATCCAGCCAGATCTATGAGGAAAGATCAAAGAATGAGCAAAACACGGGGGAATGGATTGGATGAAGCAGGGCGTTCCTATTCCTTTATTTTTATTTATTTCAATCAGAGTCCCATTTAAATTCATACATTCATTTCTTCACACACATGCATGAACATGAGGACGGGTTATATTTTTTATACCTGCCACAGAATAGACGTTTTGCCTTTCGCATACAAAAAATGACGCGGAGAATGAATACCATTCCGCACTATCAATTCCAATTCATTTCGTTTCTGTCATTCATATCGGGATCCATCGGGGATGACGATGATCACAATTCTACTAAGGAACAATCAAAAGATTGATTTTATTTATGTACGTACTGTGTCGTCGTCCTCATCCTGACGTTTTACATATGTATGCAGTACCATTGTTATCCTTTTTGGCAAATTGCAAAAATTGTGGATTCTGGACAATAACTGCATAAGGGAAATTTACTTGCAATTTTATTCTGTGACGCAGTCGGCTACACAATTTCGGACGTTTTATACCGATGGAATGCCAATAGGTGAGTTGTATTGCCTAACACTTTACTTGGAAAACATTTCTTCATCTAACCTTTTTTAGGACGGTGGACATTGCGTTGGACATGAAAATGTCGCAATTCGATCTCATCTCGACTCCATCAGGGAATGGAACAGAGAAGATGAAATTGGGTGAGTGAGTGGAGTGGGCAAAGCGTTTCGTCATCTCAACCTTTTTCCGATATTATTGTTTTATTTGCTTTGAAACAAGTGCATAACATCAAAATGTCAAATCAAACATGTTTCTCCCACGTCAAGACACTATTTTTGCACAACAAGCTAATTCTGAGTATAAGTGGCACAATTCCGCTGATTAACACTTTTCCTATATTCTTCAAAAACTAATTGATTCCTTACCCTGTTCTCTAAATAAATGTCTCATTCTTCCCCACAATTCAGAATACGTACATGTCCTACATACATATGTAGCAGCAGATGACACAAATATTCGTTCTTCAGCAGATATGATATGACCACTCAATTTCTGTATGTGTGCCTCAGCTCGATAATCAATGTGATTGGTTTTTACGCATGACTTTTCACATACATCTTTCATCCATCTACTTATCTATCTGTTCTCCAAGGCTTTCTATATCTACTGCGATGTATGTAAATCATGTCTGAAATGCTTTTCATGAAAAGTACAAGATGCGATATGGCTTAAAACTGAGATGATGATAATGTTTAATTAGTCGACATTTATTTTATTATCGTGATATTAGGGGATCATAGCATTTTAGAAGCGACCTTTTACATGCGGAGACACACTGGTTTTTACCTGATCCAAATATATTTCCCTTGCATCCTCCTTGTCTTCGTCTCCTGGGTGGGATTTTGGATTAACAGAGAAGCCACGGCAGACAGGGTCACGTTGGGTAAGATTTCGTTGTGCGTGTGTGTTTTCTGTTTTTTTTCTGTTCTGGTCTCTCTCCGCTAAAAAAGAACATCAACCCTTTCTTGCTCTACTTTCTCTCCTGCTTTCTCTCTCCTCCATGGGAAACAGGCCTCTCTCCCTTTCTCCACCTGTGGCTGGTATTTGGCTGCTGCTTTTTATTAATTGCTTTTCAATCAGAACGCCGTTCTTGGCTCCTCATCTGGTCTGAGCTTCTATGAGATTCTGCAATTGGCTTTGGACGAAGGCGTTGTATGGCTTTTTGTCATGTGAATGATACCTGTTGCACGTGCACTTTTCTACACATTGAATGATGGTGTATTGCTTATTGCGTAAATTTTAATAATTTTTCTTATAGTACGGAATACTAAAAAACATGTCAGAATACGAAACAAAAAACATTACAGACTATTAAATAAATCGAATAGGGTCCCATAAAATATTTAATTATTATGTTTCTTTGATTTCTTGATTTGTAATCGTTCCTCAATTTTTAAAATCGTAGGAGAATACTCCACTCTAGATATCAACTTTTACCTTCAGGTAAATCCTTATTTTCTCCATAATTTTATCTCGACCCGAGTGCTAATTGGCATTATCTTCTTCTTTGATTAGCGTCATATGGGAAATTTTCTGATTCAAGTTTATGGACCATGCACCTTGCTGGTCATTTTAAGCTGGGTTTCCTTCTGGTTGAACAGAGAAGCGACGGCTGACCGTGTGTCCCTTGGTAAAAAAATATATACGGATTTTGTCTCAAAAAATTTAGTGAAACAACAATTCTCTCCAGAACCCTTGCAATTTGTGTGTTAAGTAATTGCATATCGTTTAGAAAGCCAAAAGTTTTGATAAGAAATGTTTGCTACTCTTCCTACCCTACTGTCGTAATTCTAATACAAATTTCACTCTTGTGCATGAGTTTTAACAATCTAATTCAAACTATCTGTTCCTTCTTTCATCCTTATTAATCTATTAATTAATGTTATTTGCGATCATAAACATCATCAGTGAAAATGTGTGCGTATAATATTTATCAATTTGTATATAGGGGTCACAACTGTGCTAACAATGACGTTTCTCGGCCTGGAAGCCAGAACAGATTTGCCGAAAGTTTCTTATCCAACAGCCCTCGATTTTTTTGTATTTCTCTCTTTTGCTTTTATTTTTGCGACTATAATTCAGGTAATTATTTACACGTCTATTATTAAAATCATCACTAGTCGGACATAAATTTAGTAATTTAATTTTCTTGAAACCAGTTCGCAATTGTCCATTTTCACACGAAATATGGCTCTGGAGAAGTTTATTTTAATGAGGATTCGTCTTCCGAAGAAGATGATGACGATAGTGGTTCAGAGGATCCGGTTAGTCCACGCAGTTTAGCAGATTAAAATTTGACCCAACTGAATGTAATCTATGCATATCTTTCAGAACCGGATCCGAAGCGTAGGAAATCTAGATATCCGACGCGACCCCAGTGTAAGAAGCTTGCAAATGTCCATCATAGAAGTGCCCCCACCACCCCGACTGAATAATGGTGGAATGGGGGGAAGTTCCTCCTCGGGAGAAGGGAGGACATCGTCCTCCATGCGAAATCCACCCACTCCACCCCCACCTCCAAACTGGGCCTCCTTCTGTAGGAAGCAGGGACGGAAGCATTTTCTCGAGATGGAGAGTGTCAACTCTGTGTCGAAGGTGGATCAATTCGCCAGAGTGTTTTTCCCTGTATCCTTCCTCGCCATTAATGTATTCTACTGGTACTCGTATCTCTACAAGAATTCCCCACACTTGTAAAACCTCCTCCAACAACATGTGAAAAGAGACCAATAATCAATGTATCAACCATTCTAAGAAACCATTCTAGAAAAAATGAGTTCAGTCCCAAGAAACCAAAGAGCTGTTCAATAATGTGTTTTTTAAAGACTTGGATAAAAATCATGTCATAATAATATCGTAGAAGTAATAAAAATGAACGGTGATGATCACGACGAGAGTCTGTGGTAATAGGCGTAATACATATTAAATATAGTGGATGGTTGTTATATATGTATCTTAAGCTAAGAATTGTTGTTATATGAATTGCAAGTACAAGTGTAGAGTATTTACTTATTAAATGTAATCTGCATACATAGATGTAAAAAAAGCTCTGGTTGTGGTGCAAATTGTGTTGACATTATCGGCGTCATCAAAGTGGAGAACCGTAAGTAAATATTAGACAGAATTGTGTGAGATACGATATTTTTGTTGCGAGTTTAATACTTTTGTTGCATCCAATTTTAACAACAACAAGGAATTTCATCCGCTTGCTTGACAAGCCGTGTGTGTGTATTTCTGATCTGAAATCCCTAGAATTTAGTTACATTGCATAGTGAGAGTACAATGCCGGCGTGAGTTCAAAGAATTCTCTATGTAAAAGTACCTATGCATGTACATGTGTAGGTGGGAATAGTCTGCAGGTTTCGTCTGATTGTATTTCGCTGAGTATTATATAAATTTTTGAGTCAGTATGCGCAGAGAAATAATTGTGAAGAAGATTAATGTACAAATGCAAGTCATTAAGTATTAATTGTATAATACGAATAAAAGTTTTGGTTGTTGATCGACCAAAAATACATAGTTGTTCATGTGACCTGAAATTGTGTTAGCCTACCCAATATTAGAAACGTTAAATGTACTACCGAGAGCAGGATCGAATGCAATATAGAAATATAGAGATGTGTGTGCGTTTAAACTTTCTCATTAAATGAGACGTGTCATCATCACAATGCTCAGAAATTCATATTTACAAATGGATTTCATTGATTTACAAATATTTTATTGAACTCTTATTTAATTGACAATTGTTACAATGCTTTAAATTTAGAATGTTCCCAATCATATTGAAACAACGGCAAAGCAGTTATAATTCTTTGTAAATTAATTGTCCACAAAATAAATCATGGTTTACAGAGCAAACTTGCGTAACACAGTTGTAATTATCTTCCGATGTTATATTTACATATTTGTAAGAGTGCAATTAACGTTACAAATTTAATAAGGATTTAAACACACTATAATTATTAAGCATTTCCATCCACTCGAATTTTGATTTTGTTTTATTAAAAGATATACGTAACAAATGAAAAAGTTGTCACAGCCTCGAATCAAAATTTGCCCTATTTCTCGGACACTCGTCACTAATGTGGTAGTACATCACCCAGTAGAAAATGTTCAACATTGTGAAAGAAACTGGGAACAAGACCTGAAAGAGAGATCAAATCGAACTTCAGGTTTCAATAAGGGCATAAATGTGGCTGGAGATGGGAAAGATGATAAAGAGAAAGTCAGCCAATACTTTGAAACAATAATGGAAAGAAAAAGGCAAGAGCTTTTTGAGTTCAAGACAAAAACAAGCACTTAGAAGCTAAGATTGTACTTTGAAATAAAGCAAAGAAAAAAGCTACTCCGAGTGAGTTCAACATACTGATTTGTTAAATAATTAAAATTTATGTAATCTTAAACCAAATCACACTACGTTTGTTAAAATGTTGTTCTACGAAATAAAACCTTGTATCAAAACATGGGTAACGTGCAACTTTGCTCCAAATCAAGGAAAACAGGTCATATTTACGCCTCCATAAATCACTTACCCTAGAAATCCGGTCAATTTTGGACACTGAGTTTGTTGAGCTTTCGGCAATCGAGGCTCTCATTCTTTCCCTGCGGAATTCTAATAAATTTCTCGGGTAAATAAATAAGTTGAGCATAATGTTGGAATCCTCATATGCAAGCAGTACTTACCGAGATCAGCAACCACACAGCGAAGAAATTGCCGGAAACAGGACATTTTCCTCTCCGTTTGAGTTTCCTTTGACTCCATGCTTTTCGAGGGTGTCGTCTCGTACACTTCGATGGGATTTCCCCGCCACCCAAAGTGTCCATCTTGCTGTGAATTATTATTTTTTAAACTTATAAAATCCTGTAATGACATAAATTGCTGTCAACAGAACATAAGTGCTTGTTAAATCCCTGAATTGAACGGAAATTGAGAAAATAAGATATGTAAACGAAAACCTTCCGGAACTTTTTTGTTTTGCTTGGTTCTCGGGTCATGTTTGTTATTCCAAGCTCAAAGGTCACATGAAAGTGAAGCGTAAACTCACTCAGCCAAGTAAAAGATCTGTTTGAAGCATTTTTTGGAATTCCCAAAACGTAATTCCTTCCTCCTACCAAAGCAAAACACAACTTGACATACCACGGATTCCTGAACATTGTAAACGACCGAACAGTTGACCTCTGGCACCTTGTGAGATATGGTCCACTCTTCATCGTCGTCTTCATCGACGTCCCATTCGTCCTCCTCGTCCAACCCCAACGTCTCCCCGCTTCCAATCTAGATTCACAGTATATAATCATATATTCTCCTTTATTTTCAGTCATGAATCCATCACCAGCGCATAGTCGCCATCCATGCTTCAAAGTTATCAGCGATTTGCAGGCAACTCAAAAACAAACTAGATTTATGACCTTCGAGTCATAAAAGTTTAAAACGGTTTTGTAACCTTATTTGAAATATCTAAAGTGTGAGCCTCATATTTCAGTCTCTGCCCTCATTAGTTTCTTTGCCTATGTCTGGCGTGCCTGTCATCCTCATCTCAGGACAGGTTATTAGATTACCCAGCTTTAAAATTAATTTCCGAAGAGGATTTCCTCCAAACTAAATTTCACAGTGTAAGCTTTCCATCTAAGTCTTGCTGTAATACCTCCTGTTGAACAATAACAAGAAATTTATGTACCTCGTGTCAAGAAAGCGTTTGCATCTCCATTTTTACATCTATAATCTAGCCGTGGATAAAACAGCTTAATGCATATTACAGATTTTGATAAATAAATAAAACCTGGATGGAATCGCTTAATGGGTGAATCATGAATTCATTGAGGTAGTTCGGTTCAGAAATCTGTTGCATTTACGAAATGAAATTTTGCTTGTGCGGCACCTCAAGTCCTCGTTATGCTCGTGGTTTTGAAGTAAATGGCTCATTTTTTCAGCGGTGGAAGGTTGAAGGTTTATACGGAAGGTTGAAGGTTTTGAAGGTTGGATGAATCAAAAATGAGTAATGATCCGCAGATGAAGTAAATTAAGGTAGATTCTGGAGGCGAAGATGAATGAATCCCGACGTGAATAGAGACACTGCTACCCCATTAAATCGTTTATACGGAGCTGCGTTTCCACAAAGGTGAAACTACTATTTTCCCCTTTCACATAAAATTAGGACATTTTTTTTACATATTAGAAATGTCAAATCGAATATGAAAATCAAGAATCAGATTGAAATCCAGCTTGAGAGGACTTCGGATTAATGCATTTACAATGAGTGGTTGGCTGAGGTTTCATATCCAGAAGATGAGGATGAAATGCAACCTAAACTCGGAGAGTCATTGTGCTCGAGTGAACTAAATGGTGATTTTCTATCTGACATGGACAAGGACAAGCAGTATGCCAACACTGAAAATGAAACTTTCACCGTTCCTTCGTCCCCATAAATCGCACTGCCTTTATCCTTTGTTCACTAGATCGGCTTTCCCCATATCTATCTCAACACAAATAAGTCGACGAGTCTCACTCACCCCACACACCGTGAATTTGCCGTTCGCTTGACTCAAGTTAGCCTTTCACAAAGTATTTACAACGTAAAGATGAAACATCCCCGCAAAATAAATGATGACTAAGTCAATAGGGACCAAAATGGACACAAATAAAGTGACAAATATTAAACAACTGAATTTCTGTGACATTTTCCTCCTACGTATTTACTTACCCATGCATTGAGCATCAAAATGTCATTCGGTTGGGTATAAATTCCCCGTATTTACGTCTTCGTGGTATTAATAGGTCTATAGAAATATGCAAATTGGGATATCCTTGTAGAATTCATAATATTTGGCTTGCATAATTAATTGTTTTTGAATGAACGTCACCACTGCGACTCTGAATTTCCGACCTGCCATTTATATAAATCTTAACTCATTGACTCATTTTAACACCCCTTCTAACACCAAGTTTAAGTCGGTACTTGAAATCCACTTTTTGTAGATTTTCACCTAAAAATCTCTTCGAATGGAAAAGCAAGTTGGAGTGTGTATGTGTCCTTGGGTCCTCTTTGTAAAGCAGTGTGTAACCACTCACTCGAGGTTAAATAGTCGATTCAGTCGACTGAAATCAATTCAACCAACAACGGGACAAGCAGGTAAGACGAGGCTAATTCTCCCAACTGGGCGGAAGTGAATTCAAAGAGATAAAAGTTTACTTTAAGAAATCTGAATAAATTCCAAACTTCGCATGCTACAGATGATGTTTCGAACTTAAAAATCCCAGTTTTTCAATTCAGTCAGACCAGACTCGACCAGACCAGAAGACACAAAGAGTCTTGTTCTGCACAGAGAATTCCAATATCATATGACACCACAGACCAGAACGTATAATCGTCATCGTCTCATATTTCCATTCATATTGGGCCTCAAAACACGTGCACTTTCACATCTTCCTCCTCCTCCAAAGTGTAGCAGCAGGAAATACTTTCTCCGCAAAAAAAAAGATATTTTATTTATTTCATATTTTAAAGTTTTTAAAAAACTTAATGCACATTCTCGAATCGAACATGGACACAGTATCCGCACACAAATACGAATATGTGAATCGTCCGCACGGACGCGAATCTAGAGTCAGGGTTGAATTTAATAGAACGTACATATCACACACTTTCACCACTACCCAAACCACCAACCCCATCCGGATTTCCTGGACTGAGTGCATTCGAGAGGAAAGCAGACTGAGTGAGGAGTTGGCTGGTGGATGCAATAGTTTTGAAGAAGGAAAGTTTTAAACGGAGTTTTGACCAGCTCTTTATTCGGTCCCAGTTGGAGTATAAGTAAGTGGATGGAAGTAAACAATCCATCGTCTAGAAACCTTGCGAGGAGTGAAATCTGAGCTTTGGCTGCATACTAAGAATCGAGTGTTGAAAGAAGTAGTGCCCATTTGTTCTTTTACAGAATGATTATATCCGCATAGAACAAGGAACTGGATAAGAATACAATATGCATATGCAGAGACAAGGAACTTTCAGTGTCTCAAATCTGCATTTCATGAAAACAATTGTAACTGGGGCAAATTTAATGTGTGAAGCTAGTAATCTTACAGGTGTTTTCAGTGCAAGAAATTAGTCATGAAATGAATCAAGTTTTGTACAACAAAGTAAAATTGTGTAGCCAAGAATTTAGTTTTTGTAAAGTTTTTCACGGAACAGGAAGAAATTGCGAGCAAATTTGCTTTCCTCGTAATGATTTTGAACTTGCAATTTAATTAGATACATTGGAAGTCAAGTAATAAATCATGGACTTGAAGATGAGAATTTCATTAAATCTAGGTACATTATCCTCAATCTTGCATCTGTAAAATTGATGTTATATTGTCTTATTTTTCATTAGAATTGTTCATTTTCCATATCAAATGCACTGCTTTCTCTTTACTACGGCATCGTTGTCCCATTGCATAGCTTGGCATGAACTCTAGTAAATTAAACTCCTCTACTACATATCCAGCCAATTACAATACAATACAAGCCAATTTACAGCCTAGATAGACAGCCGTTGAATTAATATACTCACATTTGACGTGCTTTCTCTCAAAGAAATTTCTCGAGACCAAGCAGACAACAAGCTCAACTTTTACTTTTATTAAGATCCTGGTACACATTTTGGACACGACGACCAGCACTTTGTTTGGTTCCTTCGACTTTATTGAGAGCAAACAGAGGGGAACCGAACGATGCGATGATGGGGCAACGGAGATCATGCTGCTCTGTACAACTTGAACATGAATAAAGACATCAAACAGCGAATAAATAAGTATGAATGCGAAGCACAGCAACATCAAAATGATTTTTATTGAAACGTCATCCCAAGGACGAAGTCAATTTCCGTCGCATTTTTCAAAACGAGGATTCATTCCAGTTCTTACGGTCTTCATTCTCAACGAGAAGAACAAGAAAAAAGTTGTGCTAACAAACTAATGGAAGAGCAAATAATACTAATAAGAACATTCCCCAACCAACCACCACTCACACTTTCACACCCATTTCTTCAACTTCACGGTAAAAACCTAATCCCCATTTCCATCCGTTTTGTGATATTGTTAACATTTATTAATACGAGGGAATGATGGAAGATGCTGATGGAAGAATTTTCGGATACTTTATAATCGGATCAATTTATGTGATGGCAAGGCAGACAAGTTTCAAGGTTTTGCTGTAACAAGGTCTTTGGTATAAAATATGAATGCATCATAATTCATAGCCCTATATACACATAAATAACTTTAGGAGAGAAAGTATGGGCGATATTTGTGTAAAGCATTTTACTTTCTACTAAATTGTAAAGTTAAGATAAATTGAGGACGCTGTTGGAATTTTCCTACATGAAGGGTAACAGTTTTAGCAGCATAATGTACATTATGCTACTAAAACTGCTCCGCTGCATACATTCTCTAAAATATAATGGAGTCGGATGTAGATTCATAATGTCAGTTCTCTGTCACTTTCTCCCCCAAACTTGAATTCCTTATTTGCTTGGGTTGGAGGATTATTAATTGCCCAGTCGCAGTTGTCTTTCTTGTGCGTATGGGGCCCATTTTCGTAAAACTATCTATTTCCGTCTCCTCCTGCTTTCACCAAATACTCGAATTGTACATAAACCTATGCCTCTCACATATCAGCATATTGCGTATCCTATTGCTCAGCACTTTTGTTCTTTGAAGGAATTACACGCGTATTAATTACTAAGAATATAATTAGCTTGTCACTTTCGAAACCAGAAATTAAATGTAGTGCGTTTCGAGATGATGACATAAAATGGCAGCAACATCGGCACAATTTCATTCTCCGGAGATGTGTATACCTTTCAAAATGAGAGAAAGTAGCTGAATAATGATCAAAGATTCCATATTATGCACTTGACTCTGTACGAGGAGGAGGAGGAAGTAAGTACGGAAAATCGCCTCTTGTCAGCCGATTGATATTATAGCCGACCATGACTGACTACAGTATCCATACCCTCCCACCAGCCAAATCAAAGTCTCATCTGATCCTATCTTGTCTGTTCGTGGGTTTTAGCAAATCCTACATCTTATCCTGTCTCGAGATTTGGATTGCATTGTTGTAAGTGGACGGACGCGGATGGGGAGAAAGTAGAAGAAGAGAGGTTCGTTCCCTGATTGATTTTTCATTTCATCCGACATCACTCTGCCTCTTTCTTCCGTGTGTGGATTTCATTTCATGTAAGACACTTATGGATTTGTGGTGAAAGGGAACATAATAATGCAAGATAAAAGCTCGCTCGCTACCAGAGCGGCACATACAATCGTATGCAAAATACGTACTCAACCACACACAGCACAGCAGCACATGTACAAATATCAAGCCAAATCAGTCACTGATTCTGCAAGGACAGCATTCTTATTATTGCTCTGCTTCTTCTGCAGCAGATGCAAACGGAATGCAATTGTGTGCAGAAAAGAAAGAAGAAAAGCTGGATCATCAGTTGAATACCCATCGCTTCGCTACGAGTGAGCCATGATACATACACATGTACTCACATTACAGTCGGCGTACGTACATTCACACCGGAAAAAAACAGAGACGAGCAGGAAATTAGTCTAGCTAGTCCTACTCTCATGCTTCACAGAGTAAGTAATTATGTAATATACGTTATGGTGGCTCGTGTTTCAGACATGTTTCAGACTGGCATTTCCAAACTTTCCAATTTCATCTCCCAGTAATTTTAATGGTATGATAATCGACTGTGATTGTCTGTCATACATACATACGTGGTGCACAGGTAAATGATGCTCACCTCTTCTGCTCATGACATTGCACATCTGATTCTGACTCTAGGAGAAAGTTATAACAGACAGAGAGACAGGGACAGAGAGGCGCATTTGAGCTTTTTGTGATTTACCCATGTGTACAAATTGGAGACAAAAAAGGAATTAAAGTTCCACACAATCCTCGCTCACTCACCTTTGTGAAGTAATGAACTCCCGAAAACTCCAACAATGTGGCCATACAATATCCAAAGCATGCCAGCAGAAACCAGTCCAAGGCAGTTGCGTAATGAACTTTGGGTAAATCAGTTCGCGAGTCGAGAGAGATTGTTGAGAGGGTCAGAACGGCTGTGATTCCTGCGGAACAATGAAATATCTCGGTGAATTAATTATTATATGGACGTAGAGTTAAGTAAGTATAAATCTGATATCAAGCGGTGTACGCACCCAGTCCCACCCGGTCACTTGTGGCTTCCCTGTTCTAAGAACAAATCCAAAGTTAGGTTTTTGAACAGTAGGTAAATATATCATCATAAGAATAAAAAAATAATGATTAAAATGCAGAATGGTTGCTTACGATCCAAAATGATACCCAGGAAAGGACCACAATCAGGACACAGGGGACATACACTTGTATCAAAAAGTATCCTGCATGTCGTTCCAGGTTGAAGTTTACTTGAAGCACGGAATACAACCCCGGAGGTAAATTGGTCTTTCCTGAGACAAGCAAAGTGTGATAACATGTCTCTGTGATTCCAAGCATTGATAACATAGCAAGCCAACTTCTTACCCTCTTTCCTGATCAGAGTTAGATTTTGATATGGAGAACTAGTCAGGTCAAATTGGGACAGCGTCATCCCAGCGACAAATGCAACCCCTGACTTGTCCCAGTGGTAAACAATATGCTGAGAAGTGTAGGCATCTAATAAGCAGATTGAAAACATGGAAATTGAATGTGCACTGTGCGTCACTTGAATAATTCTGATTCTAATTAAACAAAGTAATAGTAGATGATTGATAAGATGACAACAAATTACATGTTCACGCACAATGCATGAGGATACTTGAATATTTTATATCTATTAGAAAAATGTGCGACACGATATTGTACCTCATTTCCCAAATTCATCACCAGCCGTCGTAATACACAAAAAGTATAAGTGGGCACTCAAAATGTTGTTGTTAACTGAACATTTTTTTCCTAAAAAACCGACATTTCTCTAAAAAGAAAACACTTGACAGATCGCGGTGCACAGATTACAATGTTTACTCATTAAAAATGTATGAGCATGTCACCCATCTCTGTCACAAATTGTGTTGTACGTGACACTAGATTTCCAGTGAAATATTGTGCCAGAGTTACTCGGAAAAGGGATGAAATATTATGTACGTATGTCTACGAACGAACAGGTTCAAGTCAGAATTGCTTGACAAAATCATCTCATCTTTATATACAAGTTTGGCTACAATTTTTAATACAGAAAATACAATTTCTAACCAAATGCCAGGTTTCTCGAATCGGATGAAAGTTGTGGAAACAAGTCCAGAAAACTTATCTGATGGGTTATGATTAAAATACGAAAATTTCTTGCAACTTACAACTGCCAATAATTAGAGGACAAGATTGCGTGTCCATTGGAAAGTTCCTCAAGCACATTGGACATTTCGCCTTAATGGTCAACCTGAAAGATAAGTATTATTCTCAAATCATAAATATTAGTCTTCTCTACCAAATCTGTGCATCAACTACGAAGGAAGTTATCAACGACGATTAAGCGATAGGCAGAAAAAGGAAAACGATAAAAACATAGTATCATTTCCGCATTATTTTGATACCTTTCTGTATTCATGTTGGACAAAAAATGAGAAAATATTGGCATTTGATCCTGATCGACACTCAACCACGAGTGATTGAATAGCTCCTTCACTTTCCTCGGCTAATTTACCCTTTAATAGGCAGTAGCACTACACAGGCTGCCTTGCCCATTCATTCGTCTCTTCTCAAGAGATATATATTATGCTCTCCTGCTGTGTGTTCTGGTCTGATGGAGAGAGACATCTCAAAAGAAGAGCTGACAGCATATACTTACATCCACACCGCTAAATACGCAGACAATAAGACGAGAAAGCTAGCTTTCACTTTCCTCCTCCTTCCCCGCCCAATAGGACATAACAACAAGAAAGAAAGGTGATGGGAATGTGTGTAACTCCCTCAAAGTAAATAAGCCATTTGGATAAGAGGCTGTATACGCGATAGGCAACGGTCTCATCTCCTCACTTTTTTTATCTCAACAACACTGACAGCACAAAACAGTCGTGGTAGTAGATTGTGCTTTCACTTAAGTGGGGAATTACATGAAGTAGGAGGAAAGTGAAATGGAGGGGGTTCCGTTCCTCATTTGGTTGAATAACTACGATCCAACCATCATGATACGAGGAGAAAATCGACTAGTTGGGCAGATTGGGGAAAATGAGACAGGGTTCGTCTGCTGCCCGTTGCACAACCAGTTTTCCAATAAAAATGGCATTTGTGAATTGGATTCCATTTTTGGAATAATAAGAGTACCAAAAAGTATGTTATTGCAGAGCAAATATCTCTGTGGGAGGGAAAAAGACTCAGTTTGGCCTCATTTACATCACGAAGTATACGAGAGCGGGAGATTTTCCATCCCAGAGAAATAATTTCTTTACAATATCTTGCACCACCACCAGCACATACAAAGGAAACAGCACAACAGGGAATCAATTTAGATGGTCGGACGAACTGACCAGCAGCAGCGGAGAGTCTCACCTCATGGAGTAAAGAATGTCTCCTTCCTGACTTATGCGGAGCAGCTTGTTAGGAACGGTGATGGTATGCACGTACGAGTTCTTCCCATTGTGAAAGTAAGTATCTGGTCGCCAGAGCCTCTCCAACATCTTAATGTTCAGGCTCAGCTTGTCCACTGGACCACGAAAACTGAGCCGAGGGTCACGCCACGACTGAATGGAAAACAATCACCACGGAAAAGAGAAAGCCATGAAAACAGGTGGAAATAAAGTTAATCAATCCAGTACTGGATAGTTTGGGGCGTGTACGTATGCACCTCACCTGACGAAAGTAACAATCCATTGAGTAGTCCTACAGAGTTAATAAAGGAAACAAAGAGAAATTCAATTAGATTGTCAAGAGAGAAGCAAATGGGCACGTTTTAGTGAAATCTTGCTACTTTAAAAAGTTTTAGAGAAATTTGCACCACTTTTTTGGGATGTAGTTTAATTTTTCTGGGCACTGGAAGTGTATGCAATTATTGAATAAGTTATATGGATTCCGATCTCTCACTTTCACCGTCTTTCAGGAACTCCATTTAGACTTGTGCAATTACACGAGAAACCTTACACGGAAGAACAATGCAAAAAAACTGTCTGATTTAAATCTTATGATTTAAATATAATAAGATTTAAATCTTAATTTAATTTGGATATTGTTAAACACTTAATTATCAGTTAGATTGAGAGGAATATACCAAAATTATAAAATTGATTTAATAAATTGCCTGTACTTACCATATCTAGCTCTGAAATAGGCCCCATCGACTTTATAAGAATATTTGTCCTAATTGTGGTCGGTCTCCCTGTCCCAAAAATAGAAAATGTTTTAATTTAGTGCAATAATTAGTATAACTTGCGAGCTAATACGAGTCAATCCTAATTACTTAGCCAGTACTACATAACTACACAACTGTGGCTCCATTAAGGCAACAATTGTACAAAGTCCCTCATTCTTTTCATCCCACTCTTGTCATATCATAAACAGGATTTGAAAAGTCATCATAATTTTCCAACTTGACAAATAAAGTCTCCAGAAGAACAAATGCAGCAATCTCACCCATTCAATTCAATTACAACCACAGCTTTTACACTTGCGGCCAAAATCCTTCTAATAAATTGATAAGCGCTTTCAAATAAAACTGCCAAATGCTGCAATATTGTTTAAGACATATGATATTTTTACATTGTTGTCTCATTCATGTGGTGCCATTAATATTTATGATAATATTTATGTAAGTAGCTGGAAACTTTGTTTTATTTTTCATCCAGCCCAAAAGCGCAGAGTGCTATTATGCCGTTCGTCATGTTTATTTAACTGATTTTGTCGCTTTGTCCGTACTACATTTAATTGATATTGGACATTCATTTATGTTCATCTAAGCTGGCTGCAAAATGTTATGTCTACTCATTAAATGATCAAGTTTGGCGGTCATTGAATGCAAAAAATTGCAAAAAGTTCACGGCATGGAAAATGGCAACACTACTTGACACATAAATACTTAAGTGGATCGATAAATTTTTATTACATTGAAATATTTGGGGCTAAGTGAAGCTGAAGGGGTTCGGTGTATATACGAACGAATATAGCTCCACGTGAAGCAGTTCCGAGATAATGAGACAATCTGTGGGTGCAATATTTCAGTGGTATTAGTGGTGTGTCAGTCAGTTTGATCTCATTCACTTCACGGGAAAAGTGACACTACTCATTTTTTGGGCAAAGAAACCCTTCACTTTTATGACATCCTCTCAAAAACTCGGTGGAACGCTATTATATAAGCACATCAACATCGACGGCTGGAGCACGTTAAATTTTTGCAGGATGTTAAAAGGAAAGTTTATGATAGTAATTAGTGATGCTCTATTTCTCAATTACAAGCTTGTTAAATAATAATTAATACTTTGACACGAATTTCTAAAAAGCATGGTTTTAATTGTGCAAATAGAATAAGCTGGGATACTTTATGTGTAAAGAATTCAGGAACGAAAGAGGATTGCAAAATTCTTTTGGTAAAAGTTCAACAAAGAAAATGAAAGAAAACTTAAATAATGCACTTATGCAATCATAATTTTGATTGCCTAAATCTATACTGGTGATAATTTTATGTAATATACGAGTTTTTAATGGAAAATGAAATACATAAACTAAAGGCGATACCAGTTACTGAAACCATTGTAATACCACCATGAGCATATATCAGATTATAAATATTCCCACGAATCTCAGCTTTAAAAACAATAAAATGTACTGGAGAATTTCAAAATAACACAAATTGTAGTCTACTCACAGTAAAAAAAAGTAACTACCATTTGAGCAATTCAATTCACAAAGTCACACCTTTGCAGTTAAGTAACATTGCAGACGGACAATCTCGACGGATGGAGAATATTAGAACTTCTCCAAGAACATTTTGATGCCTGAGGGATATCTGCATCAGCTTTTTTAATGTCCGGCCACAGACCTCAATATTTGATCACGTCCATTTTCCTCTTTGGTGAGATTTTTTATAGTCTGGGCGACGACGGGAGGAAGGATAACTGAGAAATTGGAACGTTTCAGAAGAACACCACCTCTAGCTGTCATTTCCTACTTTGTTTGTGGTACAGTCGTCGATAGTTCGTTATATCTTCTCGCATCCTCACTAAAACCTCTCCTCAGCTCTGAGCAATGTGGACAGAAAAGTGTCAAATACGGACCAAAGTAGTACAAATATTCTCATTCTTGTTCTCTGACAACTGACAGTTCTTTACCACTTTGTGTGCAATGAGTGAAGGCCACCGGAAACTTTACATGGTTAAATGAAATTATTACTGGATTTGATGAAATTTTAGCTCCTGCAGTTCAACTTCGTACTTTGCAAGTGCATTGTGCAAATCTCATGCGAAATTTTAGCCATGATACCAGCACTCTACTTACTTTTAAAATTTCACATGTTATTACATCTTCATTCTTAAGTGTACCGTTGAGTGTGGGTGGTTACTTCCGGAAACTTGAATACAATTTCAACTCCGCGTTCTCAGATAAAGTGATTGATTATGATTATTTGATTAACACATAAATTTTTGATATTCTACGTTGAGCTTCCCAAAAAAGAACTGAGTTTGTGGTTGCACTCTTTGGTTTTTTATTTCCTGGTGAGGGTAAAGAAATCGCAATATGATTCGCTCATTGACTAGGCGGAGTGAAAGCTTGGGGAGAGGAAAGTGAATAAAAGTGGTCGAATAAATAAGTTCGCGGAGAGATTGGCAGTCTGGTCAGGTGCTTAATGGTTAATCGTGATTGAATGAGTAAAGCGTTGGAAATCATACGAATCATGCACTTTCTCCAAACAACACCATGTACAAATAAGTAAGTCAAAACTACTACATACTCGCCGATTTCGTGCATGAGAAAATACACGGAATAATAAAGCAAGTTGTCCGCACAATCTTAAAAATATATAATTCTGCCAGTTTTCAGTTCTATTTTCATCCCAGCTTTCAGTTCAAGTACACATTTTTTATTCTACGCACTTCCGCATGGTCAAGCATTTTGAAAATTTGTCCTGAGTAAAACGGTTCAACATTTTTATTCCCACCAAAGTGCAACCAAACCAAACCCCAAGTCGAAGTAAATTGACATTTGCCCACAGTTTGAATACACCCAGAAAAATTAGGAATTGGCTGCGGATTTAAACTCAAGATCAGACTTTACTGAAAGAAAGAACTTGCCCTCATTTTAATTGGTTTCTCATTGAATCAAAACTTTGTAAGTCCATTATTTCAAGATGGAAATCCATTTATAAGAGTCAACACTTTGCCTAATTCAATCCAGTTGTGAATTAACTCTTGGATTTGATTGTTCTTTTGATTCTACTCGGCTATGCTCTTAATGACTGACTGGGTGTTGAAACCAGACGTGGGTTATCATGCATAGCAGGCAGTCAGTCAGTCACATCCTTGGATAAAACTTATTGAATTGAAAAAAGTGAAAACAAAAACGAGTAAATGAATGCCCACTTAACATTGTAATTACTTTCACTTTGTTGGGATTAATGAAATTAGTGGGTCATGGACAAGTGGGTTTTGTTGTTCTGATTAAGAACTAGTCAATTCAAGCTTCTTAATATTTCAAGGTTCTTAATTCTCACTAGTGCAAATAAATACAAAAGACAAGAACTCACCCTCTTGATAGTTGGGATGCTGCGAGTTGTCGTAATCCTTAAGTAATAAGTCCAATATTTGAGTAATGTTTTTGAACAGGAGATCATTACTCCCTTCTCCGCCTCCCTGTGTCGCCACGGCCATGTCGTCAACCCTTCAACCAAGAAAGTCATCAGTAAAACACACAAAGTTCAATTCCCTCCATCCACCTCTTTTTAGTTCTTACCACAAAAAATATAAAAACGTAAGGTGAGCACAGATCAAGATTTTCATCCTTCAGCAAAACGTATAAGCCGGGACGACTACTTTACAACCCCCGTTACAATTATGTAGAACAACTGAGTGAGACACTAACTATTGAGTGAGATGTAGTATTTCAATTTACAATTGTTGAAATTTGTTGATAACCCGCGACACATTATGATAAGCAGACTGTAAAAGTGGTGTGTTCCAGACTGATGATGACTGAGGTTTGGGGATGAGAATCTCAACCAGAGTCGTCTCACTCTCCTCGTTTTAGCAGATCAAACTTAAGCACGGAGAGAGCGGAGGATGGAGAAAGTTGAGAGTTGTTGAGCAGGTGAGAGCCTCGCCGTCCTCACTCTGCGTCCTCATATGAAAGTACGTACCTAGAAAGGACGTATCTCCACAGCCAACCAAGTCTGCAGGGCCCACGGAACAAGAGTTGCAGTTCATCTGCTAAAATAAGTAGCAGGAGGAGAACACACGATGAGACTGTAAGTAATTGTGTGTGTGTGGGTGAGAGAAAGTCGAGTGGATGGATATTATGCATGGGTTGTGCCGGTGCAGTGCAAAAGCACGCGTTCATTATGATAGTTGTCATCCTTCCGGCTTCAGGACATGGGGGTGAAGTTGGGCAACAACAATCGACATTATGAAATGGTTCCAGTCTTGCTGAAATGATGTTACGTAACTAAATATGATATCCTGCATATAACAAACATTTACTTATGATTTAATAATTGAATCCAACTACATACATACAAACGCTGTTTACGTACAACTTGAGGTGACAAATGTAACGATTGCCGTTTGACTGGGTCGCCATATGTGAAAAAGAGGTGACGAACTACCATGATCTTGCTCTCAATAATCTAATTTATGCTAATCCAAGCAAGCATACTTTTTTACAAAGTATTATTCAGTACGTACAAAAATGTGTAGAAAACATGGTGACCATGAAAGCGCGACGTCTCCTCATTTCCCCGTTCACTTTTACGAAGACTTATCAAGACTCGTTAAGATAACTCAAAGTGGGCATACATATTAAGATTGTGATTATCGTGAGTGTGTGGATGAGCGTTTATCTCGCGTGGTGGTGGTTGTTAAAAGACGGTCCATATTTATACAGCACATTTCTGGAGAAAGTTTCCATCTTTTTTTTAGGTGGCTAGCACACCGAGGGTTGACGGCAGTCAGGTTTTCGTATACAGATTAGATTCGTCTCCTCCGGTCCTCGCTTGTTGTTGTGACTCTTTTCTTTTCATGGTTGGACGTAGTGTAGGGCCCGGATCGGAAAAGATGAGAAAAAAATCCTCTATAAGCCAGCTTCCGGTTGGTTCTGAGGTTAAGACACAGATAATTGAATTTTTTCTCTATACGATACTCTTAAAAAACCAAAGGAAAAACATGAGCCAAACTAAAACCTGCTTCGTTTTTTTACCACCTAACCGGATGAACACGGGTGACTCTTTTTTTATATGTATACATTATATACTAGCATGGATACTAATGATGCCAAATACAAGGGCATGGTGTTTGTTTTTTTCTTTTGTAATTCAATTTTATTTAGTTTTCATCTGCATTCAAGAATACAAAGCAATACAAATAATGATTTAACGTGAAAATATACGTTGGTCCTAATGCTGAATAATTCTAGAAACCTATTCATTCTTACTCAACTGCTAAAAGTGTATCATAAAGGTTCTGTAGAAGTAAAGACGAGAGAGAAAAATTATTTAAAGGACAATAAATACGACTACAAATTACAATCTTAATATTAATTGACAATGATCAAGTGGAAATTTACTGAGATTTTCTATTAGAAAAAAGAAGGTGAGAGCAAATGAAAAATTGATTTGATAAGGGATGGATACACATAAATGTTTGATTAAGTACAATAGCGAGCACCCTGTTATCACCGTCAAATATAACGACTACAAAATTGACTCGACGCCAAAAAGCCAGTTTTTGGAGCATTTGACTTATCGCAATAAAGTAAAATGAGAGACTGTTGCATTATTAAACTTGAACGAAACAACAAAAATGAGTATAACACTACTGCATATGATTATTAAAATATGAGACGAAGGTAACTGCGCAACAATACTTGCGAGTTGGTTCACTGACCAAAGCATAGTTTAAAGAGGTCTTAACGAGATCGACATATCTCGTCTCGTCTCGAACTTATCGAGACGAGATTAGACGGGATGTTTTTTTCGTCTCATTAAGACACTGCTATTATAGTTTACACTCCCAGCTCAACGGGGAGACCGATGATGGAAATACTATTAAATCATCACTAAATAGAAACGTTATATGGAATAGTTGATTCTGAACGAATGGATATCGTAAAATTATAAAAAAAGTAGATAACTCCTAGACAGATCATTATTAATACTCGAATCCGCTTCCGCCTCTGTAACCACCTCGGCCTCCACCACCACCTCGTCCTCCAGGTTGACGCCAACGACTATTATTATCTAATTATAAATTTAAAATAACGCACTCTTAGTTTAGGTTTAATTCATAATATTAATATTCATGCAATGGAATACATAAAATGCATATTTAATCTCGATACTTACATCCACCTCCTCCGCGGCCCACTAGCTCAAACAATTTGGGATTCACAACCTGTTTCGCTTCAGTCAATACGTCAACGAGATCCTTTGCCGCCTTGGCGTTGCTCCGAGTAAAGAATGTATACGCAGTGCCAGTTTTTGATGAGCGACCAGTTCGTCCAATGCGATGAACGTAGTCTTCCGTCCCGTTGGGGAAATCGTAGTTGATAACAAATTTTACATCCTCAACATCTATAATATTCATACAAGACAAGATTATAATATGACCACACATGACACCCAATATCTCACCCACTTCGCATTTACATGTTAAGAACAAACAAGAGGATATGGAAATTGGTTGTATTATGCAAACTATAGGACAAGGCTGACAGGGAGCAGAGAAATAGAAATAGGGGAAAAAGTTATAGGATTGATGTCTGCAATGCGAAGATGGGAATCTTACCTTGCAGGATTCAATACACACGTGAGAGTGACACAATTAATTTCGAGGTGTGAGGTCAGAGGCACAGATTGGATTGGAGAATGCCGGTGTTGTGGTTACATATCCATGATGGCTGATGGTTGGTACATATGCTCGGATAACAAGAATCGGGTGGGAAGGACGATGAGCACATTGCGACAAAATCATCATCACCATTAGGTAACCAAATAATTCAACTAGCATTTCCACTTCCTTTCCACTTTATCTTTCATACTGTGCCTCTGAAAATCAAGCCAAATCACAACAAATTACTAACTCAGTCTAAGTTTTGGATAATTAATTGATTGGTTAAAAAACAGCTGTTGTGATTTCTTCAACTTGAATATGATGCTGACCTCAAAATCACCAAAATTATTGTTATTTATTGATGTATATATGCAATAAATTATGTATATATATAAATTGTCACTTTTCCCACATTTTATATCGTAAAGAGATAGAAGAAGGTTTTTCAAGTAGGTTTTGCAAAGTATTGATACTCACCCAAGCCGCGAGCTGCTACATCAGTTGCAACAAGGATTGGAGCGCGTCCACAGCGGAACTCTAATCAAACCATAATTAATCATGTTATCTTTTAGCTATGTTGGGTCATTATGTGTTCATATTATATTGCCTAGGCTCACCTTGCAGTACCCAATCACGCTCGCCTTGTGACTTATCACCATGAATGCACATGGCAGGCCACCTAATAAATTATTAATAATTAGTTATTAGTATGTACACATGCAGGCGCACAAATTAAACTTACCCATTCTTTCTCAAAGTTCGAGTGATTTCATCGACCTTCTTTTTTGTCTCTACGAAAACGATTGTCTTGTTTTCCTTTTCTAAACCGATTTCGTCAATGAGCATTCGCAGCCTGTAAAATGAAAAAAAGACTCCTCATTTTAGTATTTTACAATTTCATAAATTTGTATCTAGAAAAAAAACATACTTATTTTCCTTCTCGTGCTCTTGGCAAACGTCAATAATTTGCAGAATGTTGTGGTTGGCTGACAAGTTTGCGGAGCCAACATTAACCTGGGCGTAATCCTTGAGGAAATCCTCAGCCATAGTGCGAACCTCCTTGGGCCAAGTAGCTGACCACATAAGAGTTTGACGATCGGGCTGTAAATTCAGAATTCAAAACATTAGCTTTATTTCAAGAGATATTATTCAAGTCTAAAATTAAACATAATGATTAGCATATGTTCGGTATCTAGAGGATGGAATCTATTCATTCATTTATTTTTGAAGTAGACACCGAAGGCATGATACCGTTCAATCTCTTTACTATTCCTCCGCGAAACATTCATGGACCAGTATTAAAGTAGTGGATACATGCCAAGATGGGAGGATTTTTTTATAACTACTAACTATGATTAACTTATGAATCTTACCCGAACTTGGTCCACAATTTTACGAATTTGTGGCTCGAAACCCATGTCCAACATACGATCAGCTTCATCCAGCACCAAGTATGTGCATCGTTTTAAATTGGTCCTTCCAGATTCGAGAAAGTCGATAAGACGTCCAGGAGTAGCTACCAAAATTTCGACTCCTTTTTCCAAATCCCTGGCTTGTCCACCCTTTGGAGCGCCTCCGAAGACGCAAGTACTACGAAGTCGGCAAGCATTTCCATACTCGGCTGCGACCTGCTGAATCTGCTGGGCCAGCTCTCGAGTTGGGGCAAGAATTAAAGCAATGGGTCCTTGACCACGCTCAAGTCGTGGCTGGTGACTGATATGGATGATGCTTGGCAGAGTGTACTACAAATCAGAACATATAATAAGAATATATTATGTGAATCAAACATAATTATAATTAAGTTTATTAACTAAAACAATTAAGGTATAACTTACAGCCAAAGTCTTTCCAGAACCAGTTTGGGCAATACCCACCATATCACGACCACTCAGAGCAATTGGCCATCCCACACTTTGGATCAGAGTTGGTTTCTCAAATCCATTTCGACGGAACGAACTCATAAGTCCCTCTGGAATTCCCCCTTCTTCAAAATGCAAAATAGGATTCGGCAGGTCTCGACCTCTCATGGTCACTTGGTTCGAAGCCAGATAGTCTTGCACCTCTCTCACGGGTCTGTACAAAAATACATTTTTTAGGTTACTAAATTCTGTTAAAAAAACCTAACAATCGATAATATTTAAAATACACATTTGACATACCGGTTTAACACAGTTGGACTAGGAACATAAAAGTTCTTCTCGAAATGCAGGAGATTCTCAGCCTCCCATTTCACTTTACGCAAATTTTCTCCAGCAAACTTGCCTCGTCCACCACTAGCACCCCCACCATAACTACCACCACCCCCGCTATATCCACCGCCTCCATAACTTTGTCCCCCACCGCCGTAACTAGCACCCCCACCACCGTAACTGGCGGCCCCACCACCGTAACTAGAGCCCCCGCCGTTTCCATAGCCGCCTCGTCCGCCACTGTAATCGATAAAAATTAATTGTTCATTAACACATGTATGAAACCGAGCCTATTACATGCTACGTCATCTTGTGATATCATTAATCCACATTCGACACACTTTGCACATGGTGCACCTAACCTAATTAAACTAAAGGTGTGAATGCGTATAAATAAATTATAGTACAAGCATCAGGTCGCCGTGCTGGGGAGGCAGGTTCATTCATCTAGAGACCTCATAAATTAACGAAAGAAGGATAGGAAGGAAAGAGGCCTTTAGTTGGTTTTTCGGTTATCGGTGAGGTTATCGACTGCCTCCTCAACACGGCAACTCGGTGCTCGTATTTTGGTCGATCTCACTTACTTGAGAGTAAATTATATCCTCAATACAATCCAATAAGGACGAATGATTAAAGATGAAGAATAAAAAACGTTGCATAAATATTAGCTAATTAAAAACGTTGCATAAAATAATAACTAATTATAAACTACCCCCTCTTCCCCACATTCTCCTAGATAATAATTTCCAATATTTCCAAAGTCAACCAACCGGCATGGTGGCTACCATGCCTAAATGCTCATCACCTCTGACCTTTCAACCTTTGTACCCTCCCCACGATCCAAATAATCAAAATTAGTAAAAAATGAAACTCACCGATTATCCCTGTACGACATGTTGATAAGTTTCTTTGAGGAATTGACAAATTTTCAAGTATATGAATGTAAATTTCCGAAAACCGGGTGGACGGAAAATTTGTGCTGCTTCCTCGTCGTGGTGCTCGTGGCAAAAGGCAGAGTCAGTCACGTTGGGGTCTCGTCGTCTGGATTTCTGCTCTAAAAAATGCGAGGAGATGGAAATAAAGATGGCAGCTTTTGGCACACCGCTCACTTCGAACGTAGCAAAAACCTCGAGAATCTCAACTTTCTCAAAACAACACTCACCCGTTCGTTGTCAACAAATAATGACAAATTTCTTTGGGAAAACGTGAGTGAATTTTTTGACAAAAAAGATAACTATTTTTGGATAAGGTAAGGACAACTTTGAATTACTTGGCTTGTTTTATATTACAAGATAAAATCAGTGAGGGAATTTTTGTATTAATGAAAAATTGAGAAGTTTGGAAATTTACTTTCCCGAATTTTTGAAGTTAAAATATAAGCTACTACGACGACTGAGTTAACAAAGTTATAATGTTTTTATTTACTATGCAGATTTAAAATACTTCTATTTCATTTTATAAACTGCGAAGTATCATTCACTTATATTGTTATTAAATTTCTGCATAATTTTTCTATTTTGAAATTTGAGGTTCAGGAGGTGAAAGAATTTATGAGCAATACTATTAAGTGTCAAGTGGGGGTGATAAAGGCTTACCAGAGATACAAGTGTAGTAACGAGTCCTAAATACTTTTGACAACTAGAATTACGTGATGATGACGAACTCCTGCTGACGACTTGTTAATTCTATGTATAACTTGAATGTTGATGATGGTGAGGATTTGCCTGAAAGCTCAGCAGTATGTAAGTAAGAGCTGTATGCAGTATGACTCATTCCCCTCGTCAACCAACCCATATGATGACGAACCGTGTTATAAACACTTCGGTAACATTAGTTTGTAACGAATATTCCTCTGAAGTGCCCAAGTTGACTCAGTCGGCAGTTTCTGCATTGTTTAAGTGGTAAAAATACAAAAGATTACAATTGTTCTCTATTTTGAACGAATTAACTTGAGAATTGTACAAGCGTTGAATTATTCTTAAGAAAACTATTAGAAAAGAGCTCCATAATATGTGATACATATTTAATAAATGTTTCATTTTTCAGCTCATTAGAATATTTGAGGATCAAGATCACAAGGCATACAGATATTTAATCAAGATGGAGTGGCTGTTCGGACGCAGGATGACCCCAGAGGAAATGCTTCGAAAAAATAAAAGAGCGCTGGATAAGGCGGTTCGCGATCTGGACAGGGAACGACAACGAATGGAGCAACAGGAGAAAAAGATAATTGCCGACATTAAAAAGATGGCGAAAGAAAATCAAATGGTACGTGTGGATGTTTTACTTTATACTTGTAATTAGTATCTAAAAATCCAACCTTCAATAAATTTCTATGGTCCTACTCTTCAGGATGCTGTCAAAATTATGGCAAAGGATTTGGTCCGAACTCGTCATCACGCCAAGAAATTCATGTTGATGCGAGCCAACATTCAAGCCGTGTCGATGAAGATTCAGACATTGCGGTCACAAAATGCTATGGCGGAGGCGATGAAGGGTGTCACTCGAGCAATGCAGAGTATGAATAGGTATAATAGATCAGAAGAAAATCATACTTTTAAAATGCACACCTGATTAGTTAATTTTCTTATTCCCGTTTTGTTTTTCAGACAATTGAAACTTCCCCAAATTCAAAAGATTTTACAAGAGTTTGAAAAGCAATCCGAAATCATGGACATGAAGGAGGAAATGATGAATGATGCTATGGACGATGCGTTGGGTGGCGAAGAAGACGAAGATGAAAGGTATTGATTACAAAGTTAATTAATTAAAGGATTCCATAACTAATAAGTTTATGACCCTCTCATTTTAAGCGATGCCATTGTGTCCCAAGTTTTGGATGAATTAGGACTTCAACTCAAGGACCAATTATCCTCCCTTCCTGCAGCTTCTGGAGGTTTGAAAAATCCAGCAGCGAAAGAGCCAGTTGCAGCTGCACTAAGCGACACCGACGCAGACCTTCAAGCCCGATTAGACAACCTCCGAAGAGAATAGCGGACTGTGCTGTAATAATAATGATATGATACAATAATAATATCTTAAATATTTTCTACTCCTTACGAGACCAGATCCTACCTAAGTCGTGCATATTCAAATTTGCAGTTATATGCAAGCAATTTTAACACTTTATATGTACGCATGTGATGGATTTCTAAACGCAAACTTTATACTACTACTCTTCACGTTACTCTAAAAAATAAATTGAAGTGTGTACGTGTACTTTTTGAAAAAGTTGTTTGTATAGAATTAACGACGGATTGTATATTAAGGTATATATTATACATTATCATATTGTGAACTACGCCATTATTTGTATTATTAATAATTATATATTTCAGTCAGTTAGTGTATCATTTTTTCATGGGATACTAACTTAGAGAAAATGTGATTTTTATAAATGCCTACGACACTAAAGTACAGAGGTAAATTAAACGTCAAATAAATGGAAAGTATCACCCGCCTCGTTATAACGTATACCTTCTCGAGTAAATGTCAGTTCTTTGAACGTTGTATGTATCATTCTTTACTTGCCGTCGAAATTGTCAAACAGCAATGTTACAAGTGTTGAAAATGTCAGGTTTCTTGTCGACATGTTTTATAATATTCCTTATGAAGGAGTCAAATACCATATTGACGAGACAGCTACCCATCATTCTCACAAGAGACGAATCAATAAAATATTTAAAATAACGGGTTTTTCTCAAAAACCATTTGCACCTATGAAACTAGCTTAGCTGAACCATCAAAACGTACGCATTCATCTCCATTATTCTCTGATAAACTACCGGTTGAGATATTTTTATGAGAGAAAACCCCTGAAACCTATGCTTTTGTTCTTTTCTTGTATATGAAATAAATGGAACCCTTTTTTAACTTTTTGACTTTAACAAACAAATAACCACAACCTATTGTCAGTGATCAAAGTACCTGAAAGGGCTGGGCAGCCTTCAATTGTATCTCACCCACTTGTGGGTGCTAAAAGGTCACCCACCACGGAGAGTCGTTATTTGCGTCCTTTCACTTTTTAAGTGCCTCAGAAAGAAGATTTGGACCTGTCAAATTGAGACATTTGACAAGCCGAAATAAAAATGATCCCTGACTCGGTTTAAGACTTCAGCTCAGTTTCAATTTGCCCGAGTGTCAAGACAGTCTCGAACTTTTTGGGTGACATTGAAGTATTTCAACAAGTCATGGAGCATGTAAAGCGTGTAACGAGTCTTATCAAAATCATAAGTCTCGTCAAACTCATCTTAACAATCTGGGTAAGTTTATTCATCAAAATTATGAGAAAATAATGCACACTTTTTATAGTTGCAATTTTTAAAATTCAAGATTCAAGAAGCAGACTCTCATGGTCGTCTCATGAATCCTCCTGGTCGAAACGCAATGTGGAGGTTTGGCTTTCCTAATCCCGTAAATTACAATGATAATGAGTTGTTTTGCGGTGGATATGTTGGTAAGAAGTCCCATAAACTGAGGTGGATTATGCTAGGATAAGCTAGCATATTAAAAAATGTGCAATTTATTATAGTTCAGCAAGGGACTAATGGGGGGAAATGTGGCGTTTGTGGAGATGACTATCGGCTTCCCACGCCAAGGCCGCATGAAATAGGAGGAACTTACGGAAATGGAGTCGTTGTTCGTAAATACTACGCCGGACAAGTAAGACAATATTTAAAGTCAAATAACAAACTGCAGAATATCATAATTTTTGTTACTACACGAATTAGGATATTAGCGTGAAAGTTGACCTGACATCAAACCATCATGGCTTCTTTACCTTTAAACTCTGCCCAGCTACAAGCATTACGGAAGAAGTAACGCAGGATTGCTTGGACCAGTAAATTAATATTACTGTCAATTATTTGTTATTTCTCAATTACAAGTTAACTTTTCAATCTCACTTTTTACAGGAATCAACTGAAAATCATAAATCGGGATGGGTCGAGTTCCAGCAAGTATAAAATAATGTCAAATGAACGTAGTGGGTCATTTGAGATTAAAGTGAGACTTCCTCAAGGCCTGACGTGCGATAGGTGTGTCTTTCAGTGGACATACACAACAGGTAATTGGCAAACTTTTGTACATTACTCGTTTGCCTTTGTACTCCGTAGTACGCATGTAAATGTCCATAAGTAGTATAATTTTGGAACAATTTCAGGAAACAATTGGGGGACTTGTGCTGATGGAACACAGCAAGTGGGATGCGGGCCGCAAGAAAACTTTGTCAACTGCGCCGATGTTAGGATTTTAACTCGTTCTCTGAAAAACTTATGGTCGGATCCTAAATTGACATCGTCGTCAAGATCAAATCCTCATATGATGTACTACAAAGATTTCTCGCAAGAAGGAGCACCTCTGACCCCGTTGGTCATCAAGTAATTCATTTACCCTCATCCTAAATTACTATTTCATACAATTTGGCATCCAAATAACTAAATATTATTATGACCTTCCTCACTCTTAGCTATCAAGTCTGCGTCGCAACGCCAAAGATTGGAATGCTTCCTGGAATTGACGACTGGTGTCAGGCAGGCTGCATGCGGTATCCTCCTTACTGTCCAAGTGATCTGTGTCGTTGTGTCGAAGATTGCAGTGCGGTCGGCGAATTTAGTAAAGTTCAAGGGTCGGATCAATGGTGTTTAGACGAATGTTCGGTTTATCCTCCCAGAAATTGTACGCAGGATCGATGCTCGTGTTGGTAAATCTAACATAAATACATAAATCCAATAATATTACTGTGAAACATGAAAGTAAAAATGATCTCGCTGGAAGATATTTTTGGACTGATGGTGATTTTTATTAAACAACTTGGTTTTAAGGTTTTGACAGTACATAGGAGACATTCATACATATGTAATAATATGTGGTCAGAAGTGACCATACAAACTACGCAGAGTTATGCTCAAACGAAGTGTCCCTTCTAATGAGGCATAAAAACAAAAGGACCCTTTTAATCCCTTGTCCTGGGAAAAAGGTTGGAAAATGCTCAGCCCTCATAAAAGTCGACAAACTTAAAAATTGATAAATATGGAAAACTTTGTTAACATGCATATTTTAACATCCTCCCTCAATTTTTAAAGTTCAATATCGGCAGTTTCCACTGGATTTGCCCTAACCGAAATTACATTTGGCCGGCTTTTCAGAAAAAGGAAAACACAAAGAGTGGCTTGAGCAACTATTATTAGTATGCAAAGGGTTAAGATCCATTCCATTGTTGACCAGGCTGGTTCATTGCTTGTGTGGTAGTGGATTGACCCTCCTTCGTCAGTGGAACCATTGATCATCAGACTGGTCCAGTTGAAACTAGGCTGCAAGTGCCAGTTGGCTTTCATCGTGAATAGTGGGTCGACTACCTCTTGGTGAACAAGGCTGGATTCAGTTCCTGAAAATTCAATATCATTTATTTTAAAATTAGCATTCATTGGAAGGATGAACACGCTAGCAGGGCATTGTTGCAGCTTCCTCTCAATGGTAATATTGGACCCAGGGCAGTAGATATGATATTGTCCATGGTGTAGTTTGATTTGTACAAAATCCCATGGTTCAGCAAGGTTCTTGTCATAACAGTGGTCTATGTCAAAGTGATTGGAGTTCTTTGTTTTCGCTGTTGGCGTGCATCCTCGAGTGGGCGAAACAATTAGGTCGGGGGTTGTAGGCTCCTTAACATTGATGGAGTATACGCAGTCATCTTTCGTAGAAAGGATGGCATTATGGGGTCCCTTGTACTTTAGAACGCAGGTTTCATTCTTCCTTTCAACTTTGAGATCGAAGGAGTCTGCCTCGATGAGTTGCAAATCTTTGTTAATTTCAGTTGCTGTGAAGTCCACATACAGCTTGGTTCTGTCATCTGATATTTCGCACTTTTGAGATTGTGCGAAGCTGACTGGGCAAGCATCACCACAGGGTAACGTGAAATTAAAGAAATCCATTAGTGGTGCGTAAACTTTTCCTCGCCGCCACTGTCTTGTTGCTTCTCTAATTATTTCTCTACCTATCATGAGGCGACTGGTAAGGTAGGCAATTGCGAAATTGGTGTCAATGGATTTTCCCTTGAGTTCGTCGTGATCAAGCTGATGTAGCTGAAGCTGTTCTAGTATACCATTTAGGCTAACCTTAAGCTTCTCAATCTCTCTTTCCGATATTTCCACGCGACGTTCCAATTCATCCAGCATCTCTCTTTGTTCCGCTACTGTTCCTTGCAAAGCAGAGATTCTTCCAGTTTGAACAAACGAATTGATTGCTCCACCAACTGATAAGCCGGCTACAAGGACAGTCACACCAATTATTACTCCAACTGCAAGTAATGGGAGGACTCTCTTCACTCTTCGTCCAATCTCTCTGGTATGTCGCGAATTAATATGATCGGAGAATTTTCTTTTAGGGCACATTTTTTCTAGCTCATCCAGGAACATTTCGTCGTATATTTTGTTACATTTCTCGGTTGCATAGGCACTTAAATCCTTATGGAGTAGATCCTGTGTTAAAATTTCGCACGGGTTCATGAATTTGACGAGCAAGTGGACTTGGTTATATCCCGTTGTAACTGGGATTGGACTCTTTTTCCATAGTAAAGGGATCGCATTCTGATGTGTCACCCCACAAGCTTGCGTAATAAACATAAGAAGGATGGTGAGAAGGCTCATCAGTGAGAAGTTGGCTTGGAGGGGACCTCTCTTTACTTTAGTTGGGTTGTCCTTGCTCTCCTTTGTCTCATTTCTTTCCATACTGAGATCGTGTCTCATCTTGAAATGCTGGGTCTTCAGTAGTGGCTTAGTTAATCCATCTGCAATTTGTTCACTGGTATGTACATATTCAATTGCCAACTGTCCTGTACTAACTAGCTCTCTTGTGTAGTGGTACCGGACATCGATGTGCTTGGATCTTGAGTGCATCTCTGGATTTTTGACCAATTTTATTGCACTCTGGTTGTCAACATGAATTATTGTTGGGGACTCTTGTGGGAATCCTAATTCTTCTAGAAATCGTCGTAACCAAACGGCTTCACGCGCTCCAGAAGCGAGAGATATATATTCACTTTCCATTGATGACATTGAGACAATGGGTTGCTTTTGGCTTGACCATGAAATAACGCTGTCATTTAGCATGAAGACAAAACCTGTTGTAGATTTTCTATCCATCTTGTCGGAAGCATAATCTGCATCTGTATATCCCCTGAGAATCATATCCTCACACGGTTTGTATTTGATTCCGAGTTCCTCGGTGCCTTTTAAATAGCGGAGGACTTGCTTTGCAGCTTTCCAGTGAGTTTCGTCGTATGCGTGCATAAACTGAGACAGGCGGGACACTGCATATGAGATGTCAGGGCGTGTGCACTTGGCTAGGTAAATTAATGATCCAACGAGCTGTCGATACGGAAGGGTCTCGTTTATTGTTGCGGCTGGGACGAGTTCTCCTGCATGAGGTTGCATCGGCACATTCGTCGGGTTGCACTCCAGCATATTGTACTTTTCAAGCAGGTTACGGATGTAAAAAGGTTGTGACAAAAGTAAACCATCATTTCCATCTCTGATTATTTGCATCCCAACATAGGCTGTGGGCTCCATTATCGTTATTTCAAAGTAGGATTTGATTGCATTGATGATCTTCTGCACGGCATTTTTATCTTTTCCAATGACCAGTGAATCATCCACCCATAAGCTGAGATAAGTGATTATTGCATCAACATCTCCAACAAATATACAGGGATCGCAGTAACATGGGTGCAAGTCGAATTTCTCGAGAAATTCGGTGAATGTTTCATTCCAGGTTCTTCCAGCCTGTTTCAATCCATATAAAGCCTTGATCAGGAGGCACACGATGGAGTCATCTCCATTGTGGAAACCCTCAGGTTGTGACATGTATATGGTCTCCTTTAGAATCCCGTAGAGATAGGCTGTCTGGACATCCAGCTGTGCGATATGTATTTTCTTTGCTGCAGCTATACTTAGTAGAAGTCTTATGGACTCGTACCGAGATACGGCGGAGAATGTCTCAAAATAGTCGACGCCTTCTTTCTGTCTATGCCCTCGTATGACAAGCCGGGCTTTAAATCGATCAATTGTTCCATCCATTTTACGTTTAAGCTTGTATACCCATTTACTGTCAAGCAATCTTGCATTGGCTGGCCTCTTCACGTATTTCCAAGTCCCATTTTTCTTATGACTTTCAATCTCATCTTGCATTGCCTTTATCCATTCTTCCTTCTCTTTAGACTCAACGGCTTCTTTATAAGTTGAAGGTTCTTTGTCTGCATAAATGGCATGAGCTTGATATCTATCTGGTTTCTTAATTTTAGCTCTGTCTCTTAAATTGCGAGTGGTTCCTGATTTTTTACTTGTTTCAGGCAAGACAACACGTGTCGTCCCTTGCGATGGAATGCGAGCCGTGTAGTCTCCTTTTTCAGTTTTAACTTGGACTTCTAATTCGTCACCCATTTTCTCGTTGTCAGGTTGTACTGGCTGTGGGTCAACTTGATCAGGCTGTGGGTCCTAGGGATCGTATTTCTCCTCGTCCGTCCATTCTGCATCATCTTGTGCATCATCTTTTGCATCATCTTTTTCAGATTTGGATTCATCAGGTTCATCTCTTTCTTCTTCGCCATGTATCATTACTGTCGGTTCAAAAGCTTCTTCGTGGAAAGATACATTTCTTGCCTCAACCACTTGTCCGGACTCAGGGTCGTAAAGACGATATTTCTTGCTCTCTGATGCGTACCCACACAGGATAAGTCGCTCTCCCTTTGCTCCCCAGACCGTCCTTTTCTGGGCTGGTATATGTGCAAATGCTACGCTACCAAAGACTCTCAAATGACGGAGTGAAGGTTTCTTGCCAAATATTGCTTCAAATGCGGTTATATTTGGACTTTGCTTGTCCAGTATTCGGTTGTGGACGTAGACGGTGGTGGCAACGGCTTCAGCCCATAAAGATTCGGGTAATTTAGCTGCCAGCAGAATAGTTCGAGCACAGTCTTTTAAAGTTCTTATTTCACGTTCGGACCTCCCATTCATTTCTGGATTGTAGCTGACGGTTGTTTCATGAATTATTCCCCGGTCTCTGAAGTATGATGCCAAAGTAGAATTACAGAATTCTCCACCATTGTCTGAACGGCATATCTTGACCTTTCTTCCTGTTTGATTTTCCATAAATTCAATGTAGCATTTGATACGATCCTTGGCTTCGTCTTTGCTCTTGAGAAAATATACAGTGCGGAAGCCAGTAGCATCGTCTTTCAAGAGTAAGAAATATTGAGCTCCTCCCAGGGATGCAACAGGCATTTTTCCGGCTAAGTCCATATGGACCATTTCTCCTGGTTTTATCGTTGCATTTCTTGTTGCGGCTGGAAATGGCTTTCGAGATTGCTTCCCAATCTCACAGTCTTCACACATAATTTTATGTGACACGGCCTCCAGGTCAATTCCACGAACTGCGTCTTTCTTGATGGAGTCCACCACATAGTTCATATTAATGTGTGTCAAGCGTTGATGCCATAGTTTAGCATTAGTCACGGGATGCATGTATGCAGCAATAATTTGTGAAGTGGGACGAAACTTCATGACATACATATCATTTTTGAACTCGGCAATTGGCCCCTTAAACCGTCCATCCTGATAAAATGTTGCTCCATTCTTGTCACGGACGATGGAGTACCCTTTCTTAGCCATTGATCCCTCAGAAAAAAGGTTGACAGCCCCTTGTATGTACAACACGTTATCTATGGTACATTCCTCCCATATGCCGTTGATGTAAGCGTCAAGTGTCACTGTCCCTTTTCCTAGTGCTTGTGTAGCCCTTTTGTCCGTTAGGAAGACTGACTTGGGAGTGTCAAACTCTTCATATCTTGTAAACCATGCCTTATTTCCACAGACATGCTGGCTAGCTCCAGATTCGCTTAGCCACACTTGTTCAGCCACGGGTGCTTGCATGGGGGTTTGTATTGCATTTAGCATGAACGCTTTCCCAGGGCTTCTATTGGCTTGTGCGGGATTATCTGAAGGTTTATTGCTCTGATTTTGTGGATTACTCCTGCATTCCCTTTTCCAGTGACCCTTTTTCCCACACCCATGGCAGGTTGTTGCCTTTTTCAACTCTTCAATGCTCTGTTTCTTCTTGCCTTTCTTCTGGTCATGGGTCAAGAATGCCTTTGCTGCATCTTGATTGGTTGCTGCTGGTTTGGATTCCTTCCTCTCCAACTCCTCCTTCTTCAGACGGGCAAGTAGCATTATCATGCTCTGGTCCTTATCCGGAACGCTGTCCCATGCCTTTTTGAAGGCATTATACTCCTCGTCGGGGAGACTTGAGACAATCTTTGTGACAATGGATGCTTCAGGCATGACGACTCCCATTTCATTTAGTCTTCTACCCAGCTCTTCCACCTCTGCAAATGCTTCAATCAATGACTGACTCTTGCCAATTTTGTAATTGAAGAATCTAGCCATGGTATGTTGCTTGTTAAGCGAGCTTGAATCTGAATTGATGCTTTTCAGCTTGTCAAACATTGCTTTTGATGTAGCGCAGTCATAAATATGATTTGTTTGAGTGGCACTGAGAGTGGGGACAATGATGGATTGTGCTTGTATATCCTTCTTATCCCATGCTGGCTGTTGTGCTTCATCTGCAGGTCGTTGGGTAGTGCCGTTGACCACTTCCCACAGGTCATGTGACTTGAGAAGTAAAGTTATCTGAAGTCTCCACCTCGCGTAATTGGTGTCGTCTAGCTTGACAATGTGCGTAACATCTATTCTTTTGATTGTTGATGTCATCTTGTCGTTGTGGAGTAGGGAAAGCAGAAGCGAAAAACAGAAATAGACTTGTTACCTTCTCTTTGCCTAATAAAGAGCAGTAGAATCGAAAAAGGTCGAGATTTGGTAGACGGGAACTCAGGATTTGGGTAGAGTGGTCGTCCTCAATAAAACTCGTCCTCGGGCGGAAGGTTCAGCTTCGGGTAGAGTCAAAGGGTTGATGTCTCTTGTCCAAACAATGGTCCAATTCACGGCACACTTTTACAGGCTTACTCCGTCCAGACTGGCACTGGGCAGTGGAGACTTACTGCTATTATTAACTGATGAATTGACCTTTTCACTTCACAACAATAACACTGATCTACTTCAGTTTATCAAGTGTTGAACAGGAAACAGTTCTTCTCGTTGTGAGACTTTAACAGACTCTGAGACTGGGGCACTTTTGAGACACTCAATGAGGCAGGTTGTGACCAACAATATGAATCATACAAACTAACGGCTTTGCTACCATGAAAGTAAAAATGATCTCGCTGGAAGATATTTTTAGACTGATGGTGATTTTTATTAAACAACTTGGTTTTAAGGTTTTGACAGTACATAGGAGACATTCATACATATGTAATAATATGTGGTCAGAAGTGACCATACAAACTACGCAGAGTTATGCTCAAACGAAGTGTCCCTTCTAATGAGGCATAAAAACAAAAGGACCCTTTTAATCCCTTGTCCTGGGAAAAAGGTTGGAAAATGCTCAGCCCTCATAAAAGTCGACAAACTTAAAAATTGATAAATATGGAAAACTTTGTTAACATGCATATTTTAACAAAACATGGTGCTATCTATTTTTACTACTTATCATGTGTAAAGTGCTATAGCGTATATTTTTTTAATAAAAATATAAGCTAACATATGATGCAATATTACATAGGAAACCAGTCACAATGAATTTAAAATTTGTCCAAGAAATTTTATACTACATTAAGAAATATATATTTATAACACGAAAATAAAGTACTGTTTTACATAAAATCGTCTTCATACAGGATAGATGTAGAAAAATTGTGTTTAATATGGAAAATTCATACTTAAATTGAAAAACGCTTTCATGAGGATGCTGACCATATTCATAAATACAAATGGGTACGCAATGCAAAATGCAATATGTAATATTGTCAAGCTGGACAGGAGAATATGTAAATGAAAACTCTGTTTGGCTAACCTTTTAATGCAAATTGGTCTCTTTTACCTACCTGTAAGAAATGCATGTGTTTTCAAAACTGATAATGAAATGTACAGAATATTATTGATGCATGGTAGTGAAGCAATGCTAGAAGAAGAAGGTATACATAAGTCTGACAGATAAGTAAATTTGGGAACGAGGAAACTCAATATACGACCCATTACAGTTTCAAGTAAGAGAATCAATTAGCTTATTTAGTCGACTTTTGGAAAGCGTAGCTTCTGTACATCTAGGAGTTCTCTCGGGTTTCTAATTTAGGTGAAAATTCTTTTAGTAATTACTCTGTTACCTAAATCTGTGAAAATTAATTAATTCCCATCAATTTCTAGACTCAGCCAAAACACAGATGGATTTCGAGTGTCCAATCTGCATTGACAATGTGTATGCTTTATACTCGGATGAAAACCAACTGTGCATGGTATCCGATTGTGGACACGTTTTCCACCGAAAATGCGTCACAGAGTGGCAGAAGAGGTTGTTATCTAATTCATTTTCTTCATATTTTAATAAAAAAAGAACCTTACACATGTTCAGCTGCCAATTCGGTAATATTTTTTCTTGCAGGGGACGCAACACATGCCCAATTTGTCAACAGCGTTACCAAAAAGTTTACAACTTATTTGGACTTTTAACCAGATCCCAGGCTAACTCCGTCGCCAGAACTCCCCCACCTGTTGGTTCTTCAAATAATGATATTGACGCATACTTGACTATTCATTTCTTGAGGTATGTATTATCCTATTTATGAACTACTTACTTATGCAACCTAATAAGCTCCATTTTAAACATGTATGTTCTTTCATATAGAGATGAAGTATCATCGTTACAAAACAAAGTCACAGAAGCTAATGCAGAGCGAAGGCAACGGGATCGGCGTTCAGACCAAAAAGATTTGTGAGAAGAAAGCTACTAAATTTTTTATTGCTCATTTTTTACATTCTTGGTGACCTTGCAGAGAAATCATGCGACTTAATTCAGAAAAACAACGACTTACTGATCAAATGAAGAAGTTTCAAGAGTGAGTACTTTTTCGTTTTTAAAATTCCTGCGATTAACATGCATAATTTTAAATTTTATGTAAATCACCCCACAGGCATATAGAAGAACTCGAAACTAAGTTGGCCATGACTGAGTCTCTCATATCTTAAAGGATCTAGTCCAAAACACAAACACTGATATTGCAACTTATCCGACGTACGAGATTATTCTCACACTTTTTAATATTATGTCGCTCAGTCACGGTAATTCACTGATTTTAAATTCATGACAATTGTGATAGTAACAGGGACTTATGTATAAGTCTCTACCGCAGTACGTTTAATATACAGTGATTCCTTTGACTAATTTAAATGTTTCTTTAATAATAAAGCAAAGTCACCGATTAATTAACTGAGACACAGCTAAATACTCCTTGTTCCTTGTAATTTATTACCTATTTCCGGTCCTATACACAGCAAAATCGAGTTTCATACAAACAAAGGATCGTGGGACTCTCGACCCAATCCGAATTTCACCAACTATTTGTCTGCATCCTTTCATCATCATCCATCCATCTAGTTCTACTATATAAGATGTACAGCTATTTCCTATTATTATGGGTCAGCGTCTAAGCTCAGGGTCCACTACTTGCATGCATTTCCCTATTTCCAGTAAAGGCATCCAATTTCTGCCCCAGATTTCTTACAACTAAATATGTAATACATATGAAAAAGGAGCACTTGGGCTGGGTCGCAAGTTTTTGGGTTGAGCAGCATTTCATGCAACGTGTACTCCAGTTCTCATCTCCATTGAATTTTTTCCTAGATGATCAGAGTACATCACAGCATCCAATGCACATCTACGAAGAAAGTGTTGTATGCTGTTACTTATGTTATAGGAAAATTGAGCAGATCTCTCTCTAAACCACTTCTATTCTTTCATCCAGCCCATAGCGTAACATCAGACAGACGTGTTTACCTCATCAACAGCATCTCTCATCTCGTTTAAGCTGGATGGTTTAAGTGGAAAACAAAAACAACCTTCGTACCACTAAATAGCAAAGCAATTCGTAAGCAAACTCACATTTAGTTTCGGTAACTCGTCTCATCATCTCCTCGCTCCTTGACTAATAATCACTAACCAGTTGGCAACAACAATTATTTAATTAACCCAACATATTTTCCGCAGTTTACACACTCACCAACCAGTACTGAATCTCAGAATTAACTCGGCATAATGTGAGCACACATAATACGTCGTCTTCTTCATGCTATATAAATTCTGAAACAAGTCCTTGGAATTTGTGATACAAGGAGATATTTGATTGTATTGTAATTATTAGTGCTCAGCAGATTTATGAAAACACACTCAACCTACGACAAATTATATTGTACATACTGACACCAGTGAGTGATACAATTTATCATCAACTTCAAAATACTCTAATTTAGTCATCATCACCTGAGAAAAGTGTCTTTTTGGACAATTTAATTATCCTCTTTCACTGCACGCTTCATATAATACTCGATTCATAAAGATAAACTGAGCACACACAATGATAAAAATTTCACCCCCAGTGCTGACGAGTTTGCATGCCAAGAGTGACTGCTGAAAGACTCATAAATAAATAATAACCAATTTTTTTAATCTCAAAGAGAGAAAACCACAATGTAATTTTGCAAACTGCAAGTACAATAAATAAATTAAGAAAAGTGCATTATTTAACCAACAATGATGCACCACAGTCGTTGGTCACACACCAGCATGATGGGAAAGTCTGAATACTAACCAATATCAATTCAACGACACTCTCGCTTTCCTGTGTTCCGAAATAATTGCTGTAAGTAAAATTGGCCACATTCTTAGGCATCTATGTATGTATGCAGTTGGATCTATGTAATTAGATTTTCTGACTACAATGCTCAACAGGAATAACAATGTTTTCCATTAAATCATTACTTATTATTCTCTTATTTTTTCCTTCTTCGTCCCATCTGGCGTACTTGATCTGATGAGACGACGACGAGAGGGTTTAATCGAGTAAAAAAAGAAGAAACCCTCTGAGAAAAAATCTCGGCATTATTATTGCCAATCTAAGTACGCTCTCCATTCCATGCACGCTTTGTGATCGTCCAAACCAGGCTACAAAATCCCCAACCAACAATCAAAAATACAACGTTGTACATATTGTAACCAATCCAAGTTCGCCTCCTCTCATGCTGTTTGTTGTTGCTAAAAAAATCACTGCTAAAAAACGTCATCATGTACAGAAAACCACGTCAAATAAAGTCCACCACCACCATTATCATTTGTTGCAATTTTCTGTGCTGCAGCAACAAAAGCATTCTTTGCGAATGTGTAGGAAGGTATCGTAATCTCGTGGTTGGGCTTTGTTGTAAGAAAAGAGGTAGTATGAGAGATGGGAAGTCGTATTATATTATCATCATATGCGAAAAATTCTGCACTGCACTGCAGCACAGTCAGTACCTGTTGTCGCTAATATAGATAGAGTTACCCTTTGCAATAAATAATACTCTCGCTCGAAGGGAAAACTGATTTCGAATTAGCACAAAGAATTGCACCAAGTGATTTTGGGATGCAAAATGAAAAACATGATGAATAAATTTTTAAATCTTCTTAAAAACAAAGCACTTATTATAGTAGCTCATTCAACTTGGTAAAAATAATATTTGCACGATTTCAGTCCTCAATTTTTCTAGTCATATATATCATCACGAATTGGCAACCTCATGTTTGAATCGGCCCAAATGGGACAGAGTCACACAGCAGAATCATATACATATGTAGATGCATATAAACAAACCAATATGTATGTACGAATCCAGTTAGTTAAAGTTTATATAGTTTGTAATGCAAAGTTGTTATAGTTAGTGGTTGCAAATAATAAGAAGCGTTAGTTGTGTTATAGTTAGTTTGCAAACCATTTTTTCTGTGCCCATCCACTATCCTCACCGTAATAATAAAACTACCACCACATAAGGAATAGGTTTGCATGCAGGATTCAATCCAATATATGATGCCATTATTTTATTCTACCCCCCTTTAACCACTTGCATTACGTTGCATTTAGCTAAACTTGGTCTCATCACATCTCAGCTCTCAGTTAAATAGTGAAATTCCTCAGTTCACCAACTCACGCACCAACTCAGCCAAGTGAATCATTCCCCTCGTTTAAATACAGTATAACAATACACGACAGTCACAAATATATTTAACAAGATTTTTTAGTTTTGCTAATAGTCTCAGTCGTGGAGGAAATTCCTCGTTGACATCAGTCCACGACTGCATACCAAACAAAGTGCAGCGTCCGCAGTAGTGTGAGTGATGTTAATTTGTGAATACGGAATTATACACATATTTATAATATATTGCTTTGTCGTGGGAAGCCCAATTATTTGGATAGAACAGGAACTTCAGTAACAACTTTGCTGCTGAAATTAGAAACTATAGACGAATCTCATCTTGCATATCATCCCATCATCATTGTGTCCTCCTCCTGACAAATAGTTGAATGGAAAGTAGAGTCATGGCGAAATGTTTGTTTCAAATTTCAACTCCAATCTCATCCTTTGCAGCTATCCGTCTGTCTTCACACTCTTGAAGAGAAGTAATAGGCAAATATTTTCAATATGAAGACACCAAAGGAAAAGAGTTAAATGATCCCCAATAAACAAGTCCCCATGCAACATTACTCTCACTTTACATGAAGTATTTTATAGTGAAAATTGTTATTATTATTATGCATATGCACCTGCCATGCCACTACTCTTTCTTGCACGTACATACCTGTGGGTGCCGAATCTGAGTAACATTAGGAAGTGAAGTTGATGCAGGTTGCAAAATGAAATGAAATAATAAAGATTTGTGTGAGTGGAATGTGCTATGTTGTGAGTTATTAAATAAAATAAGTCTTACAAACATTTTTAACTTCAGGATTCACGAGAGATTTCTAATCATCATTATCCTTCTTATCAACATTGTATTATTGGTAAGAGAAATAAAAAACATACATAAAATAGTTTCTAATTTCAAATTATTGTTCATTAAGTTAAAGGCGTCATTGTGTATGTATTATTTTTAAAAAAACAACTTGAAAGGGCCCTCCTCTAAACGGTATCAACATCCATGTCCTTGGCCTCCGATTCGGCAGCCGATCGACGATTGATAGCCGTAGTCACGGCTTGGTATCGGTCCAGTTCTGCGTCTAGGGCTTCTAAGCTAAGACGATTCCTCGCGGCGGCATACTAAAATTCGACAAACAAGGAGAGGGCGTTACAGATATTATGGCTAATCAACCAATTCTCAAATTTAAGGCAAGAGTATTATTATCGTGTAAGCATACCTCGTCCAGTTCTTTATCCAACTGTTCTCGTGTTGGTTCTGATCCACGACCCCATCTTTGCGCGTTTTCTTGCTTTCTCGAACGAGTCCTGGTGGATCCCCTTGGGACTCCATGTCCAATTGAACGCCGTCCTCCGGCTCTAATCACCCTTCCAACACCGGCGAATCTACCATGCGCCTCTCCGTTTTGCATTCCAATTGTTAATGATCGTCTACCTTCGGCTCGTATAAGTCTATTCCCACTGGAAAACATGTTCAATCGCCCTCTTTGAAATCCATTTCCTACTGGCCTCCTCACGCCAGTTCGGATTAATCTACCCGCGGCACTTGGAGCTGCTCCAAGCAGAAGGGCCTCCGGCTTGACCGTCATACATGGTTCAGGCATCACAGGGATGCCATACCCCGGACCTCCAATCTGCAGCCTTGGTGGCCGCAAAACTACTTTTGGGGCTGTCGCTGTTGAAGATCAAAACGTACCAATAACAAACGATGTTTCCTTGAAGTACTTGTTATTTTTCTTCATCATGTTTCAATCACTTACCCTGCTGCGTCTGTTGGCCTTGCGCCTGTCCATCTCCAGTAACGAAGGGATTCATCATAATGACTTCTTATCGGGGTCGCTTTTTGGACAAAAATTTTAAGATTCAAGGAACACAAAAACTGAACAAAAATTAAAAGCCGGTAAATGTTGCTCCCTCGCTCACTTGTTGTTGTTATGAGCCTGGACTGGACTGGAATGGCTGTTGGAGAGAAGCCACGGTAGAATTTTGCTCTCCCCCGAGTACGAACCTTCCACCTGCCGACCCCCGATCTGAAATTCCTTTGTCTCCTCACTCAGCTCTCTATGCCTCAAGGAAAATGATTTCTTTTCAGGGGTTATGCTAGATACCCGAGTGTAGTTTGTTATACATAAAGTGAACGAGTTATGTACTGTGCGGGTGGAGCTTAAACCTACGGCCTCCTGAAGTACCTTGTGCTGAGACTAGGGTTTCTCGTGAGTTTAGCTCCATTCGCACAGCACATAACTAACTCACTTCAAGTATAGTATTCTTTTAATTATTTACAGTATTAAAACATCAACTTTATTTAATAATCAACGGCCGTTGTCTTACAAGGCCAGCTTTTCCATAGCATAGAGATGGTTAATTTTAGGTGGGACGGGTAGTTGGATGAATTGAGCCGTCTGGTTTTGGTTTTTCAATTTTCATTCCGATTTTTCTTTATTTTGTAATTACTTTTGTCTCGAAAATGATACGAGCTACCGACACGTATAATAAATCATTCATTTAATCAGCATATGAGGCCCTTTAAATTCAGTGGGGTTAATTGAGACTTGTTGAAAATTCAACAAAAAATCCCCTTTGGCTATGAAACTCACACACTGAACCCAACATGGTATTTCACATTGGGTCATTTAATACTTCACGTATTTTGACGCCTTTATGAGGTGTTTTTGTCACTGTGCAAGGCTAACTCTATAGTTGGATGTATTAGACCATCTAATATTTATAGGAAGACATTTTGATGCATGGTTGCTGCCAGAAAAGATAGTACAAATACTTATGTCTCTGACGTATGTCTCTGTTTCTTTTCAGATAAACCCAAAGCCAGACGAAGATATTAAAGGATGAAGCTCAAAGTCACGTTAAAGAGAAATGTCTGAAGTTTTAAGTGCGCAATCTGCTGGACAAGCTTTTTTCATGTACGTATAACAGTTCAACCGAATTATTTGAAGATTTAGGAATACATAAAACGTACCATAAAATTCCAATAAACCTATTAACCCAACCAGTTCAAGTGAAATGGCTGGAGGGACTGAGAAAGAAGGGACCACCACAACCACCTCCATGCAACAATCAAATATTACCGGAAACGCTGATAAGGTTATTGATAACCTACCCACTACGAAAAACTATACCAGCACCGCATCAATTTCAGTCTCTTACAAGAAGAATAGTGACACAATCAGTAGTCAACAGCACAACAATCGAGCAGTCGGAAGCACAGAAAGTTTACCAGAAGAAGAAACCCTCGTGGTGCAAGTTGAAAATAACGAGCAAAATGCACTTCTAGTACACATTTTGAAATGCAATGCTAACAGCCAATCCGCAATAGTTCCTCCTTCTCCTCCTGGTTCTAAGAACAGAGAAAGGTCAAAAACGCCCCCTGCCAACATGACCTCGGCTGCAACCTCGCAAGCCTTCAACGACTTTCTACTCGGGGCTCAGAGTTACATGGAAAAGTCGCGAGATTCCGGCGTCCACCTCGACTGCCCTCCCGACTACTCGGGCTCCTCGAGTTCCACTTCCGGTGAGAAGGGTGATGAAGACGACAGTTCGCGACGACACTCGAAAAGCTCCAGTCTTCCCCATGGCGTTAAACTCTGTCCTGAAGGGAGTGGATGCGTTTCGAAAGAGGAACGCTGTGCTAATTTGGAAGATGAGTTAAGAAAAGCGCAAATCGAGCTTAAAGCCAAAGATGCAGAGGTCGAGATTCTCAAAGGGATTCGACAACAGGTTGAGGGAGAGTTGGAGGATTTGACGGCATCATTGTTCCAGGTTTGTGTTCTCACTCTGCAAATACTTGAACATCATAAAATACCGAACTCATAATATGTATGTAGACTAGACTAGCAAGACTTGTGGCGTTGCATGTTGGATTCATTTTATCTCAGAATGACAAATATTTAAGTTACAGATAGCATCGAATTATACGACCACCTTCCAAACTGTCAACTAATTGTGTAGATCCGTCAAAGTTATAGATATATGTATATAACTTTATATAGATAGAGAGAGAGGAAGAGAGGAAGACAAAGATGAGACCCGCCCAGAACAATTTGCCATTCACAGTTTACGGTACCAATCAGTTATAATAATTAGAGCAGAAATTAAGCCAACACTTCCTCATCAGGACAAATATGTAAATAGATCGTCTTTCACCCATTGCATTAATTTTTTCTAGTTTAGCACTAGATTAAATATTTTGTGAAATTTGTATGTACGGGTCTATCGAATTAATTAACCGACGTTTTTTTAACAAAGAGGAATTTATACATAGGTGAAAATGACATTGACAATTAAGACACCGATTCTGAACTGAACATTGTCATTGTATTTATTATTTACAGCTTTCTAGTCATGACTAAATTATAAATATGGTGTCGCATGTAAAACTGAGAGAAGTTTTATGCAATATTTTCATCGTAGGAATGAGCGAAATCCTTGACATAGAATACAAAAAATTATATATTATTTATACCTCACTCTAAATAAATAGGTACTTCTGCATTTATACTGGCTGTTGTACCGGTGTTGTCTTGCATATATGCATGCATGAAGTTTGATAGTGAGACCCAGTGCCCACGGCACAGATATTTCCATTCATCAAGACAAGTCAAACACCTTCTTTTTATGAATGCATTCCATAAATTGGTGTGAACCATTGCAAATTATAAATTGGCCATTATCATCATTGTTGATTTGGTCCAGATTGAAAAAAAATCCGTTTCCACATTAAATCTAACGTTATTTAGGCCTACTGGCGACTACTTTGCTAATCCCAGTACCGTGCCCATTATCATTATTTCTTTATATAGTTGTGGACCAAAACTACCACTTGCCTTCATTGCATTGTTTACTCAAACACAGAGGCAAACCGACTTGCTCAAGGAATAATGCAATACTGAGGAGATTACCCTGTTCGAGAGGAGAATTTTAATATAAAAAAACCTTTAGATTACATAACGGGTCCCCTTTGTAAGTTAGACAGTCTTGTTCACATAAATATTTAATGTGCAGGTATACATTGCATACCGTAAAAATAAAACTATAGCAAAATCTGCAGCGTCACCGAGATCCATGTAAAAATCTGTGCATTGTCAACTCTGTACATAACTCGAAGAGGTAAAAAAAGTGCATGAACGAGTAGGCGAATATGTAAGTGCTTATTTTAAGGAAAAAAATCATTACTACTTATTAGTCAAGGAAGGAAGGAAGGATTTTCAACTTTTTGCAGGAAACTCAGTCAGAGAGACTGCAAGTCTATTACATTTATTTACATGTCGAAGGTAGCTCTGGGTAGTACTAAAAAATAAAGACTCGTCGTGCACAAAATATCCACACAAGTTCTTTACGACATGAATACTTTGAATGATTTCAGGAGGCTCACAAGATGGTGACGGAAGCCAAAATGAAGGAAGTGGGTTCTGAGAAGAGTTTGAAAGAGGCAAAAATGCAGCTGGAGGGGTTGCAGGCGGAGGTGGCGGCCTTGAAAGCCCTTCTCATCACCTCCACCCCCTCGCGACCAAACCTCGGAGGGAACAACTCCAACGGCATCTCCCTCTTCAAAAAACAGCACAAACGGACCCCCTCCCACAACCATTTGCAGTATGGGAGGAGCAACGAGGAGGAGGCAGGAGCAGTGGAGTAAGTAAATATGTCAAGTACAAATATCCATTCGAGTTGTATTATGTCGGAGGATTGATTGATGATCAATTTAGTAAGATCGCTCACAAATCATATTTGCGATGCAAGTATTGTCACTCCATTAAGACCGGGCATAGCAAGAATATGACAGCATCGCATTAAAATCTATTTTTGTTTTGCAACTCAATGTGATGAATGTATAATCAAGTCAAAGTTGACTTCTTGGAATAATGAGACGAGTTGTTTTTGTCCTGGGCATTTACAAATGTTTTAGTCATTCTTCATGAACATGTCATAGGTTTTGAATATGCCTGGAGAGCAAACAACTTTTTTTTAGTAAAGTGGCATAAAGATTGATTTTTAATTAATTTATATCTCTCCCCCTCGGGTGACAATGTCCAGTTTAGCATGAGAAGTTGAGGAACTCTTAGCACGAGACCTGACCTCCCTTGAAATCGATTGCGTGTTTTATGCACGGCCACAAAGCAATTGTATTAATCAAATGTATTGTGGTTTTATGATTTCCAAGAACTAATACAAGCTTCCCTTTTGAAATAATAATAGTAATAGCGGTGGTGGTAGCTCAAGTGGCGTGATACATATTTACATATATATGTCCCCACCAAATAATTGGCAACTGTTTCAATACGATGCTTATATGTTGCATAGTTTGCCACACGAAAACTGGTCGATCGAGTGAGTAACTCATGATGTGTATTTATGCAAAACTAACATCAAGTAACGTGATACCTCGACTTAACCTTTGAACCGTGTCTGGCCGAGTTTTATCACCTTTTTAAGAGTCGAAAACAGTATGGTTACGGTGGGCCTGGATCGTATCACTTATTGCTTCAGGACATGAGAACTTTGTGAATTTATCCATTGTTGTAATGTATTGCATTTGAGAAAAATTGGTGCATGTCGACGAGAAACTCATCACATCAGATCATCACATGTATGCATCCAGCATCAAACTTTGTGAGACATGCATTTTAATATTTTCCAATGCACATGAAAAATACTTCATTTTACTACATCATGCATTCCCCAATTTTATGCAACAACACGATATTCTCATAAATATCTAGTGTTCAACTATATACATAAAACTATCTTTCCTCTCATCAATAGGCTCTAGGCTCATATGTAATGCAAGATTATTGAACTTTTAGTGGATTTACAATTTATTGTACATATGGCTTGGCGTTTATACAGTTTATTACTATAATAACAAAGATGGATTAATTGGTATATTTTGTATTGCTTTTTGCCTTCTGCCACGTGAAATACAAATATTGGTCATAAAAATTATGAAATATTGAGATTATTGAGATATTTCGATACAATTTTATCTATGTATATATAACACGCGTACTAAATTCATATCCCAATAATCACCGTCAACTTTGAAGCTTTTGTTATATTTTCTGCACCATCCTTTCACCTATGCAGATCAATGATATGATTTCTACTAAATAGTCGCTCGTCCGTAAGACTGCATACATCCTAAAATTGACATTTTGTGGGAAAATATCAGCGAGGGATTTAATGCAAAAAGTGTAAAACAAAAGTGGATCAGACATGATTAAAGAGAATTAAGTGTGAACTAGTTGACGAAAGTAAGGTGTATTTATACCCAGCATGAGAAGATGTCATTTGTCATGCACGACGGGACATATTTAGCACACTTTTTCATCGTTTCACTCCTACCACCAGCACTAACGAGTGACTAGCCAACAGTCCTTTATCAATTTATTACTTTCTCTTCTAGGAAAGGAAAACAGTCGTCCGAAGTGGTTATCGACCGCGCCCACTGCGACGTAGACCCCATCCTCATGGCTCATTTTGCCGCCTGGAGGGTCAACCCTGACCTGACCCGTGAGAAGAGTGACTTTCTCCACAAGATTTACACCGAGGATATCGATCCTTGCCTGTGCTTCGCGGACGAAGCTCTAGTCAACCGACTGAAGAAAGCGATTGAAGACAATTCCGTTTGGGTCGAACCTTTGCCAGAGAAGGATCGGAACAACGTTCCCAAGTGAGTGGATTTCGGATTTTATGATGATACATAAAATAAGCTAAGATTTCACAGGAAAAGGTTATGCATTTTTATATCGTATCATGCTATTTGCAGGGATTGTGCTCTATTAAAATCTCCACGAGTGTGCCATTATCGAATGAGGTTCGCTTTCGATTCTGATGAATGGTTCGATATTTCACAAATTTGTAGAGATCGGGTGAGTAAAAACTAACAAAATATTCAGCATATGTATCCTCCCAATTTTTTTTGCACTGAAAAGATAATAATTTCTCCATGAATTTCAGATCGCGTCAGTTTGTGAATTCCTAAATTATCTACGATACACGAAGAACGGACTGGTGAAAGCTTCCGTGGAGGACGCTTATTGGGAAATGCTCCGACTGAGAAAGCAAATGGTCATTGCAAAACTTGGAATATCAATCTCTTGAATATATCCTCCCCTTTTAGTAAAAAGGAAAAAACTAAGTAAAGCGTAAACATTCGTCGCTTTGTTAAAGCAATTTTAAGAACAATACGCCTCGACTCAAACTATTAGGTATAGTTTCGCAGCAAACAAAATACTTGCAGGTTTTACTACTTGGCTTCCTAAAATACTACACATTTCTTATAACTACATACTCTTTGTGTTGGGGTAACGGAGTTAAGATTTTAAGATGCTAATGCACGCAAGTATTGTTGTATTACAATATGTGAATCACTTCGATGTGATTTTCATAGAAGTCTTCACTTTAATGCATTATAAGGAACTTGTTGAAATTAATCTGAATTAGATCTGAAAAACATTGTGTCTCTCAAGATCTGTAGAAAAGAATCTAATTTAAGCTAGACTAAACTCGACACTGAAAAAATGTATGGAGTTTTTGTATACCAATTGTGTCCCAAAATGAACTTAAGGCCTACATGAATTTGCCAAAATATTTATAATAACATTAGTAGCAACTGTATTCACATGCCTTGCATTGCCAATACAACAAAAAACTTATAGATGACTATATATACTGAATACCCATAATATTATTTAAAAGCCAAACTTTCTTCCAATTCCTACTGTTCCTTACGAATATAATTTATTTCTCCATGCAAAGAACGAAGACGAAAGAAAGCCGCATGTCTTGTCCACAAACTTGCTTCGTATTGTGAAATGTGATGTTCATCTGTATAAAAATTTGTGATTAGAAACTACTAAACGTAGGTTAAAAACGCATCGATTCGATAGAAAATATATAATGTTGCTCTATTATAATTACATAAATTAATCTACATATTTCAATTTAGAATAGTCTCTGTTTAAATAGTAATCTCCTTCTGATAACTGTTATATACTGCTTTTGCAGAAAATGCTTCAACTGATGTGAAATAACTCTAAAGTCTCAAGTCTTGATCTTCTCTTCTAAATAGTGTAACGTAGAATCTGTTGTAGATAACTATTATCCGTATACACGTAATATTTCATATTTGCATCTCGTATAATGATGATGATCAATACCACCACTTACCAAACACACCGCAACTACTACGCAAAGTCATGGTAAATGAAAAGACTTGAACAATACTACTGCTGTACAGTTTAAGTTTAAATTTAATTAGTAGATTCTACATAACATGCGCTGTTTTTAATGGATTCGTGCATGGTTACAATCAGATATCCATAAAGGATTTAAATTAATTCAATGATGATTAATATATTTGTCGAATATGAAACTCGAATGCAGTCTTTATACGACTTTACTTTTTATAATGATGATGATTGATTGATAGGTGCTAGAGAGTAACATAACGAGGCAATTCGCACAGTCCTTACTTACTAAAATTGCCAAACAAAATCAGCGTACGAATCTTACTCTGATCAAAAGGGCATCTTTTTGGTTTGTAAGAATTTGTAAAGCGTCGGATTTTATAATGTTATCAAGGCCTGGGTGAATTGCCTCATTATTATTTAATTGTTAGAACAGCAGAATTTAATGAGATATTATAAGGAAATTATATAGACAGGTTTAATAATCTATTCCTTCAATATTTGATAATTTTACGACGGGATGATTCGTGGTGGACAGTATAAAGGAAAGAAAACTAGTGAAAATAAAAAAATAAATAGTATTTACATACAAAATGTTTGTAAACTGGATCTTTATTTACTAACTTGAGCATAAATGCATACAATTAAGTTCATATTGAAACTACATGAGAACTACACATGGATGTATAATAGGAACTACATGAGCATATTGAATGTGTGCATGCGTCACAAGTTAACTTTCCTCGATATTCAATGATTTCATAAGCAAAAAGTTAAACATTTACAGTAATGCTTAACGAGTAATTATGCAATGAATATCCAAAGGCTTGAATTATAAGCTAACAAAGGTTTGCGTAACAAACTTTAGAATGCACACCTATTTTAAACTAAATGGATACTTGGTTATGAAGCATCCATCCATAATTGATTTCATAAACCGAAAACAATACTTGGACAGCTATAATAGGTGCCCCATAACTTTAATCTTTAATGCCACCGATTATAAGCTATCACCACAAGCAAGCACATTATATTAAGCCAATGTTAAGCACTACTGTTTGTTACGTCTCATAATCCATCACCCGTTGAAAACCGTCTCTAATCTCGACTTGGTGCAGATATTTCGCGTGGAGCAGAGAGGGCATCTAGTAACGGAGCCGGTCGGACTGGTTGGGGGCAGCATCGAAGGATGGCTTGGAGGGTGAAGTTTGGCCAAACGGCGAGTATGGATACATGACTGATACGAAGACATGTATTTCATGCACTCTGGGCACAATCGATAAAATTATGACCAATCCTTATATAAAAACATCCAGCCAAATCCACTCTATGAAGAAATATCTTAGAAATCAGGCAACAAATCTAGTTACTAACAAATAAGAATTAGCTCCTACAACCTGCTCCGGGTAGAGAAATTAATACGTCGTTTTAGCAATTTTCTAAAGTAGAGTAAAAAAAATAAAATTCGGGTAGAGAAATTAATACGTCGTTTTAGCAATTTTCTAAAGTAGAGTAAAAAAAATAAAATTCGGGTAGAGAAATTAATACGTCGTTTTAGCAATTTTCTAAAGTAGAGTAAAAAAAATAAAATTCGGGTAGAGAAATTAATACGTCGTTTTAGCAATTTTCTAAAGTAGAGTAAAAAAAATAAAATTCGGGTAGAGAAATTAATACGTCGTTTTAGCAATTTTCTAAAGTAGAGTAAAAAAAATAAAATTCGGGTAGAGAAATTAATACGTCGTTTTAGCAATTTTCTAAAGTAGAGTAAAAAAAATAAAATTTTGAAAAAATGTGATAAGTAATAAAAATATATTACCTAGATATAAACATGGGTTAAGACATGCGAATCATACCTGTAGGTGGTTTAAATTTGTTTATGATAATAACTCCAAATTTTATTTTTTGTCGCAGCCTAGAGAATTGCTTAAATTTCGGCTTGTAACTTCTCTGCCGGGAGCGGGTTAATTCTTTTATTGCTTAAATACAGTTTTTATAAAATGTAATATAGTTTTTTGGCATGAGGCATTTCACTGTGCTGGATTCTGCTGGAAATTTATGTGGCCAGATTGTAGGTGATTTGTCCCAGGGTGTGCGGCGAGAATGAGAGGAGGGGAGCGAGTGAGCTGAGCGAGCGAGAAAACGAGGCGGCCGAGTAAGAAATTCGCTCTTTTGTTGGCTAGGCAGGCAGAGAGTCGTTCGTGTCCCCCACCACCGCAAAGCAGTTGCAAGCAGAAGTTCCCTCGTCTACAGATGATCCCACATAGATCCCTCGTTCCTCTTCGAAATTTTGAGCATTGCCTCCGCTGCTGCTGCTGCTACCTCGTTTTTTGCTGCTCCTCCGTCGAGTTAGTAATCTAACTAATCTACTCTGAATGTGGTGGAAATGTGAAATATTTGTCAATAACTGATGTGATCAGTGTGTCAACTGTGAAATACAAAAAAGTGATGTGATAACTGAGTTTTAAAGGCTAGTAAAATGCATTCCAGAATGCGACCCAAATATAAACCAACTATTAATGGGAAGGAGGTTGATTTGGACCTGTTGTACCAAATTGTCACCTCGCACGGCGGATGGGAAAAGGTAAGACATCAATTCATTCCTTTGACGTTCCACGGTATCCTGGTTGCTGGATTGCGTTTCATCAACTATTATCCTCACTGACTTTCGTAAAAGATAACTATCTTTGGTTGTTCACCCATTTTGTTTGCCATTTGCCGTGTGACACTGTCTTTAGAATTACTTGGGAAATATTGCTTTCAAACCGTCATATTTTAAAAGTTGATCATAGTATTTCAATTTCAATTTGCCTTTACCACATTCGGTCGATATAAATACAAAATGGAGGTTTACAAGCTATGACATCATATTAATTTGCAAAATCTGATCGAGTAGAACAAACGTGTAGCCAAGGTATTTATCGGTGCCTAACCCTTTGTCTCTTAAAGGTCAACATGCGCAACGAATGGGACGACCTGCTGGAGCATTTCCATTTGCCTCGGGGGATCAACGGCGGCCTTGTCATCAAGCAGATTTATCTCAAGTAAGCAATTTTCAACTAACGCGACAAGCGAGCTAACAACTCGTACATTAGACAAACAGTGTGTAAAGCATAGTAGTTGAGAGTGAACAGCATCGAAGAATGACATTGGATTGGATCAAATTCATGAATGAGTTAGTTAAATAAGTTGGCAGTTAAGTTAACAAGTAAAGTAAGGAGTAGTAGTGGTGGTAATAGTGGTGTTGCATCCTTGCATGTCTGCATAATATCGTAACGAAGTTCCCGTAACGAAAGTCGATCTCGAGGTGACTTCTTTCGTGCATGGTTGCATCGTTGTGTTGGCATTGCATTATTTCCCTGCTGCACATCTCTCACCGAGACCTTAAAAGAGAAAGATATAAAATACCAGAGTTTCCTTACTCGGGTGGAATAAAAAATGTATAGTAAATTATCATTACATCAAGATTCACTGGGTCGTGGTCTGTTTTCCCCAAATCAGAAACCTTTCTACAAGAGTCAGAGGCTCCAGGTTGCCAAATATATATAAAAATGTATTAAAATGCGGGTAGACGGATTGAATGAAATTACGCACTGCCACCAATTCCAATTACTTATCCACTACACTCTTCAATTTGCAGAAAGTGATTTTTTTACTATGTGGAATAAATCCGAATCGAATGGAGGAAGAATTACAATTAGATTTACAAACAGACGGTATCATGCATGCATGCCTCACACACACCTACCCACCCACCCACAACAAGAGAGACAAAAGGTTGACTCATACTCGTTCAAGGGGCACTAGCTAAACTACAACTTTTGCATATAACACAACTCATCACCAAAGAATGGCTCATATTCAAAACGAATGCCAACTGCGAAGCATCTCACTTGGTCCCACCAAGTTGGTCGGTTGCTAAAAAAATACATGATAAAAATATGAGTCGAGTTTCAACTCTTTCCATCTGAAAATAAATGCCAATCCGCTACTGCTGTCGAGGTATTTCAATTCTATTCATTATCACGAAGGAGTAATATGGCAATAAAATCAAAATGAGATCAAGTTGAATAAACAACCAGCTCAGTCAGACGACACGACATACTTCCTCCCTTTACCAACGAAACACCGGCGACAGTCACATATTGAGTAATAAAAGAAGCCTAATAGATTTTGGATATTGTTATGATGGCGACAACTGACGAAAATCAACGACGAGGAGAGACAGTCACCACGAGAAATACGACGATATGAACATGACAACGTACGTTTCACTTTAGAGAAGTATATATTCTTAATCAGGCAAGCGCAATGAAGTCGGGGAAAGTTGGAAGATTTCAAAGAAATAAAAATGGAATAGTAGTAGATCATACTAGGTTGACGATAATGTGGAATGATGGAAATGGAAGTTCAATAATAATTTTACCAAGAATTCAGAGTAAGCATTTTCCAGGAGGAAAAGAAAACGAGATAAAAGAAAATTTTATCCAATCTAAATCCCATCTTTGAAAGCTTGTTGAATCTGAATCGATTACGTACAAGAGCAGTCGAGAATTGATGTATATGTATGCATACAGGAAGTATGTAAGCACAGGCATCAGCGTGCAGAATGAGCAGAACGCTGGAGCTAAAAATCAATAAAGTAGGCTACTACTACAAAGTTTCCCTAAATCATCATACGGGTTCAGTAAGCACAACTATGCGACAGGAAATTAGTACTCTTACATACTTATGGAAACGAGATTCTTACATCAACTCACAAAATCACTACGCAAGCAGTGCACCCAGATTTTTGAGCCTCCCTCCAATATACCACGACAAGCTTTCACTCGGCTTTCTCCAGCTTTAGTATCCCAGCATAAATCAACTAATACTAATCGTCAATCATGTTTCATCCATCTAAGGAGTCATCAGGTCTGAGGAAAACAGGTTGACTAAAACTTACCTGCCATTACACGTAGTTGGCTACAATTCGTCTAGCAGTGAGACTCTCACTGTGAGAGTCATCACAGGTAGTAGGACAAGTTGCGTTTCTGTAGCTAAGCTTTATCCACTACAAACAACTGCATATAAATAAAAGTGAAGGTGACAAGCCCACGACAACAGCAGCACTGCAAACGCAGCCGGAGCAGCAGACTGGCCTAGAAATTAGTGAAGATCCACTGCAAGCGCCGCCAAGTGCAATATCATCCCAGGCTGCAATCCCCCTTTAACATCATCGCGAGGTTTTTCAAAGTGAGTTGTTCTTCTTCTTACACTGCTGCTTGCTGCCAAGTTGGGTGGGTTACACACATGGACTGCACGGGTCGTCGTCCCATCCCATCCGTGGAATTTCACCAAGCGCCGCTGTTGGAGGATGCATAATAATAATAGCTGCATGTAGTATTCGCACTACTCCTGGTTTTGCAGTCAGTAGGTTCATGGACGACTACTTGGGGAAGGTTATGGCCAGTAAGTTGATGATGGTGTTGCATCGCGATCGCAGAGAGTAGTGGTACTCTGCTGGTTATAGCAGAGCTTGGTACGTTGTCTTGTTGGACGTTTGCTGCGTTGAGTAAGTAAGTTGCAGTGCAGCAAGCTAATGGGGAAATGGCTTACACATTTCCTTAAAAAGTGGTTCAGCAGCCAGGGACAGAAGGGAGAGAAAGGAGTATGTCGTGCGATACGCTGGAGCATATGCTCGACTTGAGTGAGCCAAAAGACTTTCACTCCTATAGCCACCTACTACTACGAAGGAGCTAGCTTACAAGCAATAGTTGTATATGGCAATAGTTGTGAAGGCATTCATTCACTCATCTGGTCCGGGTGAAGGAAGGAAGGAGAAAGAAAGTGAAAGTATCCACAGATTCCGCCGTCTCCTCGCTTCTTTGCACTTGTGGAACCTTTTCGTAGCAGGTTCGTAGTAAAGGGTAGGAGCTACTACGTTCGTGCCGTGGACCGGTATGGCTGAGAGGCAGTAAACTGTGGCACTGGTGCAATCCATTCACGGCAACAAAACAAAGTCGCCTCGTGTTTACATCACAACACCTAAAACATCAAACCCCTTCCTCCTGCCTGAGCGAGCTCAATAGGCATTGGTTGGTACTGTTCAGCAGTGCTATTGCAATGGTGTTTAATTGTTGTATTGTGTGGCGACTACTGAATTGGTTTACTGACTTTAATTGTTAACCAGTCAACCTGTTGTAACTGCTCGACTAGAGGAAACAATTAGGACAAGAGTTCAATAAAACTTACACACATTCCATCTCTTGATCGTTAACAAAAATAGGTAGAAATCGGATCATTTTAGATAGCTACTTACTTTACGAATATAAGGAGTTACCAATGAATGTAACCATCTTATCAGTAAAAAATGTAAATTAGTGAAACATTTAAATCTAAGTCAAATTAAGCCATTTTTATAACTATCCATTTCCTCTCAACTTTGCAGATACTTAGAAAACTATGAGAAGGTGTACTTCCTGGGTGAGGATGGTCACAAGAATGATGACGAGGATGATTATGATGACATCAGAAACCGGAGAAGAACGGCGTCCAAGATGACTAGCCGGTCGTCAGCTGCTTCCTCGTTCACTCCTAGCTCATCTCACGCCCATACGCCCGGACAGGGTGGGCAGCTTCAATCAGTCCATCCTCCCTTATCAGGTCTCAAATCATCATCAATTAACCATTAATTATTTATCGATTTAAATATTTGATGGCTTAATTTACTTGTTAAATTATTTTATAATTTATTCGTAATATTTATTTCTTCACAGATTCGACTCGAGAACAACTGGGTCTTCCCAAACGAAGCATGACAGACTATGATAAACTTGTCCTTTCACTCCAAGCCCCACTTCCAAACGAACAAGACATGGCCATCAGCGTTTGCACGCTCCTTTGCAACGAAACAAAACATGTCCTTCGATTATCAAAATGTCCTACCCTTCTCACGTCCCTGCTAGCTCACACCGGTGTTTATAACGATTGTAAGTACCTACATATATGTACATATTCTTGCGGATCGGAATTAATATAAACTCAAATATAAATATATTTTTTATTTCAATTAATCTCAGGCGGTATGCGAGAACTTATGGAAGAAACATACACGAAGGGGAGAGATATGTACTTGTCGAAGTTCTGGGAGGAGATATATATTGAACCCGATGTGAAATCTTTACTCTGCGAAACCTATGTGCAGCGAATTCAGAACACGCTCGGACTGGAGGAGGAACCAGTTTTTAATAATTATGGTACGATCGACAGCACTGACAGTGAGGAGGAAGCAGATCCAGATCCAGAGGACGCTGCAGTTGGTCTTGGGCCCCCCTCGCTGCTGGACGAAGAGTGTGACCCTGCCAGTAATAGTAATCTTGACCCCAACACCACCTCTCCAGAAGAGACCGACGTAGAACGTTCTCGTCCCTCGAGTCCTCCAGAAGTTATGGGTAGTGCACCATTGTTATTCACCGAAGAATTAAAACCATCACCTTCTACTATAACAGAGGCAAAGACGCCAGATTCTCCAATTAATGAGGCACACATAAAACCAACCTCACCAATCGAGCACCCAACACCTACGGAAGATCAAAGGCCGCCATCGATACGATCATTGTCTCCAACAGAAGATCTGGAACAAGTGTGCTGCAAATTATGCCCATGTAATAAGAACGAGAAAGACGGTGAGCACTTCACTCTGCCGCCATCGCTTACAAGATCTCATGACTCACATGACAAAGAGAGCAAAAGAGTACATCAGATAGCATTGATGTTAAGGAACTTAAGCTTTGAAGAAGATAATGCAGAAGTCATGGCTCATAACCGGACAATGCTGCGGTACATAATTAATAATATAAATTATTTTAAATTTCGTGTTTGAGTGAGTTTCTTAATATATATACAATATGAATATAATATAATTTTATTCTACAAACTTGTTTTTAGATTTCTTCTCTTGACAGCCAACTGTCAGTTTGGAACCCTGATGCAAAATTCTCTTGACACGATCAGTAATGTAGCCAAGTATTTCAAGTTGCAGGATCCCTCACAAGATCCAATCTCTTCCATTCTCCTCTCGTCAATGGTTTCTGGACTTTTTTCCGAAGATCGATTAAAGGTTATCTGTTCACTAGACGCAATTCGTAACCTGACTCGGACGGAACAGAATGAAAAGATCTTGGCAAATCTGATGGATAAGAAAGTTTGCCATCGGCTATGTGAACTGCTAACTTTGTGTGATATTATGATGTTAATATATACACTAGAGTGTATCCATGCTATCACTGGGATTGGGGAATCCGTGTGCAATGAGATTGTTCGTGTCAAGGGTTCTATCTCATCCTTTATCGCTCTAGTCACGGTCGAAGTAAGTATTTATTCGTGTTGGTGACAATGTAACCTATCATTATAGAGAATCCTAATCATATTCTTGTTACATAAAGTTCCAAAAATTATAATATTTGCCCTTTCACTACTGCAGGCTCAGAGTTACGGACCGAAAGGGTGCATTCAAATGCGTGTCGTGGAGACCTACACTGGTGGAGTGGCAGGCGTTCCCACAAGTGGTTCCCAATCACTAACGACCGGTGCATCAACTTTGTCAACTTGTACTTCTTCCTTGCAAGCCGGGGCAAAAACAGCAACTCCTACCACGTCGACAACAAACAGTATTCAGGCCATTGGATTAAGAACAGTGAGTGGGCAAACAGTTGTACCCCCACAACCACAAACATTACAACAGCAGCAACAACAAACGTCCAGCTTTGCCAATTCTCCGTCCCCTCTGTGTGGTACAGTTGCTGCCATCAGTGTTTCCACTCCTCCTTCATCATCGTCATCTCAGCAGCAGCAACGGCAACAACCTCAGCAGGTTCGGATCTCTCCCCAGGTAGTGGTCACTTCTTCGTCTTCTTGTTCTCCCACCTCTGCTCCAATTTCAATTAGTGGTAGTAGTGGGGGTGCGTTCCAAGTTCTACATCCACATTCTTCCCCCTCTCCAATTTCTCCATCGCTGCGATCCCTATCTCCAGGACCATCCAACCCCACCACCCACATTGCTCAAGGTTATCATGGGAAACCAAACTGTCTTCCCCAGGGTCACCAGTCTTCTTCCACTGCTACAAATAACCACAATGAATCGGTCTCCCACCACCCTCAGCAAAACAATGTTAATAACCATGTACAACAACAAGGAAATAGTATACATGTGTCTTCAGCTAATACGACTGCAAACGCCGGTGCTCCTCCTCAAGTTTCAAGTCACAGTTTGACCCAACAGGTTTTCACGCCTTCCATCAGTTCTGAGAACATGACAGAGGAAGCGTGGGGAACGGCATGGTTGAAGGGGGGATTTGAGCAGCTTAGTGGGACTTCAATAGAGGAGGGAGAGTTATACAGAATGTATTGCGTTGCGAGAAAAAAACACCCAGCTTCTTTGTTATCCCAAACGCAGTTGATCCAATGCGTTAAGTGAGTTGTATTTAATATTTCATAGCCATACAATTTTTCTTGTGTTTGCTATGAAAACTAACTTGATATGTTATTTGTTGAATCAGGCTGGTGTACGGTGCTTCAGTGGGACCTGTCATGAAAAGTTTTGGCAGTACCTCACTTTCCTTCATTGAAGGAATTCGACCAAAGATCAGCTTTCAGCAAGCAAACTCCTCCTCTGTGCCTGTATGCAATAGTTTACCGACCGTAGTGTGCAGCGATAATGCGCAACAACCCGTCTCAGTGGCTACAAATGGTGTGATTAATGATGGAGCTCATGTTAATAATACTGCTGCAACTGGTAAGTTGTAGATGCAAGAAATAGACACTAAGACATTATTATTTATTATTATTTATAGAATATTAACTTTTAATGTCGTGTTGTATTTCAGTACCCCGGCCTACAACACCAGTTACTTCTGCACACGGCGCTTCTTCGCCTTTGTCGCCGATTCTCAAGGCCACGCTGTCCCGTCCACCAACGCCCAAGTCTCCCACCAGCGTAAGTTTTCTTATCTGCTTGTGAAACTTGTACTAGTTAATTACTATTTAGAAGTATTTCTTAATTATGTTTCGTATTTTGAAAATGAAGTTGCATATATATTCACATAATAGTCAAATCAACACTATACTAAATTGTTAAACCCGGTTTAGCCCACAAAATCTAAAGGATCACATTCGAAAGATAGAAAGGTAAAAGATATTTCTCCGAAAACAAACTCTTCTAAAAAGAAAAGTAAGCGAGGAGTCGTGTTAACTCCCATTGCCAAACAACAACCCTCCGGAAAAATTATGACTCCTTCCTCGTCAGCAATACGGAGTTTGTTAGCTTCTAAGGTAACTTGGTGTTGTGAGCAGATTCTAGCTCAGCATTTCTAGTGTGCGTTTTCTAGTGTGTGATTTACCACGTATTTACTGACTGTTTTTGCACTACTACATACTCTTCTGGCAAGATGAATAACGATTTCTGTGGTGTTCTTTATGGCATGTTATATATGACCTATTAGTTTATTAATACTATGTTAATTATAACTTTCCGAGTGAAATTAACGATTCGATTTATTTATTACCAAGACTGTTCAAACACTTATAAAATTATAATATTGCAGGTTGCACAAAGACAGCAAAAGAAGTTGCAACAAGAGACCAAGAACTCTAAAAAGACAAAGGGTAGTCCTATGAAGATGAACGGAGAAGCTTCCTTGGAGAAAGGAGAGGAATCTTCTGCCTCCTCCTCCATGAACAGTATTGATGAAACTGAGTCCAAGACTGATCCTTCGTCGCTCACCTTCCAAGGAGTTTTATGTAACGGGGTAAGATTAAATAATGAAATGTTACTCTGCGTACAACAGTGAGCACGTAATAATAATAATAATAATTTCTGTTGATTCAGAGCGGCACGGGTACATTAAAGGAAGAGGAGCAGATGGAGATTGACGGAGTTTTCGACGATTTTGCCAACAATGTGAAAGTGAAGGGAATGTTGGTCGATCTTTTGGAACGAAAAGTCGGCTCCCACAAAGACACGACAAACGGCATAGTCGGCCGTGAAATTAGGATTAGCGATAAAGGTTTGGAGTTAATTCAAAACCAAAATTCAGATGAAACTTTGATTAGTGAAACACTTGGCACTACAGGAGAGTCACAGGAACCACAAAAAATGACTTTTTATGCATCTCCGGAGGTAAGTTGCTCTTTTACTTTGTTATTTATTTATCATTAGCTTTTTATGTTCATAGATAGCTTGGTAGTATTTTAGAGTTGCATGCATGCTGAAAATTATTTGTTATGTTATTATTCTTTATTGGTAGAGCACGGAGTAGGTTTTTTTTTGGTACATATATTTCATAAATAATTATTTGTTGAGCCATTTTGCTAAAACTTTCCAATTTTAAAATTATAATGCATTGTTTATTTTCGCACATTTCTATTTTTGATAATTTTTACTATTTTTTGAGAGCTTACAGCCTATTACAACATATTCTTCACTGCTTCCATGCACAATTTTGTTCTTTGTAATAAGAGACGTTTTGTTCGTTTGTACGTACGCTGCTTTTTTGTGTCAGTGGTCGAAAGGGTCTTTTTGTTTCTTGTTCCTCGAGTCGATCTACTCTCCTCATGTGTTTGTCTGTTCATTTCATGACCAGGTCGTGGCGTCCGAACAAAAGTGTACAGCTGCTGTGACAGTTAGCACCACAATCAGGCCAGAAGCGACAATACTTCTGAGTGGTGGGGGTAGTGGAACAATCCCCTACGCATCTCAGGCTTTGTCGGATAACGTAGGAGAAATTAGTGAAGGGGGTGGTGCTTCTGGTGATGGGTTTAACAATAATGCTAATGTCGATTCAAATGGTGGTGGTAGTGGAAACGATTTGTTTGAGAAATTTAGCCAATTCAGTGACTTAATTGTGGTTAACCCGGAACAGCTTGGGATGGGAGTTAAGCGCACGGCTTCTACGACGTCCACCGAAAACAACACGGAGGAATCCGACGCTCCACCCCCATCCAAAAAGGCTGCAATTTGTGTGAATGGAAATGATGACAGCTTATCTGGATCCGAGACGACACCGACTTCTCATTCCAACCTGCAGCAGCATGTGCCAAATTCCGGCGGGTCGGTGCTGCAGAACGCTCTCTCTGCAGCACAAACAACCTCGAGCGTTATTAAGACGTCAGGTTCGATGACCATCAATTCCAACTCTTCTTCTGTCGTTTTGTCGGAAGATGGGACAACAACAACAACAGTCGCAACAAATACAACTTCCAGTAACCAAATGGTCCACGTTCCAGTAAGAATTATGAATTCACCAAATTCACAACAGATAACATTTGGAGGTCGTCAAATGGTCATTCAACAGGGTGGTCAGATCGTACTTTCTCATGGAAGTTCACAAAGTCTTCAGGGACAAGTAATCATCTCAAAGCAGTCTGGATCAGGGGATGCTCCAAAAGCTTTCATCCTCATACCTCAAAATCCTTCCCCGGGATCCCCATCCACTGGACAAGTACACCATATGCAACCCATTACGATGTCGGGGGGTCAAACTATACAGCTTACCACGTCACCCGTTGACCCAATTCAAATGATTATGAACCAAGTTGCCGACATCAAGAAAGGCATTCCTCCAAATTTAGTGAGTCATCTTCCCGTTGAGTTGTTGGATCAAGACCTGCCCTTCCTTTGTGAATGGACTGGATGTGGCTACAGATTTGTAAAATATCAACAGGTACAAAATTAATTTTGTTATATATAATAGGTTTTCTCATTTGTATACACACTGAAAAAATGATATTACTGTAAGCACTATTACTTACATATATTTGGCTATGTATAGGTCTTCATGCATGCAGTTGAGGTTCATTGTCCTGGTCCTGATAGTTCGGAAGCTATTCGTTGTGAATGGGGTGCTAATGGATGTGATCCTCTGATGCGGAAACAGTTCTCCATCATGACTCACCTTCAAGATCGACACTGCAGCAAGCACGCGCTGGACCTTGCTTGCTATCGTCGTAAAAACAAAATTGGTGGGTTATATGATAAAGCGCAGTGATAATAATATTTAAAACTGCGACTCTACAAATTAACTGAGTGATTTATGATTTTGTGTGTAGAACCTCCTCCTCCCCCTCAACAGCCTGCCCATCATCCTGGATATGCTCCAAATGCTGCCTTCCACGCCATAAAACGACACGCTCTGCAATACATGAATCCAAAGGATATTGCAGAGGAGAATGAAGGTCCGGTGACCAAAAGTATAAGACTTACTGCTGCTCTAATTCTCCGAAATCTCGTAAACTTCTCACCACAAGGAAGAAGGTAGGCAATCTTTATTAATTCATACTCTCATGAGTTGTATCATCAGCCACCTTAAGATTTTATTTTTAATCCATTACAACATCCCTTGTTTAATTTTCCTTCTAGAAGCATCGCTGCCCATGAATCTCTGCTGTCAACAATTGCCATGAGTAACGCTGAGAGTTCAAGAACTATTTGCCAGTTACTGTTCGACATGAGTGAAGCTACCGACTACTGAATTTCAATCATCCCCTAAATAAGTGTCAATCGATTGTATCTTATCCAAACATGTTATTGAACTACTTATTTAGTTTTTATTACTACATTCATACGCAGCAGCAACTTTTTTTACGAGGAAGTCCATGCACCAAAACAAAACTTTGGCGTTGTACATTAGACTGACATGAACAGTTAAAAATTGTTTACAAATAGGATTACTAGGTTGATTATTACATAAATGCAATCGCAATTGTCACGGTGGCATGTCCTATATACTGACTAAATTTTGATATTTTACTTGATAAGGAATGCTACTCTCCTCCCAATAATTAATTACATGATGACGAGAACATAAAAGATCTTACAAAGGAATCTAATAAATGCTTGCTTCTAAAAACTTCGGCTACAGTATAATAGACATTTAAGACAAGATTTATACCAAACCATGTCACGAAATGAGAAGGATATTCAAGTAGGTAAAATGTTATATTTATCAAACGAAGAGGAAAAATAATCATTAGTTTTATCAACTTAAAAATATAGAAAGAAATCTACTGTTGTGCTAAAACACAGAGTATTAAATCGTAAGGGGTATAACCGATACACATACTAAGTACTTTCCAACTGATGCAAAACCATGATAAGTTACTAAGTTAATCTTTAAAACCATTAATTTAACAATTTATTTCATAAACAAATATAAATTGTCAGCTCTTATTTATTTCAACTTGACATGAATAATCTGTTTGAAAATGTTTCCCTAATTCTTTTGTTTTTACTAGTTCTCTGATTGGTTTAACTTGTTTTTTGATGATCATTTGTACAGTTTTCTATACAAAAGTTGTCAGCTAATATATATTACTCTGTTCAAAATTGTTTAAAAATTACTGTCCGTTATTGTTTATTATTTTTAATTCTTCCATCAAGCCCAAAGTTCAAATCGCCACTTTTCCATTTATTTTCCTTATATTCTTGATTTGTATAATTCTCGTCTAAAGCATTTGAGTCAGAGTTAACTTAATTATTCATTGGTGTTGGTGCATATAAATGGTGTAGTCGTTTTTTATACTATTCCTCTAATCGGAATTTTGTTGTCTATTTTTCCAAGTCCTACGAAATATGTGCTTTTACGCATTTTTGTTCCTACATGACTCTGTATTATTTAAGTACTAAGTAGAGTTTTTACGACTGTTGTGTGGATTTGATTTGCAGGAGCGAGTTTACAGGTCACTATACATGTATAATTGTGCACAGAACTGGCGACCCTTATAACAATGATCCTGAACCTTAGTTGGGCCGAGCTGATTATAAAATGTGTTCATTAGTTTATTTTGCGTTACTTTCCGTTTCAACTTATTCATGAATTTACCGTTGAGTGCATTTGTTCAGATATCGTTCCTTAAATTTCATGATTATTACAATTAATTTTTTGTCGGCCCACGGAAATGTTGCTTTCTTTCAATTCAATATAAGGTCATGACTCGATGGAAACTTTGTCAATTGTAAAATGCACTTTAATATTATTATTTTATCTGTTATTATTATCGTTAAATAATTTTGAGTCTTTCCATGAGACGAGAGAGTATCAAAATATATTTAACCCCAGCCCAACTAATAATGGAATTGCTTTACTATTTACATATGTAGGCCTTCGCATTTTATTTCGCAGCATTGCATTTTTTTTTGTAGAGAAGCGTAACACAAAGTTGAAACTATACATTTAAGTTATGATACTTGTTTTATACGATTAAGAAGAACCTAATTAAGGTTATTATTGCTATACAAGTATGTTTGTCCTTGTTCTTCTCGTTGTTAAGTAGTTGTTACTCACCGACACATTATACGCGCATGGAAGAAGAAAAAAAAACAGACCAAACCAAAACTACTTGACGACTTTTAAATGAGATATGAACTACGAACCCTTTTTGTATTAAAGTTACGTAAAGTGTTTTGTATTTATTTTCAAGTTGCAACTGTAGTATTAGTACAAACTAAAGTAATAAATAAATACTATTGTTTGTCAATGTTATTTATAAGATATTACATAGACGTAGTAGCAGTTGGGTTATCAATTTATTGAAGATGATGATTACACAACAAGTCCATTATCGTTATAGTCAAGTTCAGAACAACGTCAACCAATTTGTAATAATGAATCTGAGAAAGGATGACGGTCACATATATAAAAGGAGACATAAAGACGAGTCCATATTGCGTCCAATAAAATTAACACTAAATATAGCCCTAAAATTATTATTTAGTTTTATTTAAACTTTTGGTGCACCCTTAGAACTCATTTCGTAATAAATTGTCTCTTTTTTTACCTATGTTAGATAAAGTTATTGGCTATTTACATTTACATTTAAAAATTTCTCATTTTTATTACACAATTTTAAATTTACATATTTCGTAGTTACGTAAAGACTGTCGGACATTTTGTGTAAATTTGAGAACATGAAACCTTCCGAAACGACGGAATTTATTTAAAAGAACAACTCTAACAAACCAGCAAAAGGTTATAGGCGCAAGTATTTGTTTTTTTTGTTTGTGTGTCTTAACTTAACCTAATTGTCCTATGTTTGATTTGTTTTAAGTTTGATGAAATTGTTGTCGAGTAAAACAGAATAATGTCATGATCTGTTTTCTATGCACGTTTTATTTTTTATTTTTTTAAATGCACTTTGTAACATAACTAACAGTACATATGCATAACGAATTAATGGGTTTCGGGAGAATATATCGTCTTGCATGGAGAATTAATTAAAAATCGGATTCGTTCTACAGAAGTTATTTATCCAACGACTAGGTGAGATTTTTGTCTCAACTTCCCTTCGATTTTTATTAGGCTAAAAAAATCTGGCATAACTCTACTGACGACGTCGACGAGTTGTCTCACCTCACCTCAACTTCGGACTCATCTCGGGGCTAGAGAAGGAGAACAATCAAACAAACTACTTATTTGAGATGAGGCTCCTTAAGGGTCAGATTGACTTTCACCCCAAAAAATATGATACTAAATTTCTCGTAATTATTGGAATAATCTACGAAATATACAGTCCGAGGTTATTCCACTTACATAATGCTATGCCATCGTAGAGTATGATAAATAGAAGCCCAAAGAAAAATTAGGTGGTTCAACATGTATGACTGCCCACACGTACCCTAAAACTACGTTTTCCGAATTCCGATATGCGATACCCGGGTAGTGTTCGATGTGCTTGTGCAATTTTATTGTATGAGCAAAATCGTCGCCTCTTGGAGAAGTAGATCCAAGCGCACTCTACGGAATCCTGATTCATTTTGCCTTTCTCCACCTTTAAACAACGTATAACTTATATACGTACGAATTACAAGTCAAGTTTTGTATATCTGGGTTCGTCCGTCTAATATCATTAAAGACAAAATAAACTCTATTTCTTAAATTTTCTTCCATCGAATAATACAAACCTATTAAAATGGGTCACGGTTTCGGTGGCTTGGCCAAAGTGAGGGGGATCATCTTCTACAAATTATCCCCTTTTGAACAAAAGGCCTTCGCTGGAGTTATTTCGAAAGGGTTCCCCAATACGATTAAGAGAATTTCTGAAAACTTTTTCAGAGTAGCACCACGTAATAATACTAAAATATAATATAATGGTCTTAACTTAGCATTCTTGGTAATTAATTCCACGATCTGCATTGCAGCATTCATCATGTCCTACATCGTTTTTACCGAGACGGAAAAGAAACATGAGCTCATGATGAGGAAAAATCCTGAAGATTACGTCAACGATGTCTAATAAACTTATAAATCTTACAGCCTTTACTAGATAAAAACTGCCCAGATCAGAACATCGACGCGACTTTGACGTAAACAAGATGGACGCCACAACAGTCACTTTAGTAATTATGTAGAGCATAGTTAATTCATATAAGTAATTACGAGAAAAATGTAAAAAAACAAATATGTGTGGACGAATCTGGATAAAGCTTTCAAATTGTATAGAATCAGAGATGAAAACCTGTTGAAAGAAATATATACTTCTGATGTGAAATAAAGTTGGAGAGAAAACTGAAACATGTAGTTGTTGATTTAGAATGAATTATTTACTTTGTAAAATGAAGATACAAAATGTGCAAGTCTTATGTTGGATATATAAGTATTACAAGTTTTTTTTATAGCTTAATGTCTTGGACCTGGAGGGGCTGGAACTTGGAACAAATCCTTGTCGGGGTGTTCCCGATTCCATTTGCTCATGGCTTGGTCAAATACAGTTTCTGTGTGTTCACAAACAGCGACAAGGTCTTGCAATCCTTTACGAAGCGTGTCGACGACTGATGTCCCTGGTGTGGTTTGGATTCTGAGATGCATCTCGTCTTCAGAAGGGTGAGGGATAGTGTGGCCGATAAATTTTACTTCAGGGCTGTAATAGGGAAGCAATTATTTATAACTTCATTATGAATCTGCATGATTTCCCAATTCACATGATATGTTAGGTATAAAATTGTTTTATAAAGATAATGGTATAACTGAAAAAATAAATAATCTATGCACAAATCATGTAAACCACAGAAATACACCTTTTTGGGTGAATCACATTTTTGAAAATCTTCAATCTAAGGACACTTACTAATGAGATATTACAAATCGCAACGCATTCCCCAACGTGTGCCCTTCATTCTTGAAAATAAATGTTTTACAAGACCCGTCTGTAATGATGCTTGGTGTAATCTAAAAAAATTGATATATAAACTATCAATGTTATGTCATCAAGGAGTAATTAGTATTCACACGTGTATTTCTCACCGCAGTCAGAAATATCTCCTCTTCCTCCTCCACTTTTGCATCTTCTGGGGTGTCTGTCGGTGGGTTTTCCATGTCCAAAGGTTCAGCAGGCTTCTTGGTGGGTGAGGTCGATGTCGACGGCTGCGAAGCTGCTGTTGCTTTCCCCCTCTTCGATTGCTTACCTCCGCCACGACTGCTTCGGGTAGCACGGTCAGACATTTTCTTGATGAAGAAATAATTAACTGGTTAAACAACTAGTATTTTTACAGAACTAAAACGTAATATTTGTATAACTGCTTACAAAGCTAGGCAGGGGATTCTTCTTGAAACTTACCTCAGTAGGATAAGGTTTTGTCTGTTAAATTTAAAAATCTAGAAGAATCTAAAAATCTAGTTGAGTTCAATTAAATTCAACTCAAAACTCTTCACACACGTGCTTTTTGATCAGAGAGTGAGACAGATGCAGTGCGCCAGAACTGTGGGGAATGAAATATTTTCTTCAGTCAGATTTTTGTGATTTTGATTTGACTGATTAATCTCGTCCTCTATTTTGTAGTTAAAAAACGGCATAAAGTCACGTCGTTGTTGTAGACTAGTCTGACGATAATTTATCGGAATTCGTTCATTGTCCTTTTTCATCGATCCCAAATTTGGTTTTAGTTGATAAATAAATGCGAAGAGCAATATTTCAAATTCCTCTCCGCCGAGCTTCCTCTACCGTTCAGGAACAAGAAGGTTGAACAGTTTAGAACGATATTTACAAGAATTCGATCTCGTTGCGGTTAAAGGTTCCGACTTGCTGAGTTGGTACGCCTGTGGATGGTCACGTCAGGTACGGATAATTTGTATTAACTTTCTGCTTTATATGTGACATGACACTCGCATCGCATTAACTTGCAAAATCGTAGTGCCAGCATTGGCGACATAATACCTTAAATTGTCAAGCGATCACAAAGTATCATTAGTAATGATTCATTGCTCACTTTGTGTGTCAAAAAAGACGATCAAAATGTAAAAAATGACTAATTTGTGACCTGACATGCATTAATAGTATATTTCCTTTATTTTTTCTACAGGTTCACTTGCTGCTAAATCAATACAAGCTTGGCGAAGTATTAATACCAAAATCTCGTATGTCAATACCAAGTAATTGTAATAATCATGGATAACGATGATATGGAGATGGACAGCCAGGAAAAACCAGCACAGCAAAATGGTGTGGCTGAAGCACTTTGTTCTTATGACACGCCAAGCTATCCCGTTCTTCCAGCTATAGAGATGGATGACTGGCAGTACGTTATGAGACGAACAATGCAAGAAATCATCCCTGGGTTGTATCTTGGTCAGATAACACTATTATATAAATAACTATACCTGTTTGTTGCTGCTACTCTCATTTAAAGGTGTGTTGTTGAAGACAAACATGTAATCATTAATTAAAGGTCCCTATGCTGCTGCTGCCAAGTCAAAGATGCAGGAACTCAAAGATTCTGGAATATCTCACATTGTCTGTGTTCGTGAATTCCGTGAAAGGAATTTGATTCGCCCGAATCATCCAGATGATTTTCAATACTTGGTTGTAGAAGTAGAAGGTATGCCATTACAGATTTATTCAACGTGTATATGTAGGTATGAATTAGGTATTCATATTATGTTTTAATGCTCATCTCTTAATTTGCAGATAGCAGCATGGCCAATATTATACCACATTTTCGAACGGTAAATCCATTCATCAAATTCGCTTTAAACAATGGAGGGAAGGTGCTGGTTCATGGAAGTGCTGGAATTTCTCGTTCTGTAGCCCTCGTGATTGCATATATTATGGAGACGTAATTACTTATTCTTTAATATTACATATATATATCACATATATATTACATTATATTTTTAATACTTAGAATATAAACTAACGGTTGTACTTTCACTGTATCAGATACGGCGTGACTACACAAGAAGCCCACAAATATGTTCAATCTATCCGATTTTGTAGCAATCCAAATGAAGGCTTCATGCATCAACTTCGAGAGTATGAACCAATTTATCGCGCAATGCACGTCGTCCCCCGAGCCTTGCCAAGTACTCTACCCACTCAGAAATCCTGTAAGCGCAGTCTCGATGAAGATGAGGATTATCACAAAGGCCCCAACAAAGGGGGTAAGTTTTAGCCATGGAAGATTTGCTGTTCGTGTTTATTATCAACCAACCATCATGAAATTATTTTAATTAGCGTCCCATTATCGCTCTAAGCATGTTTTGTTATTACTAATTACTGTCGTGATATTTTGTTACAACTCAAAAATTATTTAATTAATATGCTTATTCGCATTTTTAATATGATTTGATAATTGAATATGTAATAGGAGAGATTATCATGTTTTACATACAACAAGCTTTACCCTAAACTTGTTACAGTTATCAAAATTATTATGTTATATATGAGTAAAGCATCTGTGATATGTTCTTAATGATGAAATCCAAGATAATCTTAACAATGTTATAGTTGTACTTCAAAATGCAGGACATTGTTTTTTAGCAAGTTTTTTAGCGCTTTAAAATTAGGCATGACACTTGTACTACATGTGAACATGTACGTTTTGTGGTAAATTTTAATATCAAGATTGTGTTAAACAAATTAAGTTGCGCCGTTATGAAATTTGAGCTCAATATTTTTTAAATCAACCGTTACCTTAAAATACTTTTAGCAGATTTTTTTTTGTATATCGGTCATATACTTTTCGTTTATATGTATGGAGAAACTTTATTACTGAGCTCATGCATTGGTGGCCCTTATTTTATATTTACTCCTATTCAATTTTTTGCGTGTCCTTAAATTATGTCGAACCTTAATCTTATGCGTGGATGACAACTTTCTGTAATTTCTTGTTGTTAGTTGGTGCGGCCTCGATGTCAGAGCAGATGAGAAAATGAAAAAGTTTTTGAGACTTGCTGCTACTCTTTCAAATCATACTGATCACTATTACCAAAGTCGAATGATGATGATCAACCGTTGTAATCTCGATATTAATTTAATTTGGTAGAGTTTGAAAAATGCTTTTTGCTTACTACATCTATTATCCAACACTTTTAGTATTACTTACTATGCATTGAACTTAGAATTTTACCCATAACATGGTCCCTTATTGTTTATGCATACTTGTAATTTAATTAGAATACAAATATATAACCAATACAGTAAGTGAGAATATAGAGCGACCTGATACTCATACATGTAACGACAAGCGAGAAATAAATATTTTGTATGTTAGAATAGTCTTTATATAAAAACGAGAATTTTTGGTGCAAGAACCGATTATTAAATCACGGGTACGTAAAAGACAAATGAGCATAACGCATAGTCAAATGTTAACCAGGACTTCAAAAATCATAAATTTATTCGCCCATAGTTCACATAAACAAAGACGAAAGTTTAAGTTTAAAAGTTTCTTAATCTTCTTCAACAACCGTCTTTTCGGAGACGTAGAGACCATCCAAGAATTTTCGGATATCCTTATTCTTTACTGTCGTACTTTGTTGAATGAGTGCAGCTAAAATTAAACACAACAAAATCTCTAGTTAGTTACTCAGGAATAACAACAAACATATTTGCCCCTTTCATTTTATTAATGTATCTGTATTTGTTCTATTACCCGATCTTGAAACAGCCTCGATAGAGTTTCCTTGAATGATCAGTTCGTCCTTCTGCTTCTGGGAGTTAGTGACCGTGACTCCCTTGGACATCTTTACATTTCGAATATACTTCTCACCCAAGAAATTCCTCACCTACAGAATAAAACAGGAAAAGATACATCAGTTAAATTAAGATTTAAGTTATCAAATTGACTTAGCTCACCTCTACAACGCTGTTTTTCTCCGTGGTGACACAATTGATGGGGAAATGGGCATACACACTCCTCATCTTGTATTGGAATCCCTGTAATTAAAAACAAGACCTTAATTCACATCCCTCTATATACAATGACAAGTCCAAATAACCTCACAACAAACAAATCAATTAGTAAGCCCCACACTAACCTTGGTGACTCCCTTGATCATATTTTCGATATGACTGCAGACCGTCCTCACAGCAGCGATTTCCTTCTTGGAGCCGAACCATTTTTCCACCTTGACCGTTTGTGGGTTCTCCACGTTGATGTCGATGGACAAGTGACGGAACGTGCGGCGAAGAACTCCTCGCGGTCCACGAACGCAGACCCGGCGACTCTTGGCCGTGATCGTCACACCCTCCGGCACCTTCACCGTCTGATTTACCACGATCTGCTTCATCCTCCTTTTGTGCTTATCTTACTATTTTTTTGGAAATTCACAAAACTTCCAACCGGCCTTCTTCTCAACCTGATGGATTAACTAACTTGTGAGAAAGAATGAAATGCAGCCAGCACGAGAGAAGGAGAGAGACACCAAAAAGACCACGTTGGTTGGATACGACCAATGGTGGAGAGATGGCGAGGAGCTCGGTAACTCGTCACTTGCGGTGGTTTCCTAATCTACGTGTATGTGAGTGAACGAGGAGTAGTGAACCGGTGCTACCGGCCCCAAAAAATCCCACTCTGCCCAACAATGGAGCGGGCACAGTTTGAGAAGTGAAGAGAAAAATTAACTAAATTAATTAAAAGTTAATTGTCACATCTTCACTCCATCAAAATTCACCACTTTTTTATCTCCTCACCTCCGACGCAGTTTACTATTTTACCAACTTGTGAAAAGGCTCAAAAAACTGTGTTTAGATTTTCTCAACTCGTAATTACAATGTTTAAGTATATACTAACTATTTTATACACCTTGTATTGTTGGGTGGCTACGTTGGTACGTCGAGTAGGAAAAGTGTTTATGCGGAAGGTTACCAGGTTGACGGAACTGCAGAGAATAGTTTATGGGGAGGTTCTTGGGTTTCGGAGAATTAAAAGAGTTGGTATGTTGTTATATATTACTACGTAGGCTTAATTATATGGAAATAGGTCCATCTTATTTACAAGATTATTTGTACTTGCAGAGGAATCACTGATGAGATCGAAAAATCCTGATGTTATAAGAGCCTTGGAAGAACTGGATTGCGGTGTTCTTGACGGCCGGTTCGAAGCCAGAGGTACCAGAAAGGTGCTGGTAATGAAAGCAACGGCAGATATCTCTACGGCCAAAAAAATCAACATGAAGTTGCATTCACGGTATGTGAATGGCTTATTATTGATTAATTCGTTTACTGTGTCATCAAACATAATGAACAACTATGTTTAATGTACACCCTAGATTTGTAAATGGTTTACAAGAATGCTTGGAAATGATTTTCGCCTTCAAATATTTATGTGCTAAGCTGAAAGTCCTACGTGATACGCCATACTCTTCAGATAAGGACGAAGATGAAGACAAGGTGAATGCAATGCATGCAAATATTATTAACCAAGCTTCAAGCTGTGCGAGCTTTTGAGTAACTAAATGCTTAATATCTATTTTCCCTTTTTGTAGCTCCTTCAATTATGGACTAAAATGATGAAAGGAACGGAACTAAGCGGGAGGAAGTCTAAGCAATGGGAAATACTAGGTTTTCAAGGAAGTGACCCAGCTACAGACTTCCGCGGAGGAGGAATTTTGTCGCTAGATTCGTTAAGGTAAGTCCAATGTAAAACCACATTTGTTACAATTAATAATTTGAAATGGTATCTATTCAAACTTTTCAGTTTCATTACCTCGAGGTATCCAGAAGTTTCTCAGCGACTACTCCATAATTCGCACCACCCTCTCTATTCGTACCCGTATGCTCTCGTCGTTATCCAAATCTCTTTTCTGGCAGCCAACTTGTGTCTAGAAGGAGTTGCAAAAACGCACTTCTATAATCGGTATCCTGTAATTCTTCGTTTGGACAGGGAAGTGAGTCCAATGGATAACGTGATGTGGAGAGCTGAGCTAATCAAGCTCTTTCACGAATTTACTACATCACTTTTAATAGACTTTGATTCCTTATGGATGGCAAGCAAGCCTAAGAGCATTATGGCTTATTCTGAGATTAAGTCAGTTTTTGACAAAACAGTCATCAAAAAGCTCAAGTCGGATACCACATGTTATCTAATCGAGGTGAGAACGATATGATCCTATCTTATCCTAGTATCCTATCCTATTCTATGCCTTGTATTTTCCTGTAATTGTCCTGTTCGCTGGTCCAGTATTCAAACTGGCAGTATAGTTTGTTATACAGATTGTAATTTATTAATTTAAACTTTAACCTCGAATTCTAGTCATTGTATCTCGGGAGTTTTTTATATCATGTTTCGTTTATTGTTTTTATGCAACTTTAAATAATGTTTTTGCAATCGTAATAACGGTTTCATGTTACAGAGTAATAATTTAAATTACTGTGGAGAAATGAAGTAAACAAATACAAATTTACATATATACATCACATCACAGGTTTAATTAATTCTCAACATACATATGTACAAAAAAATTTACAATAATTATAGCGCAGCTTCATCAAAAGAGCTTCATATAAACCGGTCTCCTCGGTTCATTTCTTCTTTTTAGAAATATAAGTATGAAAAATATTTATAATTTCTGACTCTGCAATCACTTCATACTCTTCCGGGGTAGTAATCGAGAGGATGATGTGGGCTGCCAGGATGTGCTTACAATAGTCTTTCTTCCCCTTGAGGTACCCACTACACTGACAGATCGACTTTCCTGGAGAAATGTAGTACATCTCCCCCTTTTCTGGCTTGCCAAGCACCTGAATCAAGACCTTGTTGGAGGAGGAACTCTTCAGCACCGTCACATGATCATTGTCCACCAACTCGAAAACTTGGAAAATGAGGGAGCCAAACATCCAGTGAAGGGATATAGCGTCCTGTGGTAGAACTAGCAAGAAATCAAAATTTATCAATCAATCACCATACAAAAATTAAGACATAATTCGTAATTTTGTTATCATTAATTAATGAGGGTATTTACAATTGTCTTTGTATCCTTGTATCGTAAAATAGTTTACAAAGAAAGGACCAAGCTTCGTAAAAATTTTAAGCTTACAATTAGTAACGCGATTTTTAATGACAAAACCTTACGACGCTTGCAAAATATCGTAACGTATTTCACGATACGAAGAATATTAAGGATAGGAACGAATCATGCATAAATCATGCATTAATTATTGCTTACTTACGTTTCCCATGAATCCTATAGTTTTTCATTGCCTTTTCAAAGACTACTATTTCGAAGGAGGATAAGAAACCAACAGCTGGGTTGGAAGGGGGGTGGAATATGTTTTCCGTCTCAGTCGCAGATGTGCTACCCATATATGTGTGACCACCAACTAAATAAAAATATTGTCCAGAAACGATAAAAAATAGTAAACAAAGTGCAAAGTGAGAAAGTGGAAATGCGCCCAAATCCGGGAGGCTGATTGGTGGTGGCTGCTGGTCTCAAATCTGCAGCCCGGTCAGTAACCGACACAAAGAAAACTCTTCTCTTTTTCTCCACTTCGCTTCAGTCAGTGTTCGCTGTTGGTGGTCATCTCGGTCCAGCCTCCAGGTTTTTCCTCGTCGTCGTAACATTAATTGGGCAATTAGTTTTCCGTGTGAGTGGATAATTAATTATTGTTTGTTGGGAGGATTGTCCGCTGGAAAGTAGCTGGTTCAAAATGAGCCAAGATCCCTTCCAGGATATGCAGTCTCGAGGGGTAAGAAATGTGTATTTGTTTGTTTTATTAAATATGAGAGAAAATCACAAACTGATCATATAAAGTTATGCAATGGTTATTTTTTCATAATTAATGGTATATATCGTCAGCCTAGTTATAATCAAATACAAGAGACTTGTGTGACAGATGTTTCGAAGTATAAATAGTAATATGTATTTTCTCCGTGTGACCCTTTTCTAGCACAAGAGACGATCTTCCATCATCCAACAGGCCAAAAAAGATGGTATTATTCCCGACAGTGACTGCATGTTACGAGGATTATCCGAAACTTTGCAGCCTAGCTTGTTGCGCCTCAGCTCAGGACATAATAGAGGAAGTGCTCTGCTGGGAATGGCGAAATCCTCTCTGGGACCCGTCGTGCCCACGCCGACGATGCAAACTGGAAGTACGAGTCGTCGCCCAACTGGGAGCAAGCCGTCCAGTATTCCACGCCCGAATATGAGTGGTGCGAAAAAATTCATGAGTTCGGCGGCCAGTTCGGCCAACAAGGTTTCGATTGGTCCAGGGAAATCGTTGGGACTACCCAAGAGTGCAGCGTCAGTGGGTTCAAGGCCTGTGAAACTTCCACAACGGCAACCCATGGGTAGACCTCCGCTACCTTTACTACATGGAGAAATTCGTTCGAGTGTAAGGTAAGTCAGTTATGGAGGGAAGTCATGAGGATGAGAAATAACTCACATCAGTTTAGTTATATTTTATTTTGCATTATGATTGATACCACAGGCCACTGACAGCGGATAGCCTTGGCAAACACGCCTCGCTGCGGCGATCCACTTCAATGGATTCAAATGCGTGGCAGTCTAATATGATGACTCCGACCCCGGCTCGAAGGTGAGCAGATTTAAATTAACGAGAAATGAAAGAACATGCAACCTTAACTTATATTTGTTTTTGCTTTGCATATCTAAAAATCATTTTGTAATGTAACTAATGTTTTAATGCTTACTTCTAGTATGGGATGCAAAACACCCGGTAGCATGAGGTCGTGGGGATCGCAGAATAATCTTCGATCTGGACAAGGTTTCAAAGTTCCAGGAAGCAAAGACACAAAGGTGATGGCAAGTATGATGCAGTATGTGCATGGTTACATGGAATCTTTCGGGTATCCAAATTTGCCGTCCTCGCCCATGGAGTTAAGACAGATTTCGACAAATACATACATGAAAATGGTTACCGTAAGTAGTAAACTAAGCTAGCCAAACTAATGGATAAGGAAAATAAAGCTATTATTGAACTATTATTCAATTATTGTACTCTTTACACGTTTCTCTCAGGCGGTTGGTGAACAGTTCGTGGGGCACAAATTTTTTATGGCCACTACAAAGGAGGACCCCATCAACAAAATTGTTGAGTTGGCAAATGTGCTTAAATACCCTACAGCTATTTCAAAATCCCACTTAAAATCAGGTAATTCATGGTTTACATATAGATGCCATGGAGTGTTATTATTGATTAATTAATTTCCAATTATTGCAGCAAATGCACAACATGCATGGCCAACGTGTCTCACGTTCCTGGCATGGCTTTGTTGCCGAGCTGACGCAGCTTATGCTGAAGAACCTGAGAAACCAATTAATGACATGTTGAACGAAGGATTTCCAGAGGTATAACTTTTAATAATATAACAACAGATGAACTTGAGGATCATTGTTGACTTATTTTATAATATAGATTGCACGCACGAACTTTTTGAGAGTTTATGAAGCTGAACGTGTACAACTGAATGTGCAACAGGTTCTCGGTAAGAACTGGAAGACTATATATCCCTAGTAATTGGTTAGTTGCAATAAGTATATCATTGCTAATGGATTTTTAATTGCACAGACGAGGAGTTGGCAAATTTCAGAATTACAGTTTGTGAGTTTATTTCGATTGTTGTTATGCTGCAATTTTATTTTTTTAACCTCGTAACTATTTCTAGCTGACCAATTAATGGGAGAACTCAATGTTAGTGTTGAAGACTTGGTTGCAATGAAAAATGAAAAGATGGAAGAATTAGATGCCATTATTAATACTCCTGATCCAACTAAGGTACATATTCACTAATCATATTACACAACTAAATTTAACAACAAAAAGTTGTCATGCATCTTACTGCCTATTAAACTATAAAGGACGTTCTTGAAGCGATTGAAAGTAAGGAGAAACTCATTGTGGAGACAAAAGCGAAAATAAAGGCAGCGAAGGAGCAAATAGCTGTTTACAACGATATTAATGCTCTTCAGAATCAGTCAGTTTTTCTTGGTAAGCTAATAAGTCGATCACTTATCCTTAGTTTATAAATGTATCAAACAATAAGCGTGTCTCATTCATCATGCTATATTTCTATCAACTTACAACCACTTTGTATTTGAATATTTATAGGGAACCAGATTCGAACACAACAATCAGCAATACAAAGTTTGCAGTCTCAAATCCAGTCACAGCCGATTAGTAGAAAAATGGCGAGCAAGATTATTGCGGATACTGAAGAATTTCAGAAGGAGCGACAGTGTCTTATAATAATGAATCGTAATCTTCGAGCACAAGCTGATGAAAAGAAAGCAATCTTAAAGGAGTTGGATGCCAAGGTGAGGAATAAACTTTCCCTGTCAGGTTCATTAATCATGAGAACTGTCGCTCCGATTGATTGACCTCATTGTTTTGTTATAGTACAGAGAAATTGTTACAAAATTTACTGTTGTGGAATTATACAACACAAGCCTATCTCATCTGGATATAACTGGACTCTCCGTTCCATTAAATCCCTTGAATCCACGTCAAATAGATCCTTGGCTCTCAGTAAGTTTTTTCATGAGTTTATTTATCGTTCTGCATATTGTTCACGGCGTATATTCATTCCAATATGCTTGTGTGCATTATTTGCAGTCTGTGGATAAAATTCTGGAGAAAACAAAACACGCTACGAAGAAATTGTTGAGCGCTGCTGGTAGGGATCAGCAAAACTTCGAACAATTGATTCGACGAGCTGAAGAACAAAATATTGTTCTAAGAAGGCAGCTGGAAACTAAACGAGCTAGCACGAAAGGTGGGACGCGACTGCAAATTAATTCTGAACAAAAGATGAAAGATGATCTCGAGAAATTGGAAGATGACTTGAAAAAGACAATTGCACTCGTTAAAACCAAAGAAATTGAGTTTGACAGAGCTCAGAAATTGCATGATGAAAAGGAGCTGGAAGTAAAGTTCGAGACGGATGAGTACGTTTATTATTTATTGCAATTTAATAAAGCATTTTTTGAATGTAATAAATAGTACATTTTTTTTAATTTTTGCATTTAGGTTGCAACAGGCACTGAGAGTGGAAAAGGGTTGGCAGGACGAAAGGGAAAAGTGTCACGCGGGGTACTTACAAATCCGGGCTAAAATGCATGCAAGACTTTCTGTACGTATAATACACTATTAACATATTCTTTATTTTATCAGACTGTATTATTAAGCATGAACTTATTGTGTAGGAGATCGCAGCTGGAATAATTGATAAAGTTTCAAAGGAACGGACCGACGGAAAAAAGATGCTCGACAAGTTGAAAAAGATTTTTAAGAGAATTGAAAAACTGAAAGCAAAGTTGCCCTATTCATTGAGAAAAAATGATGAGAATCAAAGTATTGTTGTTACTGCTGAAAAGACCCAGATATTGCATCCATGTTCTGCACAGTCATCGGGTTTGCCTCTTTTGGAAGTTCAACCACTCCCACTGAAACCTACGACTTCCCAGCCGGATCCACAGCATCCATCCCTCCAAGAAATGCAGTGGGCCCCTGTTGAAGAACCACGGCACACATCTCTTGAAGAAACACACTGTCTTTCCATACAAGAATCACAGGGCCGGTCTATTAATGAAACAATGAATTTATCGCGCCTAGTTCCGCCTCCACTTCCATTCCTGCCACCGCAACCTCCTCCTCTTCCAGAATTTCTCCCATCGCATTCGCGTTCGATGTACACATCAAAGAGCAAGAGACGAGAATTCGACCTGGGTATGTGTAATCTGTCAATCTCTGATCATAAAGAAAATGAGTCTCCTTTCACGACATCTGGAAAGATGAGCAGCATCGTTGGCCCACAGCCTTCCAATTCTAAGAGTCTCGCACCTATGCCACAATCATCTCCGAAAGGCTATCTCCAGCTTAACACAACTTTCTCTGTCCAGTCTAGTAAGGCATATGAGAGTGATTGATAATTATCTATAAACAGTTCGGCTTTTTTATTTATATATTATTTTTTTATTTACGTTACTATTATGCCTTTTCTACAATTTAAAAATTTTTGTATTATCAGTGGTGAACACTTGCCGGTTCACTGTCATCCTCGTCTCCTACATAGTACATAAAACTTGTCCAGTAAATTGTGTTTATAATTGCAAAGGAGAGCGGAAATATTTTCCTGGAGTATATGTCAACTGTTGAGAATTTACTTCCAGGCTTCTTTTGTAAATTCCATGGATCTTTCAATTGTGATTCGAACCATTCTAATAATCCATGGTATAACCTTTCAACCCAAGAAACTAAGGTTTCAGACTCTTGCCTGTTTAATTTCTGTAAAACAAGCATGTAATAATTGTAAATTTAATGACCAAAATTATGTGTGTTTGAGAAAATTCTAATCATGAATATAACCAAATAAATAAATTCAATACCTTTTTAGTCTTCGCTTTAGCTGCAATGTCCTTCATCATTTTGTCCATAAAATTGATCGCTGCATACTCCACCATAGAGGCGAACACGAAGGCAAAGCAGAGAATTACAAACCAATCCAACGCAGTTGCATAAGATGTCCGTGGCATTTGTGATCTTCCACCAAACCCCAAAGTCGTCATGCTCAGCACGGTCGTTACACCTGAAAATGTAACCCAGTTAACAATAAAACTTGTACAGGAATTCCTCTCACTCTAAAACATCCGTATACAGCATGCTCGTAAAAATAGAGCAGGTTTGTCATCTTCTTGCCATTCATTTGTTCTTCTTATCCTGAATCTCCATGTGCATTACTGTATCAAGAGATTAACCGATCCATTTCTTGCCCTAGCTTTGATAAGTAAATATGTGAATAAGAGGTGTTTAGCAGAGTGGGATGAGTTTATAGTCGCCGGCTAATAATAGACTATAAGATGATGATTATCAGAGTGACTTGAAGCTAACAGTGGATTTCGACGAGAGAGAATTCGCTTGTGCACCAAGCAGTTGATAATGTTGGACCGAGCTGTTTGTACAAAATTTGTAGTTCTCGACAACTTTTTGCTTTCTGTCTGATCAGTTCACTCAGTTTTCTAAATGAAGCGAACTGTCTGCTAATGATGCGAACAGGTTGGCTCAACTTGAATGCAGACGGATAGTTAGTCGCATGATGTATTAAGAGACAACCAAATGACATGGAAATTCGTGAACAAGGAAATCTTGTTCTGAGCATTTTATTTTAAAAAATCTGTGGTTGACTTGCCCAAAGAAACCCTGGCAGGAACGGCTTGAGGATCAATCCAGAAACTGACCCAGGAGCAACTCACGATCAGAGTACAGGGAACGTAGACTTGCAGCATGAAGTAACCCGTGTGACGCTTCAGATTGAAATGGACCGTCACGACGGAAAAATTGTCTACAAGTTTTCAAAGGATATTTTTTGTAATTTACAAAAAAAATTAAACTTTTGGTATTCCATAAAGAGTTGATTTGGGCACCTCTTCTTGAAGACATCCGAATTTCCTCCTTGGTCGTAATATCGACTAAATCGTACTGAGCCAGGTTCACTCCTGCCTCAGTTTGGACAGGGGGAGATTTTCCAGGGGCCCAAGCGTATAAGACATCAAGATCCCCGTAGCCGTCTAATATTCAAATGGGTATTCAAAATACTTGCATTTCTTATCCATGTCGTTTCACTCACAACTTCCAATCTCGAGCGGGCATGATTGCGAATCCAGTGGGAACTTCCGAAGATGCATTGGACATTTTGCTTTCACTGTTAATCTAATGAATAATTTGTTCACCAATTTAGTGTAAGAATAAATATGCAAATGAAGGAATGAACTACTATGAACCTCATGGAATAAGTCAACTTTCCATCATCCCTCAATCTCAGAAACTTGTTTGGCACCGTGATGCTGTGAAGGTAGGAACGTTTCCCGTTTACAAAATACGTGTCCGGCTTCCAGACCCTCTCCAGAAAAAGCCAGTTCATAGAAAACTCTTTTAGTCCTCCCTGAGATCTGTTGAATTTGAGCCGGTTGTCCACCCAGATTTGGCGAAAATAACAGTCCATCGAGTACGTCTAATGATGTAAACAAGCAAATTGCGTCACGCTGCAATCACTGCTACAGCTAAATACAGTCAACCCTTACCTCGTCCGTTTCTGACACCTGAAAATTTTAAGTTATTAAGTTTACATATTTGGATAATCCATCAACATGTTTAAGTATCTTAAAAAAGTCATAAAAAGCAAAATGGAACTTGGGCTGAATAAAATCTTTCAACGAAATTTCCTCTCTTATTGCTACAAAAGTAACTAAATTTTTGACTTCAACTTACAGGCCCCATACTTTTGATGTACATGTTCACCTCAATCTTTACTGCGGGACCTGGCATAAAAATTATATTGTTATATTCCCCGATCATCCGAAAAATCAGTGATAAATCTGTCAATAGTACCAGTTAGTTAAATTAACTACGGACATTCAATATACGTGTGTCGGTATTATTTATTTTAAGTATTCAGTAGCCAAGATGAAAGCTAAAAACAAAATCAGAAGCCAAATACACCATCCTGGGATTATGTATATGCATGCATATGCAATAACTTTATCTCGTATTTTCCATCTTCTGCTGTTGATAAGTCTAATTGGTTTGTTTCCACACCAGGATTTGGCACTATTTATCAAGTTTGTATAATGAAAGCGAAAACAAGTAACGAATGTATACTTCTTTTCCATAATGTCTCAACTCAAACAGTTAAATTATCTTTCAACATGTCATTAGAAGCAAAATCACTCACGCTTTGTCAACCAATCCCGCAGGCAAACAACGAGCGTGTAAATATTAAATATGTACATCTACGCTTCGGTTGGTGTTAGTTCTGTCAGTAAAATCATGGTAAAAATCTTACAAATATCACTCACGTCACTCGCTAACTAATAAACAAGAATGTAAAAAAAATCTCCTGCCTCCGAAATGCGGACGAAATCTCTTGTCATACTTGTCCTCTCTCAACAGGCTGTCCAGCAGATTGGTGACATCCTTGGACAAACCCTTGTTGTACCTTAACTGCTGCGGGTGGACGAGATCAATGAGGACTGAGAACAGGAGGAAAAATAGGTTCGATGTGAAAAATTCAAGTCTCATTCTCAATTTGGAGAGGCGAAATAAATCCTCAACGTTTAATGAGGGATGGCGAAGAACGCCTTTATCAACGTTACGCTGGATTATCGCGCACAATACAGACTCCAATCTCCATTGTGTTTACTTTCTTAATTAGTGAAATCAATCAGCTTCCTCGTTAAATAAAAATCAAAATTGGCAAATGTGAAATTCCCAAGTTTAGTAATCGACGAAGCCCTTGAGAACAGCTATAAAATAGAAATTAGATGCTTTCTTTGTTTCGTTGTTTAAAGTAAAATCACAAAAACTTTTCACTTTCTCTCTCTCCAAATTCACATAGAGTTTCTCCGTACGAACAATTTTTAACTAATAACGGAAACTATTCACCAAATTATTAAAAGCCCGTTTATGCAGAGATCAAGTTTTGCACACTTGGTTAAATATGTCTTCACTTTACAACTTTGACTGTTTGTTGGGGTGTAAAAGCTCAACCTGCGTCGGTGTTAAATGTAGATGCAAATGAATGTTAGACGTTTTCTCGGGGTGAGAGCCAAGAATATTTGCTCATGAGGCAGCCTTTTAGTTAGTTAGCTGGTGGGTCTTACGACATAAGATACTTGTGCAGTAGGTGTAGGAGTACGTCTGTACATCCAGAGTCGATCGGATCTCGGGGTGTTGAAGTTAAAGGTGCCAACAACGGACGGGAGCATGTTTTGAGATCACACATTTTCCGCAATGTTTTACTTTTGGTTTTTGAACACCGGGTGGCTGGTGATGGGTTCTGTGGTTTTTGTACCGCTGTGCAATGTGTGTACACAAATATACACACAGATAAGTAAGGTAGATATGGCGTGGATAAGTATACATTTAATGGGAGGATGAGAAGATTTCAGCCAGAGATTAAAACCAGGGTAGAAAGTGAGACGGAAGTGAAATCCGCCCTATAACCTAGCCAAAGTTGTCATCATATCCCAGTACTGCTTAATTGAGAAGGATTTAACGCAGTGGCCAATCTACTATATATATTTGCACATATATTTTCATTCACATATTTTCATGTATATTTTCATGCTTGTAAATATAAATTTGCACTTTGCAATGTGAGAAGTATTTTATAAATTTTATGGTAAAAAGCTATGCAACTTTCACTCAAGGATCACAATTTACTTTCGCTATACATGATCAGTTATTTTTCATCCTTCACACGTTTCTGAGCAGTTAGGTTCAAGTTCTGAGCCCATCGATAATGTTCTTTTTATTTTCTGATCTATCACACACGAAGACGATCTTTCGGAAACAAATTGTACTTAAATGTGGTGCATTGTTAAAGATCTGTCTGTATGCATGCATATCTGGATGAATGTGTGTTTGTTTGTACTACTGGATATTATAAAATAAGCCTTATTTGAGATGGGCTGAGATAGATCGCTCACTCCCCATTACCACATTCTTTCTTAATTTAACCAGTTTTCACAGTTGTCGGAAAGCCAGCGTCTGCTTCAGTAGTAAATACATTTTGAGGAGCGGACCTTAATTGCTGCTCCATCCATACTGCTTCAAACAAATGATGAATGCTCATCTCTCGACAAATCTTGATTAAAAATACTTACTGAATCAGTTCAATCTGTCTCCAGGTTTAGCTTGAGATCATTGATCATACCGCAAAAATGCCACTTAGATATGCACTTATCCTTAGTTAGCTCCTCGTACAAGGATTATTATTACCTCTTAAACGCGTGACATGACCCCAACTCAGGCAGCATGTACGGACGTATCTTCTCCCATTTATATTTATAACAATCAACACGAATACATATTCCAGTCAGCCAGATGCAAATTCCATCATCAATATATTTTCACCCTACTATTAATTTTCACAGCATCAGACAATACTCTTGTCGCTTGTCTCCTATGCAAGCTGTGCACATTTGTTGCAAATCTTTATTATAAATACATTCATTGAAGAGGATCTTCGTATACTCAAGGCGCGTGTTCACTGTCTGTGTCACGTCGCCATTAGCAAGAAGGGTAGATTAAGGTTTTTGAACATTATACAAGTGAAAAACCTCAGTGTTGCAAATCTACATGTTGAACATGGGTCCCAGAATTGCACGGGAGGAGGAAGTACCAGAACGACATCATCATACACATCATGCAGCACCCAAGATGATCATCAGGATGCCGTCGTAAATACGTACCGGTTACATAGGCAGGGGACAAATCTAGTGAATGGCATACCAGCCACAACACCACTCTCTCACGTACACCCAGTGCGGATGAAGGAACAAGAATTAGATGAGAACAACTGCAAAACTTGAGCTTATCTCCTAGACGAGATATCCGAGCGAATAGTGCGGTGATAAAAGTCTGTGGCCTGGCTTAGTCGGACTCATCTTCTTCTGAACGTGATTCAGAATTCGGATCACAAACATTTCACATTCCCAGGTCTTCACATTTTTTGTAACAATCCCTGATCAAACTGGCTTCTCGTGCTGCTTCTCAACGTCTTCACTTCCGCCGTCGTCCAGAAGCATTTCCGACTTTACCAACTCGTCGCAAATAAAAATTCAGTAACCACAACTCTTAACTCATAAAAACAAACTTAACCCAAAAAAGTGCTGAGGTCAGACGCATCGGACGCGGAGAGGAAAGGTCCACGACGCGCTCTCATTCACCACTGATGCTCTCTCGGGGACTCCGTTAGAAGCGATTCCCAATACCTATTTCCAAGTTCATACTATAATATGTGTGGTAGCGTTTGGTGATTACCTAAGACGCGGATCAAAGAGTATATGACGTGCCAAATGTCTTCCTTGCCGTCAATGTTAAGTAAACTGGAGGTGAGTTAGTGGGAATAATGTATTTTTAAGAGCTTCTTCTTCTTCCTTTGTGCTTACATCTTCTCCAATGTTATTGTTAACTGCAATTTTCAGCCACGTTATTTTCTGCTTGTAGTGCAATCCTCTCCAGTCAACAGTATAAGTATGGCAAACCGAATTTGCATTAGCTTCACTGCTGGAATAATTACTTTGGCGTGAGATAACTCGAAATATTAGTGGTGAAAGTAGTGTCAAACCTTTCCCCCATCACTGCCAACCAACCTAGCAAGAAGTGGATAAAGTGCCAAAATTGTGTGTCTGAATTGGTGAATTGAAAATGTTCACTGTCTTGGACGACAATTTATGTACTCATTTATATAATTGACTTGAGGCGGTAGCTTTTGATCCACAATAAATAAATAATCTTGCTCACAAGATTTTACTACGTTTTTAATTTTGCGTGGTGAGATGATGGATAGACGTTGTGGGGCCGGGTGACGATGACATGTGGAGAACAGGATAACTGTGATGCAAAAAGAAGTCGACCAACCGACGAGGAATCTCTTGAGTCATATAATCTTTAGTGAACTAATGATGCGTCGATGCGACATAGTTCTTCATACCAAAAAGCTACTCGACGCAAGAAAGCGGAAAAATGAGGGCTAGTTGAAGCTTTGGTGGTGGTGGTGGCGTGGAGTTGTTCAAGTGATCTCTCGAGTGCTTTTGGGCTTCCAAACCAAAATTGTGTTTCAAAGTTTTTGGAAAAAGATGTACAAAAATTTGTGGTAGTGAAACTTGTCGTAAACTCGTCATTCCTATAGTTGAGTGAAATGAAAGTCGGTGTGGTCGGTGCGAGTATCATTTCCGCGACGTCAACATCCAACGTCAACCTGTTCATACTGACAAACTTCATCTCATATTGTGTATATTAATGATGGATTGTATTTTGTTCTTGTCACCGCGAGAAGGAACAAATTGGAGACATAGTTTTGTTTTTGTTTTGCCGTGACAGAGATGAAATCCAGTTCGGGTAAGTTTTTAAGTGGTGATCTCTGATGAAAGCCAAGCCACCCACCACCGTTTTACAAATACTGTCAGACTCTTGCATCCGTGGATGAACAATAATGAGCTATCCATGACGAAAAGACTATTATGTACTCAGACTACTGCAACTGCGACGACCAATAGTGGGTGCATTGGTGCTGGTGGATTTGGACCCCACCGCAGAATGTGGATTGTTCTGGGTACGTGGTACGTTTTCTGGATACTTTCATCCGCCAGGTGGGTCAACTATGGTCAAAATTCTCATAAACTTCAAGACTGTCTTCCTGTGTGAGCCCTGTTGGGTTTATCCAAGATTTTATTTTCCCTATAATATTGTAAACTAAGCTCGTTAGCTTTTAACCATGCTTTTATCCCGTCAGTCAGTTTGTCAGCCCCAGTTTTACTAAAACAAGACGCTCTTGTCATCAACGCTAAGTAACAAAGAGGAGACGATGAAACGTAGTCAGACAAAAGTAGCGTTTCTTATTTAATTGTCTCGCTTCTCATGTTACTGCCAGTTACATGGATTCATTCAACGATGGTTATAAACTCCTATCCCCACAGCGGATATCTTGTGGTATACACAGACATGTAAAACTGTATGCATATACATATAAATGACTGCATGGGCATCAGTTAGTTGTGTTCTGAGCGATTAAGTTGGAGACAAAGTGCAAATTGGCAGATGGTTGGGTTGGTTCACTGAAATTGTAAAATTCGTATAATCTCAAAGTGATGAGCACTTCCTCGCCACTGTCTTTTCTAAATACGTTGCAAATCAATACCAACGGCACGAGTGAGTAGGGAAAAGTTTAGGAATTTCACAATGGCATCCATGTTTACAATAAATTTTAGCTAATTTCCCAATTGGAATTCATGCAAAATTTCTAAAATGCACCCAAGCCTTTCTTGCTCCATATACCAGGGAATAAAATCAGAATAAGAATTTTACACATTTTGCCTCCACAAATTTGGCAAAAGTCCATCCCATTGTGATGTAAAAACGAAATTTTGATTCTTATCTTATTGCCTGATGAGAAATTTGTGGCATATCGATGTTTAATTTTAGGTAATATTTTCTTTACCCCAATAACCCAAATTTAGAATACGTGCCAATCTGTAAATCCCTATTTTACTTTAACGACTCCATTTTACACCTGTATTTTCCAGAGATGAAAATATTAGAAAAATATTATCTCATATATCCTATGAAAGAAATAACAGCACCGGAAACACTACATACACAAATCCATACACGAACAAAAACACAGCAGAGCAAGAGTACCGATAAAATTAGCTGCAAACATATTCAAGTTTGTGGAGTGTCGAGTGCTAAATTATGTCGTTTTTTCTTCTTCTCTGCTCTACAATCATTTCCGTCGTCTTAACTTCTGGGTAAGATAACCCAGACAAAAATCTGTGCTAAACTCCTAACCAAACATCTTCTGCATATGCATGCAAATCCATATCACGTACTCCGCATCCATCTTTTGAGGCACCAACATTTAAGTCCGCGCATGAATGAGGAGGATCACTTTGACATTTTTATTATTACAATAAAAGCGACCATTACAAGTGTTCCGATGCAGAATTTAACTATTCAGCTACACCCTTGAAAAATTCACTTCATAAATATAATTCCTCATAAAAAATGTGCTCAAAGAGCCGACCGAGATCTGAAAGAAGTCGTCGAAATGTTAACACATTCTGACAGCTTTTCCTCCCTAATTGCACCATAAAACATTTCGGGATCGGAACTTTCCTCATGTGCATTTCGTGCTAAAAGAAATTTTTCAGAAAGTGATTATTTTCCAGCTCATTGGAGTCCCAAATTTCACATTTTTGTCACTCATCCCCTTCACATTCGAATAGCTTAGGATTGGAATATTTAAGCAGGCTTGGAGTAGGAAAATCATGTGAAACGAAATGTGAAATTTCTCCAAATCTATTATCCATAAAGTTGACTTACTTTGTTTGGGTTGCAAAACTAGTGGTTACTTACGATACGTGCACTATGGATCAGGCAGACAAGAAAAATACTTAACACCAGGATTCATGTCCCACGTTAACATAAACGATGTGTCAGATCATGTTCCGACAACAACTGTGCTTGATATCTCACTTTATGTATATTTACGTATGAAAGTGATTGGCATTCATATTGCTCTTCAAATTAGAGTGGGTGGACAGACAGGAAAGAGCAACGAGGTCTCAACCCTGTCTTAACCCAGGAACATGACGCAATGGCTGCAAATCTCCAATAATGACATTCATTCTTCTCACCACTGCTGCGTGCTCACAGCTAAATTGATGAATCACAATTATACATATTTCAAATTTTGAAGGAGAACATAGTTTCACCAAAGGGACGGATTAAGCCCGGCAGCCAAATAATCAATGAAAGGCTTACAAAGACAATTTTTGTTAAACATTCTGCGTCTAAATGACGTTGAGCAGGTGACTAGGTGATGATGTAGAATGCTTGGGATGAGCGAAGATCGAGATGAAATCATAAACTGATCACAATAAATTATGTTTGCATGCATACACACAACAGCTTCCTCTCAAGAACACGATGCGGACGCTATAAATCATCCGTTTCTAAATTGAAATGTAATTTTGGTCATGTTCCTATTTATTAACTTTGAGATGATACTTAGTTAAACGGGTTTTGTATGTCCGGATGGATTTTGACAACCTTATTACAATTCGTTGAGAAGATTAACACGCAGATTGCATTTTGCAAAGTTTTTATCTTAATGTTGTATCTGCTATGATTGTTTTTCCAATTAATTAGCATAGTGCAACCAGTAATTTTGTTTTTCACTTGATACAATCATGAATAGCTGACTACTAGAAAAATCCTAAAAATAACTATGGAACATGTTCATCATAATTTACGTCATCTAGGCTCATGCTTGATTTACTTTGCAGTGTAACTGACAACACTTTTTGGGAAAATGAGACATCCACAACACCACCACCTCGACGAGATGATAATACTGCAAAACTCGTGTCACAGATCCTGAAGAATTACGACATCCGACTGCGACCTAAATTCGCTGGTAAGATAAGTTTATTGAATCTTTTGAATAGCAAGTTAAAATGAAACACAGTATTAGTTGTTGAGTAAAAGTATTCGGAGGTGATAAAATAATATGCTTTTCTGACATGACTAGCGATGATTGTATGTAGCAGCGTGTTTTTATTGCAAAATTACATCGTGCCCAGTGTAATTATATATGTGCAATTTATGACCTTTATGTACATATTTAACGCGTTGCAGGTGACCCGCTATATATTGGGATGGACATTACCATTGCGAGTTTCGATGACATTTCAGAAGTGAACATGGTATGAATCTGTATAAGAACGAAGCGACACATATTTCTTGGCTAAATGCTATTATTATTACTATTATATGCTTCCCATATCTACAGGATTACACAATAACAATGTATCTTAATCAGTACTGGAAGGATGACAGACTTGCATTTAGCACGAACGATGAACAACTCACACTTTCTGGAGATTTTGCGGAAAAGATTTGGGTGCCGGACACTTTCTTTGCCAATGATAAGAATAGGTTTGAATCAATGTTCACAATTTTCGGATAACTTTCAAGATGATGAAAATATGTAATTATGACTCTATTTTTTGCCAGCTATTTGCATGATGTTACCGAGAAGAACAAAATGGTTCGTCTAGCTGGAGATGGAAGTATAACTTACGGGATGCGTTTCACAACAACTCTCTCGTGCATGATGGACCTGCACTATTATCCGTTAGATTCGCAGAATTGCACCGTGGAGATAGAAAGCTGTAGGATACATTTTTCGTGTACATAAATTTAATGATATGTTCAGTAATTATTCTCCTCCTCGTGCAGATGGATACACTGTTGCAGACGTGGTAATGTACTGGAAAATGCCGGGCGTAATGGGGGTGGAGGACGTGAAATTGCAACAATTTCGAGTTATTGGGCACGAAACGAATGATAAGCTTGAAAATCTTGCTACCGGTGTGTATCAACGGCTTTCGCTTTCTTTTGGACTTAAAAGGAACGTGGGATACTTTATTTTCCAAACTTATCTCCCATCCATCCTTATCGTCATGTTATCGTGGGTTTCATTCTGGATTAATCACGAGTCCCCACCTGCTCGCGTTGCTTTGGGTAAAATTATAGTTTGGTTATTATATCTGACACAAACAAATAAAGGAAATTCGCCCCTTTCAGGAATCACAACTGTGCTAACCATGACCACGATCAGTACCGGAGTCCGATCATCGCTTCCACGAATTTCCTACGTTAAAGCTATAGACATTTACCTTGTGATGTGCTTCGTCTTCGTGTTCGCAGCTCTACTCGAATATGCTGCAGTCAACTACAATTTTTGGGAGGCCAAGACAGCCGCAGCTCAAAAAGCAGTGAAAATGGCAAAAAAAGCAAAACTGAAAGCGATAGCTCTGTTAAAGAAAAGTACGCGCGGTGAGAAGCAAAAGCTGGGTGCTCGAGTCAAGTCCTTCTTTGGCAAGGGTAAAAAGAGGGACGGGACGAATGGAGAAGATAAGGCGAAGGCAAGAAAAAGGGGTGTGGATGGGGAAGTAGTCGGTATTGAGATAACTGAACCGAGTCCAGTACCACAATTAATACCGCCATCACCAGCATCATCATCTCTCCAAGTAACGCCATCAACATCAACGTCCAAGCTGCCCATTCCTGCCATCAGTGTCCCTCCAAAACTAAGTCGTCCCCCATCCCTCAAACGGGACAAAGCACCACTCGCGGTGCCAGAGATTCCCAAAGAACTGTTGGCTCTGACCCCAATGACCGGTCCTCCTACTCTAACTCCTCAAGTCTCTATCGAGGTCAGCGAAACGAGTTCACTTTCTCTCCCGATCCCGAGAATGGTGAGAAGTACAAGTTTCTCTGGGACCTCAGGAGTGGAACACCCCTCACATTTAACGGTGGTTCCACCACCCCCAAAATTTGTACAATTCCCTGTCCTCAAGAAGCATGGACCGACATGGAGACAGCGGAGAGAACGACTAGGACAAAGCGTAAAGAAAAAAGCCCACGCAATTCAGAAACGACTCCCCTCTGCCAAAGATGATGTCAACATTATCGACAAATTTTCAAGAATCGTATTCCCCATTTCTTTTCTCCTTTTTAATGCTATATACTGGAGCTACTATTTCGTTAACTCGTGAACATTCTTTGCTTACAATGGAAGGAAAGGAAACAATTGTGTAATCATGTAACAACTATCGCGTGAATTGTTTTTAGGTTATTATTTGTACCAAATATCATGTATGTATAAATACACAATATGGAATGTGTAACTCGAGAATAGGGTATGATTAGATTTCACTCATTGTGTTCCACGAATAATTTAATTAACTTTTTAATAATAAATAATACAACCGCGCTACGACGCCAATTGTTATTGTTATTATTATTATTACGGCAATTAAGCATGTCTCGATTTCTTAACTGCGATGTATTTAACATTGTTTGAAATTTCATGCGCATTAATTTCAAATATTTCAAACAAATCAATACGCAGTAGTCACAAATATGTATTTTATGTAGATGTGCTGCATAACTAAATAATGCACACGTTCGCAAAAATTCCAGTTGTGCATTTACCAAATTTTATTGAAATTGCCAATACTGCTCATTTCGTACCAATGCAATGATGACCAAGCGATATGCAGTCTGAGCTGAATTCCGATATCCCTCTTTTGCATACATATGTTTTTACATACGAAGCTTAAAGGTATAAATCGTGTTCAACTTGTTGCATTTTCTGCTTGCCTAAAGTCACGACACTGCATTATCCAGCAACTTGCCCAGAAAAACAACCTTCAACAAACTCTCATCAAATTATATAATTTTGGATGACTCCATATCTGGAGTCGTCGTCGTCTCATCTTGGCGTCATGCGTTATCTCACCACGGACCAAAACTTGGAATAAATTAAGGCGAGAACCAAATCACCTCATTTCCATATAAACTGCATGTGTGTAAGATGGTCATTGATATATGTGCTGTATGCATGACTTGAGCCGAAGAACTGGGCACGAAATAAGCGTGGCTGATGATATCATGTCATTTTATTCCTTACTTTGCTCCCTAGCTGGATATATATTGCAAGATACTTGAAAACAAACTGCACAACAGCAACAGTTTTTTAAGCTGAAAACAATGGTGCTAGCAAGATTCGCAATGCCACATAAATACAAACGAGAAAAATCTGGTGGGAGATGTATGTACACCACGCTGGATGGTATTGAGGTTGTTGGTGATGTTATTCTTTGTGAAATGACGATCCCACTATGTGTCATAATAACCAGTTGGACTTGTGCACCTTTTTTTTTACTCTTAATTAGTTAGTATAACCAACAAAATGACGGAGGTGGACAAAATAGCAACTTATGAACATTATTATTTTGGAACGACTTTTCTTAAGTTTGTGGTATATGAATGTACATTCCGCTGCAAAATAAAATGGAAATGAATGAAAATTCCTTAATCAGAGTCATAAACTACATGCGATTTGGGGTAAACTAAATTCTAATACATCAGTTAATAATCCTTAAATAAATAAATTATTTAGGAAATCACTGTCGACATAAATCTGTACATATTGGCTGCACATGTATGCGCCTCACAATTAGAAATTGACTCCCACAACAACCTGCATTCATTCTTCCATCAGAACAATCTCAAGATAAATGCAGTACATTATCGTGGAAGAAGTGATCGAATCTTCCGAGCATCCACTCGCCTGGAGTCGTCCTTTTTGTTGTTGTCCTCGTCGTCGTATGTAATGGAAAGACCAGAAAACGCAGATGTTCGTGTGTGGGGGACGCCAACAACCAAGTTATTTTTAGGCTTGGTTAGTCCATCAGCTTATCTGCTGCTGTGTCTAAGAAGAAGAAGAAGAAGATGCAACAACACGGCTCGAGATAAAAGAATCTCATTTCCAAAACATGCATAAACAGATAAACTTTTAGTTTCTCTCATGAAACTCGTGAATTCTTGCAAGGCAAATCCTCTACGCCAAACTTGGAAGAGCGCATGTATGTATTTAGTATGTGCTTGCATCTGTACATATATCTCAACGCATGAGACTCTCACACATTTCCATTACACATTTTACACATTATAAGCATGACGAAGGAAAAGGGTGGATGGATGATGATGATATAATGGATTGAGTTTCATCTTACATAAAATTTTCGTCTGGTTAAACTCGCAGCAATACGTGTTACGTAAGTGAGAGTACGTTCATACTCTTAAAACTCTGGTTGACTTTGAGAAAAATAAGTGACTTCATCGCCTCGTTTTCTCTCAGCTCCGTAGTTTGTAGTGAGACACGGAGAAGAACGAAGCTATCATCGAGGAAGTCAAATCCCGTCGCAAGATAAGTCAGTATCATCGAACCCTGTAACTACCATTCCTCAGTAATACACGGAAGGATTTAATTGTAATTAACCTAGTTCTGGTAAATAAATTGTTTTTATCGTCTCGAACAGGAGGAGGTGGATTACATACTTCAACGTGAAGAACAAGTTGTTTCTGCGATAAATCTCAAAGCAGACCGTAGGAAAACCTAAGTCAATCATGTTAAATCCCTGTTGCTGCATCTCCCCCAGAATTGGGACCTTTTGCCTCGCCATTGTGGACTTGGTTAGTAGTGCATGAACATTTCTTAACTTTTAAATTTCTATAGTATGCACAAAATGCATGATTTTCATGGTATGATTTGTATATTCAGATCCTGGTCGTCCCCTTCGCGTGGGACGTCATTGTTGTCTTCATCAAACATTTTGAGATGGGTGAGATGAATGCATTATGATTAACATGAAAGTATCAATAGTTTAAAATATGCAGTTTCGCATAAAAATCCGATCTTATTATTAAATCAATTTTTTTGTGTATGCAGAATTGTTGGGTGATCTGATTTTGGCCGTGTTTCTCGTCTTTTTGGCAATTCTTCTCCTGGCTGGAGCTATCCAGGTAAGATATTATTATGCGAGCGTAACATGTTTGTTTTCTTTGATGCAACACCCACAAATAGACTTTTCTTGTCGTAAAAGTATTTAAAATCTGCCAAGATTTTAGTGTTTTCTCTTGTCAAAACTTTTTACACTCATCCTGTCAAAAGTTCTCAGGATCTCAGCGAGATAACGTCACCCACTCATCAAATTTTATGCATATTTATTTAAAATTTGTCTCAACCTAAAATCGGGCTTGTCGCCATGAATCACATAATAAGCGAACAAAACAAATGATCCGATAAGACTGATTGACTTGATATACCATTCGAAATCGTATATTTTTTGCTGTAACTCCTTGATCATTGCTAATGTAGGAATTGTGGAGTCATAAAAATAGGAATAAAAACCATTCCTCTCGTCTCGTTAGGAAGATGAAGAGAGACAGCAGGGCAGGATCGGATCGATAGGGGACAAGTATAGTTTCGGTGGTATAGATATTACTAGCTCACATATTCACGAGACCGTGTTATTTTGAGAGTTTTCGACCGGAAATGAAAACACCCGAGAGAGACACACACACGGCGAGAGCGAGAGAGAGAGAGCAAAAAGAGAGCAAAATCCTCCGAAATTCGTCACCCTCAGTCAGTCAGTCGCTAATAAACTATCCTTTATTTCTACTCGATCTCATGTGCATGACTTTTAAAAAATCTCCCTTTGTTTTTGTTGGATAGCTCGAATGTTCATTGATTCTCTTTCTTTATGCATAATTTTTCAGAATTCTCAGGAAAAGGTTCGGCTCTGGCTCACCCTCTGGCTCGTCTTCATCATCGTCCTCCTTATCCTCCAAATATTCAGCATTTACCACGGGGGACGTGTCAATGTTCGGGCAGGGGGCAGTTTGGGAGCTCTGTTGCTCTTCATCTATGGTAATATTCTTACTGACAATACAATAAAATGTGGAAATTTCAAATTGATAAAAGTTGAATTTACTAGAAATCTGGGTGGTGTACGCCTATCTCACTGAATTGCGGTACGGACCCAGCGGATTGACCTACTGCCCAGCACAAGTCGTCTAATCATCTTCGCTTATTTATATTTTAAGCCAAACTTGCTGATATGGATGACTAATCTGATCTGTAATGTCGTGTCTTGCAAAATATGGGACACACACACACAAATTGAACACTGCATGAGCTATGCTATGTACCATTGTTGTTATATTACTATTACATTGAAAGGCTACATACTTAAACAACTCTTCACATTAAGCTTATTAAATTACTTTATCTTTTCTGTTATCATTCTGTGACGCATAACTAAAAATCTTACTTAATTGGGTTGATTGAGTTGGAAGAATACCAAGAAGAAGAATACGACGGGGAGGAGGAGTGTCAATTCTTAAATTTGAATATTGCCAAACTGTTTTAATTTAATTTAATAATTTTGTATGCAAAAAAAACAAAAGAAAACTGGGAGCAGAATTGTATTCCAATCGATGATATTAATAATGAGCTTTTACATATATTCAGATGCTGTTTATAAACCACATAACGCGTTTCATACACACAGATATGTTTAATTTTTTTGGATGGGTGTAAATTCGTAATAATGTGATTTATGAAAAGCGCCTTCATGCAAAATTTGTCTGTCACTCTGCCTTTTTGCCATTCTTGAGCCTGCCATAATGCCATGAAACACAAGTTTGAAACATACACTTCAAGAATTTGAGAAATAAATATTGATAAAGTTTCAAATAAACAGTATGAATGCGGATTACAACTGTTCCAGTAATAAGAAGAAACAGAGGACGGTTATGTTTTTTTTTCTTAAATGGAGCAGTTGTATAAAGATGTAAAAATGTATTGCATGCATACTTGAAATCAAAACCATATATCAAGTATTTACGTGAATATCACGGGATTAAATGGAATGAGGGGGTGCATCACGAATTGGTTCTACTTGCTGTAAGTTGACTTGATTTTTAAGGATAATTCTTGAATTTTTTTTCACTAACCACTGAACATGTTTCGATAATGGTACTAACCACGGATGATTATGTATGAAATGTGTTAGAAACTATCGTATTTTTAGCTAGTCTGTATAAGAAAATAAAATAGGCTTTTATCAATTTAGATTTCGACGCTTTATTTTATTGTCAGTAAGAAAATTACGATACAGATAATATGCAAAATGAAATCTGAATTGAAATGAATGGAAATTCTGTATTTTAGTTTCTATCATCAGTCTCAGTCATCAGTCTCAGTAAGTTATTTGTAGTTTTACTGTTTGGTAATATTAATAGGCAATATGAGAACCAAAGAACACGCTGTCAACTTTGACTTACACGGATAGAAGCACCGCATCCATATTCCTGTAAAACATTTATTTCTTGGATAACTTTTTAAATTTTTCAAAACAAGATTACAATAAATGTGTATTCCACTTACAATTTGATATAATCTGAAATTTGCTTGCTAGCAACGGTGAGATTGTGGAGTCGCGACAACTTTAAGAGATCAAGCGCATTTGATAGGTTACAGCTGGCTGCCAATGTGTGATCGCAATACGACTTCAGAAGAGGAATATTGTACTATAAAATGCAATTTCAAATTAAATATGAAAGTAATTTCACAACAAAAAATTATTTTGCTAATCAATATATGAATTAACATACCTTATCTGCGGCATAGATTACTTCCTCGCTAGCCTCATGCCATGCATCGTCCACTTGTCCAGAGTACATAAATTTTAATAAAACAGCGAACGCTGGGCTTTGAATGTCATCAATTGCGACTACTCCCGTCTTTTTTTCAGTCATATCAGTTGTAAACATAGCATCGAAAACGTGACTGTGAGCTAAAATAATAGAAAGTTAAAATTAGATTAGTATTGAATTATATATCTAACAATTTTATCTTTTCAAAAAATGACATTACCTGCCAAGATCACCTTATGTGCTTGAAAGGCGACACCATCCGCACTCATGATGGTTACGTCAGAATAACGTTTGTTCACAAGAGAAGATTCCAACGCACTTGCCACCAGTTTCTGACAATCAGTCTTTAGCTTGACCAACTTTTGACTTTCAGCCAGGTCCACTGTTTGTCTGGAGTAAAGGTACAACTTCAAAGAGAGAGTCAACATATCATCTTGTAAGACGTTCGACGTAGCAGATATGAGTTTCGGAATGGTTGAGAAGCTGGACCACCCCCAATCCGCGACGCTGCTTAAATCCACGACTTCGGTGGCTGCAAAGAAATTAATGAATTACGACATCGTCCTTGGCTTAATTTAATTAGTCGAAATGGGTTATGTTTACTTTTACTTACACAGTCGAATAAATTCTCCACCCCCGACACGCTTGACGGCGGAATCAAAACGGACGAAAATTTCTTTCTCGGTGGGCGGTTTTTGCAGCAGCCGCAAGTAAAGGCCAAAATCGTCATCAATTCGACGAATAAAGAAAGCCCACTTTGTTGGGAGCTTAATACTTTGACCGGCTTCGAAACTTATATACACATTCTTAAAACCATCCTTCATTTGTGACAGCGCTTTGAAATCTTTAATTTCCCACGTTATCTCCTTAATTTCCACTGTCATCTGTTGAACACAGCAATGTAACAATATTTTACTATCTATAGGACCTTTCTAATATGGAAATATAGTGGCACTATTTTGCTTTCATAAACTCACCGACGTTCGGAACGAGCATGACTTGTCAATGACTGGGTCGTCATTCATGTCAATTTGGTTATCCATATCTGAACCTGATACGTTTTGCCTTTGCGTTGCCTCATTCACTCGAGCTTCAACGGATGGTTGTTGTGGGTTTCTACGAGTCACAGGAGCCATCTGATACCTTTTATAAAAACAGAATTACAGACTGATTAGATTCGACCTATAACAATTTTATCATATACGGCGCTGTATTATTTAGTATGCACATATATTTAATGTATAGGCTTTGAATTATTAAGATTCCAAGAAACACCACTAACTAGTTATCTCGATTCGTTGTACGGATGAGGGGGTCTGTCAAAAAATTTATAAAAGGCAATCTGCCTCAGAAAGTATTAATGTTTCCGATTCTGTCACGAAAAAATCAAGAGAAAATCAGGAAAAATTATGAGGAAGAGCGGGACAGAGACAGAAAGACACGACGCAACGCAACCACCTCAGAAGTGCGACTACAAGGCGGCAGCCAGTGAGGCAGAAAAATTTATTGCATTTGACATATAATCTGTAGGAGAACTATTGTTGCGGGACACAATTTTGCCTAAATCTCACTATGCCCAACGGGCTTTCCATGTTGAATAAACTAAACTCCAGCTAAAAAGCATCAAACGGTGTGACTCGCAACAATGTTTGCACTGTATACAAATTGGATTGGTGGAAACTGGTCGTAGCTCCGCCCCTCTCGAAAAGACAAAGCAACAAGCCGCTGCATTTCCAATATACAACAATAGTTAAATGCCCGCTTCCTGGGAATTTAGTATTTAACTATGCAGCGACCCCTACGTCCTGGGAATTTAAATACTCCGATGAGTTGAACTGCGGTATGACACTATATTTTGGACTTCAAAAATGTCCAAATGGAAAATAGGGCAACGTGTTACAATCATGCTGACTTTTTAGATAATTTATTTACAGATCTCTCTCTTCTGCTTCATTTTGGGTATTTTTATTTATATGTAAAACTGGACGATAAAAGACAAGGTTACTGCTTATGTCTTCCTTACACAGAAACTTTATTATGCAATCATGAAGTTGACAAAGGAAATTTGAGAAAATTCATCCTCATAACATAACAGCAAATCCCATAAACAATCATTTCATTTCATCTCATTTCATCGTACATAATGGCGAAAATTAATGACGAATGAGACGTTACTATTTCCTGTCGTTGAAATACACCTGGGGCAAGTTGAAGCCAACTCGCGAAGACAAAGATCGCGACAAGAGGCCCTCACGAGTCGAAAATCCGAATTGAAACTCCGAATTCTCGAGTGGAAGTTGCAGATGGTGCTTCAAGTTCTGTGGGCAAAACCCGTCGCCCGAGTAAAAAAAACATTTCGGTTTCAAAAGAGGCCAAAGTGTTGGACGAGGAGAAAGAGGAGGGATACATACTCGATCTCGTTTTCATTCAATGATGCTGATCTCTGAAAAACCATGCCAGTTCTCACCATCACGTGGATGCCTTGCTTTACCATTATTTTCATGTAACCCGGTGGTGGAGAATATTTTGTCGGATTGGATGCAGTCATTAAGAAAAAGATAAGCTACGCGACATGTGGCATGAAAATTGGATTGTGTGAAATGCTCAACTTTTCGAATCCTGTTGATCATAAGTGAATGTTCATTGTAATGTTGACTCTGCTTACTTGCGATATTGTCCCCTCTTAGTTCTGGAGGTGACATGTCATCATCATCTCATCTTTGGAATGACGAAAGGAATAAATTGATCGCACAAATCAAACTTGCTTACTCTTTGGGCAGAACTACACACATTTAAAAAATCCTGTGTCAACTGTATCCTAATTATGAAAAAATGATGATTTTATTCACGAGAGGAATACCCACAACATAATAAATCGACGATATTCCAACCTTGGTTTGACCACCACCTTTAGATATTTTAGTCCACTCTATTTACGACCCCACTCTCTGCTGCAACAACCCACATGCTGCATTTATGTAATGTCATACCTCACATCGCACCATTGTCAAGAATACAAGATTGTGTAATGTCACAATTGCGTGTGCTTTTTCGTTTTGCAACTCCCAGCAAGCCAGCAGTGAAAGAAGAAGAAAGAATTGTGCCACCTACCCACCACACACACGGTCTTATTATTCACAGGTCTTATCATCATCAGTCCACTATTCTCTCCAATTGTTGGCTGTTCATTTATTTCGTGGTGAAGGATATAGCACAAGGTTTTTAAGGCGACGAAAAAATTGGCCGTTGTTCGAGTGACTGAGTCATTCATTCATTCTCAGGGTGGACAAAGTAGTGGTTGTAGAAATAGTGTAAGTTTATACTTAACTTATACAACAAGTAGTAAGTCGGTCGGGGTGCCCAGAAAAGAAAGGCAGCATAATAAGAACGTGAGAATAGAGAAATGCTCCCGTTTTTTCTACACTTTGGTTGGTTTACTTGGTTGGATTAGTTTATTCCGTCGTGGTCTCTTGTCCAGATCCAAGCAAGCACATTTATTGTCAATTGTCTGCCGGTCTGTACAGTTTGATGTGCTTTTTTATTTTTGTTTTACACATGCACGTATACACTGTGATTACGTATGAAATTCAATCCTGTGTAGACATGAGTAAGCATTTGTAACCACAAACGATGAGACAAAGCAGCGACTCGTACATATACAATTACAAACGTGTCGGTGGAAACAATATAAAATGTTGTTTTGAACAGTGCCATTCATACTTTGAGAGCAACGAGAGGTTAAATCTAGATAATCTAAAATTTAGGAGGAGAACGGCTTATCTACGCAATGCGGTGAGACTCATGTACACATGTGGGAACATGCGATACTCGATATCTTCCAACCGCTGCAAAATTCTGAACACAATCGGTGAATAATAAGACGATAAAAATAAAATAAAATTTTGAGTGGCTGCCAAGAGACTGGAATAAAGACGGAATTAAAGAGAGATAATATTTGCAATTAAAAAAGTAGACATTCCTCCACCAATAAATATGAAAATGTGAGACATGGTGCAGTAATATCGGTTTGTTTGTTGAGACAAAGGACGGTAAGGAATGAGAGGAGAGCTAAAAATCAAAGAATTTAAGTTCCGTCTCATATTTCCTAATAGCTTTCCACCGTGTCGCTCCAGACGGTCATTATTATCTGGAAATTTTACACATTTCTACCGTTGGGAAAGATGAGAATGTGTATCATTTTTTTTTTTACAAATTATACTCTAGACAATAAGTTGTTATGCAACTACCTATTCGTCGCAATTTCCATTAGTCACGATTAAGCTCGACTGTTAATAAACATGTTTTAAGTCACTTGATCATCCTTCAAGATGATTTAGCCATATTTTAATGAGACACTTGAACATCGAAAAAGTAGTAATTATACACAAGTTATGTTGCCCACTTTGTTTATGTTAAAATATTTTATACCAGAACGCCATTAGAAAGAGGAGTGATCCCATCCTTTCTTCTTGGAAGCGTCAAGATCGGATTTTCTTTCTTCTCAAAGATTCCACTGTGCAAAGATTCCGCAAACTTGTTGCCATTTGCGAAATATCACCAAATGAAACAATAATGCAATGTGGTCCTTGTCATAACATTACATACGTGCATCCCACCACTAGTAACCGACTTTTAAAATAAAACCATGCTCGTCTCACCCTCATGTCATCCAAATTCCAAATCTCTCTTATTCAAAATTATGAATATTTAATTCCAAGTTGTATTATACAATTTACCTAGATATGTATTTCCAAAAGGACAACTTTTGTGCGTCTTGTAGCAAACCTGCGAGATGAGAACGATAATCAAATCCGCACAAAAGGAACTTCAACCCCAACAACAACTAACAGTAGTTGTCGCTCGTCAGAAACGACACGAAACCATCAAAAAGTGGACCGAGATCGCCGTCCCCTCATTTTCCCTTGCCCTTCCCGAGCTACGACTTTGCTTTGTTGTTATACTTCATCTCATCCTCATTCTAATGCACGTAATGTGATGTGATTTGAATGAATGTGTGTATTTTTTCCTGCTCTCTCCTCATTCATTTCATTCTTCTTCTTCTTAAACTATTTTATTTTCTGGGCAGGACTTGCAGACACCGTTACATAACTTTTTTTACATTATGTGATACAATTGTGTGATCTCCAGTGCTAAGGAACAAGCAACCCTGTCCCCTGATCTGGATTATTGTGCGGCCGTTGTGTGTGTATATGTACCTTATTTTCTCTATTCTTTCCTTCCTTTATCATCATCTACAACTGTTGATTGTGCATGAGAGGAACCCACCATTGCCACCGGACTGGGATCATCATCGTATAACGTTGTCCAAAAATTTGCTCATGTTCATTCCCATACACACGTCGTCATCTTTTCGAGCCAGTCAGTTATCAGGAGTGACTGAGTCTGTGGGCTTATTTTATTATTGTCATTATTACAAACAACGTCATAATCGTTATAAGACACAGAGTGGTGGTTGCAGTGTTACGGTAACTTTTACAAGGACCGTGTTATTAGCAATCTCATCATTACACTTTAGCCGGTTTATTGCACAGCAGCGTTCAGAATTGTTAGCCATAAAGGGATCTGTACACTTTTGTGACTTTCTCATCATCCCAACCCCACTGGCAAGTCGTGCTTATTAAAGAGTGTTAATTTTATGTCCAGTACTTTTTAATCCTCAATTCTTTCTGGAAAAGTTTCATTTTATGATACGGTATCGTTAGTGGGTCCAAGTCGAGGTCACACACTCGGCAAAGGTTTGTTTGGCATTCTCAATACGTTCAAATTACGTAAGTCAATAATAACGCCAGGAAATATCCCATGAAAAAATTGAGACACTTCTCAAACCAAGTGTTAACAACGGGCATTAAATGTGTATGTATTACCAGAGCCAACAAGTCTGGTCAAAACCGTCCCCGATATCCGAGCTAATTCCTTCGCCAAACAGGATTCATGTTACAGTGACTAACTCGCAAATCTATAAAAGTTACAAATATTATCAGTCAGCCAATCAAAACTGAACGATTTTCCCATCGTTAATCCATCCATTCATTACAAAAGGAATGGTCAACTGGTAATGAATTGTGGTGAATGTTGGTGATTCTGTTTTGGTGCCAATAACATTAGCATAAGTGGACACAGACCGATTTGTTCGTTTCTCGTATTGTGGGAGAGATATTTGTCTTCCTCCGTTTTCTTACGGAATGACGAATCTCCTCGTTGGAATTCACCACAAAATGTAAAACTGTTTGTTGTGACAAGTTGATGATTGTGTGTAAAGGACCCTTTGTTTCACTTTATTATCCCAGAGCTGCTACTTTTCACCCATAAATTCCAATGTCACTCTGCCACAGGAGAGGAAAGATCATCGCATCTGTGTTATCCCAGCAGGAACAGTAGTTCAGTTTGGGTGTTGGTGTTAATAGGCCAGTTGGGATTTTTGGCATTCTTTCCACAAAACAAGCAAAACCATCTTCTTCTTCTT